TATCTTTTATCTTTCTTTTACATTGTAGAGAACGATATCTGGTAACCAGATGAGTTTCGATGGGAGATTGAGACGACGAATTCCATTGAAATCATCAGGATTCCATTGAAGAAATTCATCACGCCTAGGCGAAAATATTTTCTACAAACGATACCCTTCAACTAGCTCTTACCATTCTTGGTCAAGCCATACATTTGTTATCAATATTTGATTCTTCTCCATCTAAAAATACAAAGAAAAAAGAAACGTTTGTTGGACTTTTTCAACTCAATACTTACCATATCAAATATTTGCGTTAATGTTAAGCCAAGTTTCACTGGTACCGGTACACTAGCATTGTGGACTGGTCGAACACTATTGGAATAATTTCTAGCAATCGAACAATCCGAAGTATAATAATCAGTCAAGAATTACAGAGATTACCTCATTAGAAAGTATAGCAGACGTTGTTCATCTGAACAATTGATTCGCGTTCGATTGCTACAGTCAACTAATGTGCCATATGGCGATCGAAAATCTTGACAATGCATCGAACCTATTCGAAAAAACTCATTTAATTTTTATTCACGCGATTGACATTGAGAAAGTTGTTGTCAACCAACGGGTTAGGTGTGAAATTAATAGTTCTAAGAGCATTGTATGCATTTTTAATGTGGAAAAAGAATATTTCTGGTCTACTCATGATGATGAAAGTGCTGAGTAATAACGTCGTACGTACCAAATAATGTCACTGATAGAATAACGATGAATCCAATTGATCGATTATTGAAAGTTAATAAAAAATGCCTCATCGCGATGAACAGATGAATGCCAGACATTTGACTTGAACAATAACAAGAATTCTTCTCGGTCTTTCACTCGACTTGTTTTACTTGTGCAAGTTGGCAATATATCTTCCTTTTCTCGTCTCTTCACTTAGGAGAAAAGCGCGAGAAAGGAAAAAAATGTAGGAGAGATGTCTTGTTCTTCTCGCGAGAAATATGATGAATCGTATTGCATTATGTGTGCACGTTCCTAATCACACATACAAACAGTTTATTGTTTTCTGTACATTAACTCAAGTAAGGCCAATGCTATCGTTTGTCTTCGACGAAGTCGTTTGACAGTAATTCCTAGTCAATTTGTTGATCGAGATAAATGGATAGACGGGTTTCGCAGTTAATAATTACCCAGATGTGAACGCATGTGGGCAGGTTTTAGGAATTATCCAGATTTAGAGCTAATTTCGTCGTGTGAAAGCAAAAAAGATTGTCTGTCTGCATTGATGAAACTATCAAAGTTCTCCAAAAGATTAGTTTTTATTGGCCTTGAGTTAGCTACTTTGAACTTTGCAAGGCGAAAAACTTGCTGGTTTTTTTTTCTTAGTAAATTGTATTTTCTATGGTTGTCATAAAGTAATGAGTATAATTACAAAAAGAAAACAATGCGCACGAAGAATGAAGCAAAGGGAGAAGATTCTGATTGATTTAAATATGGTACCCTTTGAGAGAAAACAAACAAACAAAAATAACAAGAAGCCGAAAAGTACAATGTAATTGGATCAGACCGCCTTCCTATTGGATATTCTGACGAACGTGAGACATTGCTGTTTGTTCTCGATTTCCGTTGAAAATTAAAATGATTAATTATTCACGAGTGAGACTCGTTAAGACAAAGTAGAATAATAATCTTCTACTTAGTTTTTTCATGCAAGTTCGAATGGGACTCAGCAATCATGAGTTCTCATTCGATTCTCATTGCAAGTTGGTTGTTGTTGATGAAATGCACTGTTCGATTTGATGATTGAATCATTATCACTTCCATCAGCAAATGCATGTCGAGGTTTGAGAACACTACGAAAATCAATTTGTTTCGTTTCATTGATTACTCGACGTTTCGATAATGTCTGACCGGTGCATAAATCTTGTCCGGTTTTGCGTAGTAAGACATGAAATGCGTATTTTGGTTGAGTGGACATGGACGATTCCTAGAAGAGAGGAAAGAGTTTCATCTTTTCTAGATCAATTTGCGTTCACCAATGTAATCATCTACTTTTTTCTTTATAATTCTCTTCGATGTCAAATCAGATAATAGAGTATTTACAATCACGATCCATTGGATTCCGATAAATGTCTGAAAGATTCTGTCGAAGGTTTTAATGGATTCTCGAAGATTATATATCTCGTATCGGTATCGAAACACGCGAGTTTGTTTTCTTTTGCAAGGAAATGAAAAATTTGAGATTTGCGAACGAAATCGGAAATAATAATGTTTTCTATTGATTTTAGAGAATGTTTCTTTAGGGATCAATATTGAGTCTCGGTTGAAGTCGAATTAGTTCCTGTTATGTCGGCAAAATATGTCCTTAGACTAAGAAATAGCAATGCTACTGGACTTACCCGTGTGATTGGCTTGGTTGGCTGTTGTGATGACAATGCTGGTGGCTTAGGCGACGATGATATATAATTAGGAAAAAGTGTCGGTGGAGTTTGTTTTTTTTGTAAAAAGGGTCTCTGATTGTTAGTAATAAATGAAGCAATACCTCGAGGTTTCAAATGATTATTTCCATTGAAATGAATCGGGCGATTGTTATTATAAGCACTTGAATGGCCAAAGCGTCTGTATGCTGGTTGGTGATTGTTGATGTGTTGTTTTTGGTACTCTTGTACAGCATCCAAGACGGTTGTTGATCGAGGACTACGCGTTTGTGCAATCAATGGTGATACGCAGTTGGCAGGAGGAGGCGGAGGGACAACAGGTTGATTTTGAATGGAATGTTTGCTTGGAATAAGATGATGATGATGATGGTTGTACTGATGCGAATGAGTAGATGCGGTAGCTGCAGCAGCTTCAGCGCGTGCAAAAATATCTCTGACTTGTGCAAACTTCGATACCGATGACGATGACAATGGTGAAGGAGAACGATGTGGTATGGCTATTTGCTGTCGCGGTCGTGGAGATGACCGCGAAACAAGAAATAGAGCAGGCGGTGGAGGAGGTAAAGGAATCACTGATGAAACAACGGATGGTTTAATGGAAGTTGGTGCATCCGGCGGCGGCAATGGCGGCGAGAACATTGCAAATGATGATGGTAGTGGTAACGGAGGAGGTGGAGGAAACAAATATTGAGGAAACTTTTGCATATATTTATTATAATTACATTGATTGATTAGCGAAGATTCCATAGATTTTGTTGGCACACAGTAGTTTGTTTTGACAATGCGCGTGAAGAAATCATTGCTTATCAATTCGACTTGTTGTAAAAAGCAAAGAATTTGAGTTTGAAGTCGTTGTCGATATAGAGAGTAAGCTTTTCGTACAATAAAACCACGATAATATTTTTGAATAGCAATCGCTGCTGACTCGTATGCGTTCGTCGGTTTAAGTTTGTTTCTATTCATTCGTTTGCAACGATTCCGCTGTAAATAACCGCGAACACATGATTGAATGAAAACAATCGCTTTGTCTCTCTTTAATTGTTCATCATCGACAGTCGACTAGAGAAATTCCAAGAGAATTTATGAAGAATTAATCGACACAAGAAACAAACTCGTGAAAATTTTGGATGCCGATGAAGTTCTTGAATGATCATATCATTCGAGTGTTTGTATTGTCGTTGTTTTAGACGTGAACGAACCAAATGCATCCGAACATAGGATTGAATAGTAACAACAGCACGCATCATATCCGTATATAGTCGAGACAATTGTTCGGCATGATAATATTTCAAAAACACTTTACTTTTACCTTAAAAAGATCGTAAACAATCGATTTTTCGTTTTCGAAAGGATCAACACATACCCGTCGTCCAGTTTTGCATTTTTAGTTTATGTAAAATGTTTTCACATGTTTCTCGCGTTAAAGGTAAATCCATGGTCGTTGAATACGCAAGAATTGCGTAGCGTTGAATAAAGTTTGCGAATGGTATTCGATGTGAGAATCCATATCGACGAATTTTCGCCGCTAAAAAGCAACGCAAGAAAATCTTTCATGATGGCTTTCGAATATTTTCCTACCAGCTAGAATTCCACTGTATTTCAGTTGCTCAAGAACAGTTTGAGTATTGAAACAGCCTGGCATACGTTCATTGTTCGGTTTAAAACAACGAACAAATCTCGGCGAACCGTGTACCATTTTGGAGAAGAGATCGGTTAACGAATAACGAAAATATGTACTAACTGTTGCTTGCACACGATTATGGCTGGCATTCAAAGGCATCAATGTATTGTTGATATCGAAATTATTCGTCGGATTGTTTTCATTCAATGATGAAGTGTATCGTTGATTGTCATTATCTGGTAATGTACCGGTTTTGGTTAAGGAATATTGAAATAATGAACTGACTAATTGGACGTGAGATGCGCGGAGAACTTGGATGATTTCTGGTGCTAGATAATCGCGATTTTTTTCGAGAAAACCACGAGCGTCGTATTGAACTTGACCAGCGAAATGTATAATTGAAAATAATGGAATTGATTGCAGAGTTGATGATGAGGATGAGAGAGAATATTGTGAACTTGAGGAAAAATTCGATTTCGAGCGAATATATAACGGTGAATTGGAAAAATTCGCATTTAGTTTGTCAACCAATGTATAATCAGTTGCCTTTGGAAAACGACTCTCCTCGTCGATCAATGCCAAGATTCCGACCTAAATCAATACTAAACATCCGAATTGATCGAGAATTTTACTTACTGGTTTGTTTAGAAACATGTCCAACAATGGTCGATTGTCATAAAAGGTGAAATCCATCTTAGCTGGTAATGGGAGAACACTGAGGTTTTCATTGATGTATTCCTGTCTTTCGCATGCGAAGACATGTTGATTGAAATAATATTGAATTTGTTCATTGGCGATGTTAATGCACAATTGTTCGAATGTATTCGTTGAGAAGTTTTCAAAACCGAATATATCTAAAATTGCAATCTTCAATGCATCAGCATCGTTGTTTTGCTGGTGTTGTCTGTTGAAATTTGGATTTGTCGAGTGCATTGACGAGCTCAATGTCTCTAATGGCAAAGATTCTTGTTTAATTGATGGTAAAACATGTAATAATCGTGGAGACGAGGATTGCTTTGAATTAATCGAGAGATTATTCGATGATTGATAGTGTTTCTTCACATTGTTCTCAACAGTTTTCTTTCTTAATGCTAAATTCGTCTCGCTTGTCGCGCGATTAGAGAGATTGAATCGAGAATGATGAGCTTGAATGATTTTGTTGGACTTTTGTTCGACCACTTTCACGCAATTCGTTGATGAAGATGCAGCAACAACTTTAGTCCAGTTTTCAATCAAATTCCGAATGGGTTTCTCATTCGCTGACGAAGTATTTTTCGTCTTATGATTTAAATCATTGATTAAGTTCGTTGTATGAGAATTATTCGAGGGCATCGGTGTACTACTTGTACTGTTGTTGTTGTTATTATTCATATTCAAAAGATCATCGTCATCATCGTCATCACCATCGTCGTCGTCGTGGCTCATCGTTTGCAGTAAATAGGCAGATGAACCAGTGGTATCAAGGTAATCAAACGTGCGTTTCATAGCAAACATTAGCGTTGGTGGAGGATACGATGTAATGAGAAGAGGACTGGAATGCTGAGTTTCTTCTTCTTCTTCTTCTTGTTCTTCATGTTCTTCTTCCTCTTGATTGTTATTGTTGTTCGTATTGTAATTGTGATTTGAGTGAATGCTCGAATCATCATCAAATGAAGGATTGGTAGTATCAGCAGTTGGAGCGAGTAAGGCAGATATTCGATTAACAATCCAAGAAAATAGACGGTTGTAAACTAGAAAAGAATAAAAGGTCGAGAAGAAAATTTAATTGAAGAGATACTGACGAGCTTTTGCCATTGCATCGCGAGTTGATTGGGATTCTTGCAAGGTTGTTGAGCGTTGGATTGTTTCACCTCGTGTAACAATATTACAAGTGGTTAATGCAATGTCGAACTCAGTTATGTCAATCCCGAATAGTTCACAAACAATCTCGAGTAAATATCGATCGGATAAACATGTCTTTCCGTCGATGAAGTGTCCTTCATTTTGATGGAAATTGATGTTACCTAAATGTAGGAGACCAGCTAGGATTCGATAGATCGATTTGACTTCATCCGATTGGAAACCAATGATTTCAAAGCATTTTTCAATTGTCGCGAATTTTGATTTGAAACTGTCTGATAGATCTTGATTGTCTTGTAAGCCGGTTGTTAAGTATTGGTACGTTTGATTTGTTGAAAGATAAAACGCTTTTTCATCGTTAGGAGTTGAAGATGCTAAACCATGGAATAAATAATAAAAGATATGAAAATTCCTCTCCGAATGCCCTTGGTTAACCACACGAGTTTTCTCTAACAGATATTCGCATAAACGTGCGCCCGTCACACGTCCTTGCTTGGTAAATAACATTTCCAGATATTTACCAAATCGTGACGAGTTGTCATTGATGATTGTTCGAGCATTGCCAAAACCCTCGATCAAAGGATTAATTTGAAGAATTTTTTCCTGTAGACTTTTGTTGGGTGCATTACCAAGAAAAGTTAATTGTTTAACAAGGAAATTTGCCGATTGAGTTTTACCCGAACCACTTTCGCCTGATATAACGATATATTGGTTTTCTAAATCGTGTAGCATTGCTTGATAGGTAAAATCAGCTAACGCGTAGATGTGAGGTGGTTGTTCACTTTTCACACTGGAACGATAACGAAGCATGACATCTTTACCGTAAAATGGTAATGAACGAAACGGATTGACAGCCTACGTGAACGAAGAGTTTGAAAGATGACCTATTGAAGAGAAACGATCACTTACGACAAGAATATCACCGATGTATGTGTAGATTTGATTAGCTAAGAAGCGATCGTACATGTAGGTGATGATGGATTGTTCATCAAATGTTTCTAACTGTGCAAGATCATCGGTTGAGAAGGCCGCAGCTCGATGTGTCGATGGGAGATTGTTGGATTTGTCGGATGAATTTGCAGGATATGTTGAGTCGTATGTCGAATTGTAGAAATTGGTATTGTCGAGTTTTTTCGATGGAGAAGGATGGCAAACAGGAATGTTATCATTTATTGGCGGAATCGATTTGTTCGGGAGATTTGGAGAATTTGGATTTCGCTAAAGAGAGAAAATGAGTTTTCGGCTATCTGAGAGTGAAATGAAAAGCTTTACTGCATCTATGGACGGTTGTTGTTCTTGTTTCACTTGAGATTTTCGTTTTGTTTTATAAACGTTTGTCTGCTGTTGAATTAGATTATTTGCATCACTAAAGCAATGATTTTGATAGTGTCCATTTGCCACCGCCGATGGTTGCTGAGATGGTGCCATTGGTAAAAGTGGAGGAGGTGGTGCTGGACGTTTTTGATTATCTGCAATTTGATGTGGTGGATTGTACGGTTTTCCAATGACTTGTATGAATCGTTTTGGTGGTGGAACTAATTGTTCGGCGGCTGATGAGTTAGGTGCTTTTGTCACATCGACCGCTGTTGATGAGCATGTTTCAGATTTGCCTCGAATGCGACCATTCTTCACTCCACAAGTCTCACGAGATTTGTTTCCGGATAAATCATAGCAATGTTTGTATCGATGAACAATTTGTACGATGCGTCGACGAGCTTCGTTTCCGTCGGTAGGTATGTGTGTTATAAATGAATGACTTAACATTTGAGCAACTGTAGGTCTTGTCTCGAAGTCTTTAATCAAACATTGACGAATGAAATCATTGAAATCTTTCGACCAGTCCTGTGGTTGACGTAAAGTTGGAGGCGGATTCCGAGGAATCGATACCAATGCACGCATTGGATGCATATCAGCTAATGGAGGTTCACCTAGCAGTATCATACAAATGCTGATAATCGATTCTATTAGCAAAGAAAGTCATACCCTCAGCGATTTCGATTGCTGTAATTCCAGTTGACCAAACATCAGCACGTGTATCGTAATCATAGTCCATTTGTCTCTCACAGGCGATAACTTCAGGCGCCATGAAAAATGGCGTGCCGACAGAAGTATTTCGTCGGCCATTGTTTGGATTCAAATATGCACTGACACCAAAATCGATCAATTTGATATGTCCATCGCCAGTTATTAAGATATTATGACCTTTGACATCACGATGAACAACATTATTCGAGTGTAGATGATACAAAGCTTTTAATGTTTCACGTATGATGTAAGCAATAATCGATTCGTCCAAACGTTGATTTACTTTCAGTGTTGCTTTAGCTAAATCAGTGACACTACCTCCCGTACACAACTCCATAACTAACCAGAGTTGATCGAGTGGCAATGCTTGACACGCTGATTGAGGACTCGCAAGACTAGCGATAGAATTTGTCTCAATAGATAGCAGACTAGTTGTATCGACTGGAATGGATGGTGGCATAATGGGATTTCGCGGCGGTGGCAAAGGAGGATGTGGCGCACGTTTCAGATATGCCCCATAAAAACGACAAAGATTTTCATGATTTGACAGTTCGAGAAGAACACGGTGTTCTTGTTCGATTTCTTCAAGAACTTCATTCGTTGGATGCATAATTTTGACAGCAGCATTAAAATCTGGATTACGTACATTCTTCGCCTAAATGGGATACATAGTAGTTTTCTCTACCGAAGTTCGAAAGATACGTCGATAACTTACACGAAATACTTCACCATAGGTACCATCACCGATATTCTCGAGTAATTGCCATTCGCGATCGGGTGCTGGTAGATCATCAAGTCGAAAAACACTACTGTTATTTTTATTATTAGTTTGATGATTAGTAGATACTAAAATAGACTGTGTATGTTGTCTTGATGATGGACGTGAATGAGTGCGAGGTGGAATTGGTGGAACCGGATCGAGTAATAAATGATGTGACATTAATTCCTGCTGCTGCTGATGTTGCTGATGATGAAGTAAATGTAACATCTAGATATTGAATAAAAAGAAAATAGATATAAGAAGGAAGTTCACGTCACTGACTATCAATCAAGAATAGTATCACAAGAATTAGAAGATAATGGATATTGTTCTCTTATCGCATCGGTCAGTTGACGTCGTCTACCGTTCTCTACTTCCTCCTTTCTGCTTCTCTAATCCATTTGATCAACAAGGCCACGCCTAATTGACCAACAAATCATTAGTTCGTACATGTATATCACCAATTAATTTGTCATCTACTCCAGAGAGACAGAGAGAGAGAGATGTTGACAGAGACGTCGCATTCGAAACATCACTGTTTGTACGCTCTCCTATGGATGTGAATATCAATTAAGTCAAATAGTTTCTCTATCTCATTGTAGACAAAAGAAAAACGAACTGTCGAAGATTAGTAAATATCTTCACTTTCGACTTGCATAAAGCGTACGCATACATAAGCAAAAGTCAATAGTAGAAAAAAAACAACAATGATCTTTAATTCGTTTATCTACATGGAAGAGAACATGATTGAACAATGTTTAGGAATAAGACAAGGATCAAGACAATAATCAAGACAATAATCGATACTAATCTCTGATAATGAATAGTCAATTATTGATATTAGAGAACACATTTGTCATTTTCGTCTCACAGTATAATGACGTGCACATGACTGTTGTGTTACTCATGTATTCAGCTGAAATCACGTTGTTTTCTTTTCTCTTATTAACAGACAGTAGACACCAGACGAAAAAACATTGATAATTCTTCGACCTATTTTGACTTATATAGACAAAAGAACATGTCAACACATGTAACGTAAAGCTCTTCGTCTATCTAATAAGAAGTAATACAAACTACCGAGATGGTGTGGTACGAATGGACATGAATTTGATGTTGAGTGAAATTTTGCACTAGGAACATCATTTTACATCGACCGGAACCCGTACGCGAACATCAATGAATACCGGAAAAATTAAAATATACAAAACAATTTTGTTCTCATCCTTTCGTATGTTGATCAACATCGAATGTTTTCATATGAATGTGTGAAAATGACATATATTTCCGGTTCGATCGAGCAATCTCCTTTCAGCTTTCTTCACACATAGCAAAACGAAAAGAAAAGTCCAGTTGAATCTATAAATAATGAGACTGTCGAGTACTGTAAGACAATAATGACTTGCAAAAAAAGTAAAAATCATTGCGAAAATCTGTTTTATGATACATCCATGTCAAATACAATGTTCTTATGGGCAATATAACCAAGAATAGATTGATGTAGACGCCCTCTATTGGGTACCGTTTTATCAAAAAATTGTATATGATCCATCCAACCTATACCTTTAACACCGTGTTGAAATTGTTCTTTGAAACAGAACAAACGAACGAACGAGCGAGCGGGCGAGCAAGGCCATTAACATATTGAAGAAAGAGTGCCCTGAAAAAATGATTACGTTTTCGACTTTGATTCACTTGTTGACAGCATTTTTAGATGATTTTTCATCTCACCACTCTATTAACTTTCTCCACTCTATCTCTCGTCTCATCACAAATACTAGGTAAGTACGACTAAATATGCTTCATAACGCGCTCATTGCTCTGTGCATGCTATGATTGATTATAATAATCGTGATTTTTTTTCACATAAAAAAGAATGTCCGCATGGCTGGCAAGAATTTAGTGGCACTGCTTCATGCTACCGATTTGTTCGTTTTCCAAAAGAAACCTATAACGATGCTGTTGCTCGCTGTCCGGTTGGTTATTAATAACAACTAGAATAGATCGTATTACGAATTCTTATTTCTTATGCATTTAGACTGATCTCTTGAGTGTTGAATCCTTTCCCGAACATTTATTCATCCAAGATTGGTTAAATGCAAATGATCCTTCTTCACAACTCTGGTTGACAAGTGGCAGACGAAACGGACCGTTTTGGCAGTGGGTGAAAAGAACTGGTATATCAAATCTTCAATTTGATCAGGGATGGTTACCAAACACTCAAGCGGAAATACAGCTACGACTATTTATCGTCTATGCTTATCAAAGTATGTTGGTATGAACTGTTGACAACATCTTTACTGTGTTGTTTTAGGTAGTCAATGGGGTTGGTTACCATATGATCTAACATCGGCAGATGTTGTGCCATACGTTTGTGAAGTGCCGATTCGAGATACGTATAGTATCATGGATAATTATCGTAGCATTGGTAAGAATTTGAATGAATGTATACGAATGTGTTTTATTGAAATTCTTTTAGAATATGGTTTACCGTCGAATATTGAACAACAGTTCGTTCCTCGTGCACCGAAATTTTTTGAACAACCACAGGATCAAGAGTTCGGACGAATTGATCAAATAACATTGGGCAGTGGAAGTACATTTGGCATCAGTAAATTATCCATATCGATTGTAGTTACATTGACATGTCGGGCTGATGCATATCCAGTGGCTGATTATTAGTATGTAAACAACTGAATGAGTGAAAGTCGAAGAGAAAAAAGAAATCGTTTTTAGTTGGTTTCGTATGACGACAGGTGTGATTTCTGAGGCTGTTCTCATCAATTTAAATGATCCACGTTATTTCCAACATGGTGGAAATATATTGGTAATACGATTTCAAACTGTCGTGAATTTAGCAAGTCGATGAACTTATTTTATCGTGTAGATTAATAATCCGACGAATGAAGATAGCGGAACTTATTTTTGTAAAGCAAGTAATTATTTTGGCACAGCGATTAGTAATCGCGTTTATCTACGTGAAATAAGTATGTGGAGTTAATTTTGTTGTTGATGATAAACAAAGAACACGTTTGATTTTAGCCGTTGGACAATTTGAAAAGCGTGAACGACCAAAAGTTATCGCCGATGGTCATCGTGATGCTGTGATTGATTGTTTATACAAGAATTCCAATACAGGAAATGTATGTAATGACGAATCAGTTCGAAAAGAAGAACCTTTTATTTGATTTTTAGCTCAATTATGCTTGGTTTAAAGGTTCAATTAATCAAAAAGTTCAACAATCTGCCGAACGGTTTATTTCCCGGAATGGAAATTTATATTTCTCACGTGTTACTGATGGTGACTCCGGCAAATATTACTGTGCCGTCCAAGCAGAAAATACACGTCTCCGTTATTTACCATCTCAAACGAGTGAAGGTACAGAATTGGATGTTCGTTCCACGTTCGGCCAAGAGCGTAGTCCACGTATCTTTCCAAACTTTCCTCATGTTTTCCCTACCACACATTTACCTCGATTGGGTGAGAACGCCACGATTGAATGTATTGCTGAAGGCTACCCTGTTCCGACTTATCGTTGGTTTCGCGAAGATGAAGCTGGAGATATTTTTCCATTACAATCGAAAATAATCTTGAATAATTTCAATCGCGAACTGATTATTCCGAATTTACAGCGTGATGACATGGGTTTATATCGTTGTGAAGTATCGAATACACGAGCCGTTATTTTTCAATCTGTTTCTTTACAAGTCCAAATCGATCCGGTATTTGTCGTGCCGCTCGAAGATCAAATTCTCGACGTGGGATCAGTTTTACAATTCTATTGCGAAGCGTATACAAATGAAATGGAACTCTTACGTTATTCGTGGTTTATCAATGGAACTGAAATTTTCTGGGATCGACTAACCTTCGTTCAACAACAGCGATTAACAATAAGTAATAATATTCTAATCATTTCAAATGTTCAACCCTTCGATAACGGAATTTATCAATGTGCAGCAACAAATACCCAAAATAATGTTCAACGTTTCAGTGCAGCCGAAGTTCGTGTTATCACACTGGCACCGACGTTCGGTAAACATACCATGTTGTCAACATTACGATCGAATGTTGGTGGTCTTGTAACGATTATTTGTCACCCGGAAGGCGCACCTCAACCACAAGTACAATGGTATAAAGATACTATGCCATTGAATCTTGGAAGTAATGCTCAAATGTTTCCAAATGGAAATTTAGTGATTACAAATATTCAATTAATGGATGCCGGTAAGCTGTTCGAATCGAGACAGACAATTTTTTATAATCCTTTGTTTCGTCAATCGACTTTTATGAGCAAAACTCAATTTTGAATATATGATTATATAAGTTTATTTCTTTTCTTGTTCTGTCATATGTCTGTGTGTGTTTTAGGTAATTATACCTGTGTGGCAACAAACATATATGGTGTTGCACAACAGAGTACGTATGTTTATGTAATGCCTGAGGGTACAACGATCATCTCGACGCCAGGCGGACGAGATGTGATACTTAATCAAACAATCATCATTCCATGCGAGGCTCGCTCAATGAACCAAATGGATTTAACGTATTATTGGCGTTTTAATAATGAAATTTTAACTATTGATAATAAACGCTTTCGACAAGATAACCCTGATCGTCCTGGTGATTTACGTGTTGTCCAAGCTCAATATAGTAATGCTGGTCGTTACACATGTGTAGCACAAACAACTGTAGATGAACAGAGTTCGTCCTATCAATTAAATGTTTTCGGGCCACCTGGTCCTGTAGCTGGAGTTCGTTGTAGTCAACCATTTCAACGACAAGTAACACTATCCTGGGTTGTCGGCAACGAACATGGTGCGCCGATTTTGCACTATACCATCGAATCCTTGTCGAATCGTCGATCTTGGTGGGTATTTCATGGGAATTTTAGTATACCATTAACCGCAACCAAGTATATGTCGATGACATTGACTGGCTTGTCAGCATTCACAGACTATCGTTTTCGTATCTTTGGCACGAATATCTATGGTTCGGGTGAACTATCAGAAATTTCCTCACCGTGTGTCACTCAGCCGGATATTCCTGGCTTGGCGCCTGCTGGATTGGGTGGTGGTGGAGGTAAAATTGGTGATTTACGCGTTGCTTGGGAGCCGTTGCCAATGGATTTTTGGAATGGACCTAATCTAACATATCGAATTTACGCACAAAAGCAAGGAGAAAATCGACAGCAAATATATACAGTGCTTGATCCACTTCGAAACTTTTTTATTACTCATCTGTGAGTGAAATTGCTCTACAATCCTTTCTTTGAACCTTCTTTGTCTGAATCTTTCTCTAAATAGGTCTGATAAGCTGTACTATTTTCCATACAATGTTCGTATTTCTGCTGTGAATGCTCTCGGCGAAGGTCCCATATCTCCTAATGTCACGATTCGATCTGCTGAAGATCGTCCAGCACGTCAAGTACTCAATGTCAAATGCAATCCATACAATAGTACAGCAATGACTGTCACTTGGGATATGGTCGATGAAAATGATTACAAAGTCTTACGAGGTCGTTTACTCGGTAATGATATTTGAATACATAACATTAGAATTTTTATTTTTACCTGAATTATTTTACTTCTTCTTTTCTCGCAGGTTACAACGTTCGCTATTGGCGTGTTGGTCTTGATGAACTTGAGAATTATTGGGAACGTCGTTTTCCTGGTCAGCGTTCTCGTGCGACTATCATTGGTCTTGAATCGAATGTCGAGTATAACGTCCGTGTCTCCGTCTATACTCAATTTGGTGATAGTCCCGAAAGTAGTATTTATTCCCATCGAACATTTCGTTTACCACCACTATTGCCGCCACAATACATCTCCATTCGACAGCCTCGACGTGCGAAAGATCAGCGTGTACGATTGTTTGGTAATGTTTATATGTATAAACTCGAAGTCGAATGGCGAGGAATATTTACTTCGTCAGATGAAGAACCTTTGGAAGGTTATATGGTACGAAGAACTTCATTGAGATTGACTTTTCATAGTCGAAACGGACTGATTGCTTTTCTATAGGTCAAAGTTTGGGAACACTATCAAACGATTCGTAATGCATCGATTTACTATGTCGATGGATCACGGTATAAAGTAATTATCGATAATTTATACGTGAATCGAAATTATAAATTACGAGTGCAAGCTTGGTCACTTGGTGGCGAAGGCAAATATTCGTCACCGGAAAAAGAATTTCGATTTGGTAAGTTCAGAAAGTACTTTTCCTCTCATTCATATTTCAAATCCATTGATCGTTCTAGACAGTGACGGTCGTTTATTAATTCGTAAGTAAAACTTCTTCTTCTTCTTCTTAGGTAAACCTTATGTCTATCTTACCTTTAGTCTATAATCCCGATACAAGTCTTCTCTATCATAACAGTGTTTCAAAGCAATATCCATCTTCAGTGATATGGTTTATTTTTGTCATAGTTTACACTATTTATCACGACAAATAGAATGTGTGTCTCATGGAAATTGCAATCAGATTTGCAGTTTATGTATATATAAACTCATATCTTTCTCTCTGTGCTCTTGTGTGATGATCTTCTCATTTTTTATTGAAAATATTTCTATTTTAGTCTGTTTGTTCCTTCTTGTGATCATTTTATTGTAAGAATTCTATTGACATTAGAGTTGTGCAAATCTTTGTGATTACCACTGTTTTGTTTTCTTTCTCATCGTATTTGTATTGAACAGTTTTTATTGCAACTCTACTCGCTTTTTTAATAATAGCCTATCGAATCTTTAGGAAGGACGTGAATTTTTTTAGTATCTCATTTGCTGCTAAGGATATAAGAGATTATTTGAGTTGATTAATTTCCTTTCCCATTGAGGACGTATGGCGCTTTTGGGAGCGCGATTTCCTGAAAAGAAATCTTCCAGGATCGGAGTCATATAACAGCTTCAGATAAAACAAAAGTTCATAATCCATCGATGCTGTGAGTTTGAAATAATGAAATATCAACTATGTGCTTTATTTGTGACACATCAGGGAAAATCAACAAAGGAACTAATCGACAAATACAAAAAAAGAGTAATTCTTCGTTTTCTTTTTCATGACTTATTTGTTCAACTAATGTCACAGACGTTTTATTAACTGTTCGTGACAAATCATACATGGTCACAGCAGGCTGACCGTATATCCCGCGGAATACTAGATTCTGCTTTGACGAAGCAATGTCGAAGAATTTTTTGTCAATGGAATATTTTAACATTGCTATTGCGAGTTTAAATATTAGTTTTGAGTCCTCTTCACCTCCATTGTATATAGATCGATAATTTGAGTTGAGATAGCATAGACGTTATTTAATCGAGTCTGAACTGTGAAGTTGATTTTATATGTAAATTATGTCGAGAATTATTCAACGAAGAAGTTTAGTTGAATAGATCAAAGTCTGAAGATTATTTGAACATCTGTAAAGTAATACGTCAGTGGCTTTGCTTTAGTTTTAATATTTGTTTTCAAAAATAATAAATCAGACGTTTCCACCATGATACACAAGGCAATATGAGGGAAAATGTCGTTCGCCGGAATTGTGAAGTGCAACATTCATGTCGGATCTTCAATTAACGAAAGTAATAGTTCAAAACGCGAACAATTCAACTGGATCGTTTTGATTTACAAAGAGTTCAATGAGTGATATGCATTCTTGAGTGTTCCTTCTTTTGCTGTTTTTCCTCCGCCGCATTGACAAGTCAATGATGTTATTTTTAATTTCTTCGTTACAAAAAAAAAATTTCTTTTTACAAAAATTGAAGGAATGTGTGTTATCAGAGAAAGTATACTTCGGGCAGCTTTTGAATGGGCATTGACCGAAGTATACCTACATGTTTGTTGTTTATAGTTCATTTAAGATGTCTACCTATACATTCAATACTTGCATGATTATCATGCATGATCTCTTTCTCAAAATGACACACTAATTTACTAAAAGCAATATATATATGTGTTTCTTTTTTTACACTTTCTACTTGCGTTTTCTTTCGGTTACCAATAAAAAGCTATTCGAGCAAACTTATCTATCTAATTTCCTGGATTGACAGAAATATACAATAAACACAAAGGAAGAAACTATTTCCCCTGACGACTTCTCTTCCTCTCCCCTCTACATCATCGTCATCTTTCATTTCTCCAACAGGTACGTCTTCCTTCTTCTCTTCTCTCTCGATCTTCATCATTCAAATCGCTCTTCTTCTTCTTCTTCAAATAACTATCCATGCTCTATCATAATCACGATCACTCACTACACCTCCAACAACATCCTACTGATTATCCATATTCCTATCAATACACACCAAAAACAAGTGTTCAACAACGACCATTGCATTGGTGTATCATTCTCATCTCCCTTCTCTTCGTTTTTCTTCTCGTCATCGAATCTGTTGCATTTGTTGTGCTCGGTGCCTGGCATCTCACCAGTCGACTTGTCGAAACAGTTAATCTGCCGTTCTTCGATGAAATCTACCATCGTGAACTTGCTTTTGGTATTATTCTTGTTCTCATCGGAGCTGCAGGTATTTTCATGAGTATTCTGGGTCTCGTGGCTTTCTTCACTCTTCGATTGTTGTTACTACGAGCAGTAAGTGGAGGAGAATGTTTCGGATGAGTGACTGATGTGTTTGTTTGTAGTTTGCAGTGTGTCTTTTGGTGGTGATGACGGGTGGAATAGCGAGTGGCGTGGTTGGAATCGTGTTCTCGTGTATGAAAAGTGACTGATTTGTTGAGTAATGTGAGATATGTTGTGATTATTGTAGCACAAGTAAATGGATATATTGAAGAGATGAGAAAATCGACAGTGGTTGATGAAAGTGTAAGTAACGATGTGGTGGGAGAGAAAGATGATGATTTGTTGTTGTTGTACATTTTAGTATGCGGAAGCGAAATTTATGTTGGGAATGAACGGCGGTTTATCATTATTTATGAGTTTAACATGGGTAAGCCAAACACGAAGCGATCGAGTAAAAGAATGCGATGCTATTGTTTGTTTGATTGATTAGATAATCGGAATTGTGATTGTTCAATGTTTGACGAAAGATGTGAATATTTATGCAAGTGATCACATATATCGTCGTACATAATAAAGAATTCGTGCATATATACGAATAGCAGGAGAAAAGGACAACGTGTAAATGCAGTTGTATGTTGAAATATAATGTTTTTTTTTATATAATAAAATGTCAGAAAAGGAGAAATGTCTTTGACATTAGTTAACCAGCTTACATCATTGGACTTGATATGTATATACTTGCATGTGATAAGGATAAAAATATATATGCTGATGACAAAGTCTAATGCATGAGATATCGGTCATCAGTAAACGTCAAAAATGTCAACACCTGATGATACATATAGGAAAGAAAGAAGGGTAATTGAAGGAAAAGAATGTTGTCTTATGTAAGTAATATTATTCTATATAAATCCACATATATTTATATTCTATTGTTAGAAAACGAATATCATGGTCTTGATCCTATTTCTGCTGACGTTGATCAATTTGAATTTGATAGTTTCGACGAATCCTGCACCACCACCCTTCTTCGATCTAGCATTAAATATTGATGGTATTAGTAATCAATTTCGATTTATCCAAACAGCCAAATCGGCTGAGAATCGACACGTTCCATCAGTTATTATTCTTGATGATGATCAAAATCCGACGATCTTCAATTCACCTCATCCATCTTCACTTCAAACGTTTCACGTAGAGTCCGACGGAGCCGCTGTCGGTTTCGCCAGTGTAACTGATAGTGCTACTTCCAATCCCAGTCTCCTGTACGCTATGATTCAAACATCAAGCGGTTCTATTTATGACATTGCTCCATTGATAGCACCAGAACAAAGCAGAAGTAAACGATCCTTAACAAATCCCTATATAATTCGCACCAAAAATTCCATTGTTAACCATGCATACATTACAATTGAATGGAATAATTCTCGTAGACGTCGCAGAGCCGATGATACCAACGAAACTGAAGTAACAATAACGACAGAATCGGAAACCGAAAAAACTCGGCTGCCGGCATCTGAGTTCACGGATGCATTTACCTTGCCTGCTATAACAATGCCTGACACAATTGAAAACATAACTATACCTTCTGCTGAGAACGACACAGAACTGTTCATCAACATGACCATGGAAACGACAACACCACGGCCGATACCTGAAAAAACTCGTCATATCTACTTGGAAATTATCGCGGTGATCGATAGTTTAATCACCAACGATCTCCGAGCTTTACTAAACAAAACAGAACTTGAAACAATTGAAATTCTGAAATTATATTACATTCATATATTCATGAGTGTGGAACAACTTTATCGGCAATCCTTAATTTACGAAACACTTGATGTTCATATTCGTTTGAACAAGATCATCTTCGCTACTGACAAACATCGTCTTCCATGGGAATCGTTCAAAAACATTTCATCGCTTACGAACGCCTATCGAAAAGCACCGAATGACATCCATATACGACCAAATATTAGTATGGATCTTTTGAAATCGTTGCACAAAGCTTACACAACCGATAAATTTGATAAGCGATTCTTCACGAATGAAGCTGATCATATCATGACTTTTACTCGCGTAGATCTCATTGATGGTGCTGGTTCTGCTTATGTGTTAGGGGCGTGTTTACCTTTATATAAATATTCGATTGTTCAAGACGATCTGAATTCGTTTTCGGTGATTATTACAGTAACACATGAACTGGGACATAATTTAGGTTTGGATCATGATGAAATCGAAAATACATGTAACGATCCACAATTTCGATATATCATGTCGCCGAAAAACATGAACACAGCGGATCGTCGTCAATTACCGAACTTTTCCGAATGTTCCATTGCTCAATTGAATCGTTTTGCCGATAATACAAGTACAACATGCTGGAAAAATTCTATAATTAGCACAAGAAATGATACAAAATTAGGCAAATTACGAGAAATTATCTCGACAAACCTAGGCCAAATCGTGAGTGTTCACCAACAATGTCAATTACAGTATGGATTAAAGGCTATTCCATTTATTTCGGTCACATACGCTAGTAAAAGCCACTCATTATATGAACCAAATCTTTGCAATCAATTGCGATGTTTCAAAGAACCAGAAGACAATTATATGTTTTGGCAAGATGGCGCATTCGATGGTTTGATTGACCTTCTTATTTCATATAAACATCTTTCGCTTTATTTTAGGAACTTCGTGTGGTGAAAATCAAGTCTGCTATCAAAAACAATGTGTATCAACTAATCAAACAATGAACGAAACCGATTTAGCTCAATGTCCTTATGGAGATTTGTTCGTACCAATACCAATGTTGAATCTAATGGATAAATACACATCAGGGAATATGTTATGTGCTGACGCGTTAGATCTCCTTCGATCACGTGGATTGAATGTAACCCATTTATGCTACGATTCGACTTTTCCTTTTCGTCGATTGTGTTGTGAAGAATGCAAGAAGTAATTAGACAACACGATGATTATTAAAAACACAGTTGTTCGTGTTTAGACATCTAATTCCTGAATGTGGAGATCATCATACTCGATGTCCTATGTTTGCAGAATATTGTGACAAACAATATATGCGTATTAATGGAGTGCCGATTACAGAACTATGTCCTTATACTTGCGGCCAATGTCCTCATTTGCCTCCACCACCTAAATCTACGACGACAACGACGACGACGACAACTCCAGAAACAACCGTAGGTTCATTGTCTTCGGAACAATTCAATTGATAGGAAATTTACTTTTAGACTTTGAAGAAAGTCTTGACTAAAAAGAAAACTGCTACAACAAGAAAACCGAAAGTGACTACACCAAAACCACGAAAGTATATTAAACCTAAAACATTCGACAAATATACATGCATCGACTCCGCGGACTGTTCTCAACTCGTTAAAGTTTACTCCAAGCTAAAGAAGAACGTCAAAAACTGGTGTACAGAACACTCCACAATGCATCAAGGCAAATATTTTCCTGAAGTCTGTCCGAAGTATTGTTCATTGTGTAACATCACATCAGAATGTGAAGAAAAGAAACTATGCCGAAATAATGGTACGTGTATTCAAAATGAACACGGAACATATCAATGTTTATGTTCAACATCGAAATTGTACTATGGAACTTTATGTGAATACCGACGAACGTGTCTGGATAATCCGTGTGCAAAAGGAGAATATTGTTTTCAAACGCGAGGTGAAAATTATGTGTGTTTATCAAAAGAAGATAAAGAACAAATGCGTATTATTTTAAATGAGAAAAACTAGTTTCTTCGATTTTGTTTTGCTTTCAGAGAAAGAATTTATACAATAAGAAAGAAAATTTGAAATAAAACACATGGAATTATATAGATTGAGTTGAGTATATGAGCAGAATTGTTTACTCGGCGATGGTATCGATATGGTCCTATATTGGGACCGAAATAATCAGTGCGAGGTATTTTCCATTTCGGTGTGATGTTTTTCGTACGATTCCGTGCCGCGGTTGTTGTGTTCAATGGTGGTGTTGTTAATGGCGCACATGAGACAGTATAGTTCGATGTTAATTCTTTAACGAGAGAAACAATTGGAAATTTTCCATGATTACACAATTGACCAGCGCTATCGTCGAAATTAACGGGAAAGATTACAATACCGCCGAGACGTTGTTCTTTGGCATAGTTGATCTATTTGTAAAGGATAAGTAAGAGCTTTGAAAGACATTTTCTGATACATACTTTGAGTTCCATACTTTGAAGATCGTCGTAGCCAATGACTTCATCGCCTAGGTAATCATAAAAGAGAATGGAATGATCTTTGTGGAAGAATTAAAGTTGACCTTTAGTCATGATTGGAACTTTTCGATCATCGAGAAAAACACGTTGCCAACCAGAATTGGTATTTCGGCAAAGCTACAAAAAATCCAAGTATACAATTGAATTTTCCATCAAAATGTTTCACTTCTGTATAAGGGACACTGCCAACACTCGACGCAGGACTGCCAAGATCATGCAAATCACTTGTTAAACGAAATTTTTTTCCAAACGTTGGTAATCCAAGTGTTAGTTTTGACGGCTCAATTCCCGTTCCGACAATGTATTTTATCGCTGAATCCTATTAAAGAACATTTTATGTTAGGGATGGATCATCTACGAAATGCAAGTATATCGAACTTGATTTAAATCTTTATCTTCATCTGTAGCACTAGCAGCCGGCATTAATGCACTATGATGTTCAGCAACTTTATCACGCGAACCACGATAATCATATGTTTGAACGTTAAGCCAATCAGCACATCTATGAGTGTCGATATATATATATGCAAAAAATTGTCAAAAAATGAGAACTGACTTTGCAAGTTCGTCTAATTCAAAACGTGATTCCAGTTGTTTTTTCACTCCGGAGATCGTAACTGTCAGTAATAAACGTGTTCGACCAGTTCTTGCTGCCTCTTCGGCATATTCTTCTTGCAAATCCTATTTAATAGAAAAATTCACTGCTTAGTTTGCTTTTGATTTTGGTCTTACTTTACAGAGTACGGTAAATCGTTTTTTATCTTCGATAACTTGTGGATTGGGTGATGATGGCGGTCCTAATGCTTCACTTGGTTCAAAATTCAAATCAATTCCATCAAAGTCATGTGTTCGCAATAATTTCGTAGTTGAAATAACAAATTTTTGCCGAAATTCATCTTTCGACATCATCTCATTCGCTCGTCGAATCACATAATCTTGCCCGCCGACCGCCAACATGACTTTCAAATCCGGATCCTTATTATTCTTAAACTCTTTCAACGGATTATTCCATACTCCTACAAAATATACCATAGTTAACACACAATCCCAAATCGTTTACTTTACCAGTGAGTGTATTATCATCTTCAACTCGAGCGAATGTGTAAACAATATGTGTGCAATTCTTTGCTTCTGGATGAATGCCAGTCCACGATGAAAAATAGCATATGATTTTGAATTCTCCCCCGCAATCTGCGTTTACCAACGAGAAAACTAAAGTTAATAGTAATAATGTCACATTCATTGTCGATATGATGGCCAGTGAATGACTTTGACCGAACGTAACAAAGAATGAGGGTGAAAAAATACTGTAATCGTCATTCGTTGTCATCGAAAAGACTTTACATCCCACAGACAATGAATTACGTTGCGATGATTTCGCATCCCGTTCATTAAATAAATATAGGCTCAAACGATTAGTTCGTTTCTTTTTCTTCTTTCATCGGAAGAACATGTTCACATGAATGTTACACTATTGACTAAGACTATCATACCAAAGAATTTCATTGACTCGAAAAACAACGTCGATAAATTGCTTTCATGAATTCACCCCGATTCACTTTTCAGATTATATAAAACAAAATCAACAATGATCAATCAAATCAAGGCAGCACATCACCTCAATTTACCTTTCTGACGAAAAATTGTACAAGGAAATTTACAAATGAATAAAAATAACTTCTATAAAATATTCGAAAACTTTGAATCTGATTAATCGAATCTAAATTTTTCTTTAGAAGTTCATATGACGTGAATTTTTTTTTAAACTTGTAACATTCATATTTCAAGTTGATCAATGCACGTATTATGTAATGGGTGATGAAAAAGAACTTTTGACGGAGAATCTTCCCTAAGTTGTTCATATATTCGTTGCCGAAGTGCGATGACTTTTGTGGATCATATAGTAAACTCGTGTGGTCTGCTTCTGAGTTTTCATAACGTGAAGATGACAAGTTTGCACGATATTTTACATCAGTATTCAATGCTTTCCAATCTTTTCCGTGAACTTAGAAAAATATTGTGCAAAGATCGGATGCCTGGTGAGCAGATGAACTTTCTACTTCATTTGTGTATAAAAGAAGATAAGTCAGTTAGTGTTTTCATGCAATGCATATCTTCTTATATGTCATAGGCAAATCATGACAACTGTCATTTTATGCTGCTTGAGGAACTAATAACAGTGAAAGGAAAATGATTTCTAGTTATATAATTAAATGAGAAGTAGAAACATTGACTTTCTCGACGGTATATCATATAGAATGAATATGACTTTGTGAGTATTTCTCTTTTGATTAGTAAGTGCCTATCTAATAGGCGTAACAGTTAGTCAAGTAATCTGCTACCAAGAGGTTGACGTTTTTCATAGTTCAAACTAATAATTTAATAATATATAGAGAGATTTCTGAGAATCTCATCTGCAGTTATATGTTATAATTTATACTTTCATGCCATCTTTTTAATGATATAATAGCGCTCAAAGCGTTATTCCGATGCATCTATCGATGATTGACATATTTGCATCAGTGAAAAATTTCGAGCGCATAAAAATAAAAAATTCTATTTGAAGCAACGCATAAGAATTGCTATTTAAGATGTAACATATGACTGAACATGAAAGTAATGATTTCCATCCGTTCAAGAAAGAAATAATGCAAAGTGCTCGTGGGATGTTCTATTTCTGGAATAATTTCCTTCTATCTTCGAAAAAATGGGTACAATGGAAATTCTTTTCAATTGGCTCTATTATTATGTCATAGACAATATTATTATTATCATTGGAAAGCCGTATTTCTCTGCATGACAGAACAACAGTCTTTTGTGACTACCGTCTGGTTGTTGAGAACTGTTCCAAAACTTTCTTTTCATTTTCTTCAACAAAAAATTCTAATTGCATGTGTATATATATTCTATTTCTTCTGTGTAAATATTCATGGACATATCACATCTATAAGTGATTCTCGTCTTTTTTCCTCTTCAAAACATATGTCAAACTAATCTACTTAGGTTCTTTGTCTTTCACTTCAGCGTAACTCTATCTTTTTTCGGCAAAAAGTGACAAGCTGCTGAACCAAATTTATTTGCCTGATTTCTTAGGCTAGCAGGAACACACAACTAGTTCAAAAAAAGAAATTCTCTTCCTCCAGATCTTTTCCTTTTCCCCCTCTACATCATCGTCATCTTTCATTTCTCCAACAGGTACGTCTTCCTTCTTCTCTTCTCTCTCGATCTTCATCATTCAAATCGCTCTTCTTCTTCTTCTTCTTCAAATAACTATCCATGCTCTATCATAATCACGATCACTCACTACACCTCCAACAACATCCTACTGATTATCCATATTCCTATCAATACACACCAAAAACAAGTGTTCAACAACGACCATTGCATTGGTGTATCATTCTCATCTCCCTTCTCTTCGTTTTTCTTCTCGTCATCGAATCTGTTGCATTTGTTGTGCTCGGTGCCTGGCATCTCACCAGTCGACTTGTCGAAACAGTTAATCTGCCGTTCTTCGATGAAATCTATCATCGTGAACTTGCTTTTGGTATTATTCTTGTTCTCATCGGAGCTGCAAGTATTTTCATGAGTATTCTGGGTCTCGTGGCTTTCTTCACTCTTCGATTGTTGTTACTACGAGCAGTAAGTGGAGGAGAGTGTTTCGGATGAGTGACTGATGTGTTTGTTTGTAGTTTGCAGTGTGTCTTTTGGTGGTGATGACGGGTGGAATAGCGAGTGGCGTGGTTGGAATCGTGTTCTCGTGTATGAAAAGCGACTGATTTGTGGAGTAATGTGAGATATGTTGTGATTATTGTAGCACAAGTAAATGGATATATTGAAGAGATGAGAAAATCGACAATGGTTGATGAAAGTGTAAGTAACGATGTGGTGGGAGAGAAAGATGTTGATTTGTTGTTGTTGTTGTTGTTGTACATTTTAGTATGCGAAAGCGAAATTTATGTTGAGAATGAACGGCGGTTTATCATTATTTATGAGTTTAACATGGGTGAGTTAAAGAAAACAGGAAAACGTGGTAGTTGATTCTTTATGAATTTGTAGATTATGGGTATAGTGGTTGTTCGATGTTTGACTGGAGATGAGAATGTCACTGCCAATGATCGTCTGTACAGTCGATCACAATAGCACGACGATGAAAAGTAAAATATAGTTATTAGATACCAGAAAGAAGAAGTCTCGAAGATTTATAAGCTGTTATCAGATTATTCCATTGAAATGTTCATGGGTCGTATCAATATCCGGATTAAAAACTCATAAATCGATTTGTTTTTCTATCACAAAATGTATATAATCCAAACGTGTGCTACTTTATCAGGTTAGATCAATTGCAAGAAATTGTAACTCTGTTTTAAATCTTAAAAGATTACAAAATGAATTCGAATAAAACTACTTAACGGATACACATTTTCGCCTTCGAAATTCAATAAAAATAAGAAATCAACAGTCTTTTCAAAACACTTAATTACTTTTATATGTAATACCAATCAGGTCTTGTTTAAACTTTATTCAACAAAAGATCGATATGAATACAGTTTTGCGAGAGGAAAGAGATTTTGCAATGTTGATAAAATTACTCGTCTGTCCGCCGTTAAACATATCATTGTACTATTAAGAAATTCTCTTATGTAATCTTTCCCAAGTTGCCTATTTCCTAACGACTGTGTTACACAATAATATATGCGGATATTTGTGTAGAAGACTTCAAAATCTTGCTTTTAAACGCATATCTTTGCTGAATAATGTGCAGAATGAAAACATTTTCCACGGTTTGATTCTCTTCATTAGTTTCCTTGTCCCCTTCAACATAGTAGGTGTAGCGTGACTTATTAATACAAAAAAAAAACTATGTATAAACATGTCATCAACGTTGTTTGAGGTTTATTTTTTATATACATATGTATATAACAATACAAATTCAACTAGAAATATGACATCACAAAAAGAGAACGAAATTTCAGGAATTTAATCTATTTCATCCGACGGATCTGCACGTACAAAATACAATTCTTTGGTATCATAATCTTGCTTCGATTTCTTCATTGACTCTATTCGTCAATTCAGGAAGATCATCTCTCTGTTTCAGAAACTCGATCCATTGTTCAAGTGAACATGTATGAAAGAGATCCGTTGCAAAACGATGATCATCACAAGGATTGACAATGACCAATTTTTCAATATTCATTGTACATCGCACATTGACTAATTTTGTTTTTGCATCACGTATAAGATTTCGTTCATCTTTCAATTCGCGTCTCGTACAAAAATTACTAAATCCCCACGAGAAGTTATTCGATGGAAATGCTCGTCGTTGTGTACATTTATTATTAAACATAATAAGTGATGGCTTGGTAGTTGTTATCATCGAGATTGTATACGAAGTTATCGCACACGGAGCACCATCAGTCAATGTTAAATAAATACCCAAATTGGTCGGATGAGATCGATCGATTTGCAAACGCCATGTACTGTCGCTCTTTGCGGAATAAAACAAGGGTCCGTACAGCCAATCGTCCTTTAATAATTTCAATTGTTTATAATCAAAGAGACAATTGAATTCCAGATATTCATTGATTGTCACCATTAATGCTGGCAAATCTGAAGAAGAAACTGATTTGCTTTACAGTCGATTAGCACGTTTACACATATCGATCGGAGACTTCCCATTCTTTTTTACTCAAAAAGTTTCGGAAGAGGAAAAAACGCTGTGCCTCTCCATATGTCACACATAAGCAAAATATTTTTTCTATTAGAGCGGATAAATTATCATAACCTTGGATTTCTATTGGGAATCGATCATAAAGACCATCGAAACTCGATGATTTTTTCCTCTTTAAACACAAAGATATTCACTATATGTAAATTTACCTGTTTACGTCAATCACTTATGAAAGTCTTGTCTGGAATCTGTTCCCAAACGACCAACCAAATGAGAAACTTGAATCAATATAGACGAGAAGCTTATTGGTAGCTATCACTGTCAATGAAGGAGAACCGAACAGAATGAGGAACGCGCGCATACATACACACACAGCCTGACGATGTTTGATTTGTACTATTTGGTGTTATTATGACGAGCAGAAAAGGAGAAACAGAACAGAAACCTAATGAAATGCATAGACATGTATGAGTCATGATTTGGACTAGAAATAACTTTAGTCATTGGGTATAACTCTTATTCATTGGTATGAGAAATTGTTTGAGTGTGCACATACTCGGATACTATGATAAAATAGCAACATGCATGGCAGATCAAAATTCACCCATTCGGATCGATTTTCCTTTATGAATGATGGTACTCGTGAGCAAACCAGGCCAACGTATGGTATTTACAGGCCCAAAACAGCCAACTGAATGAAATATCAGGTCTTTGAAGATATTCGATCTCTGGTGCGTGTTATTTACCATCGTTCAAAGAAACTGATATTTTTTTTAAATATATATCTTCTATTTTTTTTCAGCACAAGAGAAAAAAATACCAACTAACTTCCCAGAGAAAAAATAGTGATTGAATGATCATTATAGAAGAAAATACACATATATCTTAGAAAACGAAAATGTTTCAGTGCGAATACAGTAAAGAATAGTCCAAATATGAGAGTATCAACATTGTAGTTCATTTCAAGAATACAAAAAAAACAACAAAACAGAGAAATTACGATAAGAAAAGAAAAACACGAGTAACCATACATAGGTTTGTATCTATACGTAAATAGAGCCAATCGTTCGATGTTTGACTAGTAAATTAAATGATAATAAAAGTAAAGTTTCGAAGTTAATTTTGAAGTAATAAATTTGTCGTATTATTAATGGCATATAATGCCTCAGAAATAGAATTTTCAGACTAAAAGTAAAGGCAAATGTTCAAGAAATTTCGTAAGAGATTAAATAAAGTCTCTTACAGCACATTTATTTTGTTCATTCACGTTTGTGATTGTCGACTGTTCAAAACTATTGAGTTCACCTGCTGTTGACGATTCAAGCAAATCTGGAAAGCTTCCAAATGATAAATCAGACATCTAAAAAGAACTTTACAAGAAAATGCGTCTTTTCAAATTCAAATACGAACATTATCTGGCCAATCAAGACGTAATCGTGATGTATTGCTTTGTAATGCCGCGTTGACAATCGTAGCTAAAGAAACCGAATAGAAAAATCGATCAACTCAACATCACGAAACTTACTGCTGAGAGAAACAGTGCTCATATTGGTATTATCGTTGAGAAGATCATCTAGAACGGAAATTCGTTATTGAAATCAATAACAAACGACAAGCATTGTACTTGGATTTTCACAATCACTCGTAAATAGGCTATTTGATGTCGTTGGAAGATCATGGTTATTGATCGCGTTGAACATGAGACGCTGATTTGCTGCAGCAGTTTGCTGTGCATTGATGTTTGCATCTGAAGATAAAAAGTAATAGATTTCTGTCAGATGAAGTCAAAATTCACATACCAAGTAACAATTGAATGTTCGAAGGACGAGTTGATTGATCACCGTAACGCAATGGACGTCGAACCTATGAGAACGAAATAGAATATCATTTATATTGATTTTATGTCATACTCGTTTGTGTCGATGCGATAAGAGATCGTAATTATGAGCTGATGCAGCTTGTTCAGCGGCTAATGATTGTATTAAGGGATCATCGATAACACCGTTGTTACTGCTGAAAATAATTCCTGGTTGTTTCGATGGAAGAGTAGTTGATGTCGGAGCTGTTTCGGTTCCATTCACCATTGGTAACAGTAAACTCAATAAAGGTGGAAGTTCTGCTATTGAATTCATCGTTGTTGATGCCTGAAGCAATGAAGAAGACGATGGTTGCTCACGAACGGTTCCTCCCGTATCCGCTGGCCACGAAAGAGTATCAAATATATCAGATTGTTCGCTGACGTGCGGCGGTAGATTGAGTGTTCTATGAAGAATATAAGCACACGTATGCAAAAGATGCTCTCAAAGAATCGATTTAAACTCACTTCACGTGTAGATCACCATCTAGTACTTTGTTTGTACTATTTGTTTTGTTGCCTGAATGAAAAGGTTGAAAGTATGCGAATAAATGGCAAAATAGAGAATGGTACCTGAGAATGAAGTTTGTACAGTTAAGATTTCGTCATTGCTTGGGATCATCATATCTTGGGTTGGAATTGATTGTGGCATTTGTAGTAAGGCGCAGATCTCAGCATTTGGTGAGTTGGTTGCTTTTGCTGCTGGACGTCTTTGTTCCTTAGTGTTGATTGGATGTTGGTGTGAACAACATGAACAGAAACATTTCGAACGAGAGGTTTGTTGCTTTTTCGTATTTGATTTCTTGGTAATTTTCATTTCCAATTGTGTTTGTCGGTCCGCGATTGATGTCAAGCATTGATTTGCCATTTGAATCACATAATGAAGAAAAGCGGTCGACGATGAAGTGTCATTGATATTGCTTGTGCGGGTAAGATTGTTGAAATCATAAGTAAGTCGAAGTTCTTTCGGACGTTGCAACAGTTTTTGCAATTCACCAATCGTTAATGTTGAATAAATGTTATTAACTCGAGTCATGCCTTGGGATATGTCCGCTAGAGTAACTGGTGACGATGTTGTTGGTGCCGTTGGAGTGATTAACGCTGCGGCTGTATTCGTATCGGGATCGATTTCATCCTCCGACGGAAACTAGAAGAAAATACCACGAAAACATTTACAAATGTGTGAAAGGGAAAGACTTGGCAATTGATTACTTCATCGGTGAAATCAAGAGTGTCTAATCGTTGTTTGAATAAACCAGCACTACTATCGGCCTCGTCTTCTGTTCCATCGATAAGTGTGAAAGTAGATCCATCATAGGCATTTGATGGGTTATTATGATGTGCGGCTCGTTTAGCAGCAAGTAAAATAGCTGTTCGTGCTAAGTTTGATTTATTGTTTGCTGATAATGACGATGATGTCGATGTAGGGGGTGGTTGAGGAATTGGTGTTGCTGGAGCCGATGATGGAGAAATCGATGATGTAGGAACAATCGTCGATTCATTTGGTATTTCACTTTCCGATAAATTATTTCGTTTACGAGCTGTTGTCTGCAAAGTTAACGAATGCTCGATTAATGGTTCGGCCGAATGTTCAGAATCTGATCGTGAACGAGATTGTTTATCCGAATTCGTTATTGATTGCTTACGTGCTGATGAAAGATCAAGTTGAGACGTCGAATCATTTGTTACAACTGGAGAATCAGTTGATATTAAATGCGATCCATGAGGATACAAAATAAGTTGCTCGAGAGATAAATCTTCTTTGACTAACTAAACAAAACACGCAAGAATATAAATCTCATATCACTTAATGTCCTTGCATTTCGATGTTTCTCTCATGGAAATCAATTATATAACTCGATAGATACTTGTTTAATCTCTATCAAGTGTGTTATCTACTATCGCTGAAGGACGACTGAATCGATCGATTCGACTTACAGATTGAGCGTGAGTGTTCAATTGCCAATATTGAGTCAATTTATCAATCAACTCATTGATTGTCGTTGTTCGTGACAATAGAACTTCGACATGAGGATATCGACATGATAACGCGACACGCATGAAAGCTGAGGGTGATGCCGGACTCAGTACAACTTTCACATGTTTTGATAATGTTCGATCGGATTGTTTTGTTGAGCCTGAAAATTCGGATCGAAATTTTGATTTTATTTCGAGGAAAACAAATTCATACCGAGTGTATTTCCTGTCTTAGGCGGTTTCAAAGCTTTTCCAATAATCGATACATGTTCTCGTTGTCCTTTAACACGTAAAAATGCATTGCCATTACGAATCAATTGATGTAACACGGATATTGCTGGTTTTTTATCGAAACCTAAATCATCGAAAAAGTTTTCGTCGACATATTTCACTTCATATCATAGATGTGCAACTCTTACATTTGACTTTTGGTTTCAAACACAGATAAGCAAGAACAGAACGTAATTCCAGTGAGTCGACGTTACTTTTCTCTTCTACAAAAGCGAACTAAGATGAGATTTTCCAAGAAAGAAAAACAAACCTTCGGTAAATGTACACAGTTTCGAAACCGTTCGAAACGATCGATAATAAAAGCAACGTATCTGACCAAAAGTACGTTTTTGCGCTTCAGGATTCATAAGACGACGTCGCGTATTGAAACATTGACCAAGTGCTTCGAAGTTTTTTCCATACTACAATCGAAGATGAGAAGAAAACTTTCAACAAGAATCAACTTACAATTCGAAGCGCGCTGAAAAACTGTTTTTGTTCTTCCATCGTCCATTTTGTTTTGTCCGGTAATTTAGGTGCGACCTCTTTGATTTTCTTTATCTTCGGTGCAGGTGGTTGAACTTGTAGGGCTAAACAATCGATGAAGATCGTCAAAAAAGCGAATTTCATTCATGAAATTTACTTGGACTTCGTTCGCGTTTCGGCCGTTTAGTAATTTCTTTTGTTCGAGAAGCAATCGAATCTTCAACAACAACACTGGCGATTGGTAACGCGATCGACGGTGGTTCGTCCTTAATATCTTCGCTAGTTTCATTCATGACATGTAGATACTAAAGAACTTCGATAAAACGGGTATTAGTAACGAAATGACCTTGAGCCATGAAGAAAATGAGTCAAAAAGAGGTATGAACACACTTAGAGAATGAGCGGTCGACGACGACGACAACGAAAAGAGAAAAGGAAGGAAATAGATCATCTGTCAAAATGCTTTACTCCCGTTTGCTTCCTTTTTCGGCCAGTCATAAACAAGCGCAACTATTCTTCTTCTCCTCTGCGCGAGTAAATATGCATCAATGAACGAAATTTAATTGTGAAGACAAATACATTCAAAACCAACATAAAAATTCAATTGCGAAACCTTTCTAACTCAGTACTTTTATTTCCTCGAATACGATTGTGTCAATGTATGTGTATACATAGGGAGAAATTTGCAAGCGTTCTTGCCTATTTATGCAAAATATTCGTGCTCGCGAAACTCGATGAATATGCCTAATCGAATGAGAACGAAGTTTCGATGCAATTTCAGAATTATTCTCAAACTAGGTACATTAATAGTGCACAACTCGCGACATTTGTCTTTGTGATCGACTAGCAGATCGCTAAACATCTGCTTTGTAATCTGATATACTCTCGCAAACCTTTGGCTCAGCCAACAGTAAATGTTTCAACGAAGATTCCTAATTGGAATAGAAATTTATCGAGACAAAAAATGATTTTCGCATGAGAAGAAAGGCTAGCCAATATTTAACTTAGATATTTTCGCCGAGCCTGCTCGTACAGATGTGACATCTAGAGCTGACAAGGCATAATCCTAAAATCCTATTCCATTATCAGAGAATGATCATTTGCACACGATAATATCGGTTCTACAGCCGACATGTGCTGGTTTATCTGAATTTTAACATGAGAACAGACTGTGGTCGAATTACTGTAGAAGAATTTTCAACAGTATCTCATTTCAACGAAATCGAGATTGTAATTCCTGTCAGATGATATGACATCAGTGAAAAGTAAATAAAATTCGAACTGACGATATAATTGAGAATATTTCAGGCATGTTATTCAATTCAGATCATTCCATTTGTCATTAAAAACGAAGAAATTTAGTTATGTATCTAAACATTCTTTCAATGCCTAGCTTTTTCTTATGTTTATTCGACCTAAACTCGAACGCGGACTGTTTTGTTAAGAAAATATCTTTTTAATCTGTCAATTGACCCAATTGAGAGACAGAATGTACTCATCTCCATCATAGATAACTTGTTTCTTTGCTTTCCAACAAAACAAATTCATGAACACATAAAAAAAGGCTGTTATCTGGCTCGTTCACTTGTAACAGCAAGTGTTCTCGAAGTTTTTCATCGGCCACTAGAACATACAAAGCATAAACGAAGATTTCGTATCGAATATAATGAGAACATTTTACTTACATGATATCCGGATCAGCTTCGTGGGAAAACGGATAACGCTTAACATGTCTTGCAGCCAACATGGCAGGTAATTGTTCGATATTAATCGGTCCTTCGACAGGACGAAATTCTGTTTCATTATTTTGATGAGATTCTCCTTTATAAAAACGCTTATATAATGAATCAACAAATGTCCAATTTCGAATGTCAAGACTACGTCGTTGACGTAAATCGTATCGCCTTAAAAGATATTCCGATCAATTGAAATGCTCTTCGGATCGTCAAAATCTCACCTCAGCTTTTCTCCAATCGGACTGGAATCAACAAGTGCAAAACACACAAATAAGATAACAAGCTTTCGAATAATCATTTTTCATACACAACAACAGAAAGAAACAAGTATCTATTCAAATGAAAAAAACTACTTGTTTATCTGATGAAACATTCCTATTTTATATACTGCACTTTCGCCTACTATCATTCTTAGTCGAATGCTACTCTACACATGATATCCCTACACCATTGATCATTATATATGTTCTTTTTTTTCTTCTTATCGTTTCTCTTCTGAGATTATTTGTTTCAAAGTGCAAGTGCAAAGTAAAGTACCGAAGTATATCACAACCCGGTGCGTTCGAAAATAGATTCGATGATGATAGATGAAAAAACAATCCAATGTTTTTTACGTAATCTGCGTATGATAAAAAACACAAATAGGATCGATGATGGACTTGTTCGTTCTATGCATGAATGAATTTTGATCTGTTTTACGCTTCATTGAGTTTGAGGGTGAATAAATAGGCAAAGAGAATTCGAGAGATATTTTTCTTGCCAATGGAAAAGATCTTGATGGTTTCACTACGAATAGAAACTTTATTAATTGGTCTACGTAATCTGTGGTTCCCTTCGATGCGATACAAATTGGCAAGATTGCGAAATTCATGTCTGTTTTCTGGCATTTCGAATGTGTATTTTACCAGATATATCATACATCTGTAGTTTGTTTATCGTTGAAAAACTAATTATTAGCACATTGTTTGATAATCCGCTTGGAGAAGAGAGAAAGAACGACATTTTTTTTCATCTCGACCTCTGAATTGGTCTAGGTCGGAGCTCTTTGGATATTTTAATGTGAAAATAAACGAAGGAAAAAGTATTAGAACAAATTGAACTTAAAAGAGAAAAAAATTAGAAAAAAGTTTTGTCCTCCTCATTGACAAAGGACATGAACATGAACGAAAAGAGAGAGAGAGAAAGAAAGACGGACAAGTATAGAAGAATATTTAGAAGAAGACAGTGCACAGATGAACACCTGATAGTGCGCAGCTACGGGACGCATATCTGAGTGCAGGATATGGATTGAACATCAAAATGACGTTTCGCACTGCGCCAAATCCAATGAGAGAAAAAGAAAATTGGAGTCAAACAATTACAACACAATGAGAAGAAGAAGAAACTGTTCTATTCAATGCAATACACAAAAAAAAATTGAAACGATACTTTTTTTTATTGATTCTAACGCCATTTATGTTCAGACGGGTTAACTAGAGTGTGCGCGTGTGTGTGTGTAAGATAGAATAATCGCGAAGATAAGAAAATAACGAACAATAATATGACAATACTCGCGTAGATATAGACAGTTTTTTCTTTTGATAATGACTACAAAGCAGTGAAAAGAGGTGCATTTGAATACACACTTTTTGGAATATGTACGATTGATTTCATACACACACACTCACATGAAGAAACAAACATAAATTGAAAAGAAAAGAGCACACAGAAACTGTTCTTTGTTTTGAAAAATTCGTCTAAGAGTAGAAAAAAGAGATATTCTTCATGCACATAATGATAAACTAATAGTAGGTTTCTTGTTCGACCCATCCACCTGGATTTCGACGTATGAGCCATTTTCGTACTTCATCATAAATAAAAATTGCGATCGAAAATGGAATTGCTGGCAACCACCATCGAAATCTAAGAATAAATCAAATCCCAAGTTCAATATTTCCTCTGACATTATCTTTGTTTTCGAACATTCATTAATCCCTCTTCTCTCTTTGTCAATTCCAAGGTTAAATGATTCCTTCTAATCAGCAAATCATCTCTAGATAATAACATCAAGGTAAAAGAGATTGGACTCCCTGCGGCTTTCTCATCACTTCCAGAAAGAACGGAAAAGGAAAAGTTCCATAATGCAGGTACTTACTTGAGTGGATACATATTCAAGCCTTTGTCGAGATATGGTGTATAACAGAGCGCAGCAGCAAGTACAGTTTCGAAAACTAAACCGAAATTAAGCATCCAATTGCTAGAAAAATACGAATGAAAACATATCATTATCGTATTCAAGAGATGAAAAAATTCAACGTACGTCATGCCCTGATGAAATAGAGAATTTCGGCGTGTTTTACAAATAATCAAATCAGCCCATTGGACAATAACGATGGAAACAAAGAAAGCAGTATGACATGTATATTCTAATGTTTTACGTTGATTGTATGTCTACATCGGATCAAAGTTACATATATGTTCACAACGAGATTTCGTTTTTACCCATTCTTGTCCGTAGGAATCTTCTAAATCATTGAGTCCCTTCGCTTCCCAGGATTTACGTAAGCCAAGCAAGCGACTTGGCCAGAAACCATTGTCAGCCATAATGACTAAATAGGTAAAGAAGCCAGCTGATGCTTGAATCATACCAATTTGACCGTAAGCCATTGAAATTAAACTAAAATCAAAGAGATATTCGACATTTTTCGTTTCTTTTCATCTTACCGTTCGTTAACTAATCGATCATGTTTGGGATCACGTGGTCGTCGTTTCATAATGTCAGTTTCAGCTTTTTCATAAGCTAATGAAATAGCCGGTACCATGTCTGTACCCAAATCAATACATAAAATAGTAATTGTACCCAATGGTAATGGGATGTCAGTGATCAAATACATCAAAAATGGTGTAATTTCGGGTATATTCGATGTTAAAGTATACGCAATTGACTTTTTCAAATTGTCAAAGATCAAACGACCTTCTTCGACACCTGTGACGATCGATGCGAAATTATCATCGAGTAGAATCATATCGGCGGCTTGTTTACTAACATCGGAGCCGGCAATACCCATAGCAACACCGATATCAGCCTTTTTCAATGCTGGAGAATCATTAACACCATCACCTGTCACAGCAACGATAGCTCCCTGACGTTGACAACCTTCGACAATGATTAATTTCTGTTGCGGTGATGTACGAGCAAAGACGATTTCTGGATGATCACGTAATAGTGCGTCAATTTCGCTCGGTGACATATTCTTCAAATCATTTCCGTGTACAACGCATGCTTTCGCATCAGCTGGATTAACTTGTTCAACAGGGATGTCTAAGCGTTGAGCAATATCTTCTACTGTTTCTTGTCCTTCAGAAATAATACCAACAGCCTTAGCGATAGCTTTAGCAGTAATCGGATGATCACCCGTAACCATAATAACTTTAATACCAGCTGAACGACATTTAGCAACGCTAAAGAAAAACAAAACAAATATACATGGATCGTATTTCATCGAAGAATATACATACGCTTCAGGTACAGCAGCACGAGGTGGATCAATCATAGACATCAAACCAAGAAATCGCAAATTTTCAACAGGAAAGTTGATATTATCGGAATCGAATGAATAACCTCGCGGGAATTCATTGGCTGGTAAACGTAAATCGCAAAAACCTAAGACACGTTCACCAAGACCACCCAATTCCAAATAGGCACGATTGAATGCTGCTCTCCAATCTAAACATTCAAACATTCGTCGAAATCAATACTGAAACATGTGTTCTTCCATACATTCATTCAAGTCAATATCAGATCCATCGTTATAGATAGTTGAACATCGCTCAAGAATGCGTTCCGGTGCACCTTTCATGACCAATAGATATCGTTCATCACCATCTTGTGTTTCATGAATCGATACTTGATATTTATTCGTTGAATTGAATGGAACTTCGCAAACTTTGCGATTTTGTTCACGAAATCTTACAACATTACCAATCTAAATGCAGACGATGAATATTTCTGTCCGAATCCTCTTCCTCTTTGGTTTCTTACAGATAGTTCAACACATTTGAGTAAAGCGGATTCTGAAGCATCACCATTACATTCTCGTTGAAGCACAGGTTTCTTCAAATTTTCTTGATCTTGTTTAAAATCAGCTCGATTGCATAACATGGCACAACGACTCAATGCGAGCTAAACGTACACTTTCGTGTGAAATCAACTTTTCAATTGGTCCACTTACCCAGCCAGGTGCTGATTTGTCGTACGTTGCGTCTAAATCGAAATCGAAATTTTTTAGGAGAAACGTATCAGAAGTGAAGGTTTACTTTGTTGATTTTCGGTTGTATCAGCTTCAACAATTCGATTATCGAACCACATGTGTGCGACGGTCATACGATTCTGTGTCAATGTGCCCGTCTTATCCGAGCAGATCGTGGATGTTGATCCAAGTGTTTCGACAGCTTCTAAGTTTTTGACCAGACAGTTTTTCTTTGCCATTCGTTTCGCAGTCAATGTAAGACAAACCTAACCAAAAATCCATGTCGCGTCGATTAAGTAAATCGTTTCTTTGTAGTAGAAGACTTACGGTAACAGTGGCAAGAAGACCTTCAGGTACATTGGCGACGATGATACCGATTAAAAAGATGACTGCTTCAAGCCATGGATAACCAAGAGCGAAAGCGATGACGAAGAAAGAAACACCAAGAAAAACGGCAACACCAGTAATAATATGAATGAAATGAGCAATTTCACGTGCAATTGGTGTTTCTCCTGTTTCCAAACCTATGTAAATCGAACACTTTCACTTAGACAAGATCATTGGTCATATTTTAGATTGTTCTTTACTTGATGCTAAATTAGCAATACGACCCATAACTGTTCGATCGCCAGTTCTAACAACCATTCCGAGACATGTTCCTAGATACGCAGTGAATAGATACTTTTTTTCTGAACATTGAATATAGATAATATTCACCTTCGACAGCGTATGTACTAAAGAAAGCTAAATTTTTCGTTTCCAGAGGATTTTCGTTGGTAAACTCGGATCCACGAGATTGAGGTTCTGATTCACCGGTTAACGATGAGTTATCGACTTTGAAGCCTTGAGCTCTAAGCACGCGAATATCGGCTGGTACTCGATCTCCGAATTTCACTTCGACAAGATCGCCAACAACTAATTCCTCTGCTTTCAAGTTTCGTTTTTCTCCATTACGGATCGCTAATGCTTGCTAAAAGAAGATAATCAAATTCCCACATACAATCAACATCGGATTTTGCATGAAATGTAATACATACAGGTGGTACCCTAAAATGAATTGAAAATGAAAGGTAAAACATCGACAAAACTCTTTGACATACATGTTTTTGAACGATTCCATAATTCTCGAACTTTTCGCTTCTTGAAAATACGAAAAGCACCCTGTGACAAATACGACTACGGTTAAGGCCACACCAAGCCAAAGCTGTGAAAGAGAATAAAGAAAAAGAATAAAATAAAATCATTCTGAAATACTTCCATACATTATCATTAGGCGCCTCTTCATATGTTGCGACACTGATGCCATGTGCAATGAAACATAGGATGGCACCAAGCCATAAAAGCATAGCAAAACCTCCGAACATTTGTCGACAGAATTTTACCCATTCAGGTGTTGTTTTAGGTGGTGACAATGCATTTGGACCATCACGTGCAAGCACTTCTGCAACTTTTTTATCTGTTAAACCCTATTGATACACAAATGAAATAGACTTCTTGGTTTAGATATGCTAAGATTACTTTTTCCGGATCGGTTTCATATCTTCTGTATAGTTCTGCAATGGGTATTTTGTGATCATCCTAACAAAGTAGATAAACAATCGATCGTATGGTGTAAAAATGAGCCAAATGGTAAATTACAATTTCCAATTCACGTTTCAATTCATCAAGGTCATTTTCACCTTTTTTCCCTGCTTTTACTGCCTTTTCGTCAGTCTAAATATATAAAAATAGATAAACTTTACTGATTTGTATCTTTATCTCATTAATACTCTTTACCATCGTTCATTGAGATGTAATTGAATCTTTATTTGTAATGTTAACAATCGCCTTTCTCGACCCACAAGAACGATCGAGATCTAGAAACAACTATTTGTTTTAGACAATAATATTTGACCAAATAGAAACTAGACAAATATCTAAACAAAAGTAAAATCAATGAAATCATTTAGATTAACCTTTGTAAGATACTATAAATCAGTCATACATAGACCTATACATATTTGAAAAGGAAAAAAACAAAACAAGGATTTTTTCCTTCTTCGCGTTCTACGATGACTCTGGGTGATGATTGCAGCAATGTTAGCGCGATCAGTCGCACGCATACGAACATACATAAATAATAACACACACAGAGGGAGAAAAAAAGGAGAAAAAATCCGAGAAAGAGACACAGAGAGAGAGAGAGAGGAAAAGACCGAAGAAGGAATAATATCAAGTTCTTACAGCCGCAACCAGTCGAACGAGAGAGAAAACCGACAAATGACGTCATCATATAACGGAGTCCGTCTGATAGAGAATTCCCTAGTTAATTGTTATAGAAGGAAAAAAACATAATAGGAAAAATTTGAGAATTCACGAAGACCTTTTACTGTCAATCATCGGATATGAATTTTGAAAGTGCATCGATGTGATAATGGGTGAAAAGTTGATCGTATACTAACATTGATATGTTTCGCTTTCCTCTCGACGGAAAAAATAGTCCGAACTATAAGGTCAATCGTGTTTCTTCTTCTCATCGGAGAGCGAATATTTTTTTCTAATTTTTTCTTTTCCTAGATTGATCATTATCACGAACAGAGGGTTTGTTGGGCAGGCAGAAACATACATACACGCGTACGCGCATCTTCGAATGATTGGTTTCCTCGGTTTTCTTCTATTACTTACGTTACTACTATTACCATCATAGCTCGAACAGCAGTAGATGATATAATAGAAGAAAAAGGAAAGAAAGAAAAGAAAAGGAAAAGAAAAGAACGACGAAGACGTTCAGCCAGCTGACCTACTGGTATTTTCTTCACTGCGTACTCATTATAGAGTTAATCCATCTTCAACTCTTATTAGTGCCTATACGGGCGCTGTAGTCAAGCTGAAGAAAAATGCAAAGAAAAACGCAGACCACCAGAGTAGAAAGAAAAACCGTGTGGATCAGCGAATAACGTTAGAAAGAGAAGCGGAAAATGTTTTTTAGTGACACGTCCGCCATGATTACTGATGCGTGAATGAAATACGGGTGTATATGTATATAGAAAAGAGGAATAAATAGAAAAAAAAAAGAAAAGGAACAACATATATCAAGGCAACATGTATAAAATATTGCCTGGCCACATTTCACAGCACTTATTTCGTTGTACACCTTTCTAATATCCAATTACATGCTCGATTTTTTACCAAAAAAATAAATTTGCCTGTCGAAGACATAATATGATTGATTATTTCATGATCTGTAACAAGCGTTAGTCACATTTTCGATCTGCGCAAGTATTGGTTATATACAGGTAGTCGGTTTCTCGTCCTTTTCAAAAGGAATAAAAACGAGCAACCGCAAAACCCTGACGGAGAAGAAAAAGAAGTGTATATGTTACTCTCTTCGACTTATGTAAACGTGCGAGCGTATCTTGTTCGGAAAATCGAGGAAATCAATTCTCGTTCTCAATCATGCAGCTCATAATGTTGAACAACGAAGAGGAGAAACGAGTGAGTGTGGCTTTTTCTTCGCTGATTGAATGACTTTTGATCCTCTTTTCTTTCGTAGTTAAAACTAAGAAAAAGAGGAAACGACAGAGTGGTAATAGTAATAGAAGAAATCTTTAGCGAACGATCGATCATGAATAGAAGACTAAAAACTAAGTGATATGATCGATTAATCAAACAAAGTTGAGCAAAAAAAGAAAAACTAGCTATTCAACATTCAGCATACGTCAATCGGCAACATCTGTTACAATGCTTTAGTTATCTCTTGTCTGGTTGTATCATGGATAACTAGTCAGCAATATATTAATTATTTTTTAGTTCTTCCAGCTGTTGATTCAATGATGTATGTACATATCCGAGAGAAAAGCCGAACTCAACAGACTCTTTTTCGTACTTATTTTACTCTCGAAAACAAACCTATATATAGAATAAATTCGGGAAAAGGCCGCCACAGGAAAATTTCTAATGGTAATTATTTTGACACTGCAAATAATCGTCTAATCGATCTTAACTTATCATCACTATATCTACATATGTATTTTATTTTGACATTCTACATCCATTAGAATGACTTTTATCGTCGTATTTGGTTCTGTCATTCTCTCATTGCGAATATTGTAATGAGAGAATCAATTATTCTTTGAACAGAAAAGGTATTTCCTATGATTAATTGAAATCTACAAATAAGTAGTCACGAATAACAATACATGTGCTCTTTTTTGCATCGACATCTATTGATGTGAATAATAGAACAACGAATGTCGTTCCTTAGAGCAAGTTATATTCTCTGCAGTACGTACACATTTTCATCAAATAAAGAGAAGTTGGTTTGCGAATGTTACGCTGTGTCAAAGTACAAAACAGAGAAAGAGAGAAAGATGTCAATGTGTTTGCTGTTGTTCGTTCTGTCAATCGCGTTCTTTTTGGATAATTAAAAGAACGACTGTGAGTTATCTTCGGTAATGATGACAGCTAGATTCTGACTTCTTTTGTGTTCTTACATCTATGTATCGCTGTCAATGTCTGTTGTTGTCAGAACTAACAAAGAAAGGACAAGAAGAACAAAAAAAAACCGGAGAAAAGATGTTGACGAAAAGGTTGAAAACACACGACTGTATTACTAATCTTGTTCATTCGACCAGTCAAATCGAAATGAAACTGAACTGTTCGCAAGCAAACAAGTACAAATCTAAGCAACCAACCAAGCAAGTTTGTATACAGTGGGCCACGTATTCCACATATGCGCATCGAGCCATACATACGGTAGTTTACATCATTACAATCAAGGCACTATACATATATTCTCTCGTGTTCTGCGTTCTACCACTGGCTTCAGTGCATGTTCGCCGACAACAACGACGACGACGACGACCAATCTTTACACGCACACAAAATTGTGCCTATGTCGTTTGGTACTGGTCCCTGTAGCGAAGCGAAAAAAAGTTACTATTACATACCAAAGTATTTTTTCATCAATAATCGAGCATAGGGCTGAGATGATGATGGCGAACCGCCATTATAATGGAAAGAAATAAGAGAGTAAACGAGAAAGAAGAGAATCCATCGTCCAATTTACAATATCAGATGCTTTAAGTAAGAAAACAAGTGTTCCCTGCATAAGAAGGCAGAGAGCGAAAGAATAAAAGATAGATAATAGAAAAAAAAAGGCATGAGAAAATGAAATGATTCGGCAGTCCAATATTTTCAAGACGAAGTACGTGATTGACTAGAAATTCATATACACACAATATGAAAAAAAAAACGAGGGAGAGCAAAGAAAAATACAAAACGCGTTGATATGTATCCAAGTACTGTTCGTGCACACATACATTTTAACAATGAAAAATGTATTATAAAGTGGAATTTCGAGCATTTTGGTTTGGGTACAAATCTAGAAGAAGAAAAAGCACATTTTTAAGCAAAAAGAGATTTTCTTTTTTCCACATTCAGTAGCATACCTTCATACGATGGTGGCTCATCTCCTGGACTTGTCGGCAATGCTGGCCGAGAAGCGACTGCCGGAACTGTTGTAGATGATTGAATCTCTCGTGAGCGACGATCTGATGAAAATCTTGCTGGAAGATCTTTCCAATGCCGAATTGTGTCCAACCAGTTTTGAGTTCTCGACAATGGTAATTCGGCTTGTGGATGGCAAGAGTCAAGGCAACTTGTTTCTTGATGTATTTGTTCATTCGTATCAGTCGTAGATAGTGCCGAATGTTGTTGCCGACGACGATATTCATGGTAAAAGCAAAGCATACCAATAATTATGCTAATTAAAAATAGAAGAATAATGATGAAAGCTCGTTTGAAACTTCCAGATGATTTTTTAGTTTGACTTTGATCTTCAGACTTTTGTTCTAAATCAATGAAATCATAACACTGATTTTTGTCGTATATTCGCTATCAATTACCGAAGAAGGGAGAAAGCGTTATATACGGTCGATCTCTTCTCAACCAACAATCACATTTAAATGTGTATTTTCTACCATCAGTGTCACTTTCAACTATGACTTGATCGAGTAGCCAATCTGCTTGAAATGGAAGATAATTATCACGTCGAATCTAAACAGAATCCTTTCATTAGTATTCATTTCCCCTACATTGTATACATATCAAGTTTAATCTTCTGACTCATTCACACGTGAAATGCTCGAAGTGTTCAATTCTAATCTATTCATAGTAATAGATCCAATGAATTTCGTGCATACCCGAGATCAAAGATGAAACTTAGCAATTAGGCACTAATACAAGTGCATTCGATTTTGAATATGATTACATCTCATTAGAATGTCTCATATCTCATAACTCAAATTTGATCTTCGGGGGAAAAAAACGGCAACGAGTTTTGTACTAAATGAATCCATCCATACAGATAGAAATATGTTTAAAGAATGTATTGATATGATTTGGAATGCGTAAGTACGTATCAAATGTCGATCTGAGAAAGTATTCATTAAATTTTCGTGAGTTTCATCTGCGCCGCATGTGTTTTCTTTGAAAACAAAGAAAGAAAGATCATTGAAGCATCTTGCGAAAAACAATCATGTCGAGAATTCTTAAGTTTTCTTGAAGGATCCATCTCATTCACAGAAAAGAATCGAACAAAAGCGGTTTTTGTTCTCTCTCATGTGTCATAATAATATTCAACTCACAATAAGTTCGTTATTTGACTCATAATTATTTTCTGTTTTGCGTATTCAAAGCATCAATCATTATCTCTGATCGAGCTGTTTTTCATGAGAAACAAGAACATTGACTTACGAGAATTTTGTCGATAGTTTCGAGATTACCAGTCCAAATACGAAATCGATCTTTAGCTCCCATTTCGAACAAATTTCGTACTGGAAAAACATTTTTTTCAGGTATCCAGTTGTAATGTGTCAATTGCTGTTCTTTCGAATTGGTCTTTTTCGAGTTAATTAAACTAATATAAACATTACTATCAGTTCCAGCAAAGCGTCGTCTTCCCGTATAGACAGTAATTGTCCAACCTTGAAAACATGTTCAAGAATTTCGAGAATAAATCATCATCTTTCCTTACTTTCTGCCAAACACGACGGAAGTAAAATAAATACGAGTGTCAACAAAGATATGGATGTCATTATGAGTGAAAAGACTTAAATCTGATCTTCATCTGAAAAAAAGAAAGTGAAAATATTTATCCATTGAAATGTATTATAATATACCCAGGAAAAATACAGATTTGCTTCATTCTACAGATCCTATTTATGTATATTTTTGTTAGTCAAAGTAGAAAACGAATCTTAGGAGATTAAATCTAGTTGATTGATGTGTTTGCTCTCGATCGGTTGACTGTTCACATAGAGAGTTGAAGGAAAATTGCAATAAGAAAGAAAAATAGAAAGAGAATCAGTACCGTTCGATATAACAAGAGAAAAAAAAATAACATTAACACTGAGCGAAGGTAGGTTTGACTTAAGAGTCCTTTCCTATGATTTGTACCATTTCGGTTTCCTTAAATCACTTCGACACATTGGGCATTTCGAACTTTTCTAAAACGAAAATCAATGTTTTAACCTGAAAATGTCGAGTTTTCTTCTACCTTAAGCCATTTATCGATACATCTGGTATGAAATCTGTGTAGACATGGAATCGTTCGTACTTTATCATGAGTTTTATATTCGTTCAGACAAATATCACATACAACACCAACTATAGATGCTTCTTCTGCAGTGCTCATTGGATAACATTCAATTAGATGTTTAGATAAGCCTAAACTAAGTAAATTATCATCATCATCTTGATCTGACAAACGACCCGTTGTTGGTTCGGTATAAAAATCGCCTTCGTCATCGGTTTCCCAACTACAATCAATCAAATTAGCATGAACAATCATAAATGCTTCCGTTTACCTGTCACTTTGATCAGCAAGAGCGTCGTCGATTTCAAGAACTTCTCCAGATGTTGGTACTTGATCTAAATAATTTGATTGGATGAGTATCCCACGCTCAATTGTAATAAAATACCTTCTGATAATGTCTGATTAGTTGTAATTGGATTATTATTAGCCACGATTTGTTCATTCGAGAGTGAGGAGTCGGGTTGATTATTTGTCGACATGATATCTACAAAAGAAAACCATTCTAACCTTGACCTTGAAGAAACTCTTCTGTGAATACGCCTATCTTTGCCAATGAGAACGAAATTTCGAAAGAGAAAACTTTGCCGTCGATCACTGAAACGATTTTTTGTACTTAAACATCGACGTACAATGTAAAGAATGAGTAAGATTTTATTGCTTATCTTTCTTTCCATTGAAATTATTGCTAGATGTTCGATGTTCTCAACAGATGTCGGTAAGCGTCAATATGACGTAAGGATAAATCATCGACACAGAGAAGTGAGGAAATATGAAGATAAGTTGGATCATCGATGTTTGGCATATCGGCGATTTTTACAATGAATTGAATAAATTAAAACATGACACATCGCTTGTGAATAAAGGATTCGTTTCGTTTTTCCTATACGTGTATCTCTAGTCGAAAATGATGCAATCTCCCTAAAGTTAACCGGCAGTATTCTCTATATCATCATTTTCATTGCTGTTAAATAATTTCAATATTGTGTTGTGAACAAAACCTGATCGACTTTTTTCGTAACTGCACTGTGCATAGGTTAGTTCATAGAGACTGTGATTGATACTATGGAGAGTGCGAATTCATTCGCTTCACTTATATTTGACTATTGACTGGTCAATGCCAATCAGTATGTCAAGTTTCGTCTATATTTACTTTTGTTTTACTCTTTGACATGTTGATATGGATCACATTTCTGAAACTGTTGGTTAATCGATCGCGTAACTGGAATACAAAAGAAGAAAGAATTTTCATGAATATTCGTATATTTGATGAAATAGTGCTATATAATGTATTATTGTTCTGCTGAAATGACTTTTGGTTAAATACAGTAAAGAAAAGGAAAAAGAATTTCATGACTGTTTCATTGAGAAGGAAAATAAATATATTCAAGGGGATTTTCATCAGAAAAGAATTGTATACACACACATTATTATTGATACATATAGAGAAATACGTATATATCAAAAGTTCAGAATTACCAGACAAAAAATCAAAGAACTAATATCACGATGGTCGTTGAGAACTTCCTCGACGCAAATTACCGAAATTAGTATTAGGTCGAGGAGCCGGATTTCGATTAGTATGCGTTGGTCGTCGATTATCACGGTTCTGATTGTGATGATGAGTCGAGTTCATAGTTCGATGATGACGAGAATTAGTCGCTGATTGTACTTTCACTGGCGGTTCTCGACAGATTGGACAAACATTATTTTCCTAAAAATCGACCAGAACAATTGAACACAGAATTCGTTCGAGAGATAAAGATCACCTGTAACCAACGATCAGCACATTCTTTATGATAGACATGCCGACACGGAAAACGCCGTAGTGCCTGATTGGTTTCGAATAGATCGAGACATACCCCGCATTTATTTTCTTCATCGGTATTCGTATTCGATGTACGATGAAATGACTCGATTGGAATGGAGTTGATTTGCTCCTTCGTTAACTTCTTCTTATGAACGGTCTCGTCAAGTCGAAGCAATCGCTAGAAAACAACGGTAGATGAAACGATTTATTGGCAAGAATTCGAATGAATTACTTCGTAATCTTCTGGACCAAAATCTTCTTCTGTGTCTTGCAAGTTGCCTGAACGACGACGTCTTTGTCGAGGGAAGCCGGCTAAGAACGCTGGAAAGTCTTCAGGCAGAGGCCCATTTTGCTGAAGAAGATATTGAAACAACGGGTGACGCATGTTTGGATAACCATCTTCTTCGTCACTGTCATCTTCATTGTGAGAATGATTTCGAAATGAAAATGTCGGGTAAGGTGAAGGTACAACAGGTTCATTATCATTTTCACCGGATTGAGAATGTTCATTCGATCGTTGCCGTGGACCAAACAATGTTCTTGGATATGGATAATGTCGTTGTCTTGTAGCCTGTTCTTGTCTGTGCACATATAACGCCAATTCGTCATCATTTGGGAAACTCGGATGTTCATCAACCACAACGTATGGCGGTGCACTCGCTGTTGCTGATTCGTCATCAGACGCAACTCGAAACGGAAAGAAAGGATGTCGAGCTGTTGCTAAACTATCTCTGGAATATTCTTCCTGTTGAAGTTGAAGAGCAAAAGCTTCATCGGCACTTAAATCTGCCAGTCGACTTTGATCATAACCAGAAGCTTCTAGAGCTATATTATCATTATGACTCATTTCTTCACGTCCAGTTTGTTCTTGATTAGCTTCATCACTGTCATTGCGATTATTAGCTCGAAAGATTGATTTCGTAAGAGGCTAAAACAAAAACAAATCTCTTGCTTTTTTTCTCTTCCTATTCCCCAATGCTTACGAAAAATTGTTTGATTTCATCGGATTTAAAGACACGTTGTAATTGATCAAATCCCTGCTTTATTGCTGATGCGGATCGGTATCTATGTTTTTTCCCCTCTTCCATCACAAACTGTCCAAAAAAGGTAGACTCAAGCAGCAGTTAGTCGAAGAAATGAAAGAAACAAACTTCACTACTGTAGTTATTTCCCTTTTCTTTCCTTTTATCAACATGTATTTGATTGATTCAAACACAGAACGAGAAAAAAAACCTACAGGTCAATAGAGAACAGAAAACGAAAGAAAACAGTACGGTGGAGACGTTTATTTTGCACGAAAATTTTACCGCGGAGGAGGAAAATGCAATTCTATCCAACATACTCGATTAGTAATACGATGTGATGATTGTTCATCCATTTCCATCGGACAAACCATGGAAAGTCGAGGTGGAGAATTCGACTCCATACGTTCTTCTACTGGTGCTGATGGTTCCACCAAGTCGTGCTTAGCTGTGGTCTGAAAGAATCAATCAGATTAATTGAGTAATAGCAAAGGTTTTTCGACAGGTACCTCATTGCTATCGCGAAATGTATTCGGTCTGAAAAGTGATGAAGATTTTTGCATTCTACGAAATCAAATTGAAGTGTTCGAATGAAAGAACAGCTTATTTGTTGTACATGTGGTCTATAAATAAGAAAAAGAGAAGAAGAAAAACGATGTTGTTATTGCTTTTTTACAAGTCGAATAGTCTTTTTCATATTTGTTTTTTCTTGATTTAAAAAATAAATGAAAAATGTATGTTTCTATGTTAGAATATATCAAATAAGTAAAAGAGAAACGAATGTTCATCAACAAATGTGTAACGATTAATTGAGACCTTTCGGACGATCATGATAGGGACTTGACTGTTGCGTTCGTTGAATGTACGTTTTACTTAATGATATTTGTCGTTCTAATTCTCGTAATTGTTTTTCAGCTTGCATTCGTTTTTCGGTTTCATCTTGTAACTTCGCTAGCATATTATTCGCATCAAATTTTTCCGGTGAACCATGAAATATCACCATACCTATGTAGAGCAAATAACAGCGACAAAATATCTACATCCATAAAAATGCCGTATATTACCATCTTGTTTGTTGATCGATGCAAATATTTGTTCATTCTCGATCATATCAAGAAGATATCTTTCAGCTTCAGTTGTCGATTGAAGTTGAACTCGATTAGCAAGATCTTTCAACGATACAGTGAGAAATGTTTTCGTTAGTTGTTGAATACTATTGCATATAAATGCGGTGCGCGTTTGTTTGATTAAACCTAAATTTCTATCACGAGCGTATTGGTCACGGTGACGATTAACGAATTCGTCGAATTGGGCTAATGTTTGATTGTTGAATATGTTGAATAATTCAGTATATTGTGCACCACATACGCTGCCGATGGTTTGTTGAACAGTTCGACTTGTATAAGTTGGCAATGGGTTCGCTGGAATGGAACCGGATATCAATTTCACTAAAACATATTTTTTATACGCTTCGATCGCGATCGCAGATGTGGCTTGTGATGGAACGGTTATGACGTTCTCGAAGAAGTTGCCTGCGCGATCGAACTGTTTAATGCAAGCATAGATCATTCCACCGTAATAATAAGCAAGAAGAAGATGTTTGACATCGAATTTTCCATTTTCACGATTTATGTCAACGATGTCAGCGTCCAGATAAGTTAATGCAGGCTCGAACCATTGACAAAGAAGACATAATTGATAAAGATCAGAATGGATGGATAACAATTGACCGGGCTCACGACGTAAAAGCTCAATTGCTCGATAAAGAATCGGAACTCCTAAAAAAACAATCCACCGTCATATTTCGTTCGATTACACACACTCGTGTCCTTTTCATTATCAATAATAACATGTATTTCTCGAGACATCTCTTAGCATACATTGGCTTAAATTCAAATGTGAAGGTTGCGATCCGATCTATAGAGTATCTGCATGAAGAAGGGCTCTCATCTTAAACAAATACACACGACTCTCTTTCCTTTTTACATTCGATTCTTTGGTGATGACTTACCCAAACGAGCTCGATTTTCTTTCCGAAGTTGTTCTGTTATGACATGACATATCTCGCATAGATATTGAGGCAAATATTGAACTTGTTCAGCCGAACTTGTCTGAATGAAATTATCAACTTGGGATAGAAATGCATCAAAATTAGGTATATTTGGTGCCTTGGCAATGGCATGTAAACAAGCTAACATACACTAGAAGAAAGAGAAGGAGCATACGCAATTTGAAATAGACGTTCAGATTTTTCGAAAGTGTTCGTTTACCATTGAATAATCCGGTAGAGGGAAAGTAGCGATGATTGAATCGATATATTGAATATTTTTACTTAAATGGTCAATGCTCGGATTGCTTAATGTTTGTGCTAAGTCGCTAAATTTCCCATCGGTTGACAATTGCCGGATATTTACAACGAATTGATCTAATGTTGCCATTTGCTGAACAAAGAATTTTGATCTAAAAGGCAAATCTTGCGAATTCGATATTCAGCTATCCTGACGTATTTGATTAAAGTAAATTTCAACTAAAATAAGCAATCTCTTGAAAACAAAAACACACAACTTGATACGATTGGTAGAGCGAACTATTCATCGCATGACATTACTAGATGGCGTTCTTTCTCAGTCAATAACAAAATCGTTTCCAGTTCGGTTTTTTTGTCTTTTTATTTCAAAATCAAAGAAAACAGATTTACTATACAATGAAATTATTAATCAGACATACAAGGTTCTTGGCAAGTATTTTCCAATAGGGAATAGACATGCTCGAGTAAGATTTCTTGTTCTTCCGCTTGAAGAAATGTAGAAAAGTTCAGATCTGTTATTAGCGGAATCAATGGTGCTTGTTTGGCATTGTAAACCGCTCGGTTGAGTTGAGCTTTTCGCGCTTCGAGTTCTTTGTGTTGTGTTTGTAGTCGATCTTTTTCTGCTTCAAGTTCTTTTAGTTTTTCAACAAGATCCATTTCGATAGCGTCACGCGTTTTTTTCAATTCTCGAGAGGCGATACGATTTTTGATACGGCGAGCTTCGCGCTTAGCTGCTTCTTCGCCGTCGAGTGGTTCATCTTTCGATCGCCGGCCAGTTAACAAAGTTTGCGCCGTAAACCGTCGGTGAAAAACACGAATCGGACCATAGTCAACCACTATCGAACTCGGGTTGGAATTCTTGCTCTTTGTGCTATGAATATTCTTCGTCCGCACAGATATCTAATCGAAAAACAAAATGTTATTTAAACATAGAGACTCAAATCTGACTACATACCTCATCAGGCATAGCATACTCTGGTGATAAGGCGGATAATGATGATGATGATGATGACGATGCTTCAGTATCAATATCGTAATCGTCGAATGAAGATTGAAAATTGTACGACATGTCTTTCGTGATCGCAATTGCGAAGAAATGTTTGTGATAATGCTTATTTACATTTTCGCACTGTATTTATAGTTAGGTTTGACCTGGTAGCTATGTCAATTATTCATTTTTATAAATCAATGTGAATCCTTTACACTTTATTCTCAGGCAGACAATATGACATATCAATAAATACGTAAAATCCTTGAAAACATACGATTCAAAATATTAATCCAATTATGCTTGATGTGTTAGGGCAATATGCGTTATTGTTATCGATATATTGACGCATTCGACGATTTATCGAATGTCATTTATTCATTTTTTTATACTGACATACGATAAATAAACAAAGACAATGAATTACTTAACGAAACGCTAATTAAAGAGACCGTTTGCATAGGTGGAAGCAATACAAATGCTTTTTCGATTATCTATTTCGAACAATACCTATTGCAAATCGAGCGTTAACAAGTGTGCTCGCCACGCGTATCACAATTGACATTTTTTCAATTGTGTAGGACATGTCGAAGAGAGAGAGAGAGTCTGAATGACATAAAAGAATATGTCTAAAAACTTTCTAGCGCTCTCCCGAAGAGGGACAAGACCTTCCAAATGAAAAGTTAGTTTACCCTTTGAAAAGTGTACAGTGATCTTGTAGCGATTGCTGATGTTTCTCAAATCTGACCTCTCATTTGTGAATTTCGGCCGCTTCAGTCATTTGCTATAATTGGTTTCGATTACGTTTCGCGATCAAAAGGAAATGTCATATATGAAAAAAGTTTGCTGTTCGATTATTGCAGGTGTAGTACGCATATGTACTTTTAACTTTCTTTGATCACGAAAATCCTTTCCACTTTATGGAATATTTGGATTCGGACTTCAATCAATAAAGCATGAAAATCTGTGCATTTTGGTAAAGACATATACACAATGTCGATCGGCAACATAAAATTACTTTTAGATTCGAATATGTCACTATCACTTACAAAAAAACAATAGTTTATCGCCGCCTACCTATTAATCGTCAGAGCTTTCGTTAATGAGATAAGCACCCGATTGCTATTGGATGCAACATAGCGCACGATATTAATCTGTATAAAAACTTAAAATCTGTATCAATTAGCGACTGTCTTGTCATAGTTTAAGTCAAATAATCTGGTAGATTTCGATGTACATCAAATAGATGCTCGTACAAGACGATCGAATTCTTTTAGTAAAGATTGATTTTTCAAATCATCGTGAGAATTTTATGTTCACACATCACTAAACATGTCATTGAAATCATCTATGTAGAAACCTGTCAGGTAAATCATTTGTAAATAGGTTATTTTTTGTATTGTCGCGCCTTCGGGGAAAATATTCATGACATCCAAAGTTCAATAGAATCAATTTGCTCGTCGATGTTTTTACTTTCGTATTTTCAACATGAAGTTTAAATAAAAGAAGAAAAACATAATGTTTCCTTAAATACAACACAAAAAAATCGATTAGATTTATTTTTGAAGATTTGTTACGCTTGTTTACTGCTAGAATCCCTGATTCCTACTAGAGGAAGAACGAACACGAGGACGCATATCAATTGTCAGTCTATCCAACTAACTGGAAATAGAAGGATGACCAACAAACCACTAAGTTTTGTTCAATTTTTTCAATTGTTCGAAAACAATGAAGAAAACGATGTTCCAAGGACCTAATCGAAGCCATGAAGGAAAGAAACCTTTATATAAGGCGAGAAAGCCTTCATTTTTAATTGTCTAAAAAAGAACAAAACAGAATTTCGTGTCGATAACCGAATTCAATTGATTACTTTGACAAAACAATCGATAATTCCTCCATAAGGTGTTGCTGTTATATTCGAACGCCGAGTTACATTTTCCTGATTCATCAATCGTGTCTAAGAATCAAACATTATCATTTCGTTCATTCAAAAGACCACATTTCGACTTACTCGTACAACATCGATAGGTGTACTTGCAAGTGCGCCCGCAAAACCAGCTGTGAACGATGAGAGAAAATGTGTTCCAATCGTATCTGTACTTTTGTATCGACATATTAATTGTTTCTTCACCCAATCATATACAGCTAACTCGACGCCGCAGACAATCGCTGCTCGTTGAGCTGTGGGTAATACACCCTTTGAAAAACAAACACAAAGAATGGATACAGAAATGAAATTGAGATTACTTACACTCCAAAGACCGGTAAATCCTTCCTTTTTTGCAATGGAAATCATCGCAGGAAAGAGTCGTTTACCGTGAACACTTGGGTGATGAGCTTGCATTCGAATCTGAAGAAAAAACCGGAGATTGAAATAAAGCAAGTTTGATTCAAGTACTTTTAATAAATCAGTTGGATTCGCGATGGCGTTCGATACTGAACCAGATAACATACCGTTTAAAACATTGATATAAAGTTTTTCGTCTAAAATCAAGGATTTCATAGGGCGATTATATTCAAGTTGGTTAAGAATACAAACGTTGAATGTCTTCAGCAAAGATTCGTTTGATTTTTTGATAGATGCCAATTTTGATTGTTCCGTAGGTCGCTTGACGTAGCAAAGCAGCTGAAACACTGAATAAGAACTTCGACTGTGAGGCTACAAAGTCATTTCAAACAAGAGACTAACCCGGAATAAAGCATTCGAAACCCTTCTTCTTGGCTGATCCTGAAAAAATCCAATAGGAAAAAAGGTCGAAACTTTTCCAAGACAAAATTTTTTACCGAAAAACTGCTTGGAACATATTCGTGTACTTCTTCTGTGCATATTTCACCTGCTGACTAGAATTATCGAAAATTTGCCCTTGAATTTGCAGGCGGGTCTTTGTCAGGTCAAGCGGATAAGTTACTAAAGAGAAATTCAAACTATTCTCCGACAATGTCAACGACTGTTCTATTCAGTTAGTTGATTTTCTAAGCATTCCGAAGAAACCATCGAACTAAGCAAAGTACACAGTCAATATTTACCCAACTCAGCAACACTCGAGGCGAGACCACCGAACACGAATGGTCGCCAGTCAAACATAACATACTATCTAAAAGAACTGATGAAATATCGCCATCGAGATCACTGCATCACTCCAAAAGAGGTTGATTGTGCAACGAGTGTTTCTACGGAAAATGTTTTATCTTTAGATTTCGTGTTAAAAGTTCACCAAATGAATAGAAAAAAAAGGAAAATAAAGAAACGCGTTTAGCATGCAAATAAACATCGCCAAAAGAAAAGAAAAACAGGAAGACGTTCTCGTTGTTTATTTCGTTGAGATTCAGGCATGATTTGAGTCATGCATTTGATCAGCATTCGCAGCAATGGCTTCCAGGTCGCCTTCAGCAAATTGAAATAAAGTTGTGAAATGTTCAACATTATTCAATTTGGCACGACCATTGAAACCGATTAATTCGATAATAACTAGTGTCTCGACAACTTCACAGCCAAGATTAGCACAGAGTTTTTGCGCGGCACCCAATGTTCCTTAAATGCAGACAACTGACCGATCAACGGATCTTTATGAAAACGGAATATACGAACCACCGGTAGCGAGTAGATCATCGACGAGAAGAACTCGTTGCTTTGGTTGCAGAGTATTCAGTTGGATTTCCATTGTATCTTTACCTAAAACAGTCTAAGATGTGATCTTGTCTTATGTAAAAGATTTTCTAATACCATATTCAAGTTCGTAATCGATTTGGGCAACTTTTCCTGGTAGTTTACCACGTTTACGAACGGGAACAAATGGAACTTGTAGCGACAAAGCTATTTGTGGCCCGAAAACGAATCCACGTGCTTCGAGACCGACGACGACATCGATTGTTTTGTTTCGATTCGACAAGCGATTTAAGATTATATCAATCAGTGCACGATGTGCTTTCGCGTTAGCAAAAATGCCGAAAATATCGCTAAAACATTCGAATAATTCATCTTGAAAATCAATCCAAAGTGAATCTTACATAAATGTAATTCCTTTCTTCGGAAAATTTGGACAAAGCTTCAAAGCTGAGCGCACAATCTCCAAATTCTCATTCTCGACGCCTGTCATAATCAAACGATCGATCTACAAAAACAAAAAACCCTCAAGAAAGAGAGTGGTCTTATCAATGCACATGCCTCTTATAGTAGCGATAAGAAAACAAATACTCAGGTTTTCTCGGTCTGCTCATTGTGTAAATATTTCCACGTCTCTTCCGCGCAAGAAACATTTTTTTTCTCGTTAAAATGACGACATAGTTATAAGCCTATATCTGATGATGATTAAAGCGTAAGAAAAGAGAAAAACATCTGCGTTTTCGCATGCAGAACGATCGCTCGTCATATCAGTTCCTAAATGACACGAAGAAAAGCAATATGAAGGTCAAAATCACAATAAAAAAATACTTCCGAAATAACTCTGTCAGAATGTTTCTGAATACTCTTCTCTTTTCAGAAACTTTTGTCTCTGTCATCTCGACTACAAATCAAATCTAACTGTTTGTTTCTCGTTAATATTTGATTAGTACATCGGTTTGTATTTCTATTTTAATTAGATTTATAACATCGAACAGAAAAACAAACGTACACAGCGCATCTAAGATGAATCCTAAAGCAGAAAACGACTTGATTATACCTTAAGTCATAAAAATAATGAGAAACTATTTTTATGAGCTTATATGGTTCGATGAAATCAAATAAATATATTGACGAACACCTGACTCGAATTCTTATTAAACCTAAAAATAGCCGACAGACGAGCTTGTTTACTTTGTATAAACTCAAAATATAAATAAAAGTACGATGTCGAGCGAAATATCGTTTGACTAACTATTTGTATTCACAGCATATTGGTTAGAATATCTCAGCAGAAGAAAAATCCACACAACAGAGGGCGTTCTCGAACGTTAGGGTTTCTGGAAACAAACCAGCGACATGTTTTCTAGCATTGCTAACAACTTCAAGGAAATAGGAAACAGTCTTCGAGTCTTTCCGTCGATACTCTCTTGTCAACATGTCGAACGAAGGCTTTCAAACACACTATAATTTGTCTCATTTCCATTATTCTATATGGTTTTACCTAGAACCATGCTTTCAAATGCTAATATTTATCGATAAATACGATCCATTAATATGCAAGTATGACTTTCCGGGAGAATATGATGTAAATACAAATAATATGTACGACTTTCTGTCACAATAATCATTAAATTAGAAAAAAACGATTTCAACAAAAAAATAGTTACATATGCTACAAAACAAACAATCTTGCCGTTCGATTGGTTAACAAGACTTACATAAGAAAAGAATAATAGATTACATCGAAGATCTTATCTACTGTTGTTCTTGTTTGAATGTTTTTGGCTTTAAATTTCAATTACACTATACCAACGGAGCGCCGTTTCCATCAGGAAAACTGTTAAACAAAATTCGTATCCAATCGGCGAACCACCAGATAAACGCGATCAGAGTCAATGTAACACTTAGACAACTAGCTGCTGTGGTAGCTGTTCGACTTTTACTTCTGGCAGCTAATGGATTCCAAATACAACAGCCAGCAGACAGAAGAAGTTTTAGGATTCCACATAAGATATATAGACTATCCCGACGGGATAAGATGAACCAATCCAAACCGATACTTCCCGTGATAAATGATATAACAAAAGCCATTATCTTTGAACTTTGTTTATATGAGCAACGAGGATAATGCCTCCATGTTATCCAGCCCTTGTCGCAAAAACAGTCGCCATCATTACAATGCGAATGTGGAGCACAATCTTTATCTATCATACATCTCGGTAATTGTGCATCCAGAATCGATTCATTTGCATCAGTAACGTTCGACTGAGATGTTCTCGAAGGAACGTACGCCGTATGGACGTATGTATCACTAATAATTAACAATTGCACGAGTAGAAGAAATTGAATACCTTGTGTTTGCATTCTAAACATCAAGAGAATTAGTTACATCAGAATAAACTTGAAAAAGTCACATCGGATAATGTAACAGGCGCTGCGCGAGCGATTTTGTTTTCTTCTAAGTCCTGAGGAACCTATCGTGCTAGAAAATGCTGCGATGTAGATGTTCGTTGCTCCTCTCGTTTCTTCTTCGTCTTTCTTTACTTCTTCACACAACAAGAGAGAAAGTACACATCAGCTATCTCTATGAAAATTAAGCGAGCGTCTGTTGCAATTATACTACCGCATAGTATCATGCAAAACAAGTCGGCAAGAACGCAGAACAGAGAGAAAGAAAGAACAAAACACAACTCATCATGAAAAAAAAATGGCAGCTGATGGTAATGAAAAAGAGAAACTAAAGAATACTTAACGATGTGATGAATATCAACATGACTCGTATTTAGTGTGTTATCCTCACAGTCAAAATAAAGAGTCTAATCAAATATTTGAATCACGTCTTGTCATTCGACGAGAAGGAGATGTTTTTCTTAGTTTATTCAGATAGTTAATAACACTACAAGATCGTGGAAGATCAGATTTATCAACAGATGGGAAAATGAGAAAAACCCGAAGTTTTTCATATACTTTGTTTTCTATGCAAAGCATTACGACGAAAACAAAGTAACTTGATACTTATTAGCTATTGTGAATGGACACGTATTTTACGGTATTAGTAAAGCGGAATAATTCACAAATGACAATCTTATTACTTATTCTACATCTTGTATTTTTAAAAGTGTCTTGTTTATGTAACTTTTCAACGTTGATTACTCCGTTGACGCTTGAACGAACTTCACAGTTGAAAACGCTTTCATTACAACTTTTTAAAAAAATAATAAAAATCTTTCAAGGACGACGACGCAGCCGTTTAAAACTGATTCTGTTTGAAAACAAATCTTTGGCTGTATGTCACTCCAGACTTGTTTAAGTTTTGTTATGACTAAAAGCGAATTTATCTCATCCACGTTTGTTTTCACTTAACGCATAAACTCGTCTGAATTTTCTTTTGTCTCACTTGATAAATAATATCTTCGAGGCCAACTGAGAATGATATTAAACAGAGAGTTCAGTATAGAATTTTGAATGCGCGCTACCCGAACAAGTACTCTTCATTGTAAGAGCTTTCGATGCTTCATTTTGATCTATTCTATTCACGTTCATCATTTTCCTCTTGAAAACGCACGTCTCCCAATCGAGCGCCAGTCAAATTCAACAGAAAAAACAGCGAACCATAATCTCTCTTGTTGTCATTCAATAGAAATTCCTATCTAATAATCAAGTTTATCTTTACAAACCTCCGAAATTGTATTAACGAGCTTTGACTTACATGATTTATTTGGTGGAGTAAGTTACCGACGAGTACGTGTGCGATGAGAAAAAAGAGAATCTAAATAGCGTGCTGCGCGATATAAAGTATAATAAGATTTTTGTCTCGTATTTTTATGCTATTTTCAAAGTATATATACGATAAGAGAATGAAAATATGTCGAACTGTTCTGGCAAAAGTGAAAAATGTCTTTTGCTCTAAGGCAAACGTCAAGAGAATGAGTTATGTCTGCAGAAAAAAAAATGAAAACACATTTAATCAGTGAAAATAATGCGATTTCGACGGATCAAGTATAATCATTCGCTTGTCTTCTAGCGATAGATCTATTCGTTTTAATGAAAAATTACGCAGGGAAGGTCTAAATCAGTTCTTTTGATATATGGATATCTACTTTGTAATAATGATGAAAGTTCATCGAATAGGTGGATGGCGTGCGCAGACTATTGCAATTATGAACGGATTACTTCGTTTCTTACACGCTCAAGTTGCTTTTTATATCTTTGAAAATGAGTAGAAATACTCGCAAATCTTCCAGTTCCTATTTGTTTTTACAACAATGAAAAACAACACGCATGGCAGAATGTTTATTATACAACTCGGTCTTTTCCATGCAAACGAGCGTTTTTCTTTTCTGACGTGTTAGATCAAATTTCACGAAATAATAACAGTGAAGTGTTTCATGCGCAATAAAAAACAGAAGATAGTTGTCGATTGTCATATGAATTATTTCATCGCAAATAGTGCGTCATACGTTTAAGACAAATTCAACGTCGAGAGAGTTGAATTTGTTCGAAAAATGTTATACGGACTTGTCTTGGATAGTGCTCGTGATGGAATTATTTTTCAGTACGGAGCAAATGTCTGGAAACGCGTGGTACATGAATTGAAATTACCAGCGGATACGTTTGATTTGTTTACGCATTACAACGACGAGCTGCTGTTAAACATCAGCGAATGTTAGGATTTCGAAATGAAGGTTATTTTAACCTGCATTGTTTGTTTTTTTTGTTCTTGCAGGTTTAGTTGACATTTTACGTGTAGGAACGCGTGATACATATTTACACTTCTTTGGCCAAGATTTTTTTCGCTATTTCGCCAAATTGGGCTACGATAAAGTTTTCCGAGTCGCTGGACGAACATTACGTGATTTCTTGTTTGTTATTGATCAACTACATGATTCCAGTCGATTCACGTTTCCACATATGCGACATCCTTTATTTCACGTTACAGAAGAGGATCATACTGGTGTCACGTTAGAATACAAGTAAATGCGAACGATTCGTACAATTCTTTAATATTTTCTGTTTTCAGAAGTATTCGACGTGGATTCACGCATTATGCTATGGGAAGCTTAACAGGCATAGCAAAGAGATTTTTTAATGAAGATGGTATGCGATTGTATATACGTGATGATTTGTCTACCAATGAATGTAAGTAATAGGAATGGACATTGAACAGAACACTGTTTTGCTTGTTTGTGATGTAGACACTCATGTTGTTTTGTGGCTTCAGTTTGATAACAGGTCACATAAACCAGAAAATTTGATTAATTCGTGTAGTTTACCACATGTGACGGGTACAACGTTTTTCAAAGTGAGAAAAAGCAAATGGACTGAATACTGAGTTTTACTTTCTCGCGAATTTAGGTATTTCCATTTTCAATTCTTATGGATTCTTGCCTTATTATTCGGCACTTGGGTGATAACGTCAAAAAAGTCTTTCCAACAGATACAATTCTCATGGGAAGGCCGTTGAATGAAGTTTTCCAACTTATTCGACCTGATATTCACGTCGAATGGGACAAAGTATCTTCGACATTCTCACCCTCCTATCATTTTTCTTTCTCTCTCTCTCCCTCTCTCTCACAGATTCTTTCCTATGGTCGACACATTGTCTTTCTCATGGACAATCGCCTGCCACTACGTGTGGGACCGACAGGGAAGATTCGACTCAAAGGACAAATGAAATACATACAGAACAAGAACATGTTGTGGTTTCTGTGTCATCCAGTGTGAGTTTTAGTGTGATGAGGGTGAGAAATATGAAGCGAAAAGAGTGATTGTTCTAGATTAGGAAGTGCTGATGATATGATATCAGCTGGTTTGCATCTAACTGATCTGAACTTGTTTGATAGTACCAGTGAGCTATTAGTAACAAATATGCGTCAATCGAAAGAAGTCGAGGATGCTTTCGAACGAGTAAGTATCATCTCGACTATTACGACTAATAGGTTATGTTCGTAGCAAAAAGTATGTCTATCTCAACTCGAACAAGCTAAAGGTGAATTATCAAAATACCATAGACAAAATCAAGATATCCTATCAACCATCGTGCCCAAACATATCTCTTTAATGATCCGATCTGGTATTCCAACGTGTAGTCTTTGCGAAGTATGCCATTTGGGCCAAAACGTTTTGTTTTTGTTCTTTTGCAAGAAATCTTTTATTAGTCGTATCCACTTGTGACCATCATGTTCACTTATATAGTGGATTTCAACATGTCGACTGCCTATCTCGAACCGATCGAAATTCTCGAAGTATTGAATACAATCATCAACATTCTCGATAGTATTACTGAGAGATTTGATGTTTTGAAAGTCAAAACCAAAATGGATGCGAGTTATATGTTCGTTGCTGGTCTACATAATCGATCGAATGTTATCCCAGATAGTTCAGAAAAGTTTGGGGTAGACAATATGTTGAATAGACATTCTTAGAAAATTGCTTGAAATAATTTCTTAGAATTTGTTTCCAAATGAAAAAGATCCATTTGGATTCAATCCAACAGAGACTATCGCTTATCTCTCATTAGAAATTTTACACGCGAGTAAACGTCTTATCAATCCGATGACACGAAAGCCGTTCGGAATTAAAATAGGTGGGTATAACGGATGAAATCACATGCTTTTCTGCAAATAATTCGAGTCATACTCTTCTCATTCAAGGATTTCATGTGGGCCCAGCGATTGGCGGGGTTGTTGGTGTTCAACAACATCAATATTGCCTATTCGGCGATGCAGTTACAGTCGTATGTTAACCTCAAGGGATTGATCTTTGATAAGTTTATTTGATTTTATCGTAGGCAAGACAAATGATGGACACAGGAGAAGTATGTTCGATGAATACGATGTGTCATTTACCGTGTAAAACAATTTTAGATTGATCGAATACATATGAGCCATGCAGCATATCAACAGCTTGTAGCAAACGAACGGTTTGTTATTGATCACCGCGGAGAGACACATTTAAAAGTAAGCTTTTTGTTACGAAGATTATTCGTGTTCGATTTCTGTCAAATTTAGGATAGAAATGGATGTGAAACGTATTGGCTGACGAGTGTAAATCATTCATTTTTCACGACTTTGATCAATAGGACAAAAAATCTATCAAGATGTCCGTTCAGTGGTCAATTATTGTAATTTCTAATTTCATTAGCTTTGTTTGATTAATAAAACTTAAATTTTCTATTTTTGATTCATTCATTTATTGCAAATATCTATCAGTATGTCAGAATTTCTGAAAATATTCCAAGGAAGATAATGTTGGATTTCATTTGAATTTCCTGCGTCTGTTCCACCTACCATATTTTCAATTATATCATAATCCGTATTTTTCTTCCGGAGTACCTACTGCGAGATGCTACTTTCCATAAAAGTATCTTATCTGACGCGAGATAAAACATCTCTGCGCAATTTGCATACATTCTGAAAGGTAAAACCCACAAAAAATTGTTTCTGTTTCGAATTACTCTTAATGTACCACGTTCTTTTCGTACAAAGCGGGTTGTATAGAAAATACACTGACAGAAAAGAGTTTTCTATGATAGTTTTTCAAATTTTTCTCCGTGATGGATTTAGTATTGGCAAACGGCACTATTCCTCGCCTCTTGTCTACTCAAATCATCTATTTTCTATTGCAAAGATTACGATGACAAATGGCTTTGATGTATCTGGCGGATAATGAGTTCTGTCTTTTTCATTCTATTTCTTAACTCCTTGCATGTTTAAAGAACGTTGAACGTGCATCATGGCTTATTTATAGCTCTTCTTCTGATACTATTAAAATGAAAAAAAAACGAAGATCTGCAAGGCATTCCTCAAATAAAGTAGACACTCACATGCCTCTGTATTCTTCTTCCCATATTTGAGATTACCAATCATTTGATTCGACTGAGCATGTTCTATGGTATCATTATGGATACTGTTCGGGATGGGATACTTCGTTCCTATGGGCCAATATTGTGGAAACGTATTGTCAGCGAAGTACATATTCCGTCGGAAACATTTGAATTTTATGAGCGATATGATGATTCTATACTTATAAATATTTGTGATTGTAAGTTTATTTCGATTTGCATTAAATGACGAGTGAACATAGTATTGATTTTGTGCAAGGTATGGTAGAGATTTTGAATGATGGGACACGTGAGAGTTTTCTGCAGTTTTTTGGTGCGAACTTTATTCATTATTTTTATCGATATGGATTCGATAAGATTCTTCGAGTAGCTGGTCGAACACTACGTGATTTTCTGTTTGTTATTGATCAATTGCATGATTCCAATCGGTTTACGTTTCCACAAATGCAACATCCGTTGTTCCATGTTACAGAAGAGGATAATCATGGCGTTATTCTTCATTACAAGTAGACTTTCGGGAAGTTCTTCGTTTTCGAATACATTCATTTAGAAGTGTACGCTTTGGACTGGCACATTTTGCAATTGGTGGCTTGTCGGCTGTCGCTTCGTTATTATTTAATCAGAAAGATCTAAATGTTGTTATTCAGAAGGATTTATCGACTGATAAATGTAAAGCTTTCTACAGTTCTTTGAAAAAGTTTTTGTTTTTTTTAATGTTCCACTTAGATTCGCACATCATCTTTCATGTGCAATTTGCCAACTATAAATATGAGGTAAAGCGATTGTTCGATCTCCCAGTTTTACCTAGTTTAAGTGGTACAACGTTCTTCCGAGTAAATTTCATTAAAGCATTTTGGTTTCTCTTGTAATGGCTCTGCTTATCGTTTTCTAGGTGTTCCCATTCTCTATTCTTATGGATTCATCGTTAAAAATTCATCGTATGGGAAAACATATCATGAAAGCATTTCCTGATGATACTCCTCTAATCGGTCGACCACTCGATCAAGTTTTTCAACTTATTCGACCTGATATTCACGTCGAATGGGACAAAGTATCTTCCACATTCTCACCCTCCTATCATTTTTCTTTCTCTCTCTCTCCCTCTCTCTCACAGATTCTTTCCTATGGTCGACACATTGTCTTTCTCATGGACAATCGCCTGCCACTACGTGTGGGACCGACAGGGAAGATTCGACTCAAAGGACAAATGAAATACATACAGAACAAGAACATGTTGTGGTTTCTGTGTCATCCAGTGTGAGTTTTAGTGTGATGAGGGTGAGAAATATGAAGCGAAAAGAGTGATTGTTCTAGATTAGAAAGTGCTGATGATATGATATCAGCTGGTTTGCATCTAACTGATCTGAACTTGTTTGATAGTACCAGTGATCTTCTCATCACTGGTATTCATCAAGAACATCAATTGGAAGCAACAATATTCAAAGTATATTTGAAGTTTTCCCCTATGATCTTTGTTTGTAGTGGTGATGGTACTCTTTAGCAACACCTATGGACGAAAAAGTTACCGACTGTACAAAAGAAGTTGAATGTTTGTCATAACAAGAATCAACGACTACTATACTCAACTATGCCGAAACATATCGTTCACTTATTGCAATCGGGTGTTCGTGCAAATAGTATTTGCGAAGTATACGACATCGGATCCATTCTCTTTTTCTCGAAATTCCTTTTCTAGTGTCAACCACTCGTGACAATCCTTTTCGTTTACTGTTTGGATATAAAAACAATCAGTGATCATCTGAATGCTGCAGATGCAATCACATGTTTAAACAAAACTATTGTTTTATTCGATACTATAGCTGATAAATACGATGTATTCAAAGTTGAAATCAAAGCCGATGCAAGTTACATGTTGGTCGCAGGTATACATGACCAATCGCATATGATTGTAGAAGAACAGCAAAGAAATCTGGTAAGAGAAGATTGACTTGTCAAACATGTCCGTGGTGACATTAAATGATTTTATAGTTATCGACGAAGTTAACGGACGAATCGTTGGAAGTAGACGATGAAGAGAAAGATGAGATAGAAGAAATGCACAATAAAAATCCTAATGGACTGAATTCAACCGAAATTATAGCGGCCTTATCTTTAGAATTCGTACGTACTAGTGAACATTTCTACAATCCGATATCCAAAAAGCCATTTCATCTAAAGTTTGGTAAAAAAAAAACGAGTACAGTAAAATCTACAATACATAATTCTAATATTTCACCTAGGTTTTCATTCGGGTATGGCTATCGGTGGTATTGTTGGCTCGCGAAACTATCAATACTGTCTATTTGGCGATACTGTTGGAATAGTAAGTGTACGTTTGCGAACTATCAGTTAACTCTTACTGAAATCTCCCAGGCAAGTCAAGTTACAACGACTGGCGAAGTAATTCTATGATGACAGTAATATCGATTGAATATTTACGATTGTTATTATAGATCGGACGAATACATATGACTCACACAGCGTATAGTCATTTGATTGAAGAAAATCGTTATACAGTTGAACATCGTGGTCAAATTAATATTAAAGTGAATCGATTGAAGTAATTCGATCACCAACTATCTATTATCTATTTTCAGGGAAAAGGTCTAACAGATACCTATTGGTTAACTGGTTTAAATGAAAAATCATCAAAAGTATCGATCAATTCAGATTCAACAACACTGAAATGTCCATTCAGTAGTCCAGACTTAACATTTCGATAGAAACTATTCTAGTACGAACACATACATATGTATTTGAATGTCAGGAAAACTATGACGCATATTGTAATGAAAAATCTTTTGTAAATATTTTATATTCAGTTTGATAATCACATGTACGTTTCGGATGTTCGTTTCTCATCAACTAATTATAGTTTTGAAGCGCTTGTCATCTATAATATTCTATGACAATAACAAGTTTGCTGTCAATTAATCCCAGATGAGGATGGAAAACTTAGCTAAATACTTAAGGCTATAATTAAACAGCACAAAAAAATTATAATCATAACTTTGTCTAAAACCTGCTCGATGTTGTTGTCACGTAAGTATAAAACTGAAGGTTTTTAGTCGTCTGTTTCATATATAACTTACAGATTATCTGGAAGAGTACTCTAACGCTTTAATTTCGTCCTCGAAAGGAGTCTGGGTAAGTAAGTTCGCACTTTTCTAAAGCTACGCAAACATTCGAATTACTAGTGGATCTTCTCGAACGATTTTCGCTTTACTTTCATTAGCTGTTTAATCTTTCATTGGCAATCGAATTTGTACGACCGATTAGTTCTTCTTTTTTTCAACGATTCTCTTTATCAATATGAATGTATATTCTGCTGAGAGTTTCATGTGATTTCTACTCCTTCAGTAAGGTAATATGCATTTTACACTGAGTGCCCATTTGGCACATCCATTGATAATCGCGAACCATTTCTGCACAGCAGTTGGCTACATCTCAGATACACTCGTATCAGATCAGATTAATCACGGTGTGTACATCTGTTCGAATGAGTTATTTGAATTCACCTGGAACGAATGGTTACATCTGTCATTCGAAGTCTCTTTCCCTTTCCTAACAAATCTCATCGATTCATGCTATCGACATAACCACATACGATAGTGTTTACTACGTCGATTGTTGTTGTTACATTCAGTATGCTATGCACTCGTTAAATTGCTTACATAATCAGGCGATTTCTACGGAATATTTCATCTATAGTGAGTTACATATGAAAGTCAAAATACCTATGATCAACTTCATTTCCATTAAGATCAATCCTATGTGCGTTCTTTCTCGATACGTTTTCCCATTAGAAAAGCTACGATACACTACACTCAATGGGTTACTCAAAATGCTTCAACTGAGACCATCGCATGATAGTTAATACAGCAACAATAACACCGAAAGATAGCGTGCTTTATCCAGTGAAAATCCACTTGTGACAGCAGTCTTTCATGAAGCGGAAATAACGCTGTATGTCATCGGAATTCTTTTTTTTTTATCTCTGTTAAAGTATAAAATGATTAGTTGTGAAAAGGTTTTCTCTTCAGTTTAGTAAACAAGCATGCGTCAAATGTTCTATGGTATTATTTATGAAAGTGCCCGCGATGGTGTAATACTTTTCCACGGCGAAAATGTTTGGAAACGGATTGTTACTGAACTTAAATTCCCATCCGACACCTTTCAATTATTCGCTCGGTACGATGCAAAAATTTTGTTCGATATTTGTGAATGTAAGTTGTAAATTGAAGTATATCTCCTCGGTTTCACTCGTCTATCTGTGAACTTAGGTATGGTACATGTTTTACATGAAGGAACGGCAGAGACATACTTGGAATTTTTCGGAGAGGATTTCGTTCGTTATTTTGTCAATTTTGGTTTTGATAAAATTCTAAGAGTGGCTGGTCGAACACTCCGCGACTTTCTCTTTGCTATTGATCAATTGCACGACTCGAATCGATTCACTTTTCCACAAATGGATCAACCATTGTTTCATGTTACCGAGGAAAGTCAATCAGGAGCTACCTTGGTTTACAAGTAAAATTCTTTTTCGTGCAAAATTGAGAATAAATGCCAGATGTATCTGGATTGGTTTCATTTCAGAAGCATTCGCCATGGATTTGCTCGCTATGCTATAGGCGGATTAACTGCTGCTGCCAGAACACTTTTTCAAGAACATATCAAAATGGAGATTATGCATGATTGGTCAACAAAGGAGTGTAAGTAATAGAAAACAGTATATTTTCATTAATGAAATATGCTATGATTATTAGATGCGCATATTGCTTTCTGGGTAGAATTCAAAAATGAAGGTTTTCAACAAAAACGAATAACGCATTTTCCAACATTGCCCGATCTTAATGGATCAACATTCTTCCGAGTGAGACTGATATGTTCCGATCATCTGAAAAAATAAATGATTTATTTTGGTTTAGGTATTTCCGTTTTCAATTCTTATGGACTCGACGTTGCGTATACATTGTATGGGAGAAAAGATCTTAGGTGTTTTTCCGGAAGAAACTCCTCTAATCGGTCGACCACTCGATCAAGTTTTCCAACTTATTCGACCTGATATTCACGTCGAATGGGACAAAGTATCTTCGACATTCTCACCCTCCTATCATTTTTCTTTCTCTCTCTCTCCCTCTATCACAGATTCTTTCCTATGGTCGACACATTGTCTTTCTCATGGACAATCGCCTGCCACTACGTGTGGGACCGACAGGGAAGATTCGACTCAAAGGCCAAATGAAATACATACAGAACAAGAACATGTTGTGGTTTCTGTGTCATCCAGTGTGAGTTTTAGTGTGATGAGGGTGAGAAATATGAAGCGAAAAGAGTGATTGTTCTAGATTAGGAAGTGCTGATGATATGATATCAGCTGGTTTGCATCTAACTGATCTGAACTTGTTTGATAGTACCAGTGATCTTCTCATCACTGGTATTCATCAAGAACGAGCAATAGAATTGGCTATTGCAAAGGTAAATCTGTGATTAATGTTCAATTCAATTATATTCGTCTCTCTCTCTCTCTCTAGCAACACATTTTCTCTGTAAAACTACGCGAATCAAAAAGTAAATTGATCGAATGGCGTAAAAGAAGTGAACGTTTATTGTACTCAATTTTGCCCAAACATATTGCTCTTCTTCTTCAATCCGGTGTTCAACCAAATTTTGTGTGTGAAGTAAGTATTTTTCGATTTTCTCGTATTTCCAATAATTTCTCTGATAAATTCTTTAGTCTCATCCGCTTGTTACTGTTCTATTCGCATATATGGTCGATTTCAAAGCGTTGAGTCTTCAACTGACTCCTGCCGATACGATCCATTATCTCAATGAGATAATTAACAAATTCGATAAAATTGAAGATAATTATGATGTATTCAAAGTAGAAACCAAAGCGGATGCTAGTTACATGATTGTAGCTGGCCTTAGCGATAGATTACATTTGAATTCTACCAAACCAGACTCATCATCAGTAATGATAATGTTAGTTCTTATAACAGTCGAATGAAAAGTTGTTCTCTATGTAGATTTCTTCAGTCACTGATGACAATGACGAGCCGGAAGAAGAAGTTGCACCTAGTAAAAATCCACTTGGCTTTCATCAAACGGAAATCATCGCATTCTTAGCATTGGATCTTCTTGATGCCAGTGCGCACATCATCAATCCAATCACGCAAAAACCATTCAAAGTCAAGTTTGGTAGAAACACATTGAAATGTTCGATATATGTTTGAGCTTTCATTGTTTTTTCCAGGTTTTCATTCGGGCACTGCAGTAGGCGGTATCGTTGGTAAGAAAAACATCCAATATTGTCTTTTCGGTGATACAGTAAATATGGTAGGTCATAGAGATCATCTTTTATCCATAATTCGTTTACCGTTATATTAAAGGCAAGTCGAATAACAACTACTGGCGAAGTAAAACATAAGCGTGTGACGTACATGAAAAGTTGTCTTTTCGTTTTTCTACAGGTTGATCGAATACATGTCAGCCATGCGGCTTATAACTATCTAGCGATTGAGAATCGTTTTAACATTGAATATCGAGGTGAAATCGAAATGAAAGTAAGACTCATTTGTATTGTTTCGATCATGTCTACGAAATGCTCTAGGGGAAAGGTTCGCATCCGGCATATTGGCTAACGGGTGTAGCAAAGAAGCCAAGTCTTAATGTCATCAATAAGAGCGCAACAGAACTGCGATGTCCGTTTACTGGTAAATCTACAATGGATTGAAAAACTGTTTAGAAAGTGTCGTTTTGATGTGTACTAATCTGAATGTTTATTTATCGTATTTCGTCAATTCATGTGCTGATGTTTGTCAAAAATGTTTATTTATATTGAAATTCATTGAATATTTTATTAATATATCTATAAATCCTAAAGCGTAAAGCTTTAACTACAAAAACAAAAGGGCGTGATTAGATCTGGACATGTTTGTTAACTATTATTGCAACTCAAGTGTATACTCATGTCAGCTTTAGCAGACTGAACTTTGTAGAAAACGATACAAGTTATCTCAGCTTAAACCAATGAAATTGCTTTCCACACTATACCACTTTTTTTTCGTTATCACTTGTTAGGTAGGATAGTCAATAGTGTTACAAGTAGTACTCATAGACACGATTAAGATTTCATCGAAATAGCATGACGAATCTGAATGTAATCGAAGCAACTCGCTTCTACATCAATCGCATGATTGAAGATGCTGGTCAAAGTGTCAAAGGACTTGTCATGGATAAAGAAACAGTCAGTACTATGAGTATCTTTCTCAAATCAGGATCTTTGCTTTCTACTCAAGGCTTCGATTGTCAGTATGGTGTATGCCCAATCCGAAATTCTTCAGAAAGAAGTCTTTCTTTTCGAACGTATTGATGTTGCTGGTCAGAAATCATTGAAACATCTTACCGCCATATGTTTTCTCAGACCAACCGAAGACAACATTCAAGCATTAGTACGCGAATTACAAGAACCAAAATATGGAAGCTATTTCATCTGTAAATTCTCTTTCTTTCTCTATTATGAAAAAGGAAATGCTGACTACGAGACGATCCGTTGTATTTAGATTTTACAAATTTCGTTGAACTGAACGATATTAAAAGTATAGCAGAAGCCGATGAATATGAATGTGTTCGCGTCATTCAAGAATTTTATGCCGATTACGTGGCAATCAATCCACATTTGTATTCGCTTAACATTCCAATAACTTACGAAGTAAATATTCAGTCAATCGAACAGACTATTTGAATTCGAATTTCTATCGATTAGAACAATTTTCTTTGGAACGATCAACTTCTTCGACGAACAGCACAAGGACTTGTATCTTTACTGTTGTCATTACGAAAAAAAAGTGCAACGATTCGATATCAACAATCATCAAATATGGCGAAAATACTTGCGGAACGATTATCTGTAATCCAATAGTATTGATTTTTCCAGAATGAAAAGCGTTTGTCTTGCTATAGAATACTCTTCGAAGACAACTTGACTTTGCATCTTCGAATGTCAACGCTCCCGATCATACCGTCGTCTTAATTGTTGATCGACGTGAGGATGCAATCACTCCCCTACTCAATCAAGTGAGAATCACTTCTACTCTCTGAATTTAAAGTGAACTGTGATCTTGATTTTAGTGGACATATCAAGCGATGGTTCATGAATTGATTGGAATTAAAAACAATCGTGTTAATCTTAGTCAAGTACCAGGTATAACGAAGGAATTGGAAGAGGTGGTAATGAACGCTGAGTATGATGAATTCTATGCTGATGTATGGACAATTTTCCTCGTAAAAAATATATTCTTTCGTTTTTGTTAGAATCTTTATAGTAATTTCGGTGAAATAGCCACGAATATCAAACGTTTAATGGAACATTTTCAAGAAAAACATAAAAGTCAATCGAAAATCGAATCAATTACTGATATGAAAGTATGAATAATGACTCTTTTCTCAAAGAAATAGGTACGATTAGTTCTCCTCGATGCCTTCTCAATTGCCTTCGTAAATCGATCGACTGAACGGAAAATTGATCGTAGATGTAGCAGAAATAAGTACTTCCATTAATGGAAAACTTTCGAGAAGCAACATTCTCAAGAGGACAGACACGTGCCGTTGTGTTCTTGCAATGCAACTCAATTGTCGTTGAATATCTGCAAAAGAAAATACAATTTCTCTCTCGTTTCAGTCGTTTGTGGAAAGTTATCCTCAATTCAAAAAGCTTTCCGGTACTGTTTCCAAGCATGTGACCATCGTTGGCGAATTATCACGACTTGTCGGCATTTATAATCTTCTCGACTTGAGTGAAACTGAACAAAATCTTGTTTGTCAAAGTAATCATAGTGAAATTGTGCAAGTAAGTCGTCTCATACACACTCTCTCATCGAAATATACGCTTTTTTCACATAGAAAATCAAGCAATTGATTCAGAATGATAAAATACGCGATGAAGACATCGTTCGCTTAATATGCTTATACGCATTGCGTTACGAACATCATGGAAATAACGAAACAAACGCATTGCTACGTGAGACACTAAAATGTCGACAATTATCCGAGAAGTACATTCAGGTAATAATCTCTGAAAATGCCAACTGAAGTGTTTATGATCGTCGTTTTTATGATGATTAGTTTATTCAAGCTATACTGAACTATGGAGGAAGAAAATTTCGACAAGCTGATTTATTCAATACACAAAACTCCATGGCTATTACCCGACAATTCATTCGCGGATTGAAAGTATGAAGAGAATTTCAAAATATTCTCGCGAGTGCAGATCTTTACGTCTATTCAGGGTGTTGATAATGTCTATGCACAACATATACCATTGATCAGAGATCTACTCGAACAATTATTACGCGGCAAACTCAAGGACAATTTGTATCCGAGTGTTGGTTCAAAAGATCGAATCCAATCGAACAATTATTACACAACAAGTCAACAGACTCAATTTCAACAAGGCCAACCAATCAAGTATCGTAGTTCGCTTTTTATCATGTGTGCACACATACATTGAGTTTGTAATTTCCGTTGGAATTTTCTAGACCAAGTGAAATCATCGTGTATGTTGTTGGAGGAATCACATATGAAGAATCTTATCACATTCATATGATGAACAAACAAGGTGCACGGATCGTCTTAGGTGGATCGTATATTCACAATTTTGCTTCGTTCGTCGATGAAGTTCTTGCTGGTGGTGTACCGTCGACATCGAATGAATTCTTCGCAGTAAAACGTCGTTGACTTTGAATGATATGATTATTTGAATAGTGTGTAAAAAGGGACCTAATAACCTTATATAAATATTAAAATAAATATATTGTGTTTGCTGATTATTAATTTATGAAGAGAAAAATAATAGCTCATTGATCAGCAATATGTCGCTATGCTAAAGAATGTAGACGTCTCATTTTCCTTTGTCCCTTGCTTATATGATATTTTGCAAAAGATGAGCGGAGAGAATAATAGAAGAAAAAAAATGTTAGAATTGTAGCGATGTCGAAACATATTCAGTCAGATGATTGAATACTTGTCGTCGTCTTTTATTGCCATAATAGAGCAGAAAAACGGCTCCGATCGATCGACACTAGATCAAACAATACCGAGTAAGAACCATTAATAGAGTTATTCATATGATACTCGAAAAACCTTGAATATTCTTCAATGTACAGGTTCGTTGTGAAAGAAAAGCAAAAGTAAATTTGTTTTTTCTCCTATGTCCTTTATCATGATATATATATATATTTATGAATACTTAAGTCTGCCTGTCTTTCTCCCTCCCCCTCTGCTTGCATTTTCTTGTTCTCAATGAAAACCAACAGTCTTCAATGAATATGCTAGCTAGAGACGGAAGACTGTGTTGTAACGATTAACAATGGCAGTAAGTAAGCAGCAAGAACGTGGCGACGAAGAGAAAAGAGCGTTTCATAAACGCGTATGCTTAATGAGATGCTGCTCTTGCGTTCTTTTTTTTCATTTCATATATATATATGTTGCTCGCTGACGGCAGACACAAACATAAAACCGCTTCCATTGCAATTGCCTATTGCTAAGCATCCAAACCAGAGCACGATCAGTTGATGACGTTGATAAAAGAAAATCTTTTCTCGTTTTTTCCCTTCTCTATGTTTGTGCCTTCATCCGTCTTTCTTCTCTTGTTCTCCTTCTCGCTCGCTGATTTCTATCATGCTTCTCTGTCTTTAGCGTCGAGAAAATAGATAAACAAGATAGAATAGAAGACCTTGTTATTGCTGTTTCTCTTCGTATTTTCTGGCTTGAACTGATTTCTCACTTGTTGGTATTTTGCCGATAACCATGTGTTTCGTAATTACTTACACCAATCAACACTGTTATTGGCAATAGCAATGCAATTATCGGCGGTTTNGTTCGTCGCTTGTAATTATCAAGAGTTTGTCTTTCTTTGATTACTGTTCGCAATTAATTCTCTCTGTCATTATGCGACACATAAGCTTAGTCCTAGTCTTTCAGTTGTTTGTTTGTTTATAGGACTTTGATAGGCAACGCTCATTTCTCCTTACTGTTGATTATCTTGTCTAAATAGTTTAGTTGTTATTACAGTTCACATGGAACAAAACGAATGACAGACGTCAAGAAAATCAAAAGAAAACACTTGTCGTTTGTCGCCTAAAGATGATGCTGTTATCATATCATAATACATGAGGTATTGATTAATCTATTGGGCAGGGAAAGTCGATGGTTCTCTCGAAAAAAAAAGGTTGAGAAATATTCTGTTATTGCTATCTATGGAGAAAAAAACAAAAAACAAAGAAATAAGAGATAGCCAGATAATGCTTATATCCTTCTTCGTTAAGCTTTCATCATTAAATCAAGACGAGGCAGATGTTGTAAATGATAACAGCAAGAAGGAGGAAATATTTGTCAGTCTATCACAGATATTCAATCTTCATTCGGCAAGTGCTCTTTTGTATATATATATACATATATCGACGAAAGATTTATACAATGTTTATATGAATGTATTGACAAAATATCCCGATTAATTCGCAGATATTTATGATTATGATTGTGTCGATTAAACAGAAGTGGAATCGTATAACAAGACTTTTTTTAACCACATGTATTATTCATGCGATAATTGAATATGGTAAGTGTAGCAAATCTAGAACAAAGTCTTTTTCTTGTATTTAATTTGTCTGGCTACTTAATTCTGGGCAGAGAGTTTTTCTTGAAATTGTCTTCAAGGTTATGTTAATACATTTCTGCTGAGAAAAGGGAAATATTTGCTGAGCGAATTAGCAAGTCTATAGAAATCGAAGGGATGTTGAGAGAAGAAACAATTCTACATGTCACAATGATGATCAAATGATTTTTCATAGAATCGTGTAGAAATCAATTAAGCATATCTGGATTTATTTTTCATCATTAATAATGATTCTGGTATATCATAGTCAATAGATATTCATGCGTGATTAATTTTCTGTTATGTTAACGAATCTTTTCTCCGTCTAGACTCTTTCGCGTTTATTTAAGATACTTCGAAATATGAGGTAAGATCTGCGATGAATTATCGTTTAACCTCGAACTTTTGCCATTGACATTTGCTTGCGTATGTCTCGGAGGAATAAATCAATCTGTTTAGTCATCTTGTTTTTATTGATCTTTTCTCAGCCGTTCGATTGACGTGTATCTCTTCGAAAGAAAACCGTTTTGACTATACAGATCACTTTTATGTACTGAAAGAAAAAAAAAATTGGATGTGCACACCATAAGAAGATATGTGTGCGATAGAAATATACGTATGTGCGCATCGTCGATGACATCATAAATCGTACTGTCCACAGTTGCAGAAAGCAGAATTGCCGGACGAGCGTTTTATACCTCGTTAATCGTCATCGTTTATGTTGAGCTTCGGTGTTTTAACGTTGTTGCTCGTAATACCATATTCTTTCGCGAATATGAACGTTAAAGAAATCGAGGATTATGTGGATATGACATTGGATGTGTTAAATGATTCACCGAAACAAGATTCAGCTGGTAAGTTTCGTTTTTTTCTTTTCCATGTCTTTTTGCGATAATAATTAGGACAAATCGATCGAACCTAATCGTTTTCCCTTGCCTTGTTATTATTAGTATCATCAGCAATGTTTGATTTTTCAGTCTTATGTTTACGAATTCTTTATATAAATAGAAAACAAGTGTATTTGTTATGATCAACAATCTTTGATGACGAGAAACGAGATACAAATATAGAAACAAATGTGTTTTTTTTAGAAATCAAAAACATGTAATTGATAGCATTGAGAATAAAATAGTACAGAAGGAGAAGATCAAATTAGAATAATTCTATTTGACAGCTGACTGTCGACATTCCCCAAAGGGATGGTAGTTGCAGAAGATGAACACATTTATATAATTAATGTCGAATGAGGTTTTATTTCTCGTTCTTTCGGAATTCAGATACAGCTGATAGTTTCAATACGAACAGAAATGAATTATTGATGATAATCGGGTTTAGTTAAGGAGATTTGCTTCGACAAAAGATTATTTTAAATTTCCGGAAATGGATATATGTATATAAGTATCAAGTGAATCAAAGGTCAAGATGAATCACGAGAGTTTTTATTAGATAAAACGAGCAAAATTCTGTCTTCGCGATCATTCCTAAAGAATTTCTTTCCTTGCAAATCACAGAAGGAATTATTCACAGTGAATCAAGGCGTTCATTTATTTGTATTTCATGTTTAATCTTGATATCCTTTGTAGATGATCTCTTTGGTCGGCTGAGAAGATTTATTTGTGTAATACGATGATTGTTGAAAAAACATCTTTCTCTTCATTGGACATGTTTTTTCTAAATTTAGTCGAGGAAAATCGCTTCTCGATGAACTTTATCACGTCTATTCATTTGTTAATCATCGTCAATGCTCATTTGAAACAGATAGAAAAGCATAGCGGAACGAAAAAGCTTGTTTATCATTAAGCTGAACCGAAGAATTAAATTAGTCATCATGACACTCGTTGTTTTCTCTTTACACCCACATGATGATCAAGCAAAACTGAAAATAATCGCTCTATAATGATAGAATACCAAACCTGCTCACTCTCATGATTGACTTGCTATTTTCTCACCATCTTGTCAGTTAGTTGTTCTTGTGGATTTGCCTTATGTGTGAACGAAGCAATTGCATAAAATGTTTACATAATGTTTGACGTTTTTCGATGCAGTGGATGTCAACAGGCGAGAAGTAAATGATTTTTTTTTCGGTCAAATATCTAATGCAAACGCTTTTCCACTTGTTTGAAATCAATATTTCAAATAATTAGGCGTAGTGTTCGATCAATACCATTCGGAGGTGTGACATACACATGAGTTTTGTGTGAAATTTTCAATTGAAACATTCTATTGACCTTTACAATCGAAGCGCGGACGTCGATGTTCATCTCTACTTGTCTTGTAATAGAAATTAATCGAATACGCCTTGCGAGATGTCTCGTATTAGTTCATCGATTCCTATTTATCTGTTGTTTGTCAAGGAAGAAAAGGTCGTCTCTCTTTCTTATTAATATGTTCATCATCTGGAAGAATTTGATGACGACTTATCTTCCTAGATGATTGTAATCACAACAAAAAACATGCTCCTTCGCCGTGTCTGGGTGTGTGGTCAGACGAAGACATAGGATATTAAGGGTCATTTCTACATATATCATAAACATTGCTATAGATTCACTCATCTTGAATTCATCGATAAGTTTTATTCGCTTTCCTCTTTTTTTTCGTTTTTCTTTTTCTTCTCTCAATCATACGATATACATTCGTTCGTCCAAAAAGAGAAGAGGAGAGAGAGAGAGAAAGCACTCTGCTGTATATATGTATCTCTATCAAAACACATGTGTATACTAAAAACAGAAGAGACGAGAGAGAGAGAGACAAGAGTGCGCGCGTATTGTTTCTCATTTCTATACTTATATATATACATATTGAGAATAGAGAGCAGAAGTAATTCAGTAATCAGATCGAATTAATCGTCATGACTGCAAGTATTAATGATGACCGCAAATCAGTATTATGGAACTTGATTACGAGTAAACCATTTTACATTCTTCTACCTAATCTCTTCATTGTTCGTCCGGCGCGATTTTTATTAAATTATTATATCAAACCAGCGAAATTTCTAGTCATTGTACTTCCACGAAACATTTGGCAAAAAGGTAATAAAACTGTCTACATTATGCGCGTCAGTTGGTTGAGACTATACATTGATGAATCTACCATATGTCGCAGATCCTTTTGTTGTGTGTAGAAGCACTCAGGTGGAGCTAATTTCGAAGTGATCGTAAAGATCAAGATCATTGTTTAACACGTCGAAGAAAACAAAGCTCGCCTTGGAATCGATAATCAGAGAAAAGTTAATTAGATAATAGAGAGAGAAGATTTAGCACGATGCGTCATTCATTGATCATTCATAAACACGCATTCAGTCTTTTGATTTTTGCTTCTCTTCGCTTGTCGATATGTTAAATAGAGATGCAGTGATCATTTATCATTCAGACTCTTGTCATCTTCAATATGTATGAATATCTACAGGGAGAAGAAAGAGCAGATGTATGAAAACAAAAATTGATATTTATATGAGAATGATGCAATATGAAAGAAGGGATATATCCGATACCAGATTTACACTTAGAATTATTTTAGTTCGTCGAAATGAGACAATATGTTGCCTAATTGGATTTGGTATTGGCGTTGGTTGTTGTATACTCTATCGTCTTATTTCGAATTTTCTTGCTCCTTCTTCATCATCGTCATCAACAACATCTATCTCATCTAATACTCTATCGTCTTTGTCAAACAAGAAACGTGATGTAAGCAACAATTCTCATTTACCGCTTCTAATGAAGCTAGAACACGTTTACAAAAAAAGGTCAAATAAGAGTTTCATTCATCGTTTTGCTCTTTTTCGAATAGGCGAAAGCGCTACACAACATGGGTCAAGACTATTCATCGTTTTCTTCGAATGGAAATGAAATTACTGTAACATACACCAAACGACCACGGTCATCAACAAGTTCTAAACAATCTTTACCTGCAATTCACCACAATGCAAACTCAACAATCAATCGATCTCATCGTCCATCCTGTTCGAATGACTCGGACCGAGAGCCATTACTTGGCTTACCTATCGATAAACGCCACGAGTATATTCCAAATAAAACGTTTACTGCCAGTCATCTATCTGATGAAATGACATGGTCAGAAATCTCTTCATCGTTAGGAACAGTTGGCTTATTGCAAGATTCTTATCATTCCAATTCATTAACAGGTGATTCTGGTGTTGATTGTCAAGAAATTTCAACAATACGATCATCGCGTAATCAAGCACATCTTCATGATCTAACGACAACATCAATAACGACAGCAGAGACTAATCCCAGTGCAATTATTGATGATGATGATGATGATGACGATGAATCCATGATTAATTATTCAACTAATGGAACCAATACATTACATTATTCGGGTTCAAGACGATACGATTCAGACACAGCACTCAGTCGTGGTGTATTACTTCACGAAACGCGTAAATAATCAGCTTCTTAATCGTTTCATCCTATAGGTTTTTCTCGATCATTTAGAGACAGCAACTGAATCACATGTGATGTCATATATGTCAACGGAAAAAGGTTTAGATCGGGCGTTGGAACAAACCAGTCGATTCTATTCTGATCTTGAACATATCGCTACGGATTTGAGTAGTTTATCGAAACGATACTCTCAATCTCAAATCTCGATTTCGCCGTCATTATCGAAATACTATCATCAACATAATCGACCAGTATTTAATACAATCGATGCACTTGATTGGGATTGGCACGATGTTCATTCGCCTCCATTGATGCAATCACCGAAGTTATTTCATCGAAAACAGAATGTTTCATCGTCTTTACCACGTCTGAACCAAACTTCGACGAAGACGAAAGCTCGAAGAAAGTTAAATCATACAGCAAATCAAACAGAATATCATGAATCAGATTTAGAAATGCGTACAACACATTCGTATGATTGTACGAGTTCGCCATTGAAGCGAAGTAAGTTTTCAACTTCATTCATTTGAAAGGATATCGAACTGTGTTGTTCGTACTTTTTCAGGACCGAGTTCAGTGTATTTTGATTCAACAGATAATACAAGTGGCGAGGAGAACTTCGGAGATGAGACTCTTCAAATAACCTCTTCACCAACGGTGCTAACTTCCTCAAGAACAACCGAGTTCTTTTCGACGACTACTCAATAACAATCTGTTTTCTTTTTCTATTTTAAATCGTTTTTCATTTCCGGTGGATGATGGAATGAAGAGCCTTACGAAACAAACACAACACTTGGCAAAAAAAAGGCAAACCCTTCTCTTCAGTTATTTCAACATAACTTCATCATTTCTCTTGGTGATACAGTGAGATCTATCCTTTTCTCGGTGTGTCAGATTCTGTTTCTGTGTATTGATGACATCTTCTCTTTTCCTATATATGTATATGTCATTCTCTCCTACTCTTTCTTTGTTTGACAAATGTCTCTTGTTCTGACCATTGTTTTCCCTCGTTTTTCTTTCGTGTTCAAATTGCATTTGTTCGCTACAACTCCTAGATCGATGATTAATCCCTTGTTCTTTACATGGAAAGATGATGATAATGATTGTTGACAGACAAAAAAGTATTTAGTTTGATTTAAATGTCTGTCTAGCTTCGATTCTCTCTCTTTACCTTTTTTTCTTCTTTTGTTTATTTTCATTCTTATACATCGGCCATTGTTCTTCTTGGCATATATCACATACGAGATATACATGTGTACTTTAAAATAAATACGAACAGCTAGAATTGCTGATAGACGCCTAAGTTATAATTAAAACTTTTCGGTATTTAATCATTGTATATCGCTTGTCATACACTCAATCGGTAATGAAAAATAAATTCTAATGTCGAGTGTGAATTCATTGGTTGCTTGCATTCGTGTGGACAGAATGTTACTATGTAAACAAACGAAAAATGCAGTGTGCCAGAGCAAAAAGTAAAACTTTTCCATGGTGCGACATGCATTTGTAATGATTCACCACTACCTCGATTAATAACTTTTCGAAATGCTTATTTTTCTTGGAAATTTTGATTATAATATTTCTCCTGAGATTTCTATTGATTAAATATTAACAAGAGAACTAGGTCTGACGTATATTCACCGTAAAACGTAGAGAAATAACTGTTAATTTCATTGAGTTAATCTAGTAATTGTCTTCACAGCATGTCGGATTAGAAATCTGACAAGATTATTCCCCTTTCAAAAGTCATGTTTTCCGACAAAATCATCGAAAGACTATGGTGAATCTGACATAGGTACTCTAATGCTTTGAAGATGATTATCTAATATTTTTTATTCAATGTCATATGACAAGAGAATATGAAATAACGTAATACCAGACATCACACGTACTTTCTCGTTATCATGTAAAACAAAAGAACAGAATGAGTTTGTTTTATTTGACCTTCTTGTCGTTTTAAATACTCAGTGGAGTTACGTAGACAATGCTAATCTTCCAGGGCATTCGAACGTCACGAGCAAAATCTTGCCGAATATTTGAAATTTGATCAAAGGTGATGGTCTGTATTTTTCTATTTAAAAAAAAACAGAGAGAAATTACAAAATACACGTCACATATACGCATCCATACAATAGTATCACAAAAAAGTCAATAGACGATACAGATCTCCGCGTTCCTCCTTCTTATTTATTCTACAGACATTCGAAAAACCTGAAAAATATTTAAAAAAAACACGTGAAGAGAAATCTGCATGAGTATAGACACGAGCAAAACATCATTTGCATAATGTACAAAGTTTGCCTTTGCCAACCAATGGACAAATTACCAATCATCATCATCATCTGCATTACTACTCTTGTTCCTAGCGTGTGGAACGAATTTGAGAAGTAGTGCCGCATCAACATTTGTCGAACAATGTGGACAAGTTAAACTTTTCTCTAACCATTTGTCGATACAACTCGGATGGAAAACATGTCCGCCATCGCATGGCAGTTGTCGTATTTGCTCGTCAGGAAGAAAATCCATCAGACAAATATCACATCTAAGGAGAATATTCAATGATGAATTTGAATGGCGGAGGAGATCTTACTCGGTTTGTTTGACTGTTTTTTCATTGTAATTGATCAATGGTAAGTGTTCAACAAGATTTCGACATTGAGCAGCTTTGATCGCATCCAAATCAGCAGAGGAACGATTTAATATGACTAACTAGAATTATCCATTGTAGAAATCGAATTTTATACGAACTGATTTCGATCTCTTACTTTCGGCATGTGCATATTTGACGTTGTAGAGTTCGGATGAGCAAATGTTAAATACGAATTTGCAGGTGGAAGTGCTGCTGAGGTAGGCATTGACGCAAAAGGTGTAATAGGTGCATGAAGTAAACCGGAATGATCCTCAGGCATACGCCAACAGTTACCCATGGGTATGTGCTGTGTAATAGTTACTGTTTGTAAGGAGATGAATATCTAATGATGAAAAAGAAAAGCACGTGTATATATATAGAGATAATTGAAGACCAATGTGTAGCGTACGAAAAGATCAGCTGGGATCACCTCTTTTTTTCCTTCTTCTTCATATAGTTGAGTGCAAGTGACTCAATCTTAATCATATGAAAATGAACCAATCTGAAGAAAATCTTTTTTCATTTTTGAAAATAAAATTTCTTGAATTTCCTTGTGATTTTAACAAAATTTGAAAGTTCGTTTTCATTCTGAGTAGATGTCGCTAAGTGTCTTGAAGAGAAATCACCGCATTGGAGATGCACATGAGCGCCTGTCTAAAATGGCTGCCTTCTCTCGTCGTCGTATGATTTCTTTTCTTCCCTCGCTGAGCGTGTGATTGATAAGTCATGACATATATTTGTGTTTGATTTTTTGTTTTTTCGTTTCAGATACGATATTATCTAATACGCTCATTTTGTATTCATTCGACCAGTTGAAGATATAAAAACGCCTTTTTTTCATCTTCAATTCTTTGACAATGACTAGCAATAATCGTCCAGCAGGCAATGCAGCTGCCAACAGATCAACAGCCAACGGTCAAGCAGCGCGCACATGCCAATTCAAGATGGTTCTACTAGGAGAATCAGCAGTAGGAAAGTCATCGTTAGTACTTCGATTTGTCAAAGGACAATTTCATGAATACCAAGAGTCAACAATTGGTGCAGCTTTTCTTACACAGACTGTTTCGGTTGATGATACGACAGTTAAGCTCGAATTATGGGATACTGCTGGTCAGGAAAGGTAAATCAGCGGACTGAATAGTTGATCGGTTTCGAAGATAAGATTTTCTTCTAGATATCATTCATTAGCGCCAATGTACTATCGTGGTGCACAAGCAGCTATCGTTGTTTATGATATAACCAATGCGGATACGTTCAGTCGAGCTAAAGTATGGGTTAAAGAGTTACAACGTCAAGCAGCACCGAATATTGTTATTGCATTAGCTGGAAATAAGGCTGATTTAGCTGCCAAACGTCAAATCGAAGTCGTTGATGCTCAAGCATACGCAGAAGAAAACGGTTTAATATTTATGGAAACATCCGCTAAGACAGCAGTAAATGTTAATGATATATTTATGGCAATAGCGAAAAAATTACCGAAAAATCAAGATTCGTCAACGCCAGGTGGAAAATCACCGGGTGGTAATTCGATAACTGTCGATCGGCCAGTAAATTCCGTCGGAAGTGGAAGCGATGTAGGATGTTGTGGTAGTGGCACTAAGTGAAAAGGATCTTTCTACATATTTCTTTCGTTTTTCTTTCTTCTTTTCATCTCGTTCTTACTCTAAACACCGATTATTCGACGCTCTTCACGAACAAAATCGATTCGTCACAAAAGAAAGAAGAGACTCATCCTGAAATGCACATAAAATTCAACTCTGAGCCGCCGAATCTTTTGTTTTTCATCTCTGTATATAACATGTATTAATATTCTTTTGTTCATGCGGTTTTTCTTCTCTCGTCACAGTGATATCAGTTAGATCGGCTAAGAAAAAGAGCAACAAGTTCAACAGGCAGATCATTCGCTTATATACACTCAAGCATATACATTTTTATTTATATATTTCAAATGCGTCGCGTTTCTCGATTTGAATTCGTTTCGGTTTTTGTTCTTTATTCAATCTCTCGTGTCTTGTATCTCTGTAAATCTCTCTGTTGTCTTTTATTTGCTTGTGCTTTTCTCTTTTCTCTTTTTTGCGTATTTACAAAACAACTACACTTCTATATATGCATATATCCAACGGTATTCTACTTGTCCGCATAGGTAACAAGAAAGAGCTCAAAGAAAGTGAACATATCAATCGTTTGTTTCACGTAGATAAGATAGATAATCGTACCGAAGGATTGGATGGTTCGAGTATCACATGTCATGTTGATTATTTCGAAATCTTCCTTCTCAAATTAGTCTCATTTAGATATAGTGCTCCCATGAACTTAGAACGTGCAGTCGGCTCACCTATTTGAAGAAGTAAGATAACAACGAGGGTGAAGAGTGCAAGAGAGAAGAAAATAGAATCTATATCAAGTATATCGGATGTGAAAATAGACAAGTTTCGAAATATAGTACTGAACGACGAGAACTTCCAGCTTAAAAGACATCGCACGAGTTGATTTGAAAATAATGACACGATCAAAGTTTTTTTTGTGGAAGTATACTAACAGCTGAATGTCGGTGCGATGTTTTTATTCTTTCAGCAGTGTCAATTGTCTACTGCTGAAGCATTTGTTTTATATTTTAAAAAACATCCAGAGAAATCAAATCGTGTATATGCAATAACAAAAAAAGATAACCTTAAAAAATGAGCACAACAACAATAAACATAACGAACAAAGAAAAGAAAGTTTTAGTGTGAATGAAATCATGTTTAGGAGTTGTTAGTTGATGCAGGATGTGTGTGAGTTGGAAGAGCAACGAATGATTTATTCGATGTTAAATGGCCGAAATTTTCTTTCAATAAAATTTGAAGTCGATGACGGTTACCTGGAAAAAAAAACGAGATCGAATCATAATGAGAAACTTTCGATCATTACCATCGAGTAAATCCAAGTAGAATTTCAATTGAAATGAATGAGCTGGTTGTGATTTACCAAACAAATTAACAAACTATCGAGAACAAACATCAGAATGACGTAGTGAAGAGACGATAAAACATACTAGATTGAAATTTTTGAAAGCTTTCTCAACATCATGTGTAATTGCATAGATAGCAGCAATATTATAGTAAATAATCGCTTGTCCGACTCGAGCATCACGTGGTGACCAGTTGACTAAATCAGCTGAGAAGAAAAACAGATCGAATCGTATGAAATTTCTTTTGTTTCACGTACCTTTCGGAACTGTTGGTGTTGTTTCTGGTGTATCAGGTTTCTCCTCTAAACCAAGGAACAGAAAAATAGAAAAAGATCTAACAGTCGAAACCTTTTCTTCTACCTCCTTTATCAACTGTAGTGATGGGTATTTTAAATGAAAGATCACTTTCGTTTTTCACTGTATCGGCATCGAGTTGCGTGAGTGCTAATTCGACTTTATTCATAGCTAAGAAACTTTCGGATAAATATAATCGAGCAAGATACCTAAATGAAAAGGAATTTTTCTGTAAATAAACGAGAAAACAGGACTGACAGACTTATGTCCAGAGGATGCTCGAGGTTCACTCAATAGAGTTGTTGAATAGTTCTTCGCCAAAACGAAATCGTTTAAACATAGGGAAACGTATGCAGCTGCAATTAAAATCGAACATTTCAATGACAGCATGTCGCCAATTCGCATGGGATTTCCTGGTGGCGCCGGATACAATTTCGTTTCTTCTTTTCTATAAACACAAACCGCGAAGTTCTCTCTCCGAAACGACTTTTTTCTCTTACTGTAAATCCGCATCAGTAATAACTGGTAAAGATGTTAACGCATTTTTCAAACAAATCATCGCGAACTCCATCGAACAATTTTCATGATCATTCGTCGTTGATCGTTTCATCGAGGTTGACGTGTTACAATTTCCCAGAATTAATTTATGATGAAAACCGGTTCCGATCGATTGTAACACACATTTCAACTTCTCCTCTAATTTGAATATGTCCTCATTCGATGAACGATAGACCATTATACAACATTCCGCTAAACGTAACCATAGACGAATATTATTCGAATAAATATGTATGACTTCGATTAAACATTCAAATGCGGCCAGTGGCTGATGTTTGAACAGTAATTGAATGCCGAGATTGTAAAGAATTTCATATTTACGATTGATTTGATGAGCAATCAATTGTTTGTCAGTAGAATTTAATTGTTCGATCAACAAACGATTGTTTTCGGTTAAGGCACGACGCATGTAGAACAGAGCGAATGCAGATTTATGTAAATGAAAGTGTATACACGAAAGATTGTTGTAAAAGCAATGGGACGAGTTTTTTTGCAGTGATGGGGCTGATGGATTAGTTTGTTGATTATTGGTGAGAATCTTTAATGCTCGAATGTGATTTTCTTTGAAATATTCGAAATTCGCACGTGCATAGGTTAGATTTGTTGATGACTGAAGAGAAGAACAATGAACAGACGAAAGAATATCGATGAACTTACTAGATTGGTGTTTTGAAGTTGTTTTAATTCTTTTTTACATGTACGCAATGACTTACGCATGAGTAAACAACGAATTTTATACTGAAAAATGAATGTTGAGATGGAGAAATGAACAAAGAAGGACTCACCAAACTAATCTTAGATTTGAGAATTTCCAAATTATCATTTAACATATTTGGACTATGAGATACACCATTTGATGGTGGACTACTTCGTTCGGCGAGTAATTTGTCGAGATGTGCAATAACACCCAGTGCATTATCCGGCTAGAACAGACAATTCAATTTCTTTTTTAAACAAACACCAATTGTTTTACTTGAAATGTACACAAATCGAGCTCAGTGAGAAGAAGACAAACTTTCCACGAAAGTGTTTCATCTAGAAAATACATCGAAGAATGTCAAAACATTCAAATATGAATTAATTACCGAGTTGTCCGATTAGTCGGAAGAGTTTTTCAGCAATGACTAATGCTGTTTGATATTGACGCATATGATAGAGAAGAACGGCCATATTATAGAATACTGTACATTGATCGGGTTCTTCCAAAGTTGTAACATCGTCTGATACGCAGTTGAGCTAGAGAGAAGACATTCAAAAGCTTTTCTCCAAACCTGAAACGAAAGTTTACTTTCTCAGCGATTTTATTCAGTTGAGCTTTGAATATTTCTGTTTTTTGATAGTTGGACATCGAGTATTCAGTTAAGGCAATATTAAACAAAACTTTTGGATCATCTGGATACGATTCCAAAATTTTCTGCAAAGTTTTCAGACAAACTGAAAAGACATTTCTCATCAAATCTTGTTCTCTCGAACTCCGGCATAACATACCATCGAATTGTCCTGCTTCATATTCGTGTTTTGCTTTGCTTGCTAATTCTTTATCCTGTTCCGAGAAAATAGAACTTGTTTCGTTATTATTAGTTGTAGTTGTATTGTTATCTTCACTCATAGTTATGGCAAAATGAAAGAATAGAACGAATTATCTACAAAAAACAGGATCAATTTCAATTAGGAATGGTGACGTCTCTTTTTTTTCTTTGTCGAATGATCTTCAGATCGAGATCGGTTCGATTTTAATGATGGATTTCGAAAGACATGTAAATAATTACAACGACGACCTTTCGGACATTTGCCGAGCTCAGATAAACCTACGAATAATCAACGATTAAAGAATAAATCGTCCGTATTTCTCACCGCAAATTGCTGTTGACCAACTAGGAATATTTACAAATTGACATTGAACCATTCGACCAGCATAATATCGAGTATTCAATGCTCTGTACGCTAGCATGGCTTGATAATCCCTGTTGAAAACACATTGGAAACAGTAGGAAACGAGAAAAACACTTACGTTTTGTACTGTATGTAAACATTTCCGCGTAGATGAATTTCTGAATTCGAACAGACCTTGAACGTTATCACTTGCCCAAATCGTTCAAATTCCGGTAGCACATCATAATAGAAATCTTTAAAATTTTCATATCGTTCTGATTCTTCAAATTCCAAGCCAATATCTACAATCTTCTCTTAATAGTATTCCAATTCATTCGATTCGTTCCTACCCAGATCGTATTCTTCGTCCAGTCCATATTGCATTTCAAAATTCGAGTACATATTTACAGCTAACAGAGTGTTGGTGATATCTGGTTTTGGATGGGCACGTCGACAACTGAAAAACGTCGATCATTTCGAAGAAAAATCATCGGAAAGATCGAACAAACCGTTCACCATATCGACAGACACCGGTTTTGGAGTAAAATGCACATGGAGGACGTTCAATGCTCGGAACTTGATACGGAGCAAGTGGATTATGCGTGGAAGCCGAAATGGATACTGTCTATAAATATGAAACATCAAACAACGATGAACTGGTGACCGATCTTACTTTTTGCTTCTCTTCTAACTTTTTTCGTTGGATTTCTCTTTGTTCATATGCTTTTAGGGCTTTCTCACTAGATAAAATCATTAGCAGTCACCATTTTCTTGTCTGAATCGTACTTCTCCTGTTCTTCTTGAATTTCTCGCTGATGTCGAAGGTTTTCCCGATGAATAATCCATGCTTGATGCAACGGATCATTTTCTCTTCGAATTTCTTCGCATCGAAGTTTGTCATCACGTTCTTTCGCGTTTCGCTGTCGAAGAAATTGTCGGCGTAGTTTTTTTATCAATAATCGATATATTCTATGGCTTAAAAATTTATAAAAAGAAAAAGTCAAGGAGAATAAATATGAAAATTGATCAGAAGCAAACGTATCAAACAGAACAAAAGGATATTTGTTATACTTGAATGTTTTCGATGGATACTTGGCTTTGAATTGTTCAATTTGATGGCTTTTCAATTGTTGAAAAAGTTCATTATCGATTCGAATATTCATTTCAACTAAATCTTCCTGATTTCCATTAGTGGTCCATGTTTTACTCGATTCCATACTATTCACCAATCAGATTCAAGTACACATGTGTCGACATTTGGAAAATAAAAAACAAGCACATGATATTTTTCTCTTTCCATCACAAATCAGGATATTTTCACTGATTGAACGAGTGATTTGTGCTTTTTTTCTTCGTGATTATTCGCATCTAGTTTAACATTCAGATGTTTACTCGGCGGTTTGAATGACCTTGACAAATAATGTCACTAGCACGATAATCAATCAAGGAAAAACTCTTTGTTTATGTTTACGTGTATTGTTTTGCTCATTTTCTGTTCTAGAATAGATTTGCAAAATGCAACCGGGTGGACAAAGTCTCGTGGATCGACTCTTAGCGGCGAAAAATACCATCGCTGGACAAGCTCTAGCGAAAGTTGTTTGTAAAGCAACAACTGAAGAAATCATGGGTCCCAAACGAAAACATTTAGATTGTAAGAAGACTTTCTGTTAGCACATTTTTTTATTTTGTGTTTTGTGAAGTTCTTTTGCAAGCAACAAATGAAATGAATGTTTCTATTCCTCAATTGGCTGATTTACTGATTGAACGTACGCAAAATTCATCATGGGTGGTTTCCTATAAAGCATTAATTACCATACATCATCTGATGTGCTTTGGAAATGAAGTAAATCTTTTGTGAAAAGAATTTTTCATAGTTAACTTGGATATTGTAGCGTTTTGAAGCGTATATGGCTTCGCATAATCATCGTCTTCAACCGGCTGCTTATTTGGATCGAATGGGGATGCCTGGTGGTGATATGTCGAGTTACGTTCGACGTTATGCAAATTATTTGAACGAAAAACGCGATGCTTACAAGTTAACTGGTTACGATTTTTGCAAAATCAAACGAGGGTTTGTTTTGTCTTGGATAACTTCGTTTGCAAACGTTGTATTTCGACTTTTTTTTGTAGAAAAGATGATGGCGTTCTTCGTACAATGCCGACGGATAAGGTTGGAGACAGATTTGTATCGAATTTGAAAGTGTATTGTTCGATATTTTAGTTGCTGAAAGCGCTTCCAATTCTTCAAAAACAACTCGATGCTTTACTAGAATTTGAAGTAAGATTTTTTGTTTAATTTTTCGTTGAAAAAGAAAAAGAAAAGTTTAGGATAAAAAGTTGAAATCTGCTGTAAGTTTGAATTGCAGTGAATTGAGATGATGCATGAGAAATCAATGAATTTTCACATAAAATCAACTCATTTTTCTTACTCTGTTTAGGTTACACCTAATGAACTTACCAATGGTGTTATCAATAGTTGCTTCTTTCTCTTAATCAAAGATCTGATACGTTTATATGCTGCATTTAATGATGGAATGATCAATCTACTTGGTAAATCAACAAGCTTTGCTCCTTACTTATCCAAAAAACTGATCTTTATTTTGCAGAAAAATATTTCGATATGAATAAAAAGCAGTGCCGCGAAGGATTGGACATTTACAAGAGATTCCTCGAACGAACCGACAAAGTATCAACTTTTCTTAAAGTGGCTGAGGTAAGTGTTAATCGACCTGAGTTTCTGCAGACTATTCTTCAAATTCATCAGCGATATAGTCAATTATTTGAGCGAGGATTTTGGAAACAGGTAACACTCGACTTCGACCGCAATTGAGGATGAAAACTACCTTCCATTTCACCATTTGGTTTTCTGTGTTTGTCTCACGAATTTGACCAAGTTTGTTTTTGTCTCTCTTTGTCTAGCAACTTTCCGTTTATGTTTATCGGGTTTGTTTTGCTCGATAGAAACAAATTAATCTTACCATAATATGGCTTACTTTGATTTCCTTTGCTCTAATAGTTTGCGAGATACTAACATGAAGAAAAAGCTCGTAGATGACGAGATTGAAGATCTAATGCTGTTTTGTTTTCTCATTTTTAGACATCGGGTATGGATCGAAGTGAAATTCCGGATTTATCACGAGTAAGTGCGACGAATCCAACTTTCGAAAACGACCATTTCATTGAGAATTTGTGTACATATGTGTAGAGAATTGATGATAATAGAGTAAGTGCGAAGGGAAATGGAGATAAAACTTGCATGAATTTAATAGTTCTTGACTAAATCGAAGAATACTATGAATTGATGTTTAGTAGAAGATAGATTATGCCAATTTTTGATATTCTTAGGCGCCAAGTAGTCTTTTGGAAGCTTTGGAAAATCATCTGGCACATATGGAAGGTAAAAAAATACCACCGCAAGCATCAATCTCACGGTATTTACAAAGAAAGTGAAATGTATACTATATAATGAAAAATTCTTCATTAGACATCAAACGGAACAAGATCTGAAGAGCTTTTCACGTGATTTAATATTTAATGATAGCGATGATCCACAAAAGATACTCGAAGAAGAAGCTAAAGCACTTGCACTATTCAATAAGGTTCGAATCTTCAATAAAAACTTTCGTCATTATATCGATTATGCCATGCCTATCTGTATAGAACAAAGATTTTTCTAATGCTCCGACAACAACATCGAGCGGAAATGGTTTTGGTGATACAGATTTCTTTTCTCAGCACCAACCACCACCATCATCATCATCATCGAATGGACAATATCCATCCTTACCAGCAGCAAATACTATTAATCAACAGCAACAATTATTAACCGATGATCTTTTCTCACTTGCAACACCACCAACTCAAACAGCTACTAATACATTTTTCAATAATAATTCAAACACTTTTCCAGCATTTCAACAACCACCGCAACAACCATTCCAAACTGTACTCGATACATCGGTACCTAAAAGTAAGTACATCGCTCTACTGTTCTCAGAGAGTGTCACTTCTGTCAATTTGTCTAATGATAAACATTACAAACATCTTATTTGTTTTTTTCTTCCCTTGAAAAGCGGAAGAAGCTCCGCATCATGAAACATCGACATTGTCGAATCTTAACGAAGGTAGCTTTCTAAATGTTGTCGCATGTCATGTGTTATCCCCACCGCATGTATCGACATTTGTATTAAGAGTGTCACAGATATCTAATTTGTGTACATGTATTAATCATTTGGTATTGATTTGTATTCTAGCAAACTTTTTCGACGATATTCTTCAACCGACATCGCTCTCATCAGGCAAAACTACATCAACAGCACCGTTATTTGCAAATAATCAAAACATTCCAACGGCTGCGAAACCACTTCAATCGGGAGATCTGAACTCATCATTAAATCAATTATTCGAAAATCTCGATATGAAAGATCGATCACGAATTGGGTAAATATCTGTCATGAACTACGTCTTATCAACAAATTTCTTTCATCCTCTTCAGCAAAGATCATCAATGGGTACCGGGTGATGGGAAAAACCAACAAAAGATTGGTATGGGAAGCGGCACGATGAATAGTCCTGGCGCATCATGGCCAAGTCAGCCCACCATTGGAGCGCCGTTTGGTGGTGTACGTACATCTCGAAGATCTTTACTTCACTTTCTTCTCTCGGTGTATTTAGATGGGCGGTTCGCAACCAAATACAATGTGGCAACAAGCACCAGCCCAAGCAGCGTCAACCAACCCTTTCGCTGCACCTAGTGGCTCGTCGGTACGTGATTTTTCTTTTCTTTTCTTTTTCTCTTGTCATAGTCGGTTGCTCGCAATCGTTATCATTGGCTATTTTCTCTTTGTTCCGAGTTCTCCGTTCCTGGCCTATATTTACTGAGCATTTTTCTCGCTCTGTTTTTATCTTCGTGTTTCAATGACGCAAACACATTCACTCGTTTATTTCTCTCTCTTTCTATTTTACCCGTTCGCCGACACACAAACTCAGATACGATTTATTTGCATTCGCTGACAATTTCTTTGGTCGGTTATTTTTCTTTCCAGTGTCGTTGTGTCATAGCAGCAGGCAATGACACCCCTATTTCAAACATCTTTTTTCTCTCACTACGAAAAAAAGAAAAAATTATGCAACTAACAACGAACGAGTCATTCACCTATCTTACCCTCATTATTCGCTTCGTTTCTCTCCCGTGCACATGTGCTTTTACTAGCAACTCAGTGTGCACATATCAACGGAAAACAGAGACAAGAAGCAAGCAGCAACCAAACATAAAGCACAACTTGCAATAACGGTTTTTGCACACAAGCACTTCGAGTTTAGTTGCAATGATGTCTCTCTCTACTGCGTATGTGTGTGTGTGTGTGTGTGTATGTGCGGGCGCACAAACACGGCTCTCCTTCTCTTTTTCCCTGTACCCCTCTCTTTTTTTGCATTGACGACAGGCAGTCATTTGATTTCACGTATGTAGTGATAGAAGCAGCAGTATTAACAAGAGAAAATATGCTCTTTTACGAGCTTTTTTCTCGATTCATCTTCGGCATATTTTAACATGAGGGCAAAACTCGTTTGGAAGGTGATTTGAGCCGAGTGTAACCAGTAAGTACGTACAAAATCTATTCCTATACAGCTTTCCCTCCTAATTCGCGCCCATAAACGCACACACACACATATACACAGAAAAAGAGATATTATTACACGACGGAACAATGTCTAGATGCAACAAGGAAATTTGCATTTAGTTTTTGAGATTATTAGTGATGCAGCCGATGGAAATATTCCATCTTCTTTCATTTGCAAGTGTACTCTGTTAGATGTCAGATTAAATCAAACAGAAAAGACATGATTCTTGCAAGTTTCAGTCTAATATTGCAACTACACAATAGATCAGTGCATGAGCTATATCATGACATGCTCATCAATTCATAGTCATAATCGATAAACAAAAACGGAAAGGACATTTATTTGAAGTTTCATGTGAACTCGTTGTCATTCTATTCGGTAGAATAGTCAATATAATCAAAAACAACCATTGTCAACTATTTTCAAGTATTTCTATACAACATGATTGAGAGCCGAAGAAATGAGCCAAAACTTGTCGAGCATAGGACACGGTTATGTTCAGGAATATTCCTACTTGAATATTGATTGTATCACAACAATAAAAATGTATCTTTAATCTTTCAACAGATGTATATGATGAATATGATACGCCCGTATTATCCTGCGGTAATACCATCTTTTTCTGTACCCGGGTGTTTGTGTGATTAGAACAGATAACTAATTGAATGATCCTTAATCTTTCTCATTTGATTACTCAAATCGCCTATTTGCATCGACTATTCTACTAATATCGCTAATTTTTATAGTTAAAATGCTTCAATGTAGAACACGCTTAAGCTTGGGGATATTGTTCAAACATCAGATTCTAACAGAGGCTTTGATATATCATAAAAGACTTCCGTAGTGCGCATATTGCATGAGTCTACTAAATTCTTTTGTCTTGATGATCATTAAGGAGAACACGCTTCATTGTATTCTGCTTTTTAGCCAATGGGCTTTGGTGGTCAACCAGCGCGACCCATGGGAGCAAACACGAATCCATTTGCTGCTCCGCAATCGTTTGGCGCATCACCATTTGGTCAACCAGGCAAGCCGAATCAAGCGCAGGTTAATGATCCGTTTGGCGATCTTTAAATATGAATCAAATACGAATAGCATAAAAAAAGACTTTAAAATACTTAAGAGACAGAGAGAAAATCTGATCATTTTCCTTTTGTCATGTGCAATGCTTTATGTTATTTAATTGTCTTCGTCAAAACATTCTTATTATAATCAAAACGTAGTCGATCCGCGAACATTCCATCCCCCAGCCATTGATTATTACCTTCGTCGATTTATCTCTAGTCACCTGACCCAAAGAACTCCAAGCACAACAACAACAAAAACTCTTTGAAAAAAAGGACTCCATTCGACGTTGTACCTGTTAGACTTTGCTACTTCTCCTTCTCCTGATCTCTGCAAGTACATATGTTTTCTTTTTCTTTTCATTTCGTATTCTCTCTTATTCTTAATTTCAACATTTCCTAAACTCAATGTTTTACTTATGTAATTTGTATCCCTAGCCAAAAACAAAAAAGACGCAAAACGAAAAAAAATCACACACTATTTTTCTATATCTTTGTGAGTGTGCGTATGTTTGGTTAATTTTCTGTTTTCTTTTACAAATTACTAGCACTGTTGCCTTCTTTCTTCCTTTATTTACCCTTCTATCCTTATTTATTGTCATAATTCGTGTATGTACGATCTTCATTTCTTCTCTCATATATACCACCGGTTTCGCATTGTGTAGATTGAAATTATCTCTAATTTCCTTGTTCGTCTCATCAAACAAATATGTGTGTTTGTTGTTGGTGATTTTACCTTTTTTCTCCTCTCATAATTTTTTTCTTCATAAAAAGAAATTTTCATTAAATAGTGTCATAAAACAGATTCATTGTCTTTGATTTCTTTGAACGAGAGCTCTCGTAATTACAATACTTTGAGATTTTCAATTGTTCAACGACAAGTAACGTATCATTCGAATTTCTTTGTTTTAATATTCATTTAATTTCTATATTCGTTCTTTTCCAGGATGGTTGATACTCTTGACAATAAACATTACTGGTAAGCAATTTGATTTTCATATCGACAATAGTCGTCGCTACTTCCCAGTCAGTCGTCTGTTTCTATTCATAACTTATCGACGTCGGCAAGCGACATTGCGCGACCGTGCTATTCACATATATACTTCATCTAGTGAAGACAAAAGTGGATGACGAAGGCGTCGCTATCGTCCGTTCGGTAGAAAAGAGGTCTGGAGTGTATCATAGTCAAGATGGCGATGTAATCGTGAAAGGAAAAAATCGAAAATAAAACAACGTACAATATATATGGATCGAATGTGTTGAGTGTATGTGCTCATCGTATGATATTCTTATACTTTATTACAATCAATGTTCAGGTAATGGAAAGAAATTAGTTTAGCAAGATATTAGCCGAAAAATTCGGTGTGAAATGGGAAAAACCTGTCTGAAAATGTTTGTTTATGTTATTTACATTTGGAGAGAAAATGTTCATTTCGACGTTTCTTGACGGAATTTTCTCGATTTTTCGTGGAATATTAATATCGAGAGATTGTCCAGAGTCTCCCCGTGACGGGCCCTTCATTTTTCAAAAGACCTTGATCGACTTGGGCGTTGTGTGAAGTATTGAAATATGATCGAGGTTGAGAAAGAAACGATCATTTTTCGATTTCTAAACGACGCATTCATCGAAGCAATCGAAAAGCTTCTATAAAAGATTGGAAAAGTTGTCGACAAATGAAGTATGGTTGAAAATTCCCAGTCTAATCGCTTGTTTTTCTCTCGATCGAGTCGGAGAAAAGTTAGTAGAGAGAGACAATTTGCGGTTTTTTTGACAGATCGTCACATGTCAAGGCTAGCAGGTGAAACCTTATTGTCAATTTCGTTTCTACTTTCTCATTTCAGCAATTCCAATACTCAACATCAGTTAAACAGTGATTATCGAACGACACTTGATCATCAGCAATTGAATGACGATGAAGAATCCAATCCAATTGAACAAAACTCTAGTTTATCACATTTCATATCATCAGCGACGAGATTAGACGACGATGAAGAGGATAAACCTCTTCTATCGCGGCAACAGCATAACCAGAACAAAGCAGCAACATCATCAGTAGTACCAAATAAAAATATCTCGCATAGTTCAGATGAATCTGAACAACATCAGGAAAGATTAAGTGATAGTGATGAAGAAAGCGAAGCAAGTGATGATAATGATAATGACGATGATGATGACGATGATGATGATGAAGAGGAAGAAGACGAGGAAGATGAAGATGATGACGAAGCAAGCGAAGACGAAGACGACGATGACGATGATGATGATTTCGACGATAGAAGACGATCGAGAGCAAAATCGAAACGTGGCTTTGGTCAAGCAAAACCCAAAGGCAAACCGAAAAAACAAGTAAATATTTTCTTTGCCATTGACCATCCGATAAACCTATCACGATGATAGGTCTCTTCCTTGATATCAGAGGATAATGGTGTTTATTCTCATTAGTTATGATCACTTGTAGAGCGTGTTATAGAGTTTCCCTTCCATTATTGAATTGAAATATCGAATAGAATTTGTTTATTCAGGCAAATCGTTCGAGGAGTGCTGCGACGAATGCATCGTCCACTCGCAAACGTCAACGAACGTCGTCGTCGACAAGTTTTACATCTGTATCGAAGAAACCTCGTCGTCAGCAATCGGCCGGTGGTGGCGCATCATCGGCTTCATTGAATAAACGAAAGAATCGTCGAACAGCTACATCGAATCCAATCAACTATCACGAAGAATCCGATGATGACGAACTAAACAATCAAGTGCGACGTCGATCGAAGAAACAACAACGTCATTTATCATCGAATTCCGATTCCGATGACGACCAAAACAGTAATAACGATGATGAATCGAATTCGAACGAATACCATCAAGTCAAATCCAACCTTGTCACTGATCTCGAAGTTAATACTGCCAAACGGCAAACCAAAGTGCGCATATCTGATAATCTCTCATCGTCCGGTGAAGGAATGACGCTCGTCGCAGATGAACCATCATCCGAAGTGATCGAAAAAGTTTTGAAAGTACGTTTCGGTCGAAAAGACGCGACTGGTCCGTCAACAACTATCTATAACATTAATGAATTCGGTGATCCCAATGCTGATTATAATGGTGATGATGAAACTCAATCGGATGGTGAACAACAGTTTTTAATCAAGTGGAAAAATTGGTCACATTTGCATAACACATGGGAAAGTCGATCAAGTCTACAGCAATCACATGTAAAAAACTCGCGTATTCTAGAAAATTTCCTCAAACAACATGAACAGACACGATTGTGGCGCCGTGAGAATCTTAACATGGACGAAATCGAAATGTTCGAATGTCAACAAGAATTGAACGACACGGCCTTGGAGGGTTATCAGCTAGTCGAACGTATCGTTGCGCATGAAAAGAATCGTGAACAAGAGAATACGTATGATTATTTATGCAAATGGGACGGTCTACCATATAGTGAATGCACATGGGAAGATGGAAACTTGATATCGAAAAGATTCCAAAGTAAAATTGATGAGTATAACGCCAGATTAACACAACAAGCGGAAGATCTGCAATTGCAACAACAACAAGCCACTAGTGGAAGTGGAAGAAAGAAGGCGGTAGTGACTCGACCACGATTTTCACCGATTACTGTGCAGCCATTGTACTTAGCTCCTGAAGAACCTGAATTCAAACTACGAGATTATCAATTAGAAGGTTTAAATTGGTTAGCACACTCCTGGTGTAAACAAAATTCAGTTATCTTAGCAGACGAAATGGGACTTGGTAAGAATATCGTTCTTTCTCTGCAACTTCAATTCACTTGAGGGTTTGTTTTAGGTAAAACTATCCAAACAATCTCATTTCTCTCCTACGTTTTCGAAGAACATCACGTTCATGGCCCATTTCTCATCGCTGTCCCCTTATCGACTATTCAAGGTTGGCAACAAGAATTTCAACGTTGGGCACCACAAATGAATACTATTATATATATCGGTGATATGGTTTCACGTGAAAAAATTCGTCATTTCGAAATGTATGCATCTGGCAATAAAAAGCAATTGAAATTTCATGCCTTGCTAACAACCTACGATTTTCTCCTCAAAGACAGTAAATATTTATCGTCCATCAACTGGAGCGTCATTCTTGTCGATGAAGCACATCGTTTGAAAAACGATGATTCCATGCTCTATCGAAAATTGATCGAATTCGAATCGCAGCACCGAATTCTCATCACCGGTACGCCATTGCAAAATTCTTTGAAAGAATTATGGTCGCTGTTGCATTTCATCATGCCGAATGATTTCAATGATTGGAATCATTTCGATTCGAAATATTCCTCGTTATTAGCAACAAATGATACGAGTTCCGTGAAACGTTCGAGTGATTTGCATAAAGAATTAGAACCCTTCTTATTGCGACGTGTCAAACGAGATGTCGAGAAATCTTTACCAGCCAAAGTTGAACAAATTCTTCGCGTCGAAATGACACGCTTACAGAAACAATATTACAAATGGATATTGACGCGAAACTACCGAGCGTTGATTAACGAACGCGGTGGAAGTCTGCCATCGTTTATTAATATAATGATGGAATTGAAAAAATGTGCAAATCATGCATTTTTCGTTAAACGTGACGATGAAACCGCTGCTACACTTGATGAGATCATCAAAGGTAGTGGCAAGTTGTTGCTGTTAGATAAATTGTTACTGAAATTACGTGCAAGCAATCATCGAGTTTTAATCTTTTCTCAAATGGTGAAAATGCTCAATATTTTAGCTGAATACTGTAAATTAAGACGATTTCCATTCCAAAGACTCGATGGTTCGATGAAAGGCGAAATACGTCGGCAAGCGTTGAATAGTTTCAATCGTGAATCGTCGGAAGACTTTATTTTCCTTCTCTCAACCCGGGCGGGCGGTCTAGGTATCAATTTAGCTACAGCTGATACAGTCATCATTTACGATAGTGATTGGAATCCGCAGAATGATCTTCAAGCGCAAGCACGCGCACACCGGATTGGCCAAAAAAAGCAAGTTAACATCTATCGCCTTGTCGCCAAACAATCTGTTGAAGAAACGATTATCGAACGGGCAAAACAGAAAATGGTTTTAGATCATTTAGTTATTCAACGGATGGACACGACAGGTCGTAATGCATTTCAAAATTTTAATAATACACCGTCGTCGTCATCGTCATCGACGACAACGGATAATCGTCCATTGACGAAAGAAGAATTGAATACAATCATCAAGTTCGGTGCTGAAGATCTATTTAAAGAAAATTCCAATGAAGAAGGTTCAGTCGAAGAAGAATCGCAAAGAATTGATATCGATGAAATTCTTCGACGAGCTGAAACACGACAAGACGATGATTCCTCGTTACGAAACAGTAGTGAAGATCTTCTTTCTCAATTTAAAATTGCCAATATTCAAACTATGGAAGATGATATCATTGAACCAACCACAGTTGTGAATAAAAATAAAAGTTGGAAAGATATTATTCCTGAATCCGAACGACAAAAGTTCGACGATGAGTGTCTTGCGGAATTAACAGCTGCTTTGCCGCCACGTAGTCGAAAACGTGTGGAATTGTTCAATTCCACCTCCGAATTGGACAACAACAACAACACCAATCGCCAGTCGCATGTTGATATCATTCTGAATGAATTTACCACTAATGAAATCCGACGGTTTATTAAAAGTTTCAAGAAATTTGCGGATCCCCTTCAACGGTTGGATTTAATCACCATGGATGCGGAATTGGAAGATAAATCTCGGCAGGATATCGAAGAACTAGCTAAGCACTTATATAATGAATGTTTAGCAGCCGTTGAGCACTATACAAGTGAATCCAGTCCAACAACAAATACTCAATCGTCCTCGTCACCCAAAGACGAACAGACAACTTCTTCGAACAATCAACGTGACAAAACGCCGACAATACGTTTACATAATGTAAATATCAATGCTCTCCAGTTAATCAACTCGATCCGAGACTTCGAACCATTGAAGAAATTCTTTCTTTCGAACAATGAACAACGAAAGTCGAATCTATTTCCGGCAGGGATTAAGATCAAACCGGTACATTGGTCATGTATATGGTCATTGGAAGATGATAAAGCACTTTTGCGTGGCATTTACGAATACGGTTATTCCAATTGGGAACAAATTAAAATGGAACCAGAGTTGGGACTTTCATCGAAGATTCTTCTCGATGATAAACAATTGAAACCACAAGCCAATCATTTACAAACGCGTGCAGATTATCTTTTACGGTTATTGAAGCAATATTATGCAAATCCGGCGAATAAAAAGAAAGAGACGACCAAGAAGAAACCTCCGACAACACAAGTCTCGAGTAAGAAGACGAAAATATCAACGGAAGATAATGTTAATGGATCGAAACGACAACGACGGACAAATGGACCAACAACGAGTTCGAATGACAAACATCCGAAATCGAAAGAAATTATTGAAAATTCCAGTGGAGACGAAGATGCAACAACGAATAAATCGATGAAAAAGAAAGTTACAGCAACATCTACTTCTTCTTCTTCTTCTTCTCATACTAAACCCATCGAAGAAAAAGTAAAGATATAAAAATGACATTCTCTTTTCTCACATGAAATGTCTAATTTCAGGTCGTCAAATCACAGAAAAATGACGAAGAAAGTGTTTCGAATGATATGTTTCAACAGGTAGGTGCCAAATCGTCAGCCATTGATTTCATCATTTCTTATGTCGTCTTCTTCTAGTGCAAAGAATTACTTCGACCAGTCAAGAAATGGTTTAGTCGACTCGATGCGCCTGAAGAAGCATTCGATTCTCGAGATGATTACAATCGAGAATTCGAGAAATGTTTATTGAAAATCGGTGATCAAATCGAAGCGGTGCTTCAAACGAAAACCAACGACGATTATCGAACCTATCAAGGCCATCTTTGGACATTCGTATCGAAATTTACAACCAAGTTAACTGATGCGCAATTGAAAAAATCTTACCGAACATTTGCGAAAAAACGAAACGATGAAAGTGTACCAGGAAATCAAACACAAAAACCTGCCCAGCACCATCAACAGCATAATTCCTATTCGCAATCGAATACGAAAAATCGTCCTTCGGAACAAGATGAAACCTATCGAAAAGCTGGCTGGGGATCATCTTCGCAGGCGAGTGCGAGCACAACTTCAAGTTCTAATAGTAATCGGAATATAAAAGACGTGCGCCTGAAACACTCGTCATCCATGCCTTTAACAAAATCTTCGAGATTTGAACAAATGAACAATACAATTGGATCGACAAATACTGGCACGACTGTTTCCGATCATGATTCCCATCATCATCATCATCCATATGATCGCAATCGATATCATGCTAGTGGTGGTAGTAATACTAATAATCGAAGATCTTACCATGATTCTACCGGTGATTCTGCATCAGAATATCGTAATAACTATCATCGAGATCGAGACCGAGATCGCGATCGTGATCGTGATCGTGATCGAGACAAGTAAGACATCATTCACTTCAAAATAATTCATTCATTCTCTTGTTTTATTGAAGTAGTTCATCTCGTGGAGCACGTCGTCATGATTCTATGCCTTCACGTTATGATCAATCTTCATATAACAATCGTTCATCATTTCAAAGCAATTTTTCTCAACCGCCTCCACCTTATGATGAATCTCGATCATCAAATCGTTCAGGTGGAAGTAACAACAATAAGACCCGTCCATCACAAAATGCTCCACAGCCTCCATCAGCGCCTCCACCACCCCCACCTCCTCCACCACTTTTACCACCACCGCCGCCAACCGTACCGGGAAATGAACTATTTCAATCAATCTACCTTCAGTACTATGATATGTACATGCAACAAGCTACTGGGCTTTCTTCCTCGTCTCAACCATCGACAGCCAATTCCATGTAAGAGACTATGATTGACTGCTATCTCGATGTTACTGAACGACTCTTTTTTTCTTCGTTTCTCATTTAGTTCTCCGAACAGCTATGCTGAGATGGCTGCTAACTATGCTCGTCAACAAACTCAGTCATCAGCCTCTCAATCATCAAAACAATGATTTCACTTATTCTTTCCATCTCGTCTTATTTGGTCCTCTTTTTGATGTGATACACTTGTCTCGATTGATTCTTGTTCGTTCTCTCTCTCTATTTGTGTTTGGCATGTTTTTTAGTTCTACTATCTGATTCGTTTTCCTCTGTCTCTTCTTCGTATATGGAACTGTTCTCTCAGATGGGTGTAGACAAAGCAAAAAACTTATTTTCTAGGCGTGCTCGACATGTACGTATATATTTCTTGTTGCGTACTTCGGATTTATTCATATATGTACACTCTGTTTTCTTTTTTTCTCTTGATTCTGCGTTTCTTTTTTCTTCTGGTGTTTTTTTCTTCTTCTTTCTTGTGTGCTGCTCGATCAGCCGAGATTCTTTTGTGAACGCACGAAAAGATTCAACAAAAAATAAAACAGTTATTGAAACAAATATCTTCTCATTAATAAAAGCAATCCACGCGAATTGAGTCGTATTGCATCGGTGATCGGTGATAGGAAGAGAATAGCGCATGCTCATGTAGTGCCATCTGGAAGAAAAAATAATGACGCCGCTGCTTACCATTACAAGAATTGGATTCTTTCATTTGTCCATTCATATTTGATATAAAATAATAGATTGAATGTAATCGATCAATTGTTATCCAATCTTTTGTATTTCGTTGATTTATGATGGTTTTTCACGGCGAATCGACGATGATTGTCGAGCAAGTGGATTCGAAATTGGAAAACCAATCGTCATCGCCATGTTTTCATCCGTCGTGTTCGCATTGTGATGTGAATTATTTGAAAACACTCAATTCCGAGATCAATCAAATAACAAACGACACTGACCTTTTCAAATACTCTTCGTCGATTCCATTCGAAAATCAACGTTTAAACTTCTATCGAATCATCGACGAATGGAGATCCGATCGCGTCGAACATGTCTCCTTTATATATCAAAAGAAAAAGAATCAAGTCGACTTAATTTGTTCACAAACATCTCACGAGTACGAACTATTTCGAATAGAGCAGAAAAATTTCTTGAATGAACATCTTTTCCTCCATCCAAAAGCGCTCTATCCTACATTTATTCCCAATGAAATCGACGAATTGAATCAAAAACTATCCCTCACTCGACATTTACTCGATTATTTCGTTCAACCCAAATTAAACCATCTGAAAACATTTCTCAACAAACAGGATCATCACGATGACGAATACGTTAACTACGAGGATGTCTTCAAACGTAAACCCATCTATGAATATCCCTTGTCCACAGATAATCTAGCAATGGCATCATCTACTTCGCATATTCTATTACGAGACGGAGCACATTTGTCTTTGTATAACGAAAAAGAAAAACTTCATCAATTAGAAATTAAAGTTCAACATCCTGGAGATTTCATTCGAGATATTTGCTGGTGTGAATCATTAGGATATTATCTTGTTCTAACTCAATATCTTCTGTTTATCTACGATCCTGATCAATTTACTTTAACACTAGTTGACAAAATCAAACCTATTGATCGAAAGAAGTTTTCCTCGCTAACTTGTTCAGATAACATTATGTTTCTAGTCAATAAGAATGGAGAATGTATTGAACGATGGTCCATCGCAAAGAGTTTCAACTGGAAATTAATCAAGCGTAAGACCAAACACCATTGATTCCTTCACCTCAAACTGTTTTTCATGTTTAGGTTGGCCAGCGGAAGAGTTCTGCGGAGATAATTTTCGTCTAACAGCACGAATACGAGCCAATCATGTAATGTTAGGTGAGGCTCATCTCTTGAACCATAAATCCATAATTTTCGAATGTCTTTTAGCAATTAATATATGCGATTTAAATTTTGGTTATCGTATTTGTCTGTATGATTATCACATGCGATTTATCCGTCAAATCAGTTCGGATTACAATTTACATTTATTATCTTACATGAACGGAAATCAATGGATAGCAACAGATTACAAAGAACGTTTTTATACTTTCAATGATAATGACGAATGTATTCAGACAGTTGTTGAATACAATGGTCAAGGAGATTTGATTCGGAATATTTGCCGATTGGGTCTGAACTATATCGGTGTGAAACTGAAAAGTCGATTGAAAATTTATCAAATCTAATCTTCATATTGATTCTGTGTTTTTTTTGCAAATCTGCATCGCGATGTTGCTATTTTCATTTGTCTCCTCACAATATTTCCCTTTGTTTGTTTTCCGTTGTTACCCGATTTCTTTTTTTCTCTCTCTTTCTCTTTTTGGATAGAACAAATAAACGCGTGTGCTCGCTATGCAAGCGAAATAAACACTTGATGTACATACGCAAGAATATTAATAACAACTGTTGCCAACAGTCAGTCTCTATGCTGGTAGAGACAAACAACACCAACCGGCTTTTTTCTCTCTCTCGACTTCGACATCATCTGATTGAGACTTGTCGACAAGTGAATAGAAAAGAGAAGAAACTTTTCGATTGATTCTGCCATTCACCTGTAGTTCAGATGCTCTTGACAAAAAAAAGGAAAAAGAACGAAGAGAACAGTGTGCGTAGTGCAGCGAAGGAATCGGTGTTGATGGAAACATAAACAGAGTTTCTCTCTGTCTCTCTCTTTTTCCTTTTAAACAACTAAATTCAACGTTGCAACTAGGCAATCAAGAGATCGACAAAGAGAAAAAGCAGTTTCGCACTTCAATTATTGAAAATTCAGACAGGTAGAAACAACGAGATGTTTCGCGTTTTTCTGTTTGACTGTTTCAAGCGATGATATAATCACCATTCGGATTCATTTAGTGCAAATTTTCTTTTAGAAGTTCTATAAATTTGCAGTTTCATTTGCATCACTGAACATTGTTTCTTGGTAATCCAAACGTTGAATTCGTTTTCAAAGTAATCCAACTTGACGAAGATTTGATTAAGCTAACTGTGACTTTCTTTTGTGTAGATGTCTGAAGTTGCAAATGGCAGTGAAGTTTCACCGCCACTTGTTAATTTAAAATGTCAGTTTAGTTTCCGGAAGAAAGCCTTGCTCACTAATGATTTTGTTTGTTTCTTTTTGCTAAATAGCTGATTCGCGACAAAATGGACGCGGCTCTATCAGTACAGCTCAGCCTTCAACAGCAGCTGTAGCTTCTGTAAGAAAAGATTTGCGATGGGATTTACATTTGAACATCGAGATTTAATTTTAGTCGAAAAATAAAGTCAGTGGCACTGATCGTCAACAAGAACTTGCTCGACAAGCAAAAGCTCTTCGAGATGAACGTCGAATCGCAGTATGAATATTGATGAAGAACAAATCTCAAATTTGTATTCTAAATTATGATTTTCATTAACTAGCTCGATGGTCGACATGAATATCTTTTTTCTACGGTAAGATTTCGAATATTTGAGGCGATAGAGTCCATTATCTTGATGATTTTCTAGCTCGCTGAAGCAGTTGGAATTGATTCTGCACAAGTCGAAGATCATATTCTGGGCGATGAAAAAGTACGCACTGATATTTCAACGCGAAATTTGCAACGTTTTTCGTTCTAGTTCGATTGTATTGATGATTTTTTTCTTGCGGGTGGACGACGAGTCTTAATGTTTTGCTATCAAGAACCTAAAGTACATATTTAGAATAAAACCTTCTTTCTCTTTATCGTATACCTATATTTATCGTAGAATCCCGAACAGAACCAACCAGTTTATGGTCGCATGACCAATGCTGGACCGAAAAAACGTGTAATGATTAGTACTGGTGGTGAATCAACGGTAAGAATACACGATATTTCGATTTCTCAATGAGATTTTCCTTTCAGCCATTGACTGGTTCATTGTATTATTTTATTCGACCCAATTCGACAAAAGCAATTACATCAGCAAGCATTTCCAGTGATGTCGTTTTCGGTCAATTAGATGCTTCGAATGGCAAAATGCTCGAATCAATTGACCAGCTATTAGCAAATATAGTTATTCCATTGTTAAACCAATATGAAGTTCGTATTAAACGAAGTCCCTCTGACGGAATCTTGGAACTTTGTTTGTTTTCTTTTGCAGGATTGGGGAGCTTTAAAAAACCGTGGTAATCTCAATGTACAAGACTTTCTCGATGCTATGGGTCAATTCACAGCTACCGTCAATGGTGCCAATGATAATATCGGTAAGTCAAACAAATGAAAAGAGAAATTTATTGTTTTTTTATTGTTTTTTTTCTAGCGCATCAAGTTAAATTGGCACCGGGAGATAATGATAACACTTTATCGACGTTAGCAACACCACATGATTATCAAGTCATGGCAGCTAATAGTGAATTCGTCACCGAATGTGAAAATTTAATGGAGAAATGGTGTAAACAGATCGAAAAGGTACGTATTTCCACAAAACCAATAATAATGTTTACAGTTCTATCTTGTAGATCTTAGCGGAAAGTGAACAGATCCGACGCGAAGCTGATGACGTTGGACGTAAGACGCAAACATTTTTTAAAGTTTCTTTCCCAAAATGAGAAAATCTTCTGTTTTAGCATCAGCTGAATTAACTCATTGGAAACAACGTATGGCGACGTTTAACAACCTTTTAGAACAGATCAAATCTCCCCGATGTCGCGCCGTTGTTGGTGTTCTTCAAATAGTCAAATCGAAACTACTAATTCGTTGGAAAGATCTAGTACGTCCCTTCGAATGATCTCATTTTGTACGTTTCCTTATCTTTATTCGCACAGGATGCTCGAATCACCGATGCTGCCAATGAAGCTAAAGATAACGTTCGATATCTATACACATTAGATAAATTCCTCAGTACACTCGATCGAAGCAATCTCGTAAGAAATCATTCGAACACTTTTTCATTAGAACTTCTCCGATTGCTTTCGATTTAGAATTCAATTTCAGCCAACATTCCTAACCTGATGAACGCAGTTCGAATGATCCATAGTATTTCTCAGTATTACAATTCCTCCGAGCGCATGACATCTTTATTCGTGAAAATAACAAACCAAATGATCAACACATGCAAACGTTACATTCGAAATGGTAACAATCGTCTTTGGGACGTTCCAAAGTAAGGAGCACGGTCAAATGTTCGCCCGTTTTTTTTAATAATTCTTTTCTTTCTAGACAAGAACTCATCGGCCGAATGAACGAAAGTAAAAAGCTGAACGAAGAATATCAAGCGAACTTTCATAAGACCAAAGCGAAATTACAAGAATCAGCGAACGAACGTCAATGGAATTTCAGTGCAAACTATATCTTCGGCAAATTCGATGCGTTCTGCAAACGTCTCGATCGTATTGTCGATGTTTTGAATACCATCGATAGTCTTAGTGGTTTACAGAACATTCGTGTTGAAGGTTTAGAACCGATCGTTGTAAAATATCGTTCAGTTGTCGATGCGATCAAGAAGAAAAACTATGATATTCTCGATCATCGTAAACCAGATGTAAGTAGTTTCATAGATTTGTTTCGGTCTACTGAATTTTCGATGAAATTTTAGTTTGATACTGACTACAATGAATTCAAATCACAAATCGAGTATATCCAAGCTCAACTTCAAATGTTTATTGATTCTTGGTTTCGAAAGTCATACACAGTAATCATTTACGCATAAATTAATGTTTGATTGACATGTTCCGCTTGTAGGTTGAACAATCGTTACTATTTTTGAACAAATTTCAAGATCTCGAAGGTGTGAAAATCGATTTCGCTGATAAATACAATAAGTTATTGCAAAACTTCAGCAAAGAACTCGATGCTGTACGAAAGATCTACGAAAAGAACAAAGAGGATCCACCATTAGCACGAAACTTACCGCCCACCGCCGGTCGAATTATCTGGGCACGACAATTGTACAAACGAATAAGCATTCCCATCAAATTATTGCAAGAGAAAATGGATTTAAACAAAAGTGAAGATGGTAAATTAGTCATCAAGAATTTCAACAAAATTGCGGAAGCTCTACTTCAATATGAAATCTTATTTTATCGTAATTGGGAGCGTAGTATCGAATTGATCAAGAAAGGTATGCAATCAAGTGTTTTCATTCGACATCCCGAAACCAAAGTACGTGATTCGTCATCGATTTCGAAAGAGAAAAATTTCGTTTATTTCTAGGAAGAATACGTGAATTTCGATCCTCAAGTGTTGGAAATGATCAAAGATGCTCAATATTTATCCAAATTAGGTTTGGACATTCCCGAAGTAGCCACAACGTTACTTCGTCAAGAAGATCAAATTCGCCGTGCAAGTGTTCGATTACAAGAACTACTGAATGAAATTAAGCAAACATACGCGACTATTCCAAAAGATTTGTATCCATTATTAAAACCACACCGAGAAAAGGTTGAAGAAGCACTACGACCTGGTTTCGTGGCCATTACTTGGTCATCGTTAAATATTGATGAATGTATGTCTATTTACACATGTTCATTTTCCTTTTAGAATGACATTTTTGTTTAGTTATCAATAATGTTCGACAAGAACTTGAACAATTACGCATTCTGATTAATGATTGCACAAATATTGTACAATGTCGTATTGAAAATGCTTTGCAGACTATTGCTGAAACTCAACTATCAGAACCACAACCAGATCCGATCACACTCGATGAATTTTCGAAATTAACCGATGAATCGTGCCAACATGCGATTAGTTCGATCACACGGCAAACCCTATTGTGTGAAAAGGCTGTTCAATATCTCTTAGAAACGTTGAAAAAACGTTTGAAACCCAACGAACAAGCGCAAATCAAAGAAACCGAAGCTGAATATTACGAATGTGCATTGAAATCCACAACGCCGACGAAAGGACATGTGGCACGATGCAATGACTGTCAACCATGTGCATTCTTCAATCTTCTAACTGTATATTGGAATAAAAACATTGATGCTATTGTTCAATGCACGCGAAGTTCATTGGAAACTATTCGCAAACGTTTACAACAACCCATTCGTTATGTGGGAGAAGAAGTCATACGTGAACAAGTACGAAATCCATTATTTCGTACGGATATTGTTTTATCGATTCCGAATGTGCTTGTCAAACCAAGTTTGGATGATATGCAATCACAATTGAATAAATCAGCGAATACAATGCTGAAAATTGGACAAGACATTCCCGAATGGTTCCATGCGAAGAAACTCCGAGAGATTTTAATCAAGGTATGGTGGAAAACAGAGAGAGAGAGAGAGTAGAGAAAGAGATCGAATTCACTTTTTAGGAAATCGAAAAACAAGCCTTGGATGAAGGTGAAGATGTGAAATTAGCTGTTCAATCGAAAGCACCAAAACCATTACACAAAGTATGATCTTCTTCATAGTGAGAACGTAAGAGAAATCGAAATGTCTTGTTTATCTAGATCATTGCCGAAAATAACGATGTCAAAAAAGGTAAATAGATCGAATTCAGTTCAAATATATAATCTCACTGTTCGTGATTTCTAGTTGTTCTCTCACTCAATTCTGCCATTAGCACATTCAAACCAGATGTTCAAGACATGATGAAGAACTTCACTGGTTTTGCTGAATTATGGGAAAAAGTAAAATTTCAACTCACAGCCCAATCGCTTTCAATCTTACTTTGTTTCTTCAAATAGGAACCTGAACCGACTGTCAAAGCATTTATGGAAACTAAACCTTTGATGGTTGACTTTGAAGCTCTCTTCAAACATTATAAACGCATGGAAACCGATATTGATGAGTTTCCTCAAACTTTTCAAGTCGGTTCAATTGTATTTCACACTGAAAAACTTAAACGCGGCCTAAAAACGGAAATCAACAATTGGAAGATGGCGTACGCGAAAGCGTTGAACGAAAAAGCTGCTCAAGACATGCAAATGATCTTTGATAAAGTCGAAGATATTCAAAAACGTCTCACTCGTCCATGCAATGATCTCGATGATGTTCGAACACACATGGGTGCCTTAGCTGAAATCCGTCAAAATGAAATTTTAATCGATCAAACCATCACACCTGTCGAAGAAACGTACGCGATGTTTAACAAATACGAAATTGCGTTTAACGATGGCAAACCTGAACTCGTCGATACTTTACAATATGCTTGGAAGAAATGTTTACAACAAGGTAAAGAAGTTCAATCAAATCTACTCGACATTCAACCGAAATTTAAACAAAATCTTTTGGATAATGTGTCGACATTTCAAAATGATGTTAATCAATTTGCTGATGATTATGCGAAGAAGTAAGCCGAGAAGAATATGAGATATATGTAATGAATGAATTGATTGCCATTTTAAGGGGACCGATGACCCGAGGTATTCCACCTCGTGAAGCTAGTGATCGGCTAACACTGTTTCAAGCGAGATTTGACGAACTATGGAGAAAATTTGAAACGTACAGCGCCGGAGAAGAATTATTCGGTTTATCAGTTACTGATTATCCAGATTTACAACGAATCAAACGAGTATGAAAAGGACTCTTTCGAAATTCTATAGGAAAATACTTACATTTCTTCTAGGAATTAAGTTTGCTACAAAAACTCTACGGTCTATACAATATTGTCATCGATACTATCAATGGTTACTATGATATCGCATGGGCCGACGTAGACATTGAAAAAATCAATAATGATCTACTAGATTTTCAAAACCGCTGTCGAAAAATGCCCAAAGGTCTTAAAGAATACGAAGCTTTCGATGAATTGAAAAAGACGATCGGTAAAACAAACACTGGCAATCATATTTTCGCTCAATCTCGCATCTGTTCTAGATGACTTCAATGAAACTTGTCCGCTACTTGAAATGATGGCAAACAAATCAATGAAACCTCGCCATTGGGAACGTATCGCAGCTACAACCAGTCACAAATTCGATATTGAATCAGATAACTTTCTCTTACGTGATATCATGGCTGCACCACTATTGAAATACAAAGAAGATATCGAAGTAAATTGATCGATAAGAAACGAATCTTCCCAACTTATTTGTTTCTTGTTAAGGATATTTGTATATCAGCAACAAAGGAAAAAGATATCGAAGCGAAACTCAATCAAGTCGTTGCTGATTGGGGAAATCAAAACTTTCAGTTTAGTACATTCAAAGCGCGTGGTGAACTTCTTCTCAAAGGTGATTCGACCGGTGAAGTAATCGCGCTTATGGAAGACTCTCTCATGGTTCTCGGTTCATTGATGTCCAATCGGTAAGCATCTTCATGGAACAAACATTATCAACTCTTCATTCTGTTTAGCTACAACGCACCGTTCAAAAAGAAAATTCAAGAATGGGTGCAGAAATTAACTTCAACAACGGAAATCATCGAAAAATGGATGGCAGTACAAAATCTTTGGATTTATCTCGAAGCCGTCTTCGTCGGTGGTGATATTGCTAAACAACTACCAGCGGAAGCCAAACGTTTCGGAAATATCGATAAATCTTGGCAGAAGATCATGCAACGTGCACATGAGAATCTAAATGTTGTTAGCTGTTGCACAGCAGATGATACTCTAGCGCAATTGTTACCACATTTGTTCGAACAATTAGAATTGTGTCAGAAATCATTGACGGGTTATCTCGAAAAGAAACGTTTGGTTTTTCCACGATTCTTCTTCGTTTCTGATCCAGCACTTCTGGAAATTCTTGGTCAAGCCAGTGATTCACATACGATTCAAGTAAGTTGTCACAAAACGATTGCATTTCAACGATTATGTGTTGCGTTTTTGGTAGAACCATTTGTTGAGTGTCTTTGATAACACGAAAACAGTGACATTCGATGATAAAGTTTACGATAAAATCCTCGTCTTGAACTCTCAAGAAGGTGAACAAGTACCATTGAAAGATTCAGTCATGGCTCAAGTATGAGTTGACAATTTATTTTCACGCATTGATGGAATGTTTCGTCATTTGTAGGGTAATGTCGAAGTTTGGCTGGGAGATCTTTTGAAAGCTTCACGAGCATCGTTGCACAAAATTATTCGTGATGGTGCGATCGCCATTCAAGATACAGCGTTCAATCTAATGGATTTTCTTAGTAGTTTTCCGGCTCAAGTAAAGAATTGTTATGAGAATTGATTTATTTTCTAAATGAATTGGGTTTAGGTCGGTTTACTCGGTCTTCAAATGTTATGGACACGAGATGCTGAAATCGCATTGAATAATACAAAAGTCGATCGTAAAATTATGCAAGATACCGCAAAGAAATTTCTTGATATCTTGAATGCATTGATTACCAAAACCACAGAAGATTTGTCGAAATTAGATCGTGTGAAAATTGAAACATTGATTACCATTCATGTCCATCAAAAAGATATCTTTGATGAATTAGTATGTCGATCTGCATTGAAAAGCATAACTTTTCATTTCATGAACTTCTAGGTCATCAATAAAACTCGATCACCACTTGAATTCGATTGGTTGAAACAGTGTCGATTCTACTTCGATGAAGATGCCGATATTTGCAGAATTTCAATTACTGATGTCGATTTTAAATACATGAATGAATATTTGGGTTGCACAGATCGTCTTGTCATCACACCGTTGACTGATCGGTAAGCGTTGAAGCTCGACCTATTCAAGGAGATTATTATTATCTCTTTCAGATGCTATATCACATTGGCACAAGCTTTACACATGTCATTAGGTGGTGCACCTGCAGGTAAGAACGAAGAAAAGAAATAGAAAATTTAGTAATCGAATTCGATTTGTTTAGGACCTGCTGGAACTGGTAAAACAGAAACAACTAAAGATATGGGTCGTTGTTTGGGCAAATTCGTTGTCGTAAGTTGTCAAATGAAGCAGACATCGATGAGCTTGATATGTTCATAGGTATTCAATTGTTCGGATCAAATGGATTACCGTGGTCTCGGTCGTATTTACAAAGGTTTAGCTCAATCAGGTTTGTAAACATAGAATCTTTCATTTTTTTCTTAATAATTTCAATCTTGTTGTCATCAAGGATCATGGGGTTGTTTCGATGAGTTCAATCGTATCGAACTGCCTGTACTTTCCGTCGCTGCTCAACAGATCGATATTGTCTTACGTTGTAAAAAAGAGAAGAAACCTCAGTTTATTTTCACTGATGGTGATAACGTCGATATGGATACTGAATTCGGTATTTTCTTAACCATGGTAAACCTGACACATTCGAATCATCGTTCATGTTCAATATTCTCTCTCGAAATTTAGAATCCTGGTTATGCCGGTCGTCAGGAACTTCCCGAAAATCTAAAAATCAACTTTCGTACAGTCGGTGAGTAATTTCGTTCGAAAAATCATCTTCGGTTGCTGTTCATCCAACTCCTTTTAGCTATGATGGTTCCCGATCGTGCCATCATCATGCGTGTCAAACTGGCCAGTTGTGGTTTTCTTCAAAACATCAAATTGGCCAAGAAATTCTATACATTATATAAACTTTGCGAAGAACAGTTAACAAAACAGGTCCACTACGATTTCGGTCTACGAAATATCCTATCCGTCTTACGTACTTTGGGTGCGTTCAAACGTGAGAATCCGACCGATTCTGAAGAAAAAACTATGATGCGTGTTCTGCGTGATATGAATCTTTCAAAACTGGTACGTCGTCATACTGTTTGTCGTCGAAAAGATCATCAGATTTTCTTTCTGCGCATTTAGATCGATGAAGACGAACCGCTCTTCTTATCTCTAATTGATGATTTGTTTCCTGGTATTCAACTTGAAATCAAAGGTTATCCAGAAATCGAAGGAGCTATCAAAACACAGGTAACGATTAATCGAAAGTGATCATAATCACGAACATTTTCTCTTCATTAAATGTAAGACTGAACAAGCACAACTAGTTCATCATGCACCATGGGTATTGAAATTGATTCAATTGTACGAAACACAACGTGTACGACATGGCATGATGACCCTGGGACCCAGTGGTGCTGGTAAAACTAAATGCATCACGTACGAAATGAAGGAAGAAGAAAACTTATTTTTGTAAAATATTGATCTTTAGAATTTTGATGAAAGCTATGACAGAATGTGGTGCACCACATCGTGAAATGCGTATGAATCCCAAAGCTATCACTGCACCGCAAATGTTCGGTCGATTGGATGTAGCAACAAATGATTGGACTGATGGCATCTTCTCTACTCTATGGCGTCGAACATTGAAAACGAAAAAAGTACGAACGGTTTTTATTGAAGAATAATACGAATGTTGTATCTTAGGGTGATCATGTTTGGCTGATTCTCGATGGTCCTGTCGATGCCATTTGGATCGAAAACTTGAATTCCGTCTTAGATGATAATAAGACACTAACATTAGCTAATGGTGATCGAATTCCAATGGCTCCAAATTGCAAAATCATTTTCGAAGTACACAACATCGACAATGCTTCGCCAGCTACGGTTAGTCGAAACGGTATGGTCTTCATGTCTGCTTCAGTTATGAACTGGGAACCAATTGTCAAAGGCTGGCTACTCAAACGTAGTGCCACTGAATCGGATGTTCTACTTGATCTCTATGCCAAATCATTCCCAGGCGCTTTGACATACACTTTACAATCATTGGAACCGAAGATGCCGGTAAGGAATTCGTTTTCTCTTGATATATGAAACATTTCGATATTGACTCGGCGATTTTCGTATTTCTAGTTCCTTGAGAGTATGTACACAAGACAGTCACTTGATCTGCTCGAAGGTTTGATCAGTAAAGACAAAGCTCAACCAGCTGATGTTCTGGGTCGTTTGTATGTATTTGCTTTGATGTGGTCGGTGGGTGCGCTTTTGGAATTGTTTGATCGAAAGAAATTAGAAGAATTTCTAATGGAAAAGAAAAATCTGGATTTACCACCAATTAAAGGCGAAGAAACCATCTTCGAATATGTTGTCAATCCCGAAACAGGCCAATGGCAACATTGGAGTAATCGTGTACCAGAATATCATTATCCGAAAGATTCTATTCCCGAATATTCATCGATTCTCGTACCTAATGTCGACAATGTTCGAACAGATTTTCTCATCGATACCATCGCAAAACAAGAAAAATCAGTTCTACTCATCGGTGAACAAGTAAACCATTGAAACAAATGTCCAATGAATAAGGAAAACACAACATGACATCTTTTGTTTACAGGGTACGGCTAAGACCGTCATCGTCAAAGGTTATTGTTCGAAATACGATCCCGAAGTTCAGCTATTCAAAAGCGTGAACTTTTCAAGTGCTACAACTGCTACCATGGTCCAACGAACAATTGAAAGTTATGTTGATAAACGTGTTGGTACCACATACGGTCCACCAGGTGGAAAGAAGATGACAATCTTTATTGATGATATCAATATGCCAATTATCAATGAATGGGGTGATCAAGTAAGAATGAAGTTATTCTATTCGAGGATTGCGACAATAACACTTTTGTCAAGGTAACAAATGAAATTACTCGACAATTGATGGAACAAAATGGTTTCTATAATCTTGAAAAACCTGGTGAATTTACGAATATCGTCGATATTCAATTCATTGCGGCCATGATTCAACCTGGTGGTGGTCGAAACGATATTCCACAACGTCTCAAACGACAATTCTGTATCTTCAACTGTACACTACCATCCAACGCTTCCATCGACAAGGTCTTCAGTACTATTGGTCTTGGCTATTTCTGTAAAGTATGTCATTCTACAATTTGAATTCAACGAAAAGAATCTCTCATGATTAATTTGCTTTTTAGGAGCGCGGATTTCATCAAGATATTATTAATATCATCGAAAAACTTGTGCCAGCCACAAGAAAATTATGGCAAAAGACCAAAGTGAAAATGTTGCCTACACCAGCTCGTTTCCACTACGTTTTCAACTTACGTGATTTGTCACGCATTTGGCAAGTAAGAATCTTCGCATTTCTCAAGAAAATTCACCTCATACGTCATCGTTGTCATCTGCTAGGGTATGCTCAATGTTATTTCATCAGTAACTGGAACCAAACTTGACGTTGTCATGTCCTTATGGAAACATGAATGTTATCGTGTTATTGCTGATCGTTTCGTAGCGCAAGAAGATAAAGATTGGTTCGAAAAGACCATTAAAATTGTCGCTGAGGAAGAGTGTGGAGCGCAACCCGCTGCTACTATGCAAGCCGAACCGTACTTTGTTGATTTTCTTCGTGAAGCACCTGAACCAACTGGTGAAGAAGGCGATGACGCAGATCTCGATGCTCCGAAAATCTATGAACCGATTCCATCATACGAATTTCTCAGCGAAAAACTTCAAATGTTTCAACAGCAATACAACGAACAAATCAAAGGTGGCAAAATGGATTTGGTCTTCTTCAAAGATGCCATGACGCATTTAATCAAAATCTCACGTATCATCCGAACCCCACGTGGTTGTGCTTTGTTAGTCGGTGTTGGTGGTAGCGGTAAACAATCACTGACACGCTTAGCGTCATTCATTGCTGGTTATCAAACCTTTCAAATTACGTTAACAAGGTAAATTTAAATAAGGAAGGAAACTTCTTGCATGATAGTTTCTACTTTTCATTCAGATCGTACAATGTTACCAACTTGATGGAAGACTTGAAACTTCTATATCGAACAGCTGGTCAGAAAGGCAAAGGTGTAACATTCTTGTTTACAGACAACGAAATCAAAGATGAAGCTTTTCTCGAATACATGAACAATGTTTTGGCTTCTGGTGAAGTCTCGAATCTATTCGCTCGTGATGAAATCGATGAAATTCTCGGTGAATTAACCCCAGTTATGAAACGTGAATTTCCGCGACGACCGCCTACCAACGAAAATCTTTATGATTACTTTTTAACACGTGTACGTAACAACCTTCATGTTGTTCTCTGCTTCTCGCCTGTCGGAGAGAAATTCCGTAGTCGTTCGTTGAAATTTCCTGCTCTGATCTCTGGTTGTACCATGGATTGGTTTCAACGTTGGCCAAAAGACGCCTTAGTCGCCGTATCAAAACACTTCATCACCAACTTTGATATCGTCTGCACACAACAACAGAAACAAGAACTGATTTTGATGATGGGTGAAATTCAAGATCAAGTTGCCGAAGCGTGTGTCGACTATTTCAATCGTTTCCGTCGTCAAACACACGTCACACCCAAATCGTACTTATCGTTTTTATCTGGCTACAAAACAATCTATGGTGATAAACGTAAGGAAATCGGCAAATTAGCTGAACGTATGAACACGGGCTTGAAAAAACTCATCTCAGCTGCCGAAGAAGTACGTGAACTGGCTAAAGAACTGGAAGGCAAAGAAAAAGAATTGGTCATTGCCAACGAAAAAGCCGATCTTGTCATGCAAGACGTCAATGTAAAGAAATCAGCTGCAACAAAAGTCGCAGAACAAGTCCAACGTGTCGCTGATTCATGTAAAGAACTTGTCGACCAAATTTCTACCGATAAAGCTGCTGCCGAAGCGAAATTAGAAGTTGCACGACCTGCTCTAGAAGAAGCCGAAGCCGCTTTGAAGACAATTAAACCAGCCGATATTGCAACCGTGAAAAAATTGGGTCGTCCACCACATTTGATTATGCGTATTATGGACTGCGCATTAGTTCTCTTTCAAAGACCGATGGATTTGATCAGTATGGATCCCGAAAAACCATGTCCGAAACCATCTTGGAGTGAATCGTTGAAATTAATGGGTGGTAGTGACTTCTTAAACACGCTATTGAATTTCCCAAAAGTAAAAACGGTGAAAAAATATCATTCGAACTTGTTATGTTTTCGTTTATTTCTCTTAGGATACGATCAATGCGGAAACTGTCGAATTACTCCAACCTTATTTGAATATGGAAGATTTTAACCTAGAAACAGCCAAACGTGTCTCAGGCAATGTTGCTGGTCTCTGTTCGTGGGCTATTGCTATGGCATATTTCTATAGTATCAACAAAGATGTATTGCCATTGAAAGCAAACTTGGCTGTTCAAGAAAATCGTCTTGCTCAAGCCACAGCTGGTTATAACGATGCACAAGCTCAATTAGCAGCTAAAATGGCTGAAGTAGCGGTATGTATTTTGTTTTTAGTAATAAACTTTTCATTCAACAAATTCTTTTTCCTCGATTTAGCTCGTCCAAGCTGAATTCGATAAAGCAAATGCGATCAAACAAGTACGTATCTTTAGATTCACTGTACCAACAGATAATTGGAATTGATTTCATCTAGGCTTTACTTGCCGATGCTGAAGCATGTCGACGAAAGATGCAGAATGCTTCGGCTTTGATTGATGGTCTTTCAGGTGAACGTGTTCGTTGGACGGAAGCATCGAAGAGCTTCGAGGCACAAACGGGCCGACTTATCGGTGATGTTCTATTAGCTACAGGCTTTCTTTCTTATACTGGCCCATTCAATCAAGANTAAACGTGTTGGTACCACATACGGTCCACCAGGTGGAAAGAAGATGACAATCTTTATTGATGATATCAATATGCCAATTATCAATGAATGGGGTGATCAAGTAAGAATGAAGTTATTCTATCCGAGGATTGCGACAATAACATTTTTGTCAAGGTAACAAATGAAATTACTCGACAATTGATGGAACAAAGTGGTTTCTATAATCTTGAAAAACCAGGTGAATTTACGAATATCGTCGATATTCAATTCATTGCAGCTATGATTCAACCTGGTGGTGGTCGAAACGATATTCCACAACGTCTCAAACGACAATTCTGTATCTTCAACTGTACACTACCGTCCAACGCTTCCATCGACAAGGTCTTCAGTACTATCGGTCTTGGCTATTTCTGCAAAGTACGTCATTCTACAATTTGAATTCAACAAAAAAAATCTCTCATGATCGATTTGCTTTTTAGGAACGTGGATTTCATCAAGATATTATTAATATCATCGAAAAACTTGTGCCAGCCACAAGAAAATTATGGCAAAAGACTAAAGTGAAAATGTTACCAACACCAGCTCGTTTCCACTACGTCTTCAATTTACGTGATTTGTCACGTATTTGGCAAGTAAGGATCTTCGCATTTCTCAAGAAAATTCACCTCCTATGCCATCATTGTCATCTGCTAGGGTATGCTCAATGTTATTTCATCAGTAACTGGAACCAAACTTGACGTTGTCATGTCCTTATGGAAACATGAATGTTATCGTGTTATTGCTGATCGTTTCGTAGCGCAAGAAGATAAGGATTGGTTCGAAAAAACCATTAAAATCGTCGCAGAGGAGGAATGTGGAGCGCAGCCTGCTGCTGCTATGCAAGCCGAACCGTACTTTGTTGATTTTCTTCGCGAAGCACCTGAACCAACTGGTGAAGAAGGCGATGACGCAGATCTCGATGCTCCAAAGATCTATGAACCGATTCCATCATACGAATTTCTCGGCGAAAAACTTCAAATGTTTCAACAGCAATACAACGAACAAATCAAAGGTGGCAAAATGGATTTGGTCTTCTTCAAAGATGCTATGACGCATTTAATCAAAATCTCACGTATCATCCGAACACCACGTGGTTGTGCTTTGTTAGTCGGTGTTGGTGGTAGCGGTAAACAATCGTTGACACGCTTAGCGTCATTCATTGCTGGTTATCAAACCTTTCAAATTACATTAACAAGGTAAATTTGAATAAGGAATGAAAATTCTTTCATGATAGTTTCTACTTTTCGTTCAGATCGTACAATGTTACCAACTTGATGGAAGACTTGAAAATTTTATATCGAACAGCTGGACAGAAAGGCAAAGGTGTAACATTCCTGTTTACAGATAACGAAATCAAAGATGAAGCTTTTCTCGAATACATGAACAATGTTTTGGCTTCTGGTGAAGTCTCGAATCTATTCGCTCGTGATGAAATCGATGAAATTCTTGGTGAATTAACTCCAGTTATGAAACGTGAATTTCCGCGACGACCGCCTACCAACGAAAATCTCTATGATTACTTTTTAACACGTGTACGTAACAACCTTCACGTTGTTCTCTGCTTCTCGCCTGTCGGAGAGAAATTTCGTAGTCGTTCATTGAAATTTCCTGCTCTGATCTCTGGTTGTACCATGGATTGGTTTCAACGTTGGCCAAAAGACGCCTTAGTCGCTGTATCGAAACACTTCATCACCAACTTTGATATCGTCTGCACACAACAACAGAAACAAGAACTGATTTTGATGATGGGTGAAATTCAAGATCAAGTTGCCGAAGCGTGTGTCGACTATTTCAATCGTTTCCGTCGTCAAACACACGTCACACCCAAATCGTACTTATCGTTTTTATCTGGCTACAAAACAATCTATGGTGATAAACGTAAGGAAATCGGCAAATTAGCTGAACGTATGAACACGGGCTTGAAAAAACTCATCTCAGCTGCCGAAGAAGTACGTGAACTGGCTAAAGAACTGGAAGGCAAAGAAAAAGAATTGGTCATTGCCAACGAAAAAGCCGATCTTGTCATGCAAGACGTCAATGTGAAGAAATCAGCTGCAACAAAAGTCGCAGAACAAGTTCAACGTGTCGCTGATTCATGTAAAGAACTTGTCGACCAAATTTCTACCGATAAAGCTGCTGCCGAAGCGAAATTAGAAGTTGCACGACCTGCTCTGGAAGAAGCCGAAGCCGCTTTGAAGACAATTAAACCAGCTGATATTGCAACCGTGAAAAAATTGGGTCGTCCACCACATTTGATTATGCGTATTATGGACTGTGCATTAGTTCTCTTTCAAAGACCGATGGATTTGATCTCTATGGATCCCGAAAAACCATGTCCGAAACCATCATGGAGTGAATCGTTGAAATTAATGGGTGGTAGCGATTTCTTGAACACACTATTGAATTTTCCAAAAGTAAAAACGGTGAAAAAATATCACTCGAACTTTTTATGCTTTCGTTTATTTCTGTTAGGATACGATCAATGCGGAAACTGTCGAATTACTCCAACCTTATTTGAATATGGAAGATTTTAATCTAGAAACAGCCAAACGTGTCTCAGGCAATGTTGCTGGTCTCTGTTCATGGGCTATTGCTATGGCATATTTCTATAGTATCAACAAAGATGTATTGCCATTGAAAGCAAACTTAGCTGTTCAAGAAAGTCGTCTTGCTCAAGCCACAGCTGGTTATAACAATGCACAAGCTGAATTAGCAGCTAAAATGGCTGAAGTAGCGGTATGTATTTTGTTTTTAGTAATAAACGTTTCATTCAACAAATTCTTTTTCCTTGATTTAGCTCGTCCAAGCTGAATTCGATAAAGCAAATGCGATCAAACAAGTACGTATCTTTAGATTCACTGTAACAACAGATAATTGGAATTGATTTCATCTAGGCTTTACTTGCCGATGCTGAAGCATGTCGACGAAAGATGCAGAATGCTTCGGCTTTGATTGATGGTCTTTCAGGTGAACGTGTTCGTTGGACGGAAGCATCGAAGAGCTTCGAGGCACAAACGGGCCGACTNTGTACACACTTCTCTTGGCGTTGAAAATCGACATGCAAAAAGGAAATGTCAAACCATCGGAATTTCAAGTTTTGATCAAAGGTGGTGCTGCCTTAGATATGAACGCTGTCGAACCTCGACCAGATAAAATGAAGAAATGGTTAACTGATATGACTTGGCTGAATTTAGTCGAACTTTCCAAACTCGCACACTTCTCACAAGTCTTACGACAAGTTGTCAGTAATGATAAGACATGGTACAATTGGTTCTTATCTGATGCACCCGAAGAAGTCACGTTTCCTGAAGCATACTCGACTACATTGGATACATTCAAGAAATTATTATTAGTTAGATCATTTGCACCAGATCGTACATTACCCATGGCCAAGAAATATATTGGAGAATCTCTAGGTGTTCAATACGCTGAAGGTTATATTCTCAATTTAGAAGCTATGTGGCAAGAATCGGATAAACGTACCCCACTTGTTTGCTTCTTATCGATGGGTTCTGATCCAACGGATAATATCTTGAGCTTAGCCAAGAAACAAAACACAGTTTGCGGTACTATCTCCATGGGTCAAGGTCAAGAAGTTCATGCCCGACGTTTATTGCAACAAAGTCAACAAGAAGGCCGATGGATTTTACTTCAAAATTGCCATTTGGGCTTAGGTTTTCTTGAAGAAATGTTAGACACAGTGACGCAAACCGAACAAGTCGCTGATGCATTCCGCTGCTGGTTAACAACTGAACCGCATCCACAATTCTCTATCAATGTTTTACAATCATCAATTAAATATACTTTCGAACCACCCCAAGGTGTCAAAGCTGGTCTCAAACGTACATTTGCTGGTCTAACACAAGTAAATTATCTTACTTTTTCCATTGATACACATTCTTCATGCTGCCAAATGTTCTTTTAGGAAGTTGTCGATGTTAGTAACTTCTTTGAATGGAAAGTTATGTTATACACAGTTGCATTTCTGCATACAACCGTACAAGAACGTCGTAAATTTGGTCCACTCGGATGTACGTTGAGCGAACCATCTGTTCTGTAATATATTCTTGATGTAATAACATTTTTCTAGGGAACATTCCGTATGAATTCAATCAATCAGATTTTTCGGCTACCATTCAATTCATTCAAAATCATATGGATGAAATGGGTTCGAAATGGAATGTCTCATGGCCAACTGTTCGATACATGATCGGTGAAGGTAAAGTCTTTCTATTCGAAATGAGTCTTTCTCTGTTTTCAAATCAATCTTTCTTTTCAAATTTTTAGTTCACTATGGTGGTCGTGTCACGGATGACTTCGACAAACGATTACTTAACACTTATACACGTGTTTGGTTTCTCGATAATATGTTCACGGAGAAATTTGAATTCGCACCGAATTATAAGATTCCGCGTTGTAAAACTATTCAAGAATTCCGTACGCATGTCGAATCTATGAGCTTGTTCGACAGTCCAAATGTTTTTGGTCTTCATCCAAACGCTGATATCACCTACCAGAAGAATACAGCTGATTCGATTCTCGCGACAATCGTTAACATTCAACCAAAAGATGCCGGTGCTGGCGGTGGTGAAACACGTGAATCAGTTGTCTATCGTCAGTGCGACGATATGTTAAGTAAACTACCCGAAGATTATATTCCACACGAAGTTCGAGGTGCTTTACAAAAACAAGGAGCTTTACAACCATTGAACATCTTCTTAAAACAAGAAGTTGATCGTATGCAACGTGTCATCAGCGTTGTACGTAATACACTGAAAGATTTGAAATTAGCTATCGATGGTACAATCATTATGAACGAGAACTTGAAAGATGCTTTGGATAATATTTACGATGCACGTGTACCAGCGACATGGAGAAAAGTTTCGTGGGATTCAGCAACATTAGGTTTCTGGTTTAGTGATTTGTTAGATCGTAACCAACAATTCTTCACGTGGTTGTTCAGTGGACGACCAAATGTGTTCTGGCTTACTGGATTCTTCAATCCTCAAGTAAATTCGTTGCTTCGTAGGATTTTCTATTGATCATGATCTCGTTTAGGGTTTTCTAACTGCTATGCGACAAGAAATTACTCGTAATCACAAAGGTTGGTCATTAGATAATGTCGTTCTTGCCAACGATGTGATGAAAGTGGCCACGAAAGAAGAAGTAACATCAGCACCATCGGAAGGTGTTTACATCTATGGATTGAAAGTTGATGGTGCCGCATGGCGTATGTCTCGTGAAAAAGGTGGTCATCTTGCTGATCCTCCTCCAAAACAACTCTACTCGGACTTGCCAGTCGTACACGTAAGTTACTCATTTTTTCCTTCATTCGCTCCAATACAGATAATCTGATCGCCTAGGTTTACGCAACAAATGAACCTAAGCCGTTGGGCAATTCTTATTACGTTTGTCCAGTCTACAAGAAACCACGACGTACTGATTTAACATATATATTCTCGTTATCATTGAAGATTAATAACAACAATCCGGATTTCTGGTAAGAATTCTGATTTGTAACTTTTCTGTTGGAAAATATTTGTTATATTTAGGTGTTTACGTGGTGTGGCTCTCCTTTGCGATACAAAATAATCAACATAAACGATTCGATATATTTTACTATACTGTTTTGTTATCAAGCAATAGGGAGCTTTATTAATTAATGAAATAGTTTTGCTCCACGTTTGTGTGTGTGTATTATATTTATATTTTTTGTGTTACAGAAATCAACAATAAAAAGCACGAGCTTTCTGATTATAGGACGTTGTTTATTAAAGGGAAAGGAATGATGGGATCAAAATAGCTTTGATTACAAGTCTGATAATCATCTCAATCACATTTTTTTTACTAGGAAAGATAAGAAGTTTCATTGTTCATTTGCTTCAGACTCATGCATTGTCGTTAATGAAAAAAATTGACGTTGCTTAGTTCTCAATGGTCTTGCATTGACTGTTAATGCATTTCTATCAGAAAATATTTTGGTAAAATTGCCGTTTGTGTGAATGCTTTGCAATTTGGGCATGGAATAGTCCGTAACACTTTGCATCATTGTACGTCCAGTGCCTGTATCCCTATTGGATCGATCGACTGGTTCTCGCCATTGAACTCCTGATCGATCAAATCGTGTTGATTGATATGAAGCCTGGAATTGTGTGTCTGCAGTATTTCCTCCACCACGTTGACGAAGAAATTCTAAAATCGCACGTTTGTAATTGCCGAAGACTTCCAACTAAAAGAAAACAATGACTACAGAAAGTAGTTTTTGGAAAAAAACGAACTTGAATATGATCGTGAAGATAATATGTTGTAAGTTTTTCATATTCAACTCTGATCTGTGCAATATCAATCTCACCGCGAGTGACGATGATTCGATTCAAATCGTCTTCGTTTGCTTTAACATTCTGGAAAATTCAAATGAGGAGAAAGCAAATGTATCGATGACAATTTTACTTTAAGACATTTCTTCAATTCATCAGCGAAAAACCGTGCTTGATTGCGAATCAACCGAACTAAAAACATCAAAATTATGATCTAAAGCACAGATCTCTTCATCATAGTCATACTAATAGCGATCAGTGTGTGATAAAGATGTCCTGCAATATTCTTTTGTATAGTTTGTTCAATATCCACATGACTGTATTGCTGATAAGCGGTAAATATTTGTGCCAATTGTGCATTACTAAGCAAATAAATGAGATCTGTTCGATGTTCGATAGGAAAACAAACCTTCTTGTACACAAAAGTCGAACAAGAGTCGATCCATCAACTCGCCATCTCGACTCCGTTTCGAATAATTCTTTTGCATCTTGAATAATTTCATTGTCAACGATAGCCACCTCTTCCGGTCGATTCGATCGAAGAAGAGCAACTAACAAATGTTTCGAATGATCATCACGATCACTGCGAAGATCTTCTTCAATTGTGCTTCGAAACACTAAAGACGAAGCAATATTTTTAGTACATCAGTTTCAAGAGCGTCTTACATTTGAAGTAAGCTTGTCGAACATTTTGAATATGTTGGCTCGTGCGAGTAAAAACAAGTTCAACCAGAACGTTTCGATCGATTGTTGTTCGGTTTAGTATTCGTCGTAATTCAAAACAATCGTGTTCAATCGGAGATAATAATAACAATCTTAGAAATTTACTCAGACTGTCATCAGATATCTTCTCTAAGTCATCACCAAGATTCTAAAAATAGATCAATGATCAAAACACAGAGGAAGTCTCCATTGCTTTCGTGTACTTTTTTGAACAATTGTTTATATTGATCGCGGATTTGTAATCGTTGCGCCAGTGTTCGGCAACAGATAACTCGAATGACACTCAATTCACCGATCGGCGTATCGTTCAACAATCGATGCAATGTTCGACAATCTAAACAAACAAAACACATCTAATGTTTTGATTATATCGCATCTGCTGTCTCAAACCTTGTACAATTGTTGATACCAAATTGTCCTACAAGGAGAAAGAGAGTTTCCATCCAATACCTAATCATTCAGCTTACATTTTCATTCTTCTTCAATATTGAACGTTGTGCGGACTGAATCGTATTGATAGTTGATGAGTCGCGGTAGTTAGACGATAAATCTTGTAATGACGAGCGGAATGTTTCTTTGGGTAAGGAAGATTGGTGCGAAAGAGAGGTGAAATCACTTTCATGAATGGTCACACGTTTGGCTGTATGATTTTGATGATGGTTCAATCGTTCTCGATATTCTTCTATTCTTTGTTTGTGTATCTTTCGAATACGTAATGCGTCATCCAACTGTTTTTCCCGATCTCGAATTAATTGGTTCAGTGTTGTTAAATATCGTTCTTTTTCTAATCTTGACTGATCACTGTATGCAGCAGTGTTTTTCGTCTTGATCTCTTCCATTGTGAAAACGATTTTTCTTTGCTTTTCTCGCTCGATCGTGATCTGTTGTTGAATTTCTTTCAGCGATACTTGGTACTGTTGTAATTGAACTTCATGATCTCTCGTCACTGTTGGCATAGGTCGAGTTTTATTCAATTGAAGACGATACAATTCCAATTCAAAGTTTCGGTGTAATTCTTCTCGGTACACTTCGATTTTCTTTTCGTATTCCTGCCGAATACGTTGTAATTCTTGACTTAATTGATCTGAGAAATACGTCGACGATTGAAAACCAGCTACTTGGGAAATATCAATCGATCGTCGTTCTTCGTCAATTGCAGTCGTCCGAATATCTTCATTGGTGATCTTTTCATTTCGTAAGATTTCAAGTTCGGCTTCTAAAGTCTGTTTAGCAAAATTTTCTTCGTCGAGTAGATAACGTAAGCGAGTTTTTCGGGCATGAAGTGCTTGATTCTTTAAAAGATAAAATTTACTTTCGTCATCTAAATTTCGTGTCCGACGATGAAGAAATTGAGCTTCAGCGTTGTTCTGAGCAATTCGCTGTTCATAATTGAATAATTCCTGACTGGTTTGATCTCGTTTGGCTAAGATATATTTATATTGTTCATCATGGCTTGGTATCTTCTTATCCAATGCGTTCGCTTTCGTTTCTAATGCTGATTTGGACTGGCTACCTTCGTACAAGAGTTTCTTGGCATTTTCCAATTCACTTTTATACATTTTTTCGATAATCGAACGATTCTGATGAATATTCTTTTCCAGCCATTCAATTTGCAAAAGCTGAGCACGATTATGTGTTTCTAAACTACAACATCTCAGTATAGTCACACACAATACTTCAGTCAGTTTCGACAACTCCCGATGCTCATCAATGATACGTTCACCATTGATGCTATGCAATGATGGAATAGTTGTGAAGTTCGGAGGTTGAACAAGTGTTGCGAGACCAAGGTCGTTGGTTGTTACAACTGCATGGTTCGTGCCAACATTTGACCAAGCTATACCGCGAAAAGGACCTTGAAAAGCATTCGGCGCAATTACACGTGGTCGAATGTATTTTATGCCGGACGCATCATCGTCGGACCTTGTCGATTTTGTTCGCTGATACATATCGGGTTGATATTTACTATCATCAAACTTTGCAACAGTTTTCGTAGTCATTTTTCATCAAATAAACACATAAAGATCTGGACACACGTGACAGTTTAGCTTTTATCAACGACTTGATAACAATACAACGATTTTTTTTACTTTAATTTTGGTTGAATACCACAGATAAGGTTATTTTGGTTTTACATTTTGGACTGTCTTTATTTGTCTTTTCTTTCTAGTCTACTATCAACCTACTTCATCAAAAAGAACGACATCTTGTTTAGCTCGAATTCACGAGCAAGAGAAACTCTATGCTTTTCTCTTGTCATTGATCATTTGAGATGAAGTCCTTGATAGTCAAGAACAACATATCATCGTGAGAATGTTTATCTGCGGTGTTGTTGTTAACCTTCGATGATCTTTCAATAACATTTCAGCAAAGCAGCGCGATCATATCGATTGTTGTCATTAGAAATTCTCATAAAAAAAACGTAACAAAACAAAATTCTTTTCAAGTTAATAAAGAAACAATTTTCCTACAAAAAAATGAACGAACAAACTGTTCTGATACTACTAGAAAACACACGCACGCACGCACACACATTCTTGCTGAGATAACGTATATTTCGTAGAAGATCAATCAGATACATCGTCAAAATAACGACATTGAGGCAGTGAATCAATGCTGAGATATTCTTTAGCTAGATAGATAAGAAATCAACAGAAATAATGTCGTGTTTCAATGAAAATGTCTTACATTTCGGAAGTTTCTTTGCTGCTACATGTAATTTTTCTACAAAACTTGGAATTCCTATACGAAATCAACGAAAGCAATGAATTTTAGACATTGATTAGATTTACCACTCTGCGCTATGTATGAGTAAGTCGATGTTGGCATGGAAGCTTTGGCATCTTCATGATAGGTTAACAAAAACATCATTCCTTTCTAGAAAACAGACAGAGAACGAATTCGAAGAGCAAATTTCCGTTTGTCTAACTTCATCGAGTTTTGTTTTCGATTGGATGATCATCGATGATTCATATTTATTCACTCGAACACATTTCTTATCACTATGAACATCAGGATGATCGATTGAATGACATTTGATAATAATTTTCGGTGGGAAGTTCGCAGATGTATCCAAACAGTATCGTCGGACGTAAAGGTAATCACGATGGTTAAATGGAAATGGAAATTTTTGTGTCCAATGAACGATATCACTCTGCGAATTCTCATTTGTCTCAACTACCGACAGACGCAAAGCGTGATCATCCCATTTCATTCGGTAATCAAGATCGAGCTGCAGACAAAAAGCAAATCCACATAGAAGATTCAGTTAGCAAATGAAAACTTACTTACTTGTACTTGGAAGAATACTAATGCAGATATATCGTTGAATGTGCCGAAAACTAAGTAGATAAACAAGGAATAATCGAGAATGACCGTGAATTGAGTCTTACTTTTGTATGAATACACTTGAAGATCGTCGTCATATTTACGAAATAGCATCAGATGATCTTTGCGGAGGAGTTTTTCCCAACCGAGCGATATCAATATATCCTCGATTTGACCGTTCGTCATGTTTAGTAGATAATCGTCGGAAGTGGCTTCTTGTCTAAACAAATCTCTTTTGTCAAGGAAAAGATTGACGATTTGACGTTCACTTACAATTCTCTATCACTGACTCCATCATTCTCCCATGAGAACGCCGTCGCTGCAGCGGTCAATGCTCCGATGACAGATGATGCGAATACAGTTGATTGTGAATGAGATTTGGATTGTGAATGTTTCCATCGGTAATCATTATCATTCGTTTTCTTCGAGTTAATCTGCTCGATTTTACGATTATTAATAAATAATAGTGAACTAAGCGAAAGTTTATATCGGTGTCGTTTACATTCGTTGCAAACGAGCTTTATCGGCCATTTCTTCATCGATGTCGAACATCGAAGAAACCATTCAATCCACATTTGTCTTTTTCTAGAAAAAAATCAACTTTTACTATGAAATATCCTTGTAAAAATAGTTCAATCGATTACAAACAAAACAAATTAAATAATATTATTTCATTACTCTTCACACATATAGCAAAACAAACAGAAAAAAAAATATCAAAATCGAACTTTCTCTTTCAAGATTAATTCGTAGATATCTGGTGTTAATTTCTCGTATGCTTGTTTTTGTTGATTTAAATAATAGATGTCTTCGGTAATTCGGCTCAGATCATAACCTTCTTCTTGGAAGACAGTTTTCTTCACTTTGAAAGTTCCAGTCAATTCGATATGTTTTGTGAAACGTAGAAAACATGGCCGCGCATACGAAGGTAAACCTTGCTTTTTCAGCTCATTCGCTATGGTTGATATATTGATTGGCGATGAAGGATCATCAAGAATCACAGCCATACCAGCTTTGCCTTCGCATTCTATACGAAATGGAATAAAACGAGATTTTCAGATTGCTCGTATCGAGTCAAACGAACAAACCTGGAATAGACACTCCGAAAACCACGACGTCGTTGCGTTTGAGAATAGTCATAAGAATATTTTCCACTTCAACAGTTGAAACATTCTCACCTTTCCAACGAAATGTATCACCGGTTCGATCACAAAAGTAAAGATATCCATATTTATCTGCATAAATCACATCACCTAATCGGAAAACGAAGGTATTCGATTCGAAATCGAAATCATTTTCATTCTTACCAGTGTTAAATACTTGATCACCGATTTTGCAAACATTATCGATAATCTTTCGATTTGTACCTGAGGCATTATTCACATAACCATCGAAAGCATTGAACACACTCTTTTTTATCAGTCCTACTAGTAAACCACGTTCTCCTGCATTGCACGGGATGCATAGTTTCGTTTTTTCATCACGCAATGGTTCCATTGTTTCAGGCTCGAATCGAATAAGAAACGAACCAAGAATACGGGGAACGATGATGGAAGAAAATCCACAAGCACCAGGATATGAATCAATATTAACTATCAAAACAACGAACTAATACACGAACATTTTATTTTTAAAGGGAGAAACTTACAAAAATAAGCATTGCTTTCCGTTGCACCATAGAATTCATAAATATTTTTTATGTTAAAGCGTTTAGAAAACGACATCCATAAATTTTGTCGAAGACCATTTCCCGAACAGAACTTAATCGAATGTTTCTGATCGAATTCACTCGGCGGTTGAGCAAGTAAAAATCGACACAATTCACCAACATAGGTAAAACCCTAACAAGTTAAACTACAAATACTTATCAAACAGAAGAGCTTACAAACTTACTGTACATCGATATTTAACACAATCTTTCCAGAAATTCGATGCAGAAAACTTCTTTCGTATTACGGTTGTACAACCACCGACAAGACTAAATAATTTTCGAAGAAAATCTTCCCTTACCCCATTCGATATTGATTTGTACATACCTGTAGGTGATACAAACCCAACCACCTGTACAAAACAAACGAATTCTTTCCTATTCGTTGACGAAGAACAAAACTTACCAAGTGAATGATAGAGTGGAAGTGTGTTGTACATGATATCTGTAGGTTTGATACCTGTCCCACAAAGAAAACCAAATGTACCGAGAAGAAATCTGTGAACAAATAAAATGAAAACGACGTTGTTCGAAAGTTTACGTTCAACTAACCGTGAATGTTTAATCACTGCTGCTTTGGGTAAACCAGTGGTACCCGACGTGAAAATATAGAAAACAGGATCTAATCAAAGCACAATTCAATATTCAATTCAATCAAACAAAGGTTATTGTTGGTTAGTATACGTTTTAAGTCGTATGGAAGAGGTTTAGGTGGCTGGGTTGAACATACTTGCAATTGGTCATACAATTGAATTGATTCAAAGGAAGTGGATGTTTCATTTGTTGTTATTGATTCTTTTGGATCGAATAGATAAACTTTATTGATACCTAATTCGTTCAATTCATTTTCAATTTCTATATCAAATTAAGCTGAAAGTCATTCATTCAATTCGACAAATCATTTTACCTGAAAGAATGTGCGTTGATGTTATAACACTTTTGGCGTTCACTGTACTAATGGAATGAATAAGTGGCTTTCCACGAAGATTTGTATTGATGAGCGCAGTTATACAACCAATTTTGCTCATTCCCACCCAAACGCACGGATACTCCAGTGAATTCTCTAAAATAAGTGCAATGATATCACCATGCTTGAAACCTTCCGCTGAGAAGAAGTTTGCCAATTGATTTGTTAAATCTTCAATCTTAATGAAGAGAAACTTAGAAAACAGATTGTCTTTATTCTTCAACTAACTTGCTGAAACGAAAGAGATTTGTCATCAAGAATCAAACACGCTTTTGATTGATACTGTTTGACATTGCCGCGGAATATTTCTATGAAGTCTCTTTTTCGGAAAACATTATACTTGAGCAGAAGATGATATTTGATCAAAATGTACAAGCCGACAAGATCACGAGGTAGAGTCTTAATCACAATAAATACAAATTCGAATATTCGTTGAGTGAAAGACCAGATCTGATCAAACATCTAGAATAACAAGTCACAAAGTAAAGAAACATCGAAGAATTGTACGTAGAAGCAAGGCCATATCTCAACTCGTACCCCGACGAGAGTAGTCAATGAGTAGATGTTTTTATATAAATTTCATGAGAACAAACTAATGTATCTCAAAGTCCGTACTTGATTTACTGAGAAAGAAAAGAAAAATTCTTTATTCTTCGAAAAAAAAAACAAGAAAAAGAGCCAAAAAGAACGTACGAAACGTATGTTGATGATATATTCAGGGTCAAAGTACATCCACACACAATTCGAACCTTTTTTCAAAGTCGTAAAATACAGGCACAATGTGTGTTAATATGTTTACAGAGAAGAGAAAAATGAGAGCGAGAGGAAAAGAAAACGAATGAGAGAAAGAAAAAAACAGAATGATAATAATAGTTCGAAGCAGAAGTGATAAGTTACACACAAAACATATAAAACACTGTTGTAACGTTTGATTTGCCTTCATCTAACAAACGTAATCGCCGAAATCTCCCCGAAAATCAATATCAATACGACAGATTGGACATCGTTTACTTTGAGTTAACCATCTATCAACACATTCAATGTGAAATAGATGCATACACGGTAAACGGCGAACATCATCATTATGATCGAATTCACATAAACATATAGTACATTTTTCATCTGTTGATATCGTTCGTTTTTCATATTTATATGATAGTGTACGTGCATTAATATGTTCTTGATTTGCACCTATATTACCACCATTATTCAGGCCGTTTAATTGTTCTTCCATACGGAGTAATTCTTCGACGACATGTTCGGCACGTTCGCTGTTTAGGAACGGATGATGATGATGGTGATGATGATGATGACTACGCAGAAGGAGTGGATTCCGAAATGGACGAAATAGTAAAGGTGTCGACGGCCATTGATTATTCTGTGAGGTCGTATTTATTGCCACGTGCATACTCGGATTAGTTGTACCTAATGTCAAATTATATGTATTCGTCGATGATGATGGTGATGCAGCCGTTGCTGGTTGTATTGTTAAATGAGCATGAATATTATTATTTGTTGTTGTTGCTGTTGTTGGATGAGTAAGAATAGCATGTAATTGTTGATTAGCAGTAAGGATGGTAGTTGTAGGTGAAGAAACGGATGGCGACGTTTGATGTTGAAATGAACTGAGTCGTTGTCGACGTAGTTCGGATGTTAGTTGTTGACGATACTGATGACGTAAGTGAGCAGGATTGTGATTGTGGTTATGATTATGATGATGATGATGAAAATGAAGATGTTGAACAGGTGGAGGTTGTGGAAGAGATGCGAGCGCAACTAAATCAATCAGGTAACGTAACAATATCTCTTGTATAAAAATAAACTTACCGGCACTTGCAGCAGCAGCAGCGAGAGCGACGGTTTGTTGAGTCGTTGCTGTTAGCGTTGGAATAACATTGGGAGTTTGATTGGGAGGATAGACAATAAACGGTGATATAGATGTAGCTGAAGATGAATTGGATCCGTTGGATGGAGTGATGACTGTAGACGTGTTTGGTGTACGATGAGAACATGAACACGATGAATTCGAAGGATTTGGCGTCGGTAGAGCATGTCTTCGAGAGGATAGAAGTTGTCGAGGAAAAGTTGAAGATACTGTTGGAGTTGTCGACAATGCTTGTGATTGTTGTTGTTGTTGCTGTTGATACTGTTGTTGATTCGCATAAAGTGCGGGATGATACGAAATCGATCTGAATTGTTGTTGTTGTTGTTGCTGCTGCTGTTGGTGGATAGATCGAAAGTGATTCATATGAGTAGTCATATTTGATGGTAATAATGAATCTTGTTTCGTTTGATCAACAATCATACTATTACTATTTGACAACAGCGATGATGAAGATGGTCTTTGCCCGAACAAAGCATTCGGTGATTCATCATCATCCTCATCGTCATCGTCGTCTTCGTCATCATCTTCATCGCTATCATCGCTTGACTCTACACTCGTCGTGACCGTTGTTGTTTGTCGTCGCTGACTATCCATTCCATTTGCTTCATCATATAATGAAGCAGTTACAGCAGCAGCTATGCATGCCGCGGCAGTCGCGCGTGATGACGCCAAATCATTTGTTGTTGTCGATGCTGACGAAAGGATTCGTCGCGTAGAATTACTNACTTGTACACACTTCTCTTGGCGTTGAAAATCGACATGCAGAAAGGAAATGTCAAACCATCCGAATTTCAAGTTTTGATCAAAGGTGGTGCTGCCTTAGATATGAACGCTGTCGAACCTCGACCAGATAAAATGAAGAAATGGTTAACTGATATGACTTGGCTGAATTTAGTCGAACTTTCCAAGCTCGCACACTTCTCACAAGTCTTACGACAAGTTGTCAGTAATGATAAGACATGGTACAATTGGTTCTTATCTGATGCACCCGAAGAAGTCACATTTCCTGAAGCATACTCGACTACATTGGATACATTCAAGAAATTATTATTAGTTCGATCATTTGCACCAGATCGTACATTACCTATGGCCAAGAAATATATTGGAGAATCTCTAGGCGTTCAATACGCTGAAGGTTATATTCTCAATTTAGAAGCTATGTGGCAAGAATCGGATAAACGTACACCACTTGTTTGCTTCTTATCCATGGGCTCTGATCCAACGGATAATATCTTGAGCTTAGCCAAGAAACAAAACACAATTTGCGGTACGATCTCCATGGGTCAAGGTCAAGAAGTTCATGCTCGACGTTTATTGCAACAAAGTCAACAAGAAGGCCGATGGATTTTACTTCAAAATTGCCATTTGGGCTTAGGTTTTCTTGAAGAAATGTTAGACACAGTGGCACAAACCGAACAAGTCGCTGATACATTCCGCTGCTGGTTAACAACTGAACCGCATCCGCAATTCTCTATCAATGTTTTACAATCATCAATCAAATATACTTTCGAACCACCCCAAGGTGTCAAAGCTGGTCTCAAACGTACATTTGCTGGTCTGACACAAGTAAATTATCTCACTTTTTCCATTCATACAAGTTCTTTATGCTTCCAAATGTTCTTTTAGGAAGTTGTCGATGTTAGTAACTTCTTTGAATGGAAAGTTATGTTATACACAGTTGCATTTCTGCATACAACCGTACAAGAACGTCGTAAATTCGGTCCACTCGGATGTACGTTAAGCGAATCATCTACTTTGTAACATTTTCTTGACCGAATAACATTTTTCTAGGGAACATTCCGTATGAATTCAATCAATCAGATTTTTCGGCTACCATTCAATTCATTCAAAATCATATGGATGAAATGGGTTCGAAATGGAATGTCTCATGGCCAACTGTCCGATACATGATCGGTGAAGGTCAGTCTTTCTATTCGAAATGAGTCTTTCTCTGTTTTCAAAGCAATCTTTTTTTTTCAAATTTCTAGTTCACTATGGTGGCCGTGTCACGGATGACTTCGACAAACGATTACTTAACACTTATACACGTGTTTGGTTTCTCGATAATATGTTCACGGAGAAATTTGAATTCGCACCAAATTATAAGATTCCACGTTGTAAGACCATTCAAGAATTCCGTACGCATGTCGAATCGATGAGCTTGTTCGACAGTCCAAATGTTTTTGGTCTTCATCCAAATGCTGATATCACCTACCAGAAGAATACAGCTGATTCGATTCTCGCTACAATCGTTAACATTCAACCAAAAGATGCCGGTGCTGGTGGTGGCGAAACACGTGAATCAGTTGTCTATCGTCAGTGTGACGATATGTTAAGTAAACTGCCCGAAGATTATATTCCACACGAAGTTCGAGGTGCTTTACAAAAACAAGGAGCTTTACAACCATTGAACATCTTCTTAAAACAAGAAGTTGATCGTATGCAACGTGTCATCGGCGTTGTACGTAATACATTGAAAGATTTGAAATTAGCTATCGATGGAACAATCATTATGAACGAAAACTTGAAAGATGCTTTGGACAATATCTATGATGCACGTGTACCAGCAACATGGAGAAAAGTTTCGTGGGATTCCGCAACATTAGGTTTCTGGTTCAGTGATTTGTTAGATCGTAATCAACAATTCTTCACGTGGCTGTTCAGCGGACGACCAAATGTGTTCTGGCTTACTGGATTCTTCAATCCTCAAGTAAATTCGTTGCTTCATAGGATTCTCTATTGATCATGATCTCGTTTAGGGTTTTCTAACTGCTATGCGACAAGAAATTACTCGTAATCACAAAGGCTGGTCATTGGATAATGTCGTTCTTGCCAACGATGTGATGAAAGTGGCCACGAAAGAAGAAGTAACATCAGCACCATCTGAAGGTGTTTACATCTATGGATTGAAAGTCGATGGTGCCGCATGGCGTATGTCTCGCGAAAGAGGTGGTCATCTTGCTGATCCTCCTCCAAAACAACTCTACTCGGACTTACCAGTCGTACACGTAAGTTACTCATTTTTTCCTTCGTCCGCTCCAATACAGATAATCTGATCGCCTAGGTTTACGCAACAAATGAACCTAAGCCGTTGGGCAATTCTTATTACGTCTGTCCAGTTTACAAGAAACCACGACGTACTGATTTAACATATATATTCTCATTATCATTGAAGATTAACAACAACAATCCGGATTTCTGGTAAGAATTCTGATTTGCAACTTTCCTATTGGAAAATATGTGTTATATTTAGGTGTTTACGTGGTGTGGCTCTCCTTTGCGATACAAAATAATCAACACGAACGATTCGATATATTTTATTATACTGTCTTGTTATCAAGCAATAGGGAGCTTTATTAATTAATGAAATAGTTTTGCTCCACGTTTGTGTGTGTGTATTATATTTATATTTTTTGTGTTACAGAAATCAACAATAAAAAGCACGAGCTTTCTGATTATAGGACGTTTTGTTTACTACGGGAAAGGAATGATGGGATCAAAATAGCTTTAATTACGAGTCTAATAATCATCTCAATCACAATCTTTTTAATAAGAAAGATAAAAACTTTCATTGTTCATTTGCTTCAGACTCAGGCATTGTCGTTAATGAAACAAATTGACGCTGATTAGTTCCCAATGGTCTTGCATTGACCGTTAATGCATTTCTATCAGAAAATATATTGGTAAAATTGCCTTTTGTGTGAATGTTTTGCGGTTCGGACATGGAATACTCCGTAACACTTCGCGTCATTGTACGTCCAGTGCCTGTATCTCTATTGGATCGATCGACTGGTTCTCGCCATTGAACTCCTGATCGAAAGAATCGTGCTGGTTGACGTGAAGTCTGGGAGTGTGTGTCTGAAGTATTCCCTGCACCACGTTGACGAAGAAATTCTAAAATCGCACGTTTATAATTGCCGAAGACTTCCAGCTACAAGAAAACAATGACTATAGAAAATAGATTTTGAGAGAAAAACGAACTTGAATATGATCGTGGAGATTATATGTTGTAAGTTTTTCATATTCAACTCTGATTTGTGCCATATCAATCTCACATCGAGTGACGATGATTCGATTCAGATCGTCTTCGTTTGCTTTAACATTCTGGAAAATTCGAATGAGGAGAAAGCAAACGTATCGATGACAATTTTACTTTAAGACATTTCTTCAATTCATTCGCGAAAAATCGTGCTTGATTGCGAATCAATCGAACTAAAAACATCAAAATTATGAACTAAAACACAGACCTCTTCACCATAAGCATACTAATAGCGATCAGTGTGTGATAAAGATGTCCTTCGATATTCTTTTGGATAGTTTGTTCAATATCCACATGACTGTATTGCTGATAAGCGGTAAATAATTGTGCCAATTGTGCATTACTAAACAAACAAATGAGATCTGTTCGATTCTCGATAGGAAAACAAACCTTCTTGTACATAAAAGTCGAACAAGAGTCGATCCATCAACTCGCCATTTGGACTCCGTTTCGAATAATTCTTTTGCATCTTGAATAATTTCATCATCAACGATAGCAACCTCTTCTGGTCGATTCGATCGAAGAAGAGCAACTAACAAATGTTTCGAATGATCATCACGATCAGTGCGAAGATCTTCTTCAATTGTGCTTCGAAACACTAAACACGAATCAATCTTTTTAGTTTATCAGTTTCAAGAACGTCTTACATTTGAAGTAAGCTTGTCGAACATTTTGAATATGTTGGCTCGTGCGAGTGAAAAGGAGTTCAACCAAAACGTTTCGATCGATTGTTGTTCGGTTTAGTACTCGTCGTAATTCAAAACAATCGTGTTCAATCGGAGATAATAATAACAATCTTAGAAATTTACTCAGACTGTCATCAGATATCCTCTCTAAGTCATCACCAAGGTTCTAAAAGTAGATCAATGATCAAAACACAAAGTAAATTTCTATTGCTTTCGTGTACTTTTTTGAACAATTGTTTATACTGATCGCGGATTTGTAATCGTTGAGCCAGTGCTTGGCTACAGATAACTCGACTAACACTCAATTCACCGATCGGCGTATCGTTCAACAATCGATGCAATGTTCGACAATCTAAACAAACAAACACATCTAATACTTTGATTATATCGCATCTGCTGTCTCAAACCTTGTTCAACCGTTGATACCGAATAGTCCTACAAGGAGAAAGAGAGTTTCCTTCCAATATCTAATCATTCAGCTTACGTTTTCATTTTTCTTCAATATTGAACGTTGTGCGTACTGAACCGTATTAGTAGTTGATGAAACACGGTAATTAGACGATAACTCTTGTAATGACGAGCGGAATGTTCCTTTTGGTAAGGAAGATTTGTGCGAAAGAGAGGTGAAATCACTTTCATGAATGGTCAGACGTTTGGCTGTATGGTTTTGATGATGGTTCAATCGTTCTCGATATTCTTCTATTTTTTGTTTGTGTATCTTTCGAATACGCAATGCGTCATCCAACTGATTTTCTCGATCTCGAATTAATTGGTTCAGTGTTGTTAAATATCGTTGTTTTTCCAATCTTGACTGATGATCACTGTGTGCAGCAGTGTTTTTTGTCTTGATTTCTTCAATTCTGAAAACGATATTTCGTTGCTTTTCTCGCTCGATCGTGACCTGTTGTTGAATTTCTTTCAACAATTCTTGATACTGTTGCAATTGAACTTCATGGTCTCTCGTCACTGTTGGCGCAGGTCGAATTTTATCCAATTGAAGACGATACAATTCTAATTCAAAATTCCGGTGCAATTCTTCTCGGTACACTTCGATTTTCTTTTCGTATTCCTGTCGAATACGTTGCAATTCTTGACTTAACTGATCTGAGAAATACTTTGACGGTTGAAAACCAGCTACTTGGGAAATATCAATGGACTGCCGTGCTTCGTCGATCGCAGTCGTCCGAATATCTTCATTGGTGATCTTCTCACTTCGTAAGATTTCAAGTTCGGTTTCTAAAGTCTGTTTAGCAAAATTTTCTTCGTCGAATAGGTAACGTAAGCGAACTTGTCGGGCATGAAGTGCTTGATTCTTCAAAAGATAAAATTTACTTTCGTCATCTAAATTTCGTGTCCGACGATGAAGAAATTGGCCTTCAGCGTTGTTCTGAGCAATTCGCTGTTCATAATTGAATAATTCCTGAGTGGTTTGATCTCGTTTGGCTAAGATATATTTATATTGTTCATCATAGCTTGGTATCTTCTTATCTAATGCGTTCGCTTTCGTCTCTAATTCTGGTTTGGACTGGGTACCTTCGTACAAGAGTTTCTTGGCATTTTCCAGTTCATTTTTATACATTTTTTCGATAGTCGAACGATTCTGATGAATATTATTTTCCAGCCATTCAATTTGCAAAACCTGAGCACGATTATGTGTTTCTAAATTACAACATCTCAGTATAGTCACACACAATACTTCAGTCAGCTTCGACAACTCCCGATATTCATCAATGATACGTTCACCATTGATGCTATGCAATGATGGAATAGTAGAGAAGTTCGGAGGTTGAACAAGTGTTGCGAGACCATGGTCGGCGGTTGTTACAACTGCATGACTGGTACCAACATTTGACCAAGCTATACCGCGAAGAGGACCTTGAAAAGCATTCGGCGCAATTACACGTGGTCGAATGTATTTTATGCCAGACGCATCTTCGTTGGACCTTGTCGGCTTTGTTCGCTGATATACATCGGATTGATATTTACTATCATCAAACTTTGCAACAGTTTTCGTATTCATTTTTCATCAAATAAACACATAAAGATCTGGATACATGCGACAGTTTAGCTTTTATCAACGACTTGATAACAAAACGACGATTCTTTTTACTTTAATTTTGGTTGAATACCACAGATAAGCTTATTTTGGTTTTACATGTTGGGCTGTCTTTATTTGCCTTTTCTTTTTAGTCTACTATCAACTTACTTCATGAAAAAAACGACATCTTGCTTAACTTGCATTCACGAGCAAGAAGAGCTCTATGTTTTTCTCTTGCCATTGATCGTTTGAGATGAAGTCCTTGATAGTCAAGAACAACATATCATCGTGAGAATGTTTATCTGCGATGTTGTTGTTAACCTTCGATGATCTTTCAATAACATTTCAGCAAAGCAGCGCGACCGTATCGACTCTTCTCATTAGAAATTCTCATAAAAAAGCATAACAAAACAAAATTCTTTTCGAGTTAATAAAGAAATAATTTTCCTACAAAAAAATGAACGAACAAACTGTTTTGATACTACTAGAAAACACACACACACACACGCATTCTTGCTGAGATAACGCATATTTCGTAGAAGATCAATCAGATACATCGTCAAAATAACGACATTGAGGCAGTGAATCAATGCTGAGATATTCTTTAGCTAGACAGATAAGAAATCAACAGGAATAATGTCGTATTTCAATGAAAATGTCTTACATTTCGGAAGTTTCTTTGCTGCTACATGTAGTTTCTCTACAAAACTTGGAATTCCTAAACGAAACCAACGGAAGCAATGGATTTTAGACATCGATTAGATTTTACCACTCTGCGCTATGTATGAATAAGTCGACGTTGGCATAGAAGCTTTGGCATCCTCATGATAAGTTAACAAAAACTTCATTCCTTTCTAGAAAACATACAGAGAACGAATTCAAAGAGTAAATTTTCGTTTGTCTAACTTCATCGAGTTTGGTTTTCGATTGGATGATCATCGATGATTCGTATTTATTCACTCGAACACATTTCTTATCACTATGAACATCAGGATGATCGATTGAATGACATTTGATAATAATTTTCGGCGGGAAGTTCGCAGATGTATCCAAACAGTAACGTCGGACGTAAAGGTAATCACGATGGTTAAATGGAAATGGAAATTTCTGTGTCCAATGAACGATATCGCTTTGCGAATTCTCATGTGTGTCAACTACCGACAGGCGCAAAGCGTGATCATCCCATTTCATTCGATAGTCAAGATCGAGCTGAAGACAAAACGTAAATCTACATAGAAGATTCAGTCAGCAAAGGAAAACTTACTTACTTGTACTTGGAAGAATACTAATGCAGATATATCATTGAATGTGCCGAAAACTAAGTAGATAAACAAGTGATAATCGAGGATGATCGCGGATTTCGTCTTACTTTTGTATGAATACACTTGAAGATTATCATCATATTTACGAAATAGCATCAGATGATCTTTGCGGAGGAGTTTTTCCCAACCGAGCGATATCAGTATATCCTCGATTTGACCGTTCGTCATGTTTAGCAAATAATCATCGGAAGTGGCTTCTTGTCTAAATAAATCTCTTTCGTCAAGGAAAAGATTGGCGTTTTAACGTTCACTTACAATTCTCTATCGCTGACTCCGTCATTTTCCCATGAGAAAGCCGTCGCTGCAGCGGTCAAAGCTCCAATGACAGATGATGCGAACAGAGTTGATTGTGAATGAGATTTGGATTGTGAATATTTCCATCGGTAATCATTATCATTCGTTTTCTTCGAGTTAATCCGCTCAATTTTACGATTATCAATAAATAGTAGTGAACTAAGCGAAAGTTTATATCGATGTCGTTTACATTCGTTGCAAACGAACTTTATCGGCCATTTCTTCATCGATGTCGAACATCGAAGAAACCATTCAATCCACATTTGTCTTTTTCTAGAAAAAGAATCAACTTTTACTATGAAATATCCTTGTAAAAATAGCTCAATCGATTACAAACAAAACAAATTCAATAATATTATTTCATTACTCTTCACACACATTGCAAAACCGACAGAAAAAAAAAATGATCAAAATCGAACTTTCTCTTTCAAGATTAATTCGTAGATATCTGATGTTAATTTCTCGTACGTTTGTTTTTGCTGATTTAAGTAATAGATGTCTTCGGTAATTCGATTCAGATCATAGCCTTCTTCTTGGAAGACAGCTTTCTTCACTTTGAATGTTCCAGTCAATTCGATATGTTTTGTCAAACGTATAAAACATGGCCGCGCATACGAAGGTAAACCTTGCTTTTTCAGCTCATTCGCTACGGTTGACATATTGATTGGCGATGAAGGATCATCAAGAATCACAGCCATGCCAGCTTTGCCTTCGCATTCTATACGAAATGGCATAAAACGAGATTTTCGGATTGCTCGTATCGAGTCAAACGAACAAACCTGGAATGGACACTCCGAAAACCACGACGTCGTTTCGTTTGAGAATAGTCATAAGAATATTTTCCACTTCCACAGTTGAAACATTCTCACCTTTCCATCGAAATGTATCACCGGTTCGATCACAAAAGTAAAAATATCCATATTTATCTGCATAAATCACATCACCTAATCGGAAAACGAAGGTTGTCGATTCGAAATCGAAATCATTTCACTCTTACCAGTGTTAAATACTTGATCACCGATTTTGCAAACATTATCAATAATCTTTCGATTTGTACCTGAGGGATTATTCACATAACCATCGAAAGCATTGAACACACTCTTTTTTATCAGTCCTACTAGTAAACCACGTTCTCCTGCATTACACGGAATGCATAGTTTCGTTTTTTCATCACGCAATGGTTCCATTGTTTCCGGATCGAATCGAATAAGAAACGAACCAAGAATACGAGGAACGATGATGGAAGAAAATCCACAAGCACCAGGATATGAATCAAGATTAACTATCAAAACAACAAACTAATACACGAATATTTCATTTTCAAAGAGAGAAACTTACAAAAATAAGCATTACTCTCCGTTGCACCATAGAATTCATGAATATTTTTTATGTTGAAGCGTTTAGAAAACGGCATCCATAAATTTTGTCGAAGACCATTTCCCGAACAGAATTTAATCGAATGTTTCTGATCAAATTCACTCGGCGGTTGAGCAAGTAAAAATCGACATAATTCACCAACATAGGTAAAGCCCTGACAAGTTAAATTACAAATACCTATCAAACAGAAGAGCTTACAACTTACTGTACATCGATATTTGACACAATCTTTCCAGAAATTCGATGCAGAAAACTTCTTTCGTATTACGGTTGTACAACCACCGACAAGACTAAATAATTGTCGAAAAAAGTCGTCCCTTACTCATTCGATGTTGATTTGTACATACCTGTAGGTGATACAAACCCAACCACCTGTACAAAACAAACGAATTCTTTCCTATTCGTTGACCAAGAACAGAACTTACCAAGTGAATGGTAGAGTGGAAGTGTATTGTACATGATATCTGTGGGTTTGATACCTGTCGCAGTAAGAAAACCAAATGTACCGAGAAGAAATCTATGAACAAATCAAACGAAAACGAAGTTCTTCAAAAGTTTACGTTCAACTAACCGTGAATGTTTAATCACTGCTGCTTTGGGTAAACCAGTGGTACCCGACGTGAAAATATAGAAAACAGGATCTAATCAAAGCACAGTTCAATATTCAATTCAATCAAACAAAGGTTATTGTTGGTTAGTATACGTTTTAAATCGTATGGAAGAGGCTTAGGTGGTTGGGTTGAACATACTTGCAATTGGTCATACAATTGAGTTGTTTCAAAAGAAGTAGAGGTTTCATTTGTTGTTATTGATTCTTTTGGATCGAATAGATAAACTTTATTGATACGTAATTCGTTCAATTCATTTTCGATTTCTATATCAAATCAAGTTGAACATCGTTCATTCAGTTCGACCAATCATTTTACCTGAAAGTATGTGTGTTGATGTTATGACACTTTTGGCGTTCACTGTACTTATGGAATGGATAAGTGGCTTTCCGCGAAGATTCGTATTGATGAGCGCAGTTATACAACCAATTTTACACATTCCCACCCAAACGCACGGATACTCCAGTGAATTGTCTAAAATAAGTGCAATGATATCACCATGCTTGAAACCTTCTGCTGAGAAGAAGTTTGCCAATTGGTTTGTTAAATCTTCAATCTTAATGGAGAGAAACTTAGAAACTAGTTGTCTTTGTTTTTCAACTAACTTGCTGAAACGAAAGAGATTTGTCATCAAGTATCAAACACGCTTTTGACTGATACTGTTTGACATTGCTGCGGAATATTTCTATGAAGTCTCGTTTTCGAAAAACATTATACTTGAGTAAAAGATGATATTTGATCAAAGTGTACAAGCCCACAAGATCACGAGGTAGAGTCTTAATCACAATAAATACATATTCGAATATTCGTTGAATGAAAGACCAGATTTGATCAAACATCTAGAATAACAAGTCACAAGGTAAAGAAACATCGGAGAATTGTACGTAGTGACAAGATCATTTCTCAACTCGTACCCAGCGAGAGTAGTCAATGAGTAGATGTTTTTATATAAGTTGCATGGGAGCAAACGAACGTATCTCAAAGTCCGTACTTGATTTACTGAGAAAGAAAAGAAAAATTCTTTATTCTTCGAAAAAAAAACAAGAAAAAGAGCCAAAAAGAACGTACGAAACGTATGTTGATGATATATTCAGGGTCAAAGTACATCCACACACAATTCGAACCTTTTTTCAAAGTCGTAAAATACAGGCACAATGTGTGTTAATATGTTTACAGAGAAGAGAAAAATGAGAGCGAGAGGAAAAGAAAACGAACGAGAGAAAGAAAAAACAGAATGATAATCATAGTTCGAAGCAAAAGAGATAAGTTACACACAAAACATATAAAACACTGTTGTAACGTTTGATTTGCTTTCATCTAACAAACGTAATCGCCAAAATCTCCCCGAAAATCAATATCGATACGACAGATTGGACATCGTTTACTTTGAGTTAACCATCTATCAACACATTCAATGTGAAATAGATGCATACACGGTAAACGACGAACATCATCATTATGGTCGAATTCACATAGACATATAGTACATTTTTCGTCTGTTGATATCGTTCGTTTTTCATACTTATATGATAGTGTACGCGCATTAATATGTTCTTGATTTGCACCTATATTACCACCATTATTTAGGCCGTTTAATTGTTCTTCCATACGGAGTAATTCTTCGACGACATGTTCGGCACGTTCGCTGTTTAAGAACGGATGATGATGGTGGTGGTGATGATGATGACTACGCAGAAGAAGTGGATTCCGAAATGGACGAAATAGTAAGGGTGTCGACGGCCATTGATTATTCTGTGAGGTCGTATTTATTGCCACGTGCATACTCGGATTAGTTGTGCCTAATGTCAAATTATATGTATTCGTCGATGATGATGGTGATGCAGCCGTTGCTGGTTGTATTGTTAAATGAGCATGAATATTATTATTTGTTGTTGTTGCTGTTGTTGGATGAGTAAGAATAGCATGTAATTGTTGATTAGCAGTAAGGATGGTAGTTGTAGGTGAAGAAACGGATGGCGACGTTTGATGTTGAAATGAACTGAGTCGTTGTCGACGTAGTTCGGATGTTAGTTGTTGACGATACTGATGACGTAAGTGAGCAGGATTGTGATTGTGGTTATGATTATGATGATGATGATGAAAATGAAGATGTTGAACAGGTGGAGGTTGTGGAAGAGATGCGAGCGCAACTAAATCAATCGAGTAAAGTAAAAATATATCTTGTTCCAAAAGTAAACTTACCGGCACTTGCAGCAGCAGCAGCGAGAGCGACGGTTTGTTGAGTCGTTGCTGTTAGCGTGGGAATAACATTGGGAGTTTGATTGGGAGGATAGACGATAAACGGTGATATAGATGTAGCTGAAGATGAATTGGATCCGTTGGATGGAGCGATGACTGTAGAAGTGTTTGGTGTACGATGAGAACATGAACACGATGAATTCGAAGGATTTGGTGTCGGTAGAGCATGTCTTCGAGAGGATAGAAGTTGTCGAGGAAAAGTTGAAGATACGGTTGGAGTTGTCGACAATGCTTGTGATTGTTGTTGTTGTTGTTGTTGTTGTTGATACTGTTGTTGATTCGCATAAAGTGCAGGATGATACGAAATCGATCTGGACTGTTGTTGTTGTTGCTGTTGCTGGATAGATCGAAAGTGATTCATATGAGTAGTCACATTCGATGGTAATAATGAATCTTGTTTCGTTTGATCAACAATCATACTATTACTATTTGACAATAGCGCCGATGAAGATGGTCTTTGCCCGAATAAAGTATTTGGTGAGTCATCATCATCCTCATCGTCATCGTCGTCTTCGTCATCATCTTCATCGCTATCATCACTTGACTCTACACTCGTCGTAACTGTTGTTGTTTGTCGTCGCTGACTATCCATTCCATTTGCTTCATCATATAATGAAGCAGTTACAGCAGCAGCTATGCATGCCGCGGCAGTCGCGCGTGATGACGCCAAATCATTTGTTGTTGTCGATGCTGACGAAAGGATTCGTCGCGTAGAATTACTAAATGCATCGTTATCATCATCATCTGAAGAACATTCTTGAACTTGTAATTGACGAGAAGATACNGTTGTTGTTTGTCGTCGCTGACTATCCATTCCATTTGCTTCATCATATAATGAAGCAGTTACAGCAGCAGCTATGCATGCCGCGGCAGTCGCGCGTGATGACGCCAAATCATTTGTTGTTGTCGATGCTGACGAAAGGATTCGTCGCGTAGAATTACTAAATGCATCATTATCATCATCATCTGAAGAACATTCTTGAACTTGTAATTGACGAGAAGATACTATAGATTGAAAGAAGAAAAAAAATTGATTGTGTTTCGTTTTTCTTTTGTTAAAAAACCTTAGTTTACCTGTTGATGATTGTATAGGACGAAATCGTTTCGGTAGACTACGACCATCGTTTATCGTTGAATTGGATGAAGAGAAATCATATTCGTTTGATATCGAACGCTTCTTACGATTATTTGTAGATGTTGAGGATGCTATTGAATTTGATGTTGACGAATTATTACAAAGATTTTCGTAGTAATTACGAATAAGTGTATTACTATTTGAGACGATCGAAGCTGCTGTAGTAACAGTCGTCGATTGTTGATCATTGGTCGGCAGTGACGAAGGAATTGTTGGAGTAAATTTATCGAGTAACGTCTTATAACGTGGTAAAGTTGTTGTTGTGGCTGCATTGGTCGCTGTTGACGATGATGGAGTTGACGAAGAAGGTGAATCTGTTGCAAAAGAAAAATGATTATTTATTTCAAAGAAGAAGAAACAGCAACAACAAATCCTTACCACTGTATGTGTGCGTAGTAACAGCATAAGGCGTTGGTGGTCGACCGTTTCGAGATAGATCATTGTTATTTTGCGTAGTACCATTAGTAAGAAAATCATTTAATGTTGTAGGATTAACGTTTTGTTGATGGTGAATGAGAAGAGCGGCGGCTGCAGCAGCTGGTTCGACAGCAAGAAATTCAGCGAATGCAGCATTCATTGCGGATGCGACTTCTTCGGGACTAACGATCGACGATTGATGTTGTTGTACGGCACTCATACGTAGGTATAAGCGTATATCGATGTATGTGTATATGTGCCGACACTTTTATTTTTTATTGTTTTTTCTTGAAGAAAAAAAGATCGATTTAGAAATCGTTTGAAATCAATAAAAAAAACAACAAGGATATTTCAATCTTTGTGGTTTTTTTTCTGCCTTCAAATATATATATATATTCTCTTGTCTTGTTTACTGCATTCAGAAATATACGACGAACGATTCACTCAATCCTTAGCCTTGTTGCTCGATTTTCTCGTCCAGTACAAAATATAACGACAACGTTCGCTTGCTTGGTTGCTTGCCCTCGTTACTATTGCTGCTTCTCTTTTTCTTTTTTTTCTTTTTTTCTTTTCTTTCGCTCGTCGCCCGTTGCTCGGAGAATAAGAGAGTGCATAGCAAGCACACTAGCGCGCGCGCGTGTGCACATACTCGCCCTCGCGCTCGCGATAACAAATGTTTTTCTTCGATGTACTATGCATCGATGTGTGTGTGTGTGTGTTGTTCATCTCTGAAATCTATTTCTCGACCGTCGTTGTGTAGCTTCGTTCTTTCTCTCCTTTTTCTTTTCCTCTCTNTCTTTCGCTCGTCGCCCGTTGCTCGGAGAATAAGAGAGTGCATAGCAAGCACACTAGCGCGCGTGTGTGCACATACTCGCCCTCGCGCTCGCGATAACAAATGTTTTTCTTCGATGTACTATGCATCGATGTGTGTGTGTGTGTGTTGTTCATCTCTGAAATCTATTTCTCGACCGTCGTTGTGTAGCTTCGTTCTTTCTCTCCTTTTTCTTTTCCTCTCTGTCTCCGCCTTCCCCCATTTCTGTGCCTTTCTCGTATGCACATACGCTCGAGAACAATTTTGACAAAAAAAAATTGGAGAAGAAACACGAGTGAGAAAAAGAAAGAGGCCATATGGTGCCGGGACCCTTTTTTTTTTTCTCTAAAATAGGTACGAACACTTCGTTCGGTTGAAGAGAGAACAAGTGCAAGCAATAGAAAGAAAAGAGAAGCAACTGTAATGAACATACTATCATAATTTTACTATTTTGTTCGATCTATACGAAGGACATACTTGTAAAAAGTGCTGCATGATAAGAAAACCAAGAAGTAGCGTGAAGTTTTCTCGAGAAACTCTGTACTGATCAACAGTGTCATGATGACGGTAGTCTAAGTGCAAAAAGAAAACGATCAATAGACGAATAGATAGATATTTGGTACAGAATATGTAAAGAAGAGGCAAGGCAAGAAAAAGAGCAGGGATAAACGACTGATGAGGAGAACAACCTTTTTATAACGTACACACACACACACACACACATTCGGCTCGAGCACGCATAGCCATGAATGTCGAATGCGCCGCAAGTAGAGACGACGACCGTCGAGCAAATCATGAATGATGAAGGGAACGAGGATGTATGTATGTGTGTGTGTGTGTGTGTGTGTTTGTCACAAGGAGAGAAGAAGAGAAGAAAACGAGAAAAAAAGACGTGCAAGGAAGATTTTGGAGACGTGTACACCGTGAGAGAATCATACATCAATATATTTCTCATTACGGTTTCTTTTTTCAAACAATTTTTTGTCTATTCAAACACGCATTATCAATAAATGAAAACACTGAGAAAAAGATCGTATCAAAACGTTTTTCTTCTATTTCTCTTTTACTTTTAGGTTTCTATAAACGAGATTAGAAAGAAAAAACAACACAAACAAAAGAACAAAAAGAAAAATGAACAATTAAATTAATAGAAAATTTTTCTCTCGCCTTTGAAGTTGTCAATACATTAATTTCTTCGTCGTTGCTGATGTTGTTGTTGTTGTTGAGGGTTTTCGAGACTTTCGTGGTACTGTTGAATGATTTTACTCGATATATCGGATCGGACTGGACAGTATCGAGTATATTCCATCGAAAATTCTCCTTTACCTTGTGTATGTGAACGAATATCCGTCGAAAATCCAAACATGTCATTCAATGGAATCTATCAACGATAATGAACATTCCCGTTTGCTTTTCAAAGACAAAATTCGTTTTACTTCAGCTAGCATTGTAAACCAATCTTCACGTGGTTCAATTCCGGATATGATACCAAAACGTTTGACAACTAAGGAGGTGACAGCGCTTTGAAATTCCAGCGGAGCGTTGATTTCCACTAGCATAACCGGTTCAATCAACTGCCATTGACCGTGATCTTGCGCTAGATTGAAAAGAATAAATCAGTCGTTCGAATCGGTCAGCTTACTTTGTCTTATGGCTCCTTCGGCAGCTAACATAAATGCAAGTTCATTCGAATCAACAATATGATTATCCCCTAAATATACATAATCAAATATAATTGAAAACTAGATTCCTTTCTCGTACCATCTAATAGACGAAATTTGACACCACTAATTTTGTTTCCACTTAGAGAACCTTTTTCATAAGCACGAGCCAATCCCTACAAGAAGTAGAGCATAACAGTGGCAACGTTGTTTATTACATGAGAACTTCAAATGCAAAACCTTTTTAATTGCAGGGATAAACTGCGACGGTACATTTGTTCCGGATGTTTCGTCAGAAAATTCTAGAAAGAAAGGAAAAAAGAACGTTTGAAGTTACATACTGAAAAACACTTTTGAATACGTACCAACTGTGGCGAATTTATCGGGTGATAATGGCTGAAAGGAAATACAATAAAGATGAACGACTGTAGGCTAGTTACGAGGAATTTACTTCGAGAATGCCAATAACGCGACCATATTGACCTGCACCGCCGGATTGTTTCTTGTGAAGATAGTCAAATCTATGGGGAAGAATAAAATAGATGAGCATGATGTAGTTTTATTCTTCTTACTTGATAGGAGCAGCGAGACATTCTCGGAAAGAAACTTTTGGTTTACCCATTTGAATTTTGACGCCATATTCACGTTGAATACGCTACAGAAAGCGAAAAGTTCATTAATTATCTTCAATATAAATATGTACTTGTGCGTAAATATCTAATTGTAATTCTCCCATGCCCATAGCGATTGATTCTTTGTTATCTTCATCATAAACAATACGGAATGTCGGATCCTCTCGTGTGAATCTTTAGAGAAAAAGAATAATTAGTGAAAAACTTCGATGTCTTCGATGAATTCTATGTACCGAGCTAAAGCCGAGGCAAATTTTTCGACATCGTTTGTTGATAAACACTTGATGGACATAGAAATAACTGGATCAGGCACAAAAATTGATTCCTATTTGAAATGTAAGGATATTTTGTCATTTTCATTAGTTTCATGTACGCACCATACTGATCCGATAAGCTTTATCATTGACAAAAGTGTCACCAGTACCACAATCAAGACCATAAAATGCGCAAATGTCACCTGCATAAGCTTCTTCGACTTCCTACAACGAATGAAATATTAGTGAGACATGAAGAATGAACAATTCATACTTCAGCTTTGTTCGAATGCATACGAACGAGTTTTGATACTCGCGTTCGTTTCATTGTACGCATATTGTAAAGTGTATCACCACGTTTAACACCACCTTGATACACACGTACGTATGTTAATTGTGTTGCACTAGTATTTCGACCACCGGCCTATGTTCAAATTTGAGAGTATTGTTGTCTGTATGATTGCAAAGGTTTACTTCGATTTTAAAAGCAAAACCAACAAATGGTGCAGCAAACGAGCGCGTGGGATCGAGTTTGATCGTCTTCTTTTCTTTTCTATGCAATCAACGATTCAAATTTTAGAAGCAACAAATCTATTCATTCAGTACCCTAGTTCGTCTAAGGCTATGTTTTCGACTTCAGCTGGATTTGGTAAATAACGATAAACATTGTCAAGTAGTGGTTGCACGCCTTTGTTTTTCAAAGCTGAGCCAACGAAAATCGGTTGAAATTTACGATTTATGACACAACGACGAATGGCATCCTTTTGAAGAAGAAATCGTGTTTGATTTGGAAGGATATCTATTGACATACATGGATTTGTTGTTCAGTCGGTTGTTCTTCGTTGAGAAACATTTCACCAAGTTCATCATCGACACCGGAGACCGTTTCTATGATGACGAATAGGATAATAATCAACTCACGTCCATCTTATTCAAGGCGATTGGAAGAGTCACTTACCGATTAGATCACGTCGTCTATCTTCAGCTTCTTTTTTATACTCTTCAGGAATCTCTTCTATCGAGATTTCTTCGCTAGAATCATATGAACATCCATACGATAAGTATGATCCTGTGGAGATAATAATCGTACCCATGTGGACCATTAAAGTACATTGCTTTTCGTTCGATGAGATCGATAATACCTTTGAAGTTTCCTTCTAAGCCTATCGGGATTTGTACAAAAGCAGCATTGTGACCAAGTTTAGCTCTAAAATGAAAGCAAACCGATTCAAATCAACAGAGACAATGAAATAGCAAGTGTTTACTTCAACTGTCCCATAGCTCGAGTAGGATTAGCATTCATACGATCGAGTTTATTGATAAAAGTAAGAAATGGTACTCGATATCGATTCAATTGCCTATTAACTGTCATAGTTTGTGACTGAACACCACCCACACCGCAAACAACAAGCACAGCACCGTCAAGTACACGCAACGAACGTTCTACTTCAACAGTGAAATCAACATGGCCTAGAACGAATGAGTAGATCATAATACGAACTAAAATCATAGATCATTGCTTTACCTGGCGTGTCGATAATATTTATATTATGACCTTTCCACTCAACGTAGGTCGCGGCCGATTGAATGGTAATACCACGTTCACGTTCGAGTTCCATTGAATCCATAGTTGCACCAACAGAATCTTTACCTTTAACCTAGAAGCAATGATAGTCGTTTTGATTGACGACAATCATCGTTCTTCTTACTTCATGCATTGCTTGGATACGTCCAGAATAGAAAAGAATACGTTCCGATAAAGTTGTCTAAATCCAAACATGATTATTCAAGAATTACATCGATGAGAAAAGTAGCAAATATACTTTTCCTGAGTCGATATGTGCAGAAATTCCGATATTTCGAATTTTTTCCAGAGGATAATGTTTCTAGAGTACAAAGTAAAGTGATTCTATCGTATTAGTGAATCTATAGTTACAGATTCTCGTTTGACAGCATAAGTTCGAAACGGTATCCATCGATACTAACGTGAAAAACTTAAATAAGGTTTTTGAAAGAAAATCAAATAGATCTACCTGTTTGAGAAGATGAGAAAGTATTCGAGGTGTCATTGTTGTCACACCTGGTTGAAATGTTTCTTTTCTCTGAAAGAAAACCGGAAAATCAATCAGTTGTAGATCATATTCGAAAGCAAAGTCCAATTTGTACAACATGGTAAACCTAAACCTCATGCCATTCACAGATAAGTAGTTGATAACCTCCTCCGATAGTTTCTAACGATGATAGATGACGCTCTTCGTTGGTGCGGAAAAGGTACTTGAAAAGTGCACTCGCATCCAAACCATTGATGACCTTTTTGTCCGAGTAACTAGGAAAGAGATTTACGAACCATCTGATATCTCGTTTAACAGTACGAATACTTGATCGAACATGCACATAAGTTATGTATGAACGTAATGATGAAAATAAAATACAATTCGTAAAGGAAAAGCACCTTTATGTATCTGTTCGTTCGACAAAATACTCTTTTCTATATTTGATCTTGAGAGGTATTTTCATGACTTTTTAAAAAAGAAAAGTTATACTCGTATGAGTGCTCATCCGTACCACACTGTCAACTTTTCGAAGAGGGTACGATCGTACTATCTGACCAACACTTTATTCGAAAGAATGAAAAAGTCTCGAATGTTCTCACAATCCATTCCGTCAGTGCTGATGATGCCTCATGCATGCATGATTTTGAATGTCCTGAAAGCAAACGTAGTTAATTCTTTCAAGAAATGTAATGATGACAAGGCATTTTGTGCTTTTATCTACGTCGATAGACGAGAAGCAGTATATAAATACGGAGAACAGAATCGATCGGCACACGTGTTACTTTTGCGTTTCTGTTTCATAATGAAATTTTGAAAGCGCTCACATGGAACGATTGCCAGTAATTTTTTTGCTTTTACTGGTGAGAAAACGCGCCCTTTTTTAACATTTAGTTTTTAGCAAAACCACATTTTTCGAAATTATACCTTTCAGATGTCCCAAACAATTACCATCGACTCTTCAAAAATAACAATTCCTATTATTGGTTATGGCACAGGAACCAAATGGTATTCCGGCGATAATTCCAAACCAATCGATAAAAATTTAGTTAAATCAGTTCATGATGCATTATCAGTCGGTTATCGTCATTTAGACGCCGCTGAAGCGTACGGAACTGAAACATCCGTCGGCGAAGCATTACGTACGCAATCCATTGCACGAAATGAAATTTTTATTACTTCGAAAGTGTTCAAAAATATCGGAAACATCGAACAAGCGTGCACGGATGTTTTAACACGCTTGGGTATTGATTATCTTGATCTTTGGCTTATTCATGCACCATTCTTCGATCGAAATAAGATTTCACTTGAAAAAGCCTGGCAAGAAATGGAGAAATTAGTTGAAAGTGGCAAAGTCAAAGCTATTGGTGTTAGCAACTTCCAAAAACGACATTTGGAAGAATTATTCGCTTTAAATCCCAAAATCAAACCAGCAGTTAATCAAAGTTAGTATCGGAAAGTCTTTCTTTTTTGTTAGAAACTCTTCCCGTACTCTTCTAGTTGAACTTCATCCATATGTTTATAAAGGAACGCGAGAATTGCTTGAATATTGCAAGTCAAAAGGCGTTGTAATCGAAGCGTATTCTCCGCTCGGTCCGCTTACTTTCAAATCGGATGGACCAGTCAATGAGATTCTTGAAAAATTAGCGCAGAAATACAATCGGACGCCTGCCCAAGTTTTACTCAAGTGGAACATCATCAAAGGTTTGACTCTTCCCTGAATTCTTTTGATATAAATCGTTGTATTTGCCGTTAAGGTGATGTTGTAATCACGACTTCGAGCAAACGCGATCGTTTAGAAGATTTTCTCAAAACCGCTGACGAGAATTTTCAATTGAGTGACGACGATGTCAAGGCCATCGATGATGCCGGTGCAAAATTACATTTTCGAAAATACTGGACCAAAGAAATCGATGGTCAAAAAGAAGATTTATAAACATTTTGTACGCTTTTTCAGTTCGAAAATAAACGGTTCTATCACTATTAAAGTCTTGTAACTAACGAGCGCTCTCTATCTTTTGATGTTCTTTCGTTATTGGATATTTTTAGTCCATTCTTTGAAAAACGCAGCATAGAGAAGAACAGAATCAACGCGAACTAGTCATTGACTTACGTTGGTGTTACTTTATTCGAAAATAACGATCAATCATCGATTTATTTTGATCAAATGACATTTCGCCATTGATCCAATGAAAAATTCAGCTAATTACGTCGTCGATTTAGGCGATAAGTTTCATTCGACAACCAGGTCCTCCTCACTTTATCGTGTATGGATATCTTTTTCGAGAAATATCTGATTTTAACGCATAATTAATCCATTGATTTAGTATTGGCGACAATTACATAGACAACAACGGATATTTATCATTGTTCTTATTGCATTATTGATATTTGTTTATTTTGGCTATCGATCTCATTCGACAGAACCAATCAGAAATCTTCCAGATGATTTTCATCTGCATCGCGAAGAAATCAATAAAGACAAGGAAGCTTGGCAACGAAAACGAATAGAAGTAAGCTATGTGATGAACATTCGCACAGAAAGACTTTTTCTCATAGGAAAATCAAGCGAATAAAGTCAAAGTTGAAAAACAAATCTTCTTCAGTATGTGAAGGCTAACGGGAAACGATTTTTCGACACTTTTTCGTCAATAGATCCAACAAATGAACGACAGATAGCAGTGAGAGATGCTATGCGACATGCATGGAAAGCTTATCGGACATATGCATGGGGTTACGATGAATTACAGCCTCTTTCCAAAACACCATCAGCATGGTTTGGATTAGGTTTAACAATTGTTGATGCTATTGACACATTGTATATTATGAATATGACTGAAGGTGAAAAGAGATCTACTGATAGATTGACTTGGTTTGTGAGAATATGATTTTCTCGTTTTAGAATATCGAGACGCTCGTGAGTGGATTGAGAAATCGTTCAATCTTGATTCGGACTCGATTGATAAATTTAACTCGCATTTTGAAATCACAATACGCGTTCTCGGTGGTTTACTTAGCATTTACCATATATCGGGTGATAATATATTTCTAAAACAAGCGGTAGGAAATCGATGGAAAACGAAGTACTCTTTTTTTTAACCGAAATGAAATTCTTCTAGGTTGACTTAGGAGAACGTCTTCTCGTTAATTTCAACACTCCCACCGGTTTACCATTAGCTGAGACAAATCTCAAACGAAAAACTGCCAGTGGCTATCGGTATATCACTGAATCGTATTAGAAACATTTGTAATAGTTTGCATCTTTTGGTTTAGGTGGACTTCGGATTCCGCTCTCTCAGAAGTTGGAACAGTACAAATCGAGATGCGCGATTTATCCCGAGTTAGTGGTGATAAAAAATATGAAGTTAGTTAAGTGTTTTCGAGAGATGGAAAACAAACTCATTCGTTTGTTTATATAGGATGCAGCTGATAAAGCGTCTACTGTTCTTCATAATCAATCAAAGAAAGACGGGCTTGTTCCTATATTTATTAATCCATTGACTGGTCGTTTTTCAGGTGGAGTAGTTTCTTTCGGCGCACGTGGTGATTCTTATTACGAATATTTGCTCAAACAATGGTTACAAACTGGACAACAAAAGGCTATGTAAGTAGAACTTTAATAACTGATAGAGTTCATCTTGGTAGAGACGTGTCGAGTGCACAGGGCTTGTATCCAAGATAAACAAAATGTGTCCTGGATGTACAATAATAGTGTAATCTAATAAAGAGTTTCTCAACCGCACATATGACAAGTTTGGATAAACTTCTCTTATCTAAGTAATATCCATGCATCGTTTCTGTTATAGATTTTGGGATGATTGGATTGAAAGTATCGGTAAGTGAAGATGGAAAACTTTGATGAAGGATTCATTCTGTGCAAATTCATGTAGAGGGTGTGCGAAAGCATCTTTGGCGGTTGGCATATCCTGAAAAACTTTATTTTGTTGGTGAATTGATGGGTATGAGTTCGTTCTCTCCAAAAATGGTACGACTTTGAGTTTGTTAAGCACTTTTAAATTGATTTCCACTTTCGTATAGGATCATTTGGTCTGCTTTCTCGGTGGTAATATGGCACTTGGATGGTACTTTAAAAAAGATTTAACTTTTCTACTCGATATGGCGAAAGATTTAACAAAAACGTGCTATGAAATGTATGCAAAACAAGAAACCGGACTTAGTCCTGAAATCGCGTATTTCAATACAGATTCTCAATTGAATGGACAAACATTGAGTGTTCGCGTATGTTCATGAATACGAATAACTACAAAAGTCTCCTTTCTGTAACTTGTAGGATAACGATGCACATAATCTGTTACGTCCGGAATTGATTGAATCGTTATATTATTTATATTTTCTCACGGGTGATACAATTTATCAAGACTGGGGTTGGAAGATTTTTCAGTCATTCGAGAAATATACTCGACAAACTGATGGATACTCATCGATCAATGATGTTCGACATAAGGACAATGTTCGGCCGCGTAATAAAATGGAAAGCTTTTTTCTTGCCGAAACATTGAAATATTTATATCTACTTTTTGATAATAAGAATCTTTTTCCTTTTGACCAATGGATATTCAACACCGAAGCTCATCCACTGCCAGTTTACCAGCATTAAACAATAAAAACTTGATTCTTACTGTTCGTTTTCTTTTTTTTTGTCTGATATATGCTCCTATGTTCCTTCAATTTTGTATCCGGTGTTGTTGTGAACGATATGAGAATGCCAACTGATTTCTTTTGCACAGCATAGACGCACGCGAAATATAGAAAACAATTTCTTATGTTTAATCATTTTTAGAACAGTAAACATCTATCTATTCATATATCTTTTCCTATTTTCAAACCAAATATGGCCACAGAATCTCAAGTACGTAGGATTTACATCAATAATATATACCGATTAATGAAAATCTTCGTTAGAATGACGCTCAATCAAAATCTCAACCTGTATTAGAACCTTATTTTCCTAAAGCGACCGAAATGCTTTTTTATACCGGCAATATCACTCCATTCTTCAAACTATTAACTAAAACAAGCTCTTCTGTTACCGAACAAGTAATATCTACATGTTCTTTCATCAATCAAATGTCAATTATTCGTTTTAGATTATGGAATATATGTCGATGATGTTAGAAAAGATGAAAACCAAAGCAAAAGCAGATCAATTCAAAGTAAGCGAAGGTTTTCCTTTCAGATCATCAAGTTGAGTTTGTTTTCAGGAAAATAATTATGTCAAATTAATTTGTCCTCCTGAAGATAATCAATCAAACGCAGCTAATGGCACAACAACAACTCCACCGAACGAAACGGAAGAGTTAGATCGCAGCGATTTGAAATTCTCAGTGAAGATCTTTCTCCGTACACTGGAACCCGAAATCTTATCTCACACGATCAACACAAGTCTGTCGAAATGATTTTCATTCATATCAACACCGCCGTGTTTTAGTTTTTAGCGAATTGAAAGAAAATTATTTGGAAAGTGTCATGATAGCATTGCCTAATTATGGTTCGCTATTAACATTGAAGGAATTCATGCCATTATGGAATGTTGTGGAAGATTTTGTTAATAAACAAAAGATTTTATCCGCCGGTGTTTGTGATTTGATGCTTCCACTCTTATCGGATATATACGATACCGCACAAGTAACTTCCTTTTCTTCAAATTCTCACTTGAACCTCTCCATTGTCCTTTTCTGTAGGTCAAGCCATTTGCTGATCAAATCAACTTAGGCCTTTGTTGTTCAATTCCGGAAGAATTGAGTAAATATGTCAAAGAACACAATATTCAACTTTTAACCCATAGCGATCCGATTGGTAAAGATGAATTGATCGATGTTTAAAGAATAATCACATCTCTGCTCTTCTAGATGTTCTAAATGATTCGGATTTTCAGCAGATTATTCGTGAATATTGTCACGAATATGATGCATTGAATTGGAAACCTTGTTCAATCGTTCGTTATAGTTCGGTTATTGCTAATCGAGGAATTATCAAAAGTAAAGGTTTTCTTGTGTACGCAAAACGTGAATTAAACATGCCTTAATATCACTAACGTAAGTTTTGCTTTTGCAAGTTTTTTCTAATCATCCTATTTTTCTCCTTTAATTTTAATAAATAATCGTTTTTTTAAAGAATTCAACCATGCAGTGTGTGTCTTTGTTTACATCGAGGGTTCTTTTTTCTTTTCTCAATATCACCTATTCAATTCTCATTTTCAAACAGTATCACATTTGCTGACTATGATCGACTTGGACGATACGTAAATGTTTGACCTGTATGAATTAGTTTATTTCTTGAATTTCATAGCGGGAAACCGATGAGACACAAGCAATGAAAAACATATACTACATAATTCTGTCTATATGGGGATTACATCAGTAATAATGAAATATGAGTCAATCAAATATAGAAACGCCGAAGCCATACATCATGTTGGAATTTTTGCTTCATTCGATCGAATTTTTCCTCTTATCAAAGTCATCATTGGCACCTAAAAAGTAAAGTATCTCTATAAGGTGAATGACAATGTCTGTTCTATGACACATCTAAAGTTCGTATCTGTAATTGAAAAAATAAAGAAATTCTCTCTTTGTTGATGACATGAAAAAATTATACCGTTCGAGATATTTCAATTCTTTTTCAAATAATCAATAAGTGACATAGTTTAGGAATAGAATTATATTTTTTATAAGCGTAATTGATGAATTGTTGACGATTTTCTCCATATTGAGTATGTGATTTATTGGATGAAATAAAACTCTGTTTTTTTTTGCGAGTGCAAATCGTTTGTTTCCGAGCTTGACATCTGTTTGAAACAAATATTGATTTGATAAAACCTTTCTTTGCAGTCCAGCTAGTCAAATCCTTGTGAGTATTCATTCGGTGAAAAGAATGCATAATCCTAACGTCTATTTAGTCGATGACAGACTCATCATACCAATAAATAGCAAATTTTATCCAGACACTTTAGAGAATCGAATAAATGTCAAGCGAGAAAACAGTGAGATTTAAGGTCGAATACGTGTGACGAGCATATTTTATGGAAGAGAATGAAGGCTTTGCACCATATGATTCAATAAATCATCGTGATTAGTTTGTAGAATTTCACTCAAGGTTATTTGTTTGCGAATGTCTTCGGGAATCTCGCGAAATTGATCAGTCTTGACATGATTTTAACAAACAGATGGTAGAAATATAAGCTGTCATGTCTGGAATTAACCGGGTAAAACACAACAGACAGAACATCAATGAATAAAAGGGAAAATATTCTATTCTTATAAATCATCAAGCGACAAAAGAAGGTAAGTTATGAAATTATTCGTGAGAAAAGTCCGTTCTTCTATTCGATATCAATGCGAAATGTTCAACGAACGTTAATCGATCCGAGTAATTCAATTTTATTAAGTATCAATCTGTTACGCAATGGAATTTCTCTCTCATAGATGCGACATATCTGGTAATAATTCCCTGTGGATCTTGTTATTCTAAATCGAAGACAAATCCAAATAAAATAAGATAGCACGCTCGATAGATTCATATTTTATTGACGAGATGTTCAGTTTGATAGAATCATCAAATAATCCAGCATCGTTCTTGTTTCTCTCTCATGAATAGTGAATTTATATGACATCCGAGCGAATCTTAGCTGGTATAAACTGATGGATTCTCGAAGTGTTTTATGGATGTGGGTATCATAAAAAAAAGAGACGAACTTCTTTTGTTTATTTCATGTTGGATATGACTCGATAAAATATAATTAAAGTAAGATGTCAGCAGAGGGAAAAACAAGTCGGAGACGCTCAATGAAAGTTTGCTTTTTCTCTTTGAAACCCAAGAGAAGTCGTTGCCTTTTATGCACGTAATCTGATTAAAATAACGAAGTAATCTTACGCGGGAGAAAGAAGAAATCATCTAAATGAGATAAGTTATGTTCGAATATTTACTTACAAAACATGTTTTTCCATTTCGACTGAGAATTAAATCGATCGAAACAAACAAACAAGCAAGCAATTTAGTGTACCTTACTGATTTCTAATCTTGTTGATGAAAGAAGCAGTAATAATGTAATGAAAGACATTTTTTCTCTCTCTCGACATATATCAGTACAACACATCCGAACTGATCAACAAAACTTTTCAAATGCGAAAAATTTTTTTTCGTCATGGAAGTCTGATGTGAGTCTCAGTCGGTTGATTAATGAGAATAGAATGAGCTTTGTTTGGTTATCTTCTTGTTACCAACAGTAGATTTTCTCATTAACACGTATTATGTCTATTGACGAGTGGGATTTGCTTTTTGATGAAAGTACATTCTATTTATGAGACAATCTTTTCCTTTGACAGTAGAACGACAACGAAGTGCGAATAGCATCATCAAAATCAAAATAGCTCGCTAGGATGTTACTGATTCGTATTGTTGAGTTTCTTCTTTATTTTCGACGCAGTTTTTATCTGTACTGAGATGTTTTTCGACAATAGAAACGATAAAAGAATAAGAAAGGAAGAACAGAAGACATTCTCGTAAGTCACAATGAATCTCTCCTCTCTCTCTCCCTCTCAATTTTCATTGTAGAATTACTAGACCCTTGCTAGTTCTTTTGTATCTCAACCAGTGTTATTATGTGTAAACCTAAGAATAGATAAGAAAAAAAGGCAACGATTATTATGTGCCTTCTCTCTCTTTTTTTACTCGAATGTATAACATAATACATAGAGCTCTAATCAAGCACTCATCAAATGTCACTGTTCGTCATCTATCATCATTGCCAATCTAGCACAGATATAGATATTGTATGTAAAGACACAATAGATCATACCACATGAATTACAGTCTTTTATAGGAGTAATTTTCTGCCTTGTCTCTTTTGTGTTTTACTAGATCGGTGTTGACACTTTATTAGGTGGATTTATTCGGGTTACTTTTATTTTTGTTCTTCTTTAACATATCTTCTTGGAATGTGCTGTACATTGGCTCTATTTAGCTTGTCTATCAACTAGACTAATTCTTGTATATGTATGTATATATTCTCATCATCGAACATCCTTCCATCGTCATCATTCTATCATTCCTCCAATGGCAAACACAATTGCGTAGAGTAGGCTTCAGTTGTTTGATTATTGGAAGAGTTCTGAGCAAGTAAACAATCGTTTGTGTAAATTTATTTTTATTTTTTTTGGGAACAGATGTTTTTTCTCCTACATTTTATCATCTCGCTGTGCTTCTTGGCATTGACACGTTCGAAAAGGTGTGTGCGTGCACATCGTTCCGATGACAATCATAGACTTCGTCAATATAAAAAGAAAAATATGAGTTGTTTCTCTCATTTGTCGTTTGAAAGAAATAATCTCATGAAAAGAAAAGAAGAAGAAGGAAATCATCGCGCAAATACTTGATTCTCACTTGGTTCATCAACAACATCATTTCTGGATTGACTCGTAAGCAATAAATATCATAAGTGTGTCAGAGACCGTCTATTTCACTAAGCGCAGAGATGGTTTCTTCTTCATAGCATTCTAATTAGTCGTCGTCGTTGTCGTCGTTTCTCTAATGCTCCCCATATGGTATTAGGAGCAGTAGCGCAGATGGTGTAAGCGAGACGAAGAGAAATCTCAAAGAGCAGGAGAAGTAGAACTAGCTGTTTTATATGTTACATCGGCCCACTTTGTTCCCTGAAAAGTCTCAATCATTTCGATTGATAATGACTTGATGTTGAGAGTGTTTTTATGAGAAGAGAAATCGATCTTTTCTTTTTTTTTCGTTCTTCGTGTTTTTTTTTCTTATCTTATGACAAGAGAAAAAAGTTAAAAGAAAAATCTTGTTCTTTGCGGTTAACTTTATCATAATAACTGCCGTGGTCTTCAATTCCATCGACTGCGATGATCGAGATTTGAAATGATAACTCTGGCTGATGGCAGCCTGAAGGCATTGATTCTCTCTCTATTAGAACCGATTGGTAATACTTGATTGTTATTTGCTCTCGTTTTCTCTTTGTGCTATGAAAAAAAACCGGAGGAAAAAGCAACAACATCATGAAAAAAAAAGAAATCGGTGCCTAACGGAAGAGAAACGAGTGATGGCAAGAAGAACTTGAACAACAATGATTTCAAACTAAACCAACAATTCATTCGCTATTATCAGTAAGACAAGGCTTTGTTTTTTAGTGAAAATGTACTCCTTTCAATTGAATTTTTGGGCAAAAATCTCGACGAGGATTGGATCAATACTCGAGCATTTGACTGAAAAATCGTAAGTACACTTTCCTCATTCAAATCCGCCGAACCAAAATCATTCCAAATGCAAACATCATCCGAAAACAAGCTCTCATACATATTTTTCGCAGACATTAACTAAACGTGCGGTGATTAGATATTACACTCCGGTGTTTCTTCGCACGGCAAAATACCCGATCCTTCAGACAAATTCATACATGTAATATGTTTTCTCCAGAGAATAAGTATACAGACATAAATGTCTCTATGAAAAAAAGAGAAAGAGAGAGAGAGGGAGAAAACATAGCCATATAATCATAATGATAAAAAATGTTCGATTCGATATTTTTTATTTCAAGTGACAATATAAAATCGATATGCTCCTTTGTTTTATTACTTTGCAGATATTTTTCTTTCATTGAATAGCATCAGTAACTAATGACACAAATTGAAATACCGAGGGAACTACCAAGTATTCTTAAGAATTTTACCTTGAGTGTACTACGTACGAAGCCACGAGATATTATTGATCATGCTGTCGATTATTTCACACAATTACAGCGGCAACAGAAACAGCTTATAACAGGCGACAATTCAACTTCTTCTCCTCCTCCTCCTGCATCATCATCGAATCCATCTGAACAAGTTCGATTACAACATCCAACATCAAATCACAATGTTATATCATCAGGTTTGGAGCTAGTTAGCTAAACAAAAAGAAAATTCTTTTTCATTCTGTTAATGGCTTTCGAAGGCATTTCCTGATGTGCAGAAAGCTCCCCTAATTCATACAAGAATAACATCATTATTCTCATAACCCATTCGTTGAGGTTTCACTACTTTTTTTCGACGTGAGAAAAACATGAGATTAACTAATATTCTGTTCGTCACAACATAGTAAATAGAGAGACATAATGGAAGACATCTACACGTAGAGATTCATTCGTTTGATTTGCTTTAGAAACAGCAATCGAGAATGTCAGTTCACATTTTCTCAGTATTAAAACTCAGCTCTCTTTTCTATCCGATCGACGCCGATTGCTTCCAGATGAGTACTAAGGGATTTCGACGTCCATTGTGTTTTCGATTTAAACTATGGACACAAATTTCAAGTTCGGTAGATAAGCAATCGTTTCGTACACGATAGGCATATCTAATAAATATGTTTTTATTTCGTGTTTGACTGTGATTAACGATAAGAGGTATATTAGAAGAAAACAATATATCTTTTTCTGTAACCTCCTCGACCATCCATTGCATTACAATCGATCCTTGGAGACCGATCGATGAATGATTTTACTGGTAGTTAGCCGAAATAAAAGTAGATGAATTTCAGCATATTCTAGTCATCTTTCAGCTTCAACTTGACAGCTATTCTCAGTAGATTGGAGGAAAATCCTGCGTGAACTGAAGATGCAAGTCAAGCAGCTGACTATATTTGAGAATAGAAAGAATTTCATTGATCTTTTTTGTCAATTGACTTCGTTAATCCATTCGTCTCTCGCGTACTAACTAAATTATGATCGACAGCAAGATAAAGCAGCATTAGCAACATGCATTACAAAGAGAAAGGAATGAAATGTGGATTTTATGTAACGATTATTCTTTAGAAGACGTTCCAAACACAGAAACAGATCAAGCAACTTCGGAACAGAAGACATCAATGACAACTGCAGATATTGGCAATTCAACGAACTTATCGATGGATCGAACATCGTCAGGTTCGACTGAAGATAAATCTGATCATGGAAATAGATCAAGTGAAGAAGAACAAGAAGAAGAAGATGATGATGAAGATGAAGATGAAAAGAACAATACAGTGGATGATTTGGCTGATGAAGAAGAAATGCGTGTATGTACAAAATGAATTCTTTAGAGAAGATGATCTTAACATGATTTCGTTTCTTTTTTAGCGTCATTATGTGAAAAAGAACGAAAACCGGCGAGTATCTGTTGCAGCTGAACGCTACAATCCTGAAGATGATGCTGATTCCGATAGTGAACAATCTCATACCTATCCGAAAACTTCAGAACAACGTCAACGTTTGAAAGATGCTGTTTGCCATAATTTACTCTTTCGTACATTAGAAGCGAAACAAATTGATCAGGTCCTCAACGCCATGTGGGAAAAACCCGTTAAGCAAGGCGAAACTATTATTCAACAAGGTAAAATTCTTCTTTCTCTCTCCTGTCCCTGTAACACAATATTTTCCTAGGTGATGGTGGTGATAATTTCTATGTTATCGATACTGGTGTCTATGAAATCTATGTATCAAAACAAGAAGATTTCAGCAATCCGTTCAAAGTAGGAGAATATAATCAAACAGGTTCGTTCGGTGAACTTGCTCTGATGTACAATCAACCACGTTCAGCAACAATTATTGCCAGTACAGATGGTATTCTATGGGTTATGGGTCGACAAACGTTCCGTAAACTTGTCTTAAAGCATGCATTTCGTAAACGACAATTGTATGAGAATTTTCTTCGTGATCTCACTATCTTACAATCGTTAACGGACTACGAACGATCGAACGTTGCTGACGCGTTGATTCCTGTCGAATACACTGAAAACGAAGTCATTATTAAACAAGGTGATGAAGGCGATCGAATGTTCTTTATTGAAGATGGAGAATGTGATATATACATGAACGAGAAATTCCATAAACGATTGAGTAAAGGTGATTATTTTGGCGAATTAGCACTTTTGAATCATGAACCGCGATCAGCTACCGTGATTGCTGCGAGTTCCAAAGTTAAATTAGCTTCGCTGGAAGTCGAATCCTTCGAACGTTTATTAGGACCATGTATGGATTTGATACATCGAAATACGTCGAAATATCTTAAATGAACTGTTCAATGAGCATTATGATTATTGTCATCATCTGTTTATTTACTTCTTCTTCTTCTTCTACTCCTTGTTTTATAATACAGTAACAACAAAAGAGACGAGATTTTCGGAATGATAGAATTTTAGTATTTCGATGTTTTCTTTTTCTTTTTTTTCTTGATCAAAAGAGAAAAAATATACACTTTGTCGAAATATTGTCAATACAATTGTCGAGAGTTCGTCTCCCAGCAATCGATTTCGTTAATCGAATCAGATCGATCTACTGATTGAACTCCGATCGAGTTAATAATATAAGATGATCATGACCTGCTTCTTCCTTCTAGATGAAGACGAAGTCAATCTCTCCGAATGTTATCAATAGAAAACTCAATCTTCCGAAGCCGATTCTATTATTTAAGTCACTACATAAGAATCTTGTTGTTTTCTCCATATCTATCTGCTATGATCCTACCGTATCGTTTCTTTTGTCTTTTTTTTCACCCTACATTGAAGTTAGAAAGCATGTAAACTCTCGGGAATTTCAAAAATAGTCTGTACTAATGAAAGTTTATTGAACCACATAAGATAATAATGTCGACAGGCAATTAATGTCAATACTGACAATTGCAATTATGTTTGAGAAGAACTCTGATACATTAAACTGTTCATTAGACAAGATTGAATTATCGAATGAATGATTAACAAGATCAAAACAACATGTTCGTTGAATGTAACATGTGACATACGTGTCGGCGTCAGATTATGCTTTTTTTCTACTGAATTTACACACGCGATAGTTTCCTCGATAAAAAGCTTTGTCCTCTTTACCCGTTCATCATGTAGAATAGTTTTCGAAACAGTCCCAAATCGATTACTAACGTATTCGGTGTGAAAAATGAGTTTCATTTTCATTCCATACATATGAAACTAATTACAAGATTACGTGTTCAACTCTGTTATTCTAGACAGTGCAAAGAAAATTGATGAGATGACAGGTTAAGATCATCCTTTATTATTAACTAAATCACATGATGATGAATCGATATCTATTTCAATACTATAGCTATAATTATGAAATATTAGAGAAGCAGTTGTGTTCTAATTAAGGATGAAGGCGTGAGCACGACGGTGGTACTCGTGCCCTCCAGCTGAGTTAAGAGGTTTCCTCTAATAATTTGTGTAAGATAAGTGTTGGAGAAAGTCGAGATGTCGTGTGTATGATTTATTTGACAATAGATTCGATTGAATACGGGTGAAAATGAGAATATCAGTGAGAATGGAAATTTGACAAAATATTGTTGCATCAGTTTGAGAAAAACGAAGAATATTTTTCCAACTAAGATCACAGTGCATCGGCTAGTCGCAAAAAAGAAATCGTACAACATTTAACAGCAAAAAACAAAAAAAGAAACAACCGGTTGTTCTGTATATGAGCAGAACAATAGATGTTTAACTCATTTGCTTGTATTAATAGAAGTGTGCGAGAAAGATATCAGTCGTGATAGATGCAAAAGAGGTTCAAAACGTTCTCGGATAAATACGCCAGAGATTGCTGGGGACACAACAAAGAGAACAAATCAGGGATGTTATATGACTATATGAAGCTCTAGAAAGATATTTGCGTTTGATTAGTACCGGCCACCGCGTACAGATCGATTTGGAGCTCGTGAAGGTGCATTATTGTTAAAACCACCAGATGAACTAGTATAATTGGCAATAGGTACGCGATTGTTTACATAACCCGTTCCACCACTACCACCTGGACGTGGCTGACTTCCCAATCGATTGACGATTGGTGGTGGAGGTGGTCGAGGTTTATTTTGAATATTAACGCATTTGGGAATATGCCGTTCGGCGACATTTGGTGCATAATTACGTCCACAATACGGACATTGAACGTAATCAGAATTTAATGAAGCCGGTGGAGGTGGTAAATCGGCTAGACGACCTCCTTTGAGAAGCAAAGACAAAATGAACGATTCTTCTCAATTGTACTAATATTTATTTCTCATACCTGATCTCTCATAATTGGTTGCTTGTTTGGCGTAACGAATAGCTCGAATAAAATCTTCGTGTTTCTGTTTCCAATTGGATTTGGGAGCCTAATTGGAAAGCTTGATACGAGGAAATGTCAGCAAATATTCATTACCTGAGGTCGACCAGTTTCGTTTCTGCCTCTGCCTGCTCTTGCTTTACTGTAGAAAGCTGCCGCTTCTGTGCCTCCTACTCTTTGCTTAGTTGAATCAAATACACGACGCTGTTTATGAGATTTTCGACACGCTATCTCATGTTGTTGGATACGATCACCTGCAAATGTTCGATTGCACGTAGGGCATGGATAGAACCTATCACCAGTATTGCTAGCATAAGCATTGTTTTGATATACAGTGTTGTAATCACCGCCACCACGTGCTGAAGGTCCAATTGGTGTATCATCGAAATCATCTATACAATAAATAGGTATACTCGAGGTACATGCTCATTTCTTGCATAGTGCAGATATTTATGCACACATACTGTAGGAAGTATTTTCTGTTTGCTGATAGGATCGTTCAGCCATACGTCCGGAAGAGCCATTGTTTGGAGGGGTACCTCCCTGCGTCGCCATAATACAGATAGATGTTCATTTAAAATACTTATGAAAAGAAAACATACGGCCACAGGTTTAGCCGTATTGCCTGGCTTACAACTTCGTTGGTGCACTTGAATACGGTCAGAAGCAAATCTACGTCCACAATTCGGACATGGAACAAGCTGACCTTTGGATGCTTCGTATGCAGCATTATTGATTTCGTCAAGCGAGTAGCTTCCCCCATCTTCGCAGTATACGTAACATTTGTGTGTGAAATGAAAAGAAAACAAATATAGAACTTACTGCCGATATGAACATCAGGTTTACGCGGTGCTGGCCGGCGTAGATTAGGTGGCAACTTAGCATTTTCATAATGCCATTTTTCTAAGCATTGTGGCTCGTGGATATCAATCGATTGCGTTCCATATTTTCGGCCGCAAATATAACATAGCGCAAACTTCGGCTCCACTGGTGGATTTCCATTTCCTCCCTAAAAGCAATCACTCATTGACCTACATATTTGAATATAAAGTAAGAATGAATGCTTACGGGAGAATTTTTATATAAATAATCATATTCTCCATAGCCTGCGGCACCACCTGTTGCTCGCTGTTGTTGATGTTGTTGTCGGCCAGTATTACGGGCCTGTGATGAGGGTGATTCATCTTCATGTCGATTTTGTGGGCCTCTAAACAATACATAATTGTGTTCACGTGATACTGCTGTACTAAGAACTCCTCTACCGAGCAACGGGTTGTGATCGCCCTATTGCACCATTGCCCGGATTGACCGGTGTTCGATTATTGGCTGCTATCGGCCGTCCAGCTTCGAAAACAAAGGAAAGGAACATAGAAATGGCTTATCAGTGCAAGTAAGAACAAAATCAATTTACTAGGTCGAACGTTTGATCGCCCGAACATGATTGAAGTCTCTTCTATAATAGTCAAATTTCAAAAGATCATCACACAAAACAACAAGAAATATTAAATATTATTCTTTCAACAATATTCTCAAACAACATAGAAGTTCAGTCATTTTAAAGAAAACAGCACGAATATATTATAATCCGATCTAAGTAGCATTTTTACATGGATGTTGCTATGCAACTGCCTTGTGAATTGCCCTAGAAATTGTAGCGCAACTCATCAAGAGATTGGCCCTGTCATTCTGTTCCATCAGAGTGCATCTGTACATTGAAGAATTCGTTTGTCAAAATTCGTTTTTTCAACTTGTCAATAGAGGGCGCGTTCAAAAAACACTTTGAGTAGAACATTCCTATGACGCCATTCTACGAACACAAGAAATTGCCACAACTAGTTAGTCGATAATGACAAATGAATAATGATCGAATTTGTCGTTCGATGAAATGAAAGAGAATACTTTTATATCAAGTGTATCCTTAACCTAAAGGTTAACAAATCTTCTATCGATTTGTTTCCTTGAATTTTTTTGTTATTATACGGTAAACTATTGATTGTGTAGTATGTAATTATTTTCTCATCGAACACAAATCAGTATCATTATGTCAAAATAGGTCGCTTTTCTACTTGACAATACGTTCGTTTAGCTCGTTATTCATGTACAGTATCGACATATATGTATATTTACTTCTCTTCGAAATAGTACGACCGACGATTGTAAAATCAATAGAGAATTTGCAATTGTATGAACATATTCAGATCAAAAGCAAATAATCGATTTCATTTTCTTCTTAAACTGATCCGGCATGGTCGTGACAATCAGTTTACTTATGGTACCCTAGCTTGCGTAGTTCATCCCGAGATAAATGTCAGAAGATCAATCTTTGATGTGTGATGATAATGTTGACAAGTAAATAACGATGTTTAGAAGAAATTCTTCTACTTGATGACTTATGTCTACAAATGTAGCGCGTAAGTATGAATTGCACTGATCAAAGACATCATTTGTTCGATGTATATGATGAAATATACATTTGTATGACAAAAGAAAAGAACATTTCGAGAATAATGTTATTTTTATATCGACAACGAATGAGTTGGGTATGTTGATTACGACAACTTTCATTTTATTCAATGAACACTGCGACGAAAATGAAAGAAAATAATTTGATTCGAAACATAATCGATGCCATGAAAAATGACGAATGTAGTGAGAGAGACAGAAGGTGAGTACAGTAAAAAAGAAAAGGTGAAGGTGAATGTACATTCATATTCTATTGTCAGTCGATTCGCTTCAACTGCAAATGTATACAAAAGACAAACATCAATCACTCAACTAAAAAGACGTCCATAGTTTCCAATTCGACCTACATAACCATGTATGGTTGGTGCTGTTCATCATCTTCTCCTGTTAGTTGTAAGTGACCTTTCTTCTTTCGATATCTGTTTTTTTCAAACATCCAGACAAATGATGATCTATTTTTGTTAACTAGTCAATCTCGTCGATTATCACGAAAAGAAATCGAACTTTATTATCATATAAGATAAGATATTTGTTGAGATTGAATAGATGACGGACAGTGTTCGTTTTGTCTTCTCTTGAAACTCAATAACGTAGGTATCATTTAGATGAATAGTTTGTCTATGTGTTGCTATTGTCCTTGCAAGTAGAAGACGTATCATTATTGAACTGATGATATCTTAGCTGATCAGTCTTATGCAATGGTTGATGAGCAAAGAGTTAATCCGAAATAAACGACTTTTTGAGTACTCTCATCAAACTTTCTTCGATATCAGTACGAAAGAAAAAAAAAACCTTTTTGACAGTAAGCACTACTTCATACGTTATTTCGGTATCTAATTTAATGATTGATATATGTACGACCTATTTGATGGTGGATGAAGGTTGATCCTTTTTTCACTTGATGTGTACAGGACGCGTATGTGTAAATGAATATATATTTTTTTCTCATTCATTTACATCTGTACTTGAGTTTTAGATTTTAACACATTTTGATATAGACATATATACATATACATTCATACATATTCATAGTCATCGATATCAAGAAGAACAACTTTGCAAGTAGTTCATATCCACACCCCTGTTATTCAATGGTGAGCATGGCCGGTCAACAGCATCAGTATTCTCCCCGATATCCTAGTCTATTAGTTACACTTAAACATAAGCCGGAAGAAAGAACTCATGCTGATGTTTATTCCACTGCTCGAGCACGTCGAGCAAAAGATTCTTACTATCCATCGTTATTTCAAACGAAAAATGTCTACATGAATGGAAATCAACGTCAACAACCACCGTCACCACCTGTACAATCCTCACCACCCCAACAACAACTTCCTCATCGGTCACATGTGCCTCCACGATATCAACAAAAGCCCACATTCTATAATAATTCGGATCGCATTCATCAACCGTATCAACAACAATCGATTCGACCACTGATGGAAATCAAAGACAACTTATTTTCTTTACACGATGATGTCGAACCCGACTTAGACGATGACGATCAATCGTTACGAATTCTTCAACCCAAAGATGCACAACAACGCACTCAATATCGAAATCGTAAGGCAGAATTAGACTGGGATCATGCTTTTGATTTAGATCTCATTGACTTGTACTCAACACATATCGATACGGATAGTCATTCATTGACAAGCACAATAAGTTCGACAGATACATCATATTGTTCTTTTTAAACCGATACTTCTCTTCGTATTGATGACAAAACCAAATTATTCTAAACTTTGAAGAAAAACTCGTTTTTTTCTTTCTTTTTGTATATTCAAATTTTCATTACATTTGCCCTTCGAAAAATTTTCCGAAGAACAAAAACAAAACGTTCAGTGACTACAAAACACTAAAAACTTATCACAAAAGACAACAAACAAACAAACAAATAAAAGCCTTTGTTTTCTTTCTATCACAGATTGTTTCTTCTTTTTTTCTTCCTTTATCACTTGAGATTTGAAAAGATTTTGACTAATAAATCAAATGAATGATAATCATCTGTCGTATCATCAATACAGCCAAGTGATTGTAATTTTCTTCGTACACACGCATTCAATTTCGTTCTTAATTTAAAGAAATTCCTATCTGATAAAATCATTTGATATTCATTCAATTTTAATGTTTCATTCATCGTTCCAAAGAACAAAAGAACAACTTGGTTAACCATGCTACAGCATTTCCCTACGAATAAACCCTTGTTCGATCGGATTAAATCATCGCATATAGCGAACACAATGCTTTCTTCTTTCAATTGCATGTTGTTTAATACCGAGATTGGGTCAAGTTGAACTAATTCATTCCGACTATGATTTATCAGCAAAAGAAAAAGTACGTTAAGATTTGTTTTGATCTATACAAACGACTGTTACTTTGTAAACCATTTTCGATCGTAGGTGATCAAATTTTGAGGCAAACAGCGAACTAGAATTGCTTGAATTAATGGCCAACAAGAAGCGTTAGAATTCAAATCGAGAATTCCGTCATGATTCGGATAGAAAAATTTCGCGAAGTTGATATTGATCAAGAAACTACTCAACCATTTTCTAGACAAAATTCATACATTAGTCAAGTTCTGAACACAAAAGTTCATTCTTACTGAAATTGATCGATCTGTTTCAGTCGAAAGTATTTCACCTTCCAATCCAAACAGAATTGTCTCTTATCCAACGATTGTTCCCATTCCTACAAACAAAGCAATCAGCATCCAGTGAGAAAACCATCGTAAAAGCAATTACTTGATACAATCGATAGTAGACGAAATGATCGGAATTTCGATTCGAATCTAAACGTTGTTTCAATTCCAATAAACAATTAACATCCGCGATCGATTCAACTAGAAACAAACGAAAATGAACAGTCTCGTCAGTGTGTAATCAACACTCAGAAAAATATACAATGCACTGATCTTTCGAGGTCGTATTTGTTACGATTTATCATAGGTCATGATCATCATGTCTGTTACGGTTTTTTGTTTCGCCATCAATACGTTGTGTTAACCGATCTATTACCCTTCCTCAAGGTACTTATTATCAAGTAACTCATTTTGTACTTATCTTTGATGATTACCATCTATACTGATCGATTTGATATGAAAGATAAAAACTTTTTTGTTGACTCACAAGGATCGCCGATGATCAGTGTGGAAATGATGGTTAGAATCGGTTGAAGACATTTGAACAGATGAGCATAGACGATCATCATTGCATATGGTAATTCAACTATTGGCAGAGCTAAGCAATAAGCTCCGAGATCGACGAGATCTTCCCATTTGTCGAAAAGTTCGAGATTCTAAGAGAGAAATCGGTTTCAGAAGAATTAGAACACGGTTTATACTTACTTTCAATTGAGATATACCAGCACGAACGACTGCAAACGGTGGCGGAAATGGTAGTTTTAACATGAATTCTGCAACGGAACAATTTGTCCAAGCGAATAGTTTTGCTTGCATGATATTTTCCTGAATTTGCCTTGATCATATGTCATAAGAGATGAACAATAACTTACAAGTAATGGTTGACGAGCCATTTCAGCATTGACGTTTTCATTAATTTTCTCATCGAATAAAGATTGCGGATAGAGTCGATAGCAAACACCACCTTCACTAACATTTACCCTACAGAACCAAAGTTTTTCAAAATTAACAAAACTATCGATCTGCATATCGTACCGATGTTTTCTCTCAGTCGCACTCGTTTGACTTATCCAATTGTATTTCGGTAACAATTTCGAAGTAGTCGTATGATAACATTTCTACAACACACATATCAATGAAAAACTACCAAACTTTCTGAAACAATTTACTTCAAGAGTTATGCCGGTGTCGATAACACAGCAAATATTACGAAAAGGTACACCTGTTTCACAATTTGCATCACAGAGAATCTGAAAGTCAAGCAAATGCTTTTTCTCAATAGGATATCTGAAAATCTACAAACCAGTAATCGTGAACTATTATTATTATTCATCAAAAGCCATGATGAAGAGTTCCAAATTCTATGAACTTCAATTCCAAATCTACACAAAACAAGATCATCTTGTCCAGTTCTCTCTCATGATAACACTCACTCTTTTGAAAGATTGGAATTCAAGCACAAATCATTCATTACTGAAATTTCATCCGCTCCCGGTAAGAATACCAGAATATGTTCTAAACAACAACAACATCGATGTCTCAAAATCGCGTCGGATTCCACTCACCCGTTCGCATTTTACATATGTTTTTCACAACTGCTAAAACTAATTGATAATCGATCACTTCATTACAATTCCGTGTTTGTAAATAATATTTCATCAAAGCGATCATTGGCGTCACATGTGAATTATTATTCGTTAGACTTAATAATTGTTCCAAAAGAAGAGAATCATGTCTACAAACAATCAAATATTTTCCTTTCCAACTTCATCAAATAGAATCATGTCATGCAGTTGAATCAAGAAACTTCTTCCCTCATATAAACATGCATTTCTCATCAATCAATGTACATCTTTTCTGGAGCAAATAATCATGCGATTGAACTACTATGATTTTTGTCATACAAAAACATCTTCTTACCTTTGAAATTCTACATCAACTGTCGATAAAATTTTCATAATGAATAAGTCATGTTAAGAGATTTGAATACTTACGTTGTATACGATTCTAGTAGATCAATTGTCTCATGTGTTGCGTACTTTCTTGCGAAATCAATCGCTGAAAAATTATTCACCGCACGGAGATTGAAGAACAAACTGTTCGTTAGTAAAATTGGTTCAATCAACGATTTCATACTCCACATTGCTAAGCACATCAATGGACTAACGAGTGTCAGTGGATGTTGATAATTATCTGAAAAGAGAAATGGTTTGAGATGAAAGTGTTTCTAGTCATCCGTACATTTATCTGAATGTTGATTGAGAAAGTTGATCAATTGTTGAAAATCTTCGATTAATCCATTCACAAAACATCGACCAATTAGATCGTTCAAATAACGTTCAGTTGTTGTCATGTGTTGTTCCTATAAATATTGATTAACATGAAGAAAAACGTACATATTTCAGTTGATGAAGTCATACTAATAATGAATAGATATTTTGACATGGCTCACAAATGATCGACGAGGAGATTCGATGATGAACTGACGATTGTTCTGCGGAACGGCGCCAGTAGTCAAGCAATTGTGTACCATAAGTTGCTGAAAAGAAGATTTTGTAAGATAAAATGTGTTATTGATTAGAAGTTTACCAATGGAGAAACATTTGTTTTGATCCATTCGTTCGATGTCAATTACAATTCTTTCGAGAAAGATTTCGTCAATCTTTTCATTCGTCGTCTCATTTGTATCAACTGTAAATAAACAGAATGCTCAATTTTCGTTGTAAAACGCCAGTCTTTTACTTGTGTAAGTCGCCACATTTCCGAAATACTTGACCAACGTATCATATTGTATCGTTGTCTGAAGAAAAATAATCTTCAAATGTCGAAATTTATGCTGCGAATCTTTCAAATATGCCAAGATCATGTCAAGTGTATGCGATCGTTTATGAACATCATCAACAATCAAATGTGTTATTGACGATTTCAGTAAATGATCACCACAAATCAATGTTCGTAGGAGAAGTTCATGAGTTGTAATAGTAATTAACGATGAAACACCACTCGTTGATGACCTAAGAGCGCTGAATGAGAAAGAGTTTGGCTATATGTTTGTTCTTACATGTTATCAAAGGTAAGGCAATCGCTGGATTTGATGAATGAGGATAATGCATACGCGGATAAACTGCTTGTACAACTATGAAGAATGCGAATGGGCCATTGTTTGTCGAGATGACCGTCATGCAAATATTGACAGATCTAAGTGAGAATTTGAAGAGAAATGAACAGATTCAGATAGAAATCTACTCGAATTGATTTGCCAATCGATGGTGGACCGCTGATAAAAAGCATTTTATTATCTGGAAGAGTTTGGATATTCAAATTTGAAGCAATGTACATTCGTATTAGCGCTTACTCTCGATCAAATGAAGAAGACTTTCTCGCGTTGAAGTTTTGTCAATTGGCAAGAATTGAATCGAACTTTCAGGAGAAAGTAATCGCTGGTCAGGTACACGTGGCTTGATATCGGCTGATTGAAACAAAGGATTGCCAGATCGTAATAATGTACAATAATACCAATCTAGAAGAAGAAGAGATGCTTAACGAATGCAATGAAGATTTTCGGTCTACCATTGAGAGAGCTTGGTGTTTTTTGAATCTTCGCTTGGAGTAGATCATTGTCTTCGATGGAAATCGGACAAGATTGAAGGTAAACTTGCACATCTTGTGTTAGCTGAGGATTATCCAGAGATAAAGTTAATTGTTTCGGTGTGATGTTGGAATTATTCGAAATTAACTCATTCGGTGATTTCGAAACGGCGATTACGCGTGATGCTCCACGTCTGAAAAAGTCTTTTGTAGAATGTCACTCATAGGCCTCATCAGATATTCGTACCCTAAAGTCCGGCAAATAAGATTTCGTTGTTGTGCTTGCTGACGAACGAATACCCGTTCGTAACAAAATAACGATGACGGAAACTCGATTTCTTCATTGCTTTTCCCCTCATTTAGGTAATTATCAAGCATTTGACAGATCACTTGCCGAACGGGATTTGAAACATTCAGATTCTTTACAAAAAAGAAAACCTCTGTCTGATGCATAGCCGCGATCTTTTCCATGAGATACTTACGCATCCAGCAGGCATTTCCGAATCCGATTCATCATCACTCAAATAATCAATCATTGAATCAACATTCGTATTCATCATTCGATACGATGCATTCGATGCGAACTAAAGTCAAACGGTCCTTTTTTATTTCTCGCTTTCCTTTGAACGAATCATACTTGATCGTCATCTCCACCTGTTGGATACATCTCATACTCATTTGATCTGACCGGAAATGGTTTCCGATGATGCATATCTAGAAGAATAAGAACAAATGTTGTTTTACATAATATCTAACAATGATTGATTTATTTGTGTAGGAAAAAGTCTGTCATCTGACGTTTTATTTCACGACAAAAAGAAAAATTATTCCGAGGAGATGATCTTGTTCATTTGGAATGCATCAGTCACGTACATGGAGATTTCATCTTCAATCGATCTCTGAAAAAGCAGAAAGATGCGTTTTCATAGAAGAAATCAATGAAGCTTACGAGTTCATCGCGAACACTTTCGACTTTCAATGTTAAACTATCAATTGTCTAGAAGAAGAAGAACAAGAATGTTTCGAAAGGGGATTTCTCGAAGAATTCAACATGATCCTTACTGGTTCATCACATGGCAGCCAATGTGAAATTTGTTGTTTGAGAATTTCGTATTCACAACGTGTGTTATCCACATCCTGAAAGAAAAGCCGGCTGCTGCTTCTTCTTGTGTTATGGAGAAAGTTTACTTTTTGTAATTGCTCAACTTCTGTATGCGTAACTGCTGGTTTGGCATTGATATCGAATGATTGTAACTTATTTTGAACAAATTTCATCTCTGCCATCGTGCTCATTCGATTCGATTCATATTCATCAAATTTGGCATTCTGAATATTCGTGATTTTCTGTTGTTTTCTAAGTAAAAGAAAGGAGATTTCCATGTCCAATCGATTTACAAACATTATTTACTCATTTAAAATTTTCGCTGCACTGGAAATTTCGATGTAGTTCTGTTGAATCGTTGGGACGATGACTTCGAATGTATCTAAACGATTCTGCGTTGTGTAATAGCTGTTTTGTAATTTACGAAGCTTCTTTAAGAAGATTTCCCCATTATCCATTTGTGAACAATCAATTTCTAATAATTGACCGATGTTAGTTAACAATTGAAGGTTGGAAATCAATTGATCGGGATTAAATCCTGCTGAATCCGATTGAGGCATCTAAAGACAAAAAGATGTATGTGTGTACGATGATTTTTTATTGAAAATTCATCAAATAAAAACGATTGTTTTATTATTTCGTGTAAAACTCCGTTAAATATACAAATTCACAGTCATAAAACAAGAGATTCAGAATTAGCAGAAGAAAAAGACATGATGAAGTATTGATATCTGACTGTGAATGCCTCAATCGAAGATATATTCATGCATATGAACCATTTGCTAAGAATCGTAATACATCAACAAGAAGATACGGTCTAAACGAAACGAAACGAAATCAATTAATTTCAAGTGAAATCAACTTGCAGACACTTACTGCGTCCGTTCTAATTGTTTCCATTGTTCCGTTACAAATACTTCTTTACTATATGTTTTGATAAATAGTAATAGATTATCTTTTAACAGTTTTGAATTGTAAATATTCGCTCGAACCAACATTTCCGCAGCTGTTTCGAATGTAAACGTATCAATCAACGATTGTATACATAAATTTTTCAAATTTTCAATCGCATATTTGTCCGCTGCATATAGAAGATCCAACGCATTGATATCTAAATGTTTAATTTCATTATAATAAATAAACCGAAGCATTTCTTCGCAGATATCTTCAGATATATCATTGATTTCGATGATGTTCAAACGTGTTTCCAACATATCGGATAAAAACATCCGTTCGAATACTTCGCTCGCTAATGAAAGTATGCAGCGATGTACAGGAAATTCCTTCGCACCAACTTTGATTTTCACATCGGAGAACTTGCCAGTGTGAAACAATTCTTTGGTTATTGAAGAATTCTGTTTGGTATTCTTAGAGAAGACGTTCTCATCCAAGAGATTCAAACATAATTTCGAATTATCTTGTTGCCCGTAGAGCACAATACGTACGAAGAAAACCAGACATGGACTAGAATTATATTGTTGAGTGCAATCACTTAATTCTTTACTTGTAAATGGGTCGAACGTGTATTCATCCACGGGATCGAGGATATCACTCATCTTTAATAGACGCGTGGAGAAATTGGCACGAACGAAGAATTCAATACGAAATTTGTAGGGAATATGTTTTTTCATTCGTAAACTTAGATGATATAACATTAAAATCATGTTCTGTTCACGTTCAAGAGTTAACGATAATTGAAAACAATTGCTCAAATGAACGTAATGACGGTCTAATTTATGATCGAATGTAAAGATCGAACTTTCCAAACATTCGTCCTCATAACATAACTGAAAAGGAGAGAAGAATGCAGAATGAAACTTGTCGTCTTTGGACTAACTTTAGTTTTTGTATTGAAATCATCAATAACCCATTGGTATGTAAAAGATGGTTCATCGATTGCTGTGTTTCCATTACGAACTTTGATTAAACGTAAATCATCACATCCCGATGCATCGCACATAGGACGTATTTGCAAAGTTATGGTCAATGACGGACATGATAGTAACCGATCACGTGATGATGAAATGTAGGATTTCAAGAAATTTGATATAACATAATTTCCTATGATGAAAATGAATCATTGAGAACAGGAAATGATTTCAATGGGAATGGAGCTTTTACGTTTTATATCGAATGATTCACTCGGATCACAGTAGAAACTCGCATTTGACCAGGTGTATTTATAAATCTCTTCGCCATTGTATTCACACGTGACAACAACTTCTGCTTTTACCGTTCGTAATTTCGGCTACGAAAGCGAATCCTAACATTGAATTTATCGAAACGATTCAAAGGTTTCTTACCGTTATCATAAATACATAGAATTTCACGAAAATACTATTACGTTCACAATACGATGGATACAATCGCATGATCCAACTAGAATGAACGAACAAAAGCAAATGATGTCGTGAAACTTTGTCGACAATATTCACCTTGTTGAGCAATTTGTACACGGAAATAATTCCGTTGTATATTGATCGGCATCTCGACTGTGTTGTACATTTTTAATTAACCAGTTATGCTTGATTTCAACTAATGGTTCAGCAATGGATGCTTGTTGTGAAGGTCGTAATACATTATTTGTTTCAGTCGTCGTGGACGGTGATCCGCTCGACATTTTCAGTTAAATTTCTCTAGATCATTCAACTATTGATGATACAGAACGACAAGTAGGAAAATAATGGTCTTCTGTCTGTAAATGTTTGTTCCTAGAGAGACGCGTTCGTTCTTTTTTTTTTCAATTTCTTCTCCAGTCGTCTAAAGAAGATCGATTCTGATTGGTCAATCAGCACGACGAATGGAAATTTGTGTATCTACCTTTCTGCCAGCTGACATTCAGTTATCCATTGGTGTATGGATTAGTTTATATAATTGTCAAATTCGTTTAAAAAGGAAAGAAAAACAAAGTGCCCGTGTATATAACGAACGTTCACATAGCCGGTTCTTTATTCATTCGTCTAGTGAAATAAAATGCCAGTACAACGTGGTCTTGCACAAGAGTGTCAGCAACATTTTCAAACGTCGAATCTCTATGAGATCTTTTCGGTTCAACGAACAGCAACCGATGCTCAAAGTACGATTTAGTTAATGAACCAAGAAACAGCACTTGCCCTTTTTACTTCTCGTTTAGTAAAAAAAGCGTATCGACAATTAGCTCTACGTTATCATCCTGATCGAACAGATATCGATCAGAAAGAGGAAGCGAAAACGAAATTTCAAATCATTGGCAAAGTCTATGCCATTCTCTCCGATGAAGAAAAACGAAAGATTTACGATGATACCGGTAAGATTCGAAACTTTTCATCCAGCGCCTCCCAAAATTCATTTTCTGATTAGGTGCGATGGACGATGATGATCTGGCAATGGGTGTAGATGATTGGTATGATTATTGCAAAAAGATGTTTCGAAAAGTAACGAAGAATGATTTGGTCGAATTCGAAAACAAATACAAAGGTACAAAGAGACGAAGAAAGAGAACGTCAGTCAAGTTTATATTTCAGGTTCGGACGAAGAAAAACGAGATTTAAAACGAATCTATGTTGAAGTCGCCGGTGACATGGATCAAATATTCGAAAGACATCTTCTAGCTTGTCTGGAAGATGAAGATCGCCTACGTTCAATGATTGATCAAATGATTGAAGACAACGAAGTACCAGCATTCGATGCTTATACCAAAGAAACAAAAGCCAAACGAAATAAGCGCCATAAGAAGGTAAAAGATTTCGTATGACGGATGTTTCGTTATTATCAATGAATTTGAATAGTTAACAAAAGAAGCAGCCGAAGCTGAGAAATTGATGAAAGAGCTCAACATTGGAAATGATAATGCTAGTCTCGAACGCGCCATACAAATGCGGCAACAACAACGTGCCGGAACGAGTTTTTATGATCAACTTTTAGAAAAGTACGGGTCGAAAACAAGTAACGGAAACAAAAAGCGAGGAGCAAGTTCGCTAAACAACAACAAATCCAAGAAAACATCGGTCAACAACCATGGTAAACGCGCAGCGAAAACCGATGACGAAGACGAAGATCTCGATGACGATGATGGTGATGGTGATAGCAGTGAAACAGTAACGGACGATGAAGATGACAAACCAAAACAACGTAATTTATCGAAGAAACATGGAACAACGATGAAAAAGACACGTCGTCCTGCAGCTGGACATAAAAAACGCAAAATCTCTCATTGAAAACAAAGAAGTCCACTCCCCAAGGACAATGTCTTCAAGATATGATTTAGTCAGATGAGCAAAAAATGGCAATTATGAATTCTAATAGTTCTTTTCCTTGGTGTATATTCTTTATTCATGAATAAATAGACATAAATGAGAAGAAAAGAAAAATCAAACATCTTTCTTATTGCTTTGTATTCCCATTTGAAAGAAGACTTAAACGTTGAAGAATATCATCAGCTTCGAAACGATTAAGTTCAATTAAATGATTGATCTCTTTAGTATTCTCATTTAAACACGCAGCATACAAATGATCAACCGTTGGAATTGGAATTTGTACTCTACGAATTCCCCGATGGATATCATTCGTCGCTGGAACAATTCCTTCTCCCAACTACAACAAAATAAACTTATTACCAAAGTTCAAATAGACATCCTCGTTACTTGAGAATAGTCAAAATCAATCATCGTCTCGTACACTCGACCGCGTAGAGTTTTCATATCGTTATGATCGAATTGGATTATATAATGATCTCGCGGTGGCATGGTTACAGATGAAATTCCACGTTGGACATGTGTAATTTTACTAATAAATGCAATTGAAGATTTTGGAATATGTTCAAGAGCTTTATCCTTGCCGTGTAGCACCATATTATTCTTGCTTGATTGATAAAACAAATGCACGTCTCAATCTAATGCTATGATGAATGCATGACACACATCAAATGTGTATATATATGTTCCTATTTCGGATTTTTATCTGACGTTCGAGGAAAATATCTTGGACATAATCTCATCTTCAATAGATCATCGAGTCTTTGAAATGACATTGTTGTCATGAATGTATCGAACTTGATCGATGAGATAAAGAGACATTAGTAGTCTAGTATTCTATTTGAGATTGATTAACTGTATTGAAACAAGTCCAAGCAAGAAAATCTTGAAGATTTCTATGAAATCTTTCTTTTTGTATGCAATCAGGAACATTCTTTCGCATAAAGAACAAAAATGTGACGCGAAATGCTGAAACGATACTTAACTGAATAAGAAATCTTTATTCAATTGATTGATTAGCATATATAATGTTCGTGTGGGTGAGACGATCTGCTGGTATATGAAAGCCTCACTCCTCAATCTAATGTACAATGATCCTATCAGAAAAAAACTTTTGACAATTAATATTAGTAGAAGGTTTGTTATGTTTTTTGACATGGGAACAATGTTAATTCATAATTAGTTCATGTGACTTCTTGTTCTCATCGTTTTTCCTATCACGCAATTGATTTGTTCTTCTTCTTTCCGGCTAGATCCACACGAAATGTGAGCAATCTTAAATAGACTCTCGGACTCCTCATCACATATTCACAAGTTATGCGTGAGAAATCAACTTCCTTTTGTAAACTTTAGCAGATGCAATGAGATTCTCAAGTAATTAAATTTGTTTTCCTGATTAGAAAATACCTCTTCATTCGAGTGACAAACGTCGACGTTTTTCATGCACATGTTGCCGCGCTGATTGACGTGGAAGGGAAATATGACTAACAGTTGTTAGTGTTTTGTTTTAGTTCATTTAATAAGCTACATAGTAAATGAGGAGGAGGAAACAAAAAGATAACAAAGGCATTTGCTTAGTGTTAGATAACTAGTAAAAGCCTTGCAATTCAGGTGGACGAGGAAAAAACGATTGATATAAATATGAGGGTCTTTTTCTTCTCGTTTTGCATTCGCCTAAAATTTATCGAAGAAAGAAAGCGAAAAACGAATGTCAGCTTCGATTACTCACGTGTTTATATGTTTCATTGCATAAGCAAATACTGTCGTCGTCATTATCGTCTATGTGAAAATATTAGAAAGACTATTTCTTTTTTTGAGAGTTCTTTTCTGTTCAGATTATTTCTGCAAACTTGATCGATTATGTCTCATGTAAGTAGATGACAACTGCAACTATGAATAGAATAAATTATTTATCAAATTTCTCTTGTCTGAATAGAATAAAAAGATTCGAAAATTATCCTCCGGCCAAATCCGAGGTGTGTATGCGATTTGAATGATTTCTAGACGTGTCGATTGTCCAAATGATTTAGAACTTCGACAGGCATTTGACTTATTTGATACCGACCACAGCGGAGGAATCTCGGTGATGGAATTAAAATCCGCCTTGGGGGCGCTGGGTGTGACTGTTAGCGACCAAGAAGCACGTCAGATGTTTTCAGCAATTGATATTGATAGTAAAGAAAATAAATTTTTGATGAATCGACACCATGTTCTATGATTTTTCTCTTCTAGAGAACGGTTTGTCATATCAAATATGACTGAATGTCAGCACTGAACTTTTGTTTGTTAATGTAGGTCGAATTGAATTCGATGAATTCGTTGAAGTTGTTGCCGATTCGTATTTCAAAAAGTTCTCTCGTTCGGAAATTCTCGAAGCATTTCGGCGATTTGACCACAATCATGACGGTTATATCGAAGCGGATGAGTTGAAGAATATTCTCGCACGACTTGGTCGAAATTTTTCAGCAGATGAAGTAAACGACGATTTCATGTCACATCAACGTTAATTATTGATGTCTGATTTAGATTCGACGCATGATTGCACAAGTTGATCGAGATGGAAACGGAAAAATCTCGATTGAGGGTAAAGAATCGATCATTCCACAAGGTGTATTGTATTTTCTTCGCGTTTATCTCCTCTCTTTTATAGAATTTGCTGCACTTGTTGAAAGAGAATAATGACACCGAATGAAAAATCTCAACATTTGAACATAGAAGACACAAACGCCGTTTTTCTTGTTAGATTTGTTATTTGATTAGATTGTAACCGACAAAGAATCTGTGTAAACTTTTTGTTTGTTGTGTGTATTTGTAAAATGTTTCCTATTCGATCAATTAATGGCTCGGTTCTTCGCGTTTTTTTTTTCGTTTTCTCCACAGTTTACATTCTCGATTCTTCCGTTTTTCTTTTCTGTAATCATATTTATCTGAATACAGAACAAGGAGGAAAGAAATACGTTAAAATGCATCATAATGGATTGTGAGTGTGTGTGTACGCTCAAGCAACACACTCTTCAATTGCTTACAAGAAGAGAGAGAGAGAGGAAAGCGAATGACGCATATATATATATGCATGTAAGTTTTTTCTTTGCCTTGTCAAAAGAACGAGGTCGACAATGCGAAGAGAATAGTGTGTGTAACTCATTTTCTCGTCATCTTTTTTCCGTCTGCCAAATACAATCGTTCTCATATTGCACTGTTATCGTTTCGGTCGAGCCAGAAGAAAATATTTGACTTCTCTCTTTCTCGCATTCTGTGTATATTTAGTCATCGCTGCATCTCTCATTCTCTCTCTCCCCCGTTCTTCTTCGTCCCGTCTTCTCTTTTCTAGTTGCCTTAACCACGATGACAACCAACTAAAAATAACAACAATAAATAGTAAGCAGATCCATTAGGGAAGTAAATATTATTAGTTTTGCTTTGGAGAAGAAGAAATCGAACGATAGCGAATCTCTAACGTCACTACCTAAGAACGAAGGTGAACTAAACGAGTATTCTTCATCATCAAGATGAAAACGAGAAAAATTGGTTGTATATACGCACATTTATATATATTTTTTAAGATAAAAAAGCAGCGACAATTGCTAAGGTAAAAGATAACGAAAAAAAGAAGAAGATGAAGTTTCAACGGCGCATTCTTCCTCCACATTCACCAACTTATCTCGAAATGGAAGAATACACGACACCATCATCTTCAAGACATTCAAGTAATACAGATGAATTACTTTCAACAATGTTCGATAATTTCTTATTCTTTATTTAGTATCCATAAATGGATCGACAAGTGACTTAAGTGAGTTAGGAAGTGTTTATTGCCTATCAACAATAGCAAAACAAAGATCTGATTCTTTGACGAATCTATTCCATATGTCGGAAGACAGTACATCATTATCAAACCTAAGTATTGCATCATATTCATTATCCCAACATTCCTGTGAAAATGGATCTTACATCAACCCGGCCACCCATTTAAGTACATCCCCAGTCACCTTATCCACGCCTTGTCAACAACAATCTACATCTATAAATCACGGATCTGATAAAATTTCTCGAAAACAATACAGTTCATCGTATCGAAGTTTAACTGAAGAATCATCATCGCCGATAACGATACGACGGATTAATCCTAATCTGAATAATAACAGTTCACGTCGTAGTGGTGATTCAACGCGTCATTATCATTTCTCGACAAATCTAAGTGGAAGTTCGTCGACAACGAGTAGCCAAAAAAGTTTTCCAATCAAAACAGCTGAGACAGTTTTAAACACCATTGGAATCAACACATCAGCAGTATTAAATGATGATTTAACTGATAAATGTGGCTTGATCGCACATGATGCAAATGATATCGAAAACAACGATGATAATGCGAACTATAATAACATCATAAGCAAAAGCAATCTTCATGATGATAATCAAAGTTTTTGTGATAGTCATTATGTGGATAGTTCAGATGAAAATGATTTGGAGATGATTTCATCTCGAAATGCATCGTCAGGCACAAGTCAAACCGGTCGAGGTTTGCGTAAAACAGTTTTGAACAACGTGGATCGATTGTTAAATTCTGGCAATAAACAAATAAAACTTTAAATCAATCCAGAACAGACAATTTTCAAGAGAAAAAAAAAGAAACATTACTGTGATGTGTTCATAGAACTAAACGTTTCATTTTTGTTTTCCTCTGTTTATTTGTTATTAAAAACATTCAAAGAACATTGTGCAACAATCTGTATCATATCGTTTTATTGTTTCCAATTAAAATTTATTCGATATCACAAGAAAATGATAAGATTATCTTATGTTGTTTTTCTCTTTCTCTTTAGTCGATTCAAAAGCAAGTCATGACAACGAACTCATCAGAACAGGTACACGAACCAGCCGACTTATCGTTCAATTCGAAGCCGATCGGTGATTTATTTGGACAATTGCCAGTCAATCCAGACAATTTTGCTCGTTGTTTATTATCCGAAGATCAAGTTGCGTTTTACAGAGCCAACGGATACTTGAATCAAGTGCGTGTCTTAACCGATGAACAATGTAATCGTCTCATCGATGAATACAAACGATTTCTTCTATGGAGTGATCATCATCATTCGACTCATGGGAAAGATGATGCACATCGATTGGATTTTCCGGAAAAAGATCTTCTCTACGAATACCACTCAAATCAAAGCGCCGATCCCAATCAAGTCGTTACACACATGTTAGGTCATTGGAGAGTTTCACCTTTATTTCACGATCTTCTCTTTCTACCGGCCATTACAGTCGCAACATCGCAATTACTTGCCGCCGTTCATCCATCTCAACAAACATTACTTCCTGTTCGTTTTTGGCACGATCAATTATTTGCTAAACCGCCACAACACGGCGGAGAAGTCGCCTGGCATCAAGATTACTCGTACTGGACACGTACAGAACCGATGCAACATATCACAGTTCATATTGCATTAGATGATCAAACAGAAGAAAACGGTGCAATACATTATGTTCCTGGCTCGCATCATTGGCATCGGATCGAAGATGGTAGAGAAGTACCACTGCCCATCACAGATATTGATTTCAAAGATATGGAAAGTATTAAGAAGGTTTTAACCAGTGAAGAACTTGCTCAATTTCAACCATTACCTGCCTTATTGAAGAAAGGTCATGCGTCATTTCATCATCCACTTACTGTCCATGGCTCATATGCAAATCGCTCATCACAACCACGACGTGCAGCTGTATTAAATTATTTTGTCGAAGGCACACGAAGTGATACCGATGAACCACTTCTAAAAGGTATACCAGCTGTTCTGCGTGGCGAACCTTTAAACAACCGGTTCTTTCCGTTAGTTTTTGATCCAAAATGGATGTAAAAGTCATTTTTGTATGTCACACCTTATTTATCAACTTTTACCCGCCCATCACTTCTTTCCCTTTCACAATTCGAATGTATGCAATAGTAGTAGATAATAGTTCGAATGACGTTCAATTTTTTTTTCAGGCAGATAAAAGCAGAAGAATTGCAATTTTTTCACGTATGTTTTCATTGTAAGTCAACGAAGAGGAGAAAAGGAATGATTTTAAAAAAATATATGTGCCCAAATACTATTCATTCACGATTTCTTTCATTAATCAAACAAATTGCTTACTTAGCTGTTACTGCCAATGGTCTTCTCGAAGATTACATATAGACAAAGTGCTGTTAAAGCGATACATATGTTTCTATCATAAATGAAACTAATTGTAATCAAATATCAAGGACTAGAGCGTTTTCTCAAGACCATCACCGACATGAGTCGATTGTATTTGTATAAATTACCTTGAAAATGTATTCGATATGATTGTTGCTTGTACATGTGATCGCGTCATATCATCTCGCGTCATACGATCGAAGACACAATGGAAATCAATAAGCAATGGTAATTTATGCTCTATAAACATTATTCATCGAGTCAACTGTGAGCTGGATATTCTATATGTCAAGAAAAACACGTTAAAACAATTAAGGAAACGTCCCGAAAGATTTCATGCCAGGTTCAATCTTCATTCATGTTGAAAAGAGATCAAAGTCAGTGACATTTTAAAGATCATGTCAGAACTGCTTGTCGAGAACTATATGTCAGCGCTTCGTGCTTCTCTGCTATTACAGATTTGTGAAATTAAAGGGTTGATAGACATAATTGTCAACCGAAATGATTGAGAGTAGTCATTGTGCACAAATGTTAAAGACAAATCTACTTGACTCTTTCAATCCTTTGACATTTCCACATTCTCATCGATAGTAAACATTGAGAAGACGTTCATTTTCATTCAGTTTATTATTCCAACAAACAAAAACTGCTATAAATCAAACATAGATTGCTTAGAAAAAGAGAAATGCAAAACGATTGAAGACTAATAATACTAAATTAGCATAAATAGAACGGCTAATGAAATGTATAATAAAACAAATCAGTTGCACTGCTTTTGTCATTGTCAATTTTCTTTTCACACTCACAAGACACCAAAATCTAAAAAGAAAAACATTGTCTGTCAAAGCAAGATGTCAGCTAACCATTCGTTTTAGTTAAGCCATGGGATCAAGTGAACATCGACGGCGAAATTCTTGACCTCGTTCGTGTATCCATTTGTTTCCGACCCACTTATTACCAATCAGAACAGGACACGCTACGGAGAAACCAAGTATCAAACAAATCTCTAATAGAGTAATGTACCTACCAGCATGACGTGTTGTATAATCACCTAGAGATTTATTTTCAAAAAATGTTTAGACATGGTAGAATAGGATATGATGAAAAACAATACCTTCGCCTGATGCATAAAGATTATACCAAAAGGCTGCGCTTCCCTTCTTTGGTTTGACGTAGCCGCCACGAGCTGGAAAAACAGTGGCACCACCCTGTTCGACATCGCTGAACTAGAATAGAATACAGATGATGATTTTCGAAAAACGATATAGGTGAACTTACATAGGTTAACCAAGTTGCCATTCGATTTCCTAAAAACAAAACAAAAGCGATCAGTGGCATACTTAAATTGAAAGTTGTTGTTTACCAGCACCGAAACTTGTAAATGCATCCTTCTCAGTTTTCTAAACATCCTTTCATCAGGTCAAAACCTTGAATTGTATGAAACGTGTCAACTTACACGTGCAAAGTCAAAATGTGGTTCGTAATGACCACCAATACCATAGTTTGCAACCTAAAAACTACATTCTTTTCCGAAAGTTTGTTTAAAACTTCTTGCGACATACCTGAAGATCTTCCGCTGTTAACATACTCAAATTCGTCAAAGCCTCGATCAATCGTGACAGACGAGCAATGGACGGTGCATCCTCATTTTTTAACCAAGCACTAAAAATATTCCGAAAAAATGAATAATCTTGCAATTGTGCACAAACACATCGAAAACTAGAACTACTGCATGCATTTATCAAAGACAGACAACGTCGAGTACAACAAGCTAATTATAAATAGAATAAAGAAGCAATAACTAATCAACATGCATAAGTGCAAATTGATAAAAATCGATCGGATATATATGTATAAGAATATGTATTAATTGAAGTACCTTTTGCTCACTCTATAACTGGCAGGCTCGAGTTGAGCCGTTCTAGGGTTTTGTACGACCGCTCTGCTCAGCTACAATCATAAGAACAATGAAATTTCGCAGACCCACGAATAAAATAGAACGTGCACGAAATCTCTGTGTCTGCAATTGATTCACATCATCAAATTGAAAATAAGCATGTGAGATCATTCAGGAATTCGGTTGTAAGATATCTCTGTTGAAGGTAAATACTATTCTCTCTCTTATCAATTGTCCTACTTTCAGAATCATTCAACTGATTAGAAATTTCAAACAAAAAGGTGCATTTCAGGTTGATTAAATATATTAGAATAAATAACTGTTAGTATTCTTAAGGAATAGACATCGTTCAATACCTCTTACTAATCCTATAATCAGCCGCTTTGAGAGAGCTAGTTCCGGAGTCACGTACAACGGCTCGTTGTAACTATAAAATGTGAACTGAGTCTGCCTGGATCGAACAAACGTCACGTTCTTTTATTCTGCCGATGTTCTCGATACGTACTCGTGGAGAAGCAAGTGCTTTGATTTCGTCAATATCACGATCAGTAATAACGTCATGATAAAGATACAAGGCTGGATCGTCTAATAATTGTTCTTCTCTAACAGGTCGTAAAATTAAGTACGGATGATTGTTATGACGATATCGACAAAACAATTTTGCTTGTTGTTTGGGACTTAGCTATAACATGAACAGAAGTAGAACTGTTGGAAGGCTACAAGGTTTTTGTTTACTTTCGATTCGGTTTGTCGGCAAAGTTTTTCATATTGTTCTCGTTCTTCTAGATAGTCTGTTGGACGTTGGTTTTTTATATTTGAAAGATCAACTTTTTTAACATTGACGATTGAGCTACCATCAGTTTTCGATGTTTTTTTTCGAAGAAGATCAACATAATATTCCTTATTATTCAATGCTCGCGTATGTTCTGGAGCTATCGCTAATATTTCTTCTGTCAATGCCAAAGCATGTTCGATATTTCCTTGCTAACATGAAACTAAATATATTTTTCTAACAAAATAAAATCATTTTACTTGAGACGTGGCGTAAGCAAGGTGATCAAGAATATCGATTTTATTCGGCGCTGTCGCATTGGTTTCTCTATCCAAATGATCGAGAGCTTCTTGCATCCACATGATTGTATGGTAAAAATCAGCATTTGTATAAGCAATACGTCCCAAATCATAACATTCCGAGGCTAAATGAAAGCTCATGAGAAAACATTAGCTTGGCGCGTTGGTCTCACCACTCAATGCTCTTGATTTGAAATTATCACTAATTTTTCCATTCGCTAAGTCACTTGTATTCAGTTTATATGTATCTTGTAAGCGCATTAGAGCGATCGCAGAACCTACATATTTTGCTTGACATACAGCTAATGACTAATACGATGTTTTCCTACCTGTGTAATCTTCGAAGGAAGGAAATGCCCAATTATCACCCATTGTTTTCGATATATCTAAACATAAAGGTATGACCTTGTCAGATTATTTCGAGTAAATTTTACCCATTGAGACGATTTCTTCAACATTGTACCATTCGACGGTGAGATGTTTGATGAATAGATACGAATTGACCGGATTACCGAAATAACGTTCGGGATTACCTTGTGCTTGGCGAATTTCATCCTTGATGACATTGAGAAATCTTTTTAGAAGAAAAAACTATTAGTAGATAGAACACAAAATCATATCAATACTTTTCAACTTGATCTAAGCGTTCGTATTCATCCTTGAGATATTTTTCTAGTTGTTTTGATAGTTCAATTTCGGTATTGAACAAATGCGTCAAATGCGACGTTGATGTAAACGATTCACTATGAACGAGTATCAGATTGAGAAAAATCAAATAAACAAAGCAGATGAGAGACATATTCGAGACGTTTTTGCAAATGATCTGCAAAGATGGTAGAAAAAGAAATCATTAACTATTCTGGACGATCATATTGGATTTGTCATTTATAAACGACGACCCGATGATATTGACGAGATAATGTAACAGGAATATTTCTCTCTCTCTCGACAAGATTACCAGTCAGCAAGATGAACACAGATTATTCGATCGTTCCAAACGTCGAGAAACGCCTGGTTAGTACTGTGACCTCTTATCTTCTTTCTACGCAGAGAATTTCCCTTCAACAAGACCGAAAGAGAACAAACAAGTATAGGTCGATATCGTACTAGGAAGGAATATATGTATGTGTCCTTACGCTGCGGTGCTAAATAGCAGTTATTCGATTGAATAAAAATCAACCAATCCGTAGAATTGATCGACCTCTGTCATGATTATCGACTCAAGTATTCAAGAATCCTAGTGTGAATCATACAATATATTTTATTCAATTTTTTTCTCTATAGTTATGCAATTCAACAATCTAGAAATTTCTTTTTGCAAAACAAGTGCACATTTTTTCCTTTTCAGGTCATCAACGGTTTTTTCTTTCTTGTTCTCGGCAGCCATTGTTGTTCTTGTGCGTCACTGTTAATAACCTTGTGACGTGGACGAAGGCAATTACCCAGCTGACGAGTCGTGTGATTCAGCATAGTACGACGGTATATATAAGTGTATATTCTCTGCAGTTCAAATCATTTTCCTCGCGCCAATTCAACCAGTTATTTATCGCCTTTGTTTCTTATTCAACACTAAGAAATTACAACCATGCAAATCTTTGTGAAAACTTTGACTGGCAAAACAATCACACTCGAAGTCGAGCCAAGTGATACCATCGAGAATGTTAAAGCTAAAATTCAGGACAAAGAAGGTATCCCACCTGATCAGCAACGTCTTATCTTCGCCGGTAAACAATTAGAAGACGGCCGAACACTCAGCGACTACAACATTCAAAAGGAATCAACTCTCCATCTGGTTCTTCGTTTACGTGGTGGCATGCAAATCTTCGTCAAAACACTCACAGGCAAAACAATCACGCTCGAAGTCGAGCCAAGTGATACCATCGAGAATGTTAAAGCTAAAATCCAAGATAAGGAAGGTATCCCACCAGATCAACAACGTCTCATCTTCGCCGGCAAACAATTAGAAGACGGTCGAACACTCAGCGACTACAACATTCAAAAGGAAAGTACGCTCCATCTCGTACTCCGACTTCGTGGTGGCATGCAAATTTTCGTCAAAACACTCACAGGCAAAACAATCACACTCGAAGTTGAACCAAGCGACACGATCGAAAACGTTAAAGCTAAAATCCAAGATAAGGAAGGTATCCCACCAGATCAACAACGTCTCATCTTCGCCGGCAAACAGCTTGAAGGTAAATGAAATGATTATGATCAGTCTCCAGAAATATTAATTCGTATTTGTTTATTATTAGATGGCCGCACGCTCAGCGACTATAACATTCAAAAAGAATCAACTCTCCACCTGGTACTTCGCTTACGTGGTGGTATGCAAATCTTCGTCAAAACACTTACAGGCAAAACGATCACGCTCGAAGTCGAGCCAAGTGATACCATCGAGAATGTTAAAGCTAAAATTCAGGACAAAGAAGGTATCCCACCAGATCAGCAACGTCTCATTTTCGCTGGCAAACAATTAGAAGACGGTCGCACACTCAGTGACTATAACATTCAAAAAGAATCAACTCTCCATCTGGTTCTTCGGCTCCGTGGTGGTGACATGCAATAAAGCTTCAATAGGATATCCAGGACAATCGATTTCATCGACAGTTTTTCTGTTTCTTTCTCTATTCTATATTGTATAATCAAATTAGTTCCGATATTCAACTGAACGGAGTGCTTTTTTCTTTTGTATTAATTATCTAACCAAAATAGTCATTTAATGCATTGTTATCGAGTCATACATTGAACAGAGTGCATAAATAAAACGATGTTATCGAGATTTTAAATGCGTAATAGTTTATTGCTCTAAGCTTATTTTGAAAGAGTTGTTCGAATGAAAATTGTATCTACTAGATATGCATTCAAATGATTGAAATTCATTCAGTGTTTTGAAGTAATATGCAATTAAAACGCTCGTTCGTCCGTACCGTACGAATATTGTGTATGAAACATAGATATTGTCACTTATATACTACATGTTAATTACAGGTATCTGTCTCTAGCTGTCATATGTGTAAGTTAGGATATTTTCGGTGACTGCGTAAAATAAAATGAAAGCGCGTAAAAATGATATGGTGTATCTAACGATGTCTGAAATAATATACGAAGCGTACATCGTACTTCTATGTGAAATAGAAGTCTTAGCATGCGTTTAGAACAAAATCATTCAGTTGATGAAATACTTGTTCATCACTAGCATTATCTACTTGAGAGTAAAGAAAAACAAAAATTTCGAAACATTTGCACTGAATATGAACAAACGATTGAAAACAAAGCTTTGGTTTTCGCACATACCATTGTCATCTTTGTTGGAAACATGTACATACATAACTATTGTAGTTAGGAACGTTTATTTGTAAGAATGAAATGCCGGACTATTTAAATGGATATTAGAAAACAATGAATGCTGCGCGTACTTAATAAATTAGTTTTCGTTTATGTTGACCAATGTCTTTCATTTGCGTCGAAGATTTGCGTGGTAATTTGCTGTTCGCTTCGAATAGTCGATCTTTGGAAGTTAATGTGGTTGGTGATATCAGTCGCATTCGGACAAGAATGCCTTTGTCCGATAGTTCTTGTTGTTGTTGTTGTTGATGATGTTGACGAAGTTTAAATAAATTGAACAGTTCGTTGTCTTCATCGTCGGATACTGATACTTTCTGACCCATTGTTAATTTTACTCTTGACGTCAGCAAATATCGTCACCTATGCAACACAATTACCTATTGTAGTCATTTGCACTGTTACTTATATACGTTGACACGAAGAATCTATACACGTGAGAATTTTCATGCGTATCATTGAAAACCATCATTAGATAAGTACAAAAGCAACAATTGTTTCCAATAGATATATTTATTAATAGCAACAATGAAAAAAAATCACTCGTCGTACTATATCCTTCGATAAAAGAGAACGTATGCATGAGCTTCGAGCACCTTGCTTTCAGGAACTTTGTGTATTGTATTATCACTGATATGATACCACGCCGGTGGTGGAGATGATGGATCAGAGTCTTTTGTACTATTTTTGGTTTGGCATTGCTCATCAGGCGAAGGTTTGAAGAGATTAGCTAAGATATGATCAAGAGGTTTCGAACAAGATTCTTGTGATACATCCGAATCGATTGCAGAATGTTTGATATATACAGTGTAGTGTCCACTGCGAAGTGTACCGGAATGTTCAATGACTGCGTATAGAGAATATTGAAATTTATTTGATGTTATTTGAGTTGAGCAGCGATCGGTAAGGTCAAGTTGAAGAGGGAATTCAATAAATTTATTGATTTTTTCACTGTACGAACCATACTGAAAAGAACGAGAAAGTCGAGAATGTTCAATTAGGAAATAGTTACAGACCATTTGAAATCGCTTTAAAAATAATGGTAAGACCGGTGGAAGTTGAAAGAATATCGTTTGACGAACTGCTTCTGTTAGTACTTTTTCTAAAGAGAAACTTTTGTATCAAACATAAATTAACTTCTAGTTAAGTTTTACTTTGTGTTCGATCAAGTGACCGACAATAATAACAATCGAATGAATTCTCTCCGGAAAGAGTTTCTGGCTTGAAATATCTTTGAAAACACTGTTCTAATGTATGAATATCATCTGTTTCATCGGTTGTTGGCAATTCTTTGACTGTTTTCGAGTAATTCAAAAATTTCTGAGAAAGACTCTCATCAACAAATGGTAATGGTCGAGAAGTTGTTTCATGGATTAACGTTAATTTCGAGACCATATCAGCAAGCATACAAGTTGATTCGACTGTTGTCAAAGGTCCTTCGTTTTCCTCTTCATCCTCTTCATTTTCTTCGTCATCAACGTTTTCATCTTCAGCTCGCTCCACTTCATTCTCTTCCACAGCTGTTGTTTCATTGATTGTATTGCATTTGACTTCAGCTGTCTCCTTAACAGTTTCGTTTTCTGTACTTGCAACAACTGTTTCGTCCGTAGGTGGTGAAGATGATGATTCTTCAAGTGGCAATTGTTCTTCAACTTTCTTTTTTGCTGTCTGCCGTCCTTTAATTTTACCAAGTCCAGTACTTCGTCTCAACTATTATGTGAACACATAGATTATACGTTCTAAAACGAGAATTTCTCATACGTTTTTCTTCTCTTGCTTTTTCAAAGCTTTCTGTTGTTTGTTAGACAATGGTTTCGCATCTTTTTTCGATGTCTTCGCCATATAGTCTTCACGTTTTCTTCGATTGCGATAATTTTGCGCCGGTGTTGTCATCTATCACACAAGAAAGCATAGCTAATATTTCACTCGACTTAATACTATTTACCCGGTCCGTCAATGGCAACAATAAACCAAGGAATGGTTCAAGTTTCATCAAAGACTAAAGTGACATCCTGAAACGATCTTTTCGAATTCATGAAATCTTTATTTACCTTGCCGCATTTTTTACACGTAATTACATCCAGTAAATGACCGCCGAACACGGAATCATATGTTGTATAGGGTTCATTACATCCAATTACTAGAAGTTCTCAACTATTTCAGAGAAACTATCGAAGATTTTCACTTACAGCAGAATATTTTGGACGGATCATCATCATTCAGAGAATGACTTACTGAGTTCGGCTGAAGTTTTCTTAACTAAATCAACAGACACAAGCAATAATAGATGAGAAAATCATTGTCAAAATACTTTAATCTCTTCTGCACGTAAGATTAACATCAAATTCATAAAGAGTTCATGACTATCGTGTTGATCATATCCTTCGTACGCTGGTATTCTAAATGGAACAGACAGGTCTAAGATCCTCATGTAGTTTGAATTGGTTTACCTTTGTATCAGACTGTTGAATAATGGCTTTGGATCAATAGATGGTTTCTTTTTATCAGTCGAAGAAAATTCATTGAAAACGTTCATCAATTGAGCAGTTGTGGTTGATGGATATTTCGTTTCATTTTCTTTCGTCATGGCAGATACTATTTCATACAATCTCGTCGTCAGTATTGGCGTATGTGCGATCGACTTGAGTAGAAACAACATACTGAAAATCGAAGGAAGAAACCGGTTCAAACACATACTTGAATAATCACATTAAAAAAACAAGTGTTCCCGATATTGTGAAGACCTTTAATCAACATTCGCTGTTTAAGTTTGTCGACTAGTTCATCTTGTTGTTCAGATTTGGAGGTTTTTGGCGAACTGGTCGATATAGTAGTACTACTTCCAAGTCCAGAATCTGTATCTGATGCCGCTAAGGAAGAAAGATATACAATATAATCAAACATCTCTGTGATGAAAATAACCTAGCTACATGTTTCAAGGGATTTTTCACTTCGAATTTGCTCCTCTGCTTGTTGTGTCCGTGTTTGCTGTTCGACCAGTTTCTGTTCGGTTTCCTCTTCGAGTTCTTGTTTTAATTCACGAACGTCTTGCTCACGTTCTTCTATTTCACGAGCTCGCTTTTCGCGACGCCGATCTTTATGTCCTTTGCCCATAGAAATCTCCTTTTCTAAATGAAAATACGAAATGAATTTCTATGAAAAGCGATTTTTACTTTCGCAATACTTACCAGCTAACTAAACCCGAATCTCTCGTAACCAATCGAAATTTAATCCAGTCTCCTGACATCTACGTACCATCGTTCATTAGTTAAACAATGCACTAATCAAACATCTTAGTTACCTAATTGAATTTGTTTACTATTTCTTCTACTCGATTACTTGCACACCCATAAATAAACTTGTCTTTATATAATCATTGATGACTAAACGTTCGAAAAGACGTATATAGTACATGAAAAATGCGTACGTCACTGTCACAGGTTGAAAACATTCCTAACCTGTCGAAATCATCCGAGGAACAAAAACCTGTACGCGAAATTTCTCGTCGATCTCAAAAAACATTTGATCTAAATGACGCCAAGGCATTGAAAGTAATCAAAACCATTCTTTCTTAGCAGCATTTCACGATCACAACATATCCTTGTTTCGTAATTTCGTAGAATGAAATCGATCAATCATTCAAAAGCACTGCGGGAAAACTGACGATTTTCGATCAACGCGATGAAATAGCCGGTAAAAGAATAATTGCATTCCTAGCCAAAAATTCATCTATTTGAATAACTTAGAATCTATTCAATCACTTGCCACACGATTTCAACCCACACGTCCAATAACTCCACCTGACGTAAGTACCCGTTTATAATAAATTTTACAATGCGAAGCAATAGACCGTAGAAGTGTTTTTAGTTTTTATCATCTTAAGTGTTGCATTGTTCGAGGTGAATCTAGTCGCTATTCATATTTAGCTGATTAAGTCAATAGGTTCTTATCTCTATGGAATAGATTGTGTGACTTTCCGAGAGCGTGGAGTTATTCATGCAGAAGTCAAGAGATATATCTGACTCTTTATCCGTTGGTACGAGCATTATTTGACGTGTTGTCTATGCTTGAATGAGATATTATCGAAACAGTATGATTTTTTCGACAAAGAGTTCAAAATAGGCTCATCAATGCTGTCTAAAGATATCTGGCTAATCTTGACACATTCCATGCAGAAATTGCTTCTCATTTGATACATCTTCAGGGAATACAATAGTTTGACGCGATCTTTTTCAATATTTTGCCACTATAAGTTGATATGGAAAAAAAAGTCATTATGTACTCGTATACGTCGCGAAATTCTCTCCAATGCTCTTTGGTAGTATAGTTCAAGTAGACTGAAGATACTTCTCTTAACGATTATCGTCGAACCTACATGTCATCTACTTTTTGGAGAATCTGATTATACAGATATTTTTGATGTGCTTGAACTATATCATCAAGGCTAAATAAAGTTTAATGCCTTTATATGTTCCTTCTTGGAGAACTCTGTAAGTACATAATTGCCATTCTTTTCAGCGTCAATTGTTAGTAAGAAAAGATGAAAATAATCGGTTCTAATCAGCTTTGTCCAATATGTGTTTTCTGTCACGTAATCCTCGTCAAGATGCAATTCATAATGTGATTTTGCCCGTAAGAAAAGATGAAAACCTGTAATTAACTTCCGGTATACTGTTGACGTTGAAACGAGTTTGACTAATCGATGTTTTCTTTCTAAAATAAGAATCTCATTTATTCACTTTTTAATGACGTAGGAAGAAGTAACGTATGATACAATTCCACGTGATGTGGAACAATTATTAGACTTCATTCGGCGTCGCTTGGACATCCGACATATTCCATTAGACACAACGCGCTTAACATCCGATGATTTGTCTCAATTAGCGTCAGTTATTCTCAGTCAGATGCGTTCGAAATGGATTGATATTCAAGACATATGTGTTCAACATCCTCTAATAACTCCGAAACGAAATCGGGAACTAGTTCGTCGTGTAATCGTCAATGCTATTCTCATTTGTGCTAATATTTTTGAACATACCATCCAAGAAGCACAAGTTTTCCATGATCGATACGTGTTTTCTCATGCAGCTAACATGACTCGACTACGAACGTTACTCGCGGATAAAATCAATGCTTTGTATGTAGAATCACGAAAACAAAAAAGGTCGCCTTCAGATTCCGTTTTGATTTCAATAGAATTAATATTCATTCATTGCGTGAACATCTCGCTGCAGAAATGATTGAAGAAGAGCGATTAAAAAAGCATATTATATTCGAAGATTCTACTACCAAAAGTCCTCGAAAACGTTTAGATAAATTAACAGTTCTTTCACAACACCGACCAGATGTTCGCGATGTGGTAAATACTTCTATACTACATCTCATACCCTCTTTTATCAACATGTATTATAGATTGAACATGCAGGTAAAAGCTACAAGTACATACCACCGGACTCAGATTTTGATTCTAAACGATACTTTCGTCAAGTAATTGATTACATTTGTTGTGCTTTTACATTTCTTTCTCATTGATATGTACTTTCATAGATGATGGCAAGTATGCCGGATGCCGCTCATTTACGTCGTCCGCCTGTCATCTTACCACCGATGATGAATAGGGATGTGTACTCACCAAGGTCCTCGATAGATTCGCTCAGTCAAGCGAGAACCGCTCGACGACAATCAGCTGAAAAATTAAGTGAATCATCATTGGAACGGCAACGAGAGACGGACCATATTCAAAGGTATGCGATCTCTAATTATCTCTATTGAAATTACCATAGTCTGTTGATAGAATTCTTAGACGAAGACAATATAGTTCATTACCGAATATTCACTCGAAATTTCTTTGTGAAGAATTCGATTTTAATTTTGATAATGTTAAGAAACATCAACATAAGACAACTGATTTAATACGTGAAAGATATAGCGTCGAAGAAAAACAAGTAAACAACGATTTCTCTGTCTCCCTCAAGCCTCCTTTGTTCATATATTCGTTGTACTTTCTAGAAAAAGAGTATCGAGCTCAAGAAATCAATGTCCAACCGCGATGATCTCCTACGATTATCCATGCGAGTTACAACTAATGAAGATGACCAAGCAGATGAAATTCCACCACTAATCAAAGTCTCGAAATGAAATTCTTTTGATTAGTACCAACTGTTACGTTTCTATTCGGAAATAGGTCTTGACATCATCACCTGACAGTCAACAACGTATCAATGAATGTAAACAGACAGTTGTAGCTATAGCAAAAAGACGAAAAGCTTTTCTCGACCAAATCAAGTAATTACATCACTATGCAAAAGAAAATCTCGCTATCATTCGTATTTATTTCTTAGGGAAGACGTTCGAGATGAACCAATCTGTCCTCAACCAACGTCCATCGAACACGCATTTAAAAATGTAAGTACAGAAAAGCGATAAACACGATGTTAAACTTCAATCTCTATCTTTATAGTTAACATTCCGAATCTCTGATATCACATTAGCAAATTTTCTCTTCCAATCCTCATTTCTTCTCACCAGTTTCACGACGATATTCAATAACTACTTCGGTGATATTGACGATGATACAGCTGCATATCTCGATCGAAATTTACATATTGGTCAGCAGGTGAAAGAAGTCTATGAACAATTATTAACAACAATCGATACGGATCATTGCTTTAAACTGGACATGGTACGTAGAACTAAACATTCATCATAACGTTTGACATAGACAGCGTGCAGATTCTGAATGAATAATTATGGTTATGGTTATGATATTTTCCTTTTGTGCCCAAATCTCAAGAGGATAGATTTGTTTTCCGAACAACATTTTCACTATCGAAATAACTGTTGATGCTTATTTAGGATAAATATGTCGTACAATGTCCTAGTCGTTTGGATTTACAATCATCGCAAGCATCGAGAACATTAACGAAACCATTTATTCAACAAATTAATAATCGATCTCTTGCCAAACGACATGACCCACCTTGGAAAGAATACGATAACAACCGTCAACGTTGGATTCAAACACCGGATCCACATCGAATAGAAGAAGAAGCTGAAGCTAAAAAGAAAAAGAATGCCAAAAGTCGACACAAAGGCCTACCCGAACCGACTGTCAGCATGAGTCTCGTGCCTGACCCCCAATTGATAGCAGCTTATAAACCGCGTAATCCACGACAAACGCGTGATTTTCAATTATGGAAAGATTACTGGTCACAAGTTTACACAGAGAATGATTATTTGAAGTACTTGTGTACACAATCGACAGATTATCTTCATCATATATTTCATCTACATGATAAACTACCCGAAGATAATCGTCTTAGTGAAGAAGACCAAGCTTTAGTTGATGAACGTAATCGTGCCTTGAAAGAACGCGAGGAAAAGATTGCTCAACTGAAAGAACGAAAGAATCAATTTGAACAAGGCGTCTGGAATGCACAAAGTGTTTTTCTCGGTGGACTTGGTCATGAACCAACATTACATCCTGATGACGATCCAATTGTGCGATTTGAGCGAGATCTGGAAAATCGTAAACCGAAATCGAAACGCATTGACCTGTTTGATCCCACCGCTCATGAAAAAGCTCTTTCAGATCAACGTCTATTGGCCACCGTTTTGAATAATGTCAAGGATATCAAAGCGCAGAAACGATTAGAACAAATCTGGAAACTAGTGAAGATGGTTGATCATGATCGTTTACATATGGCTGTGAAATATAGTACAATTGAGTATGAAACAAAAATTGAAGCGGTAAGATGAAGCAAGAGAATCTATCGAATGGATTTACCGTTTGTTTTGATTAGGCATTAGAGGCTTGGGAAACAATTGCACAACAAATTCTTCGTCGAGAGAAATTGATCGTTGATTTAGAGAATTTCGAACGGACAGCATCGGATGCTAATCGATTTTTCGAGTCCGGTATGATCAGATGAGCTCTAGTCATAAAGATAATTTTGTCTTTTCTAGGACCTGTGGGTGGTTCAAAAATGCGTTTAAGTGAATCACGTCGTCGAACGTATTTATACAATCAATTGTCTATACTCGAAAAACAGATAACGGAACAATGGAATAGCATCAAAACGAACCTCGGTGATATAGTTACTTATAATGGTCGTAATTATCTCGATAAAATTCAATATGATAAACTGGAAATGTTACATTATTTACAAGAAGAACGTCGTTTGAATTATTTACATTCCTATACAACCGTTGGAAAGCATTCTCAACTTGACTCGACTTTTAATCATGTTTTATAAAGCGAATCTCGAATATTTGTTTCATATCGAATGAAATCTTGTTTATTTTTTTGACACTTTTACAAATATCTTCTTGTATCTTTTTCTAGATGGCTTCATCGTATTCTACTTCTATTGATGATGTTGAAATGAGTTGTAAGGGCATGCAATTCTTGTTAAATAATGATCTCGATGCATGTCAAGCTCTTTTCGATCAATATCGATATTATTCACCATTGATGAATGGCGGTTGGTCATTTGTTTCGTTCATGGTAAGATCAAATTTGGTCGTTGATATGCTAAACAAACTGATTTCTAGCGTGCTGTGATATCTTTCGATGATCAGCGTTTAACGCAAGCTGGTCGTGACCTTGCGGAGTCAGAGAAATTATGTGCAAATGAAACAACATCAAAATTTACGCGTCCAAACCCATCGCCAGATCCAAAGGTAATTGAAAACAAACTTGAACCCTCAACACTACTCCACATTTTGTTCGATTTAGACGGTTACTTACGAAGAAAATCTTACTCGACGAATCGTCATTGCTGATTGTAAACTCTATCAAGGTATGTGAAGAACAAAAGACACAAACTCAGGCAAATTTCTTCTTCTTTCATAGCAATTTTAACATTGATTAAACAAGAACTATCAGGTTTAATTGGTGCTGGTTTACTTTTGCGCAAAGCATGGAAAGTCTATGAAAAACTTCACAGCGAACTATTCGAATTATATCGAGCTAAAGATCCCAATGCCGAAAAAGATTACGGAGCCAAACCAGAAGACAACATAGCAATACAATTTGAAGACACAAATGGAAGTACAGTTAATGGTGACGACGACGACGATAATCTTTCGTTTAAAAGTTTTGACAGTGATACGAATAATTTATCCGATGATCTTCCGTTATTTACAATAAAACGCCTTTTGGGTTCCGTTTCGTTTGGTTATGGACTTTTTCAAATAGCACTTTCATTTGTTCCACCAAGAATTATGAAACTAATCAAACTTCTCGGATTTGAGAGCGATCGGTAAGCTTTCTTCACTTATAAAAAAAACACATTCATTCATTCGTTTGGTTTCTTTGAAGAAAAGCTGCATTGGCTGCTCTTCGGTTTTCTAGTCAAAGCGTGGACATGAAAGCTCCGTTAGCAAATCTAACCTTATTATGGTATCATTGCATAATTCAACCATTCTTTGCCATTGACATATCTAGTCCACCTGGTAATTGAAATTCTACAAACGTAAATATGTCTTTTTCTGTTCTATTTGCAGATGTTAGCGAAGCGAAAGTGATTCTTAAGCGTAATATTGCGAAATATGATCGATCAACGCTGTTTATATATTTCCAAGGACGTTTGGAACGTCTTGAAGTAAGTACGCTCAAGATGTGCTATGTGAAACATTTCATATGTTAATAGAAAGATCTTCCAAAAGCTTTGTCAACATTTTTGAATGGTCTTAACGCTGCTAATTCGCAAATACAAGCCGCATCAAGTCCAAGATACAATGAATTAGATCAGATATTAGTCTACGATCTTGGATTTTGTTATATGATGGGACTAAATTTTGAATATGCTTTGTCCTGCTTTTCGAGGTGAGTTTTTTCTCCTTAGAAATCATATCTGACATTCTTCTCACGATAAAAACAGATTGAAAGATGAGAGTCGGTGGTCAAAAGCGTTTTATTGCTATACTTGTGCAAGTAAGAATGTGTTAACAAGAGATTTAAAAACTGATTTTGAATGAAATGTTAATTAGTTTGCTCAGCAGCGATGAATGATGGAAAATCATCCGCTAATTTCGTCAAAGAAGGAATCAAACTTCTTCAGAAGCGCTCAAATCCGGTGGAATTATTTGTGCAAAAACGAGTAATGATCTTCTTTTCCTCTTGTTATTTGAGTGTACATTGTCTATTCGATTCAGTTGGACTATTTGAAAAAATATCCACCGTCAGTATCATCAGCTTATGTACTTGTCATCGAAATGTTATACTTATGGATTCTTCTACCGCTTTGTGAAGAACCAACAATACGAAGAATGTTGCAAAGTAAGGAAAATATTCATATTAATGTTTATCTATATCGGTGTGTATGTTTAGTTATTGAAAAACATGGCCAAGATTCGAAGGATGATGCTAAACTTCGTCCAATTACTTGTTTTCTCGAAGGAGCGATTCATAATATCATACATGACTTTAATGATGCTGAAAATGTATGTTTGCTAGTCTATGAATTGAGGATTTCGTACATCTGCGATATTCTAGTGTTATGAAGAAGCTCTGGCTCGAGTTGACGATTCGAAATTAATTTTCACGAAATACATTTTGCCATTTGCTTCATGTGAACTTGGTATTCTTGAATATCTTCATCATCAAGTAAGTTAATCATCATTGAAACTCGTCGCTGCATTTCTTTTTTTTCTTCGTCAGAATACCGAACGAGCAAAAGAGCTGCTAACACGAGCTAAAGTAAGACATTTGTTTAATCCGGAGAGTGAGTCAAGACTGAGAATGTTTTAGGAGAAATATTCGGATTATGATTTCGACAATCGTTTACAAATTCGAGCAACAGCAACATTGAAAATTATTTCCGCGCAAGAAGCCGCTAGTGCTGATCATTAACTTTGTATATTTTTTCAAAATTGCCGCCGGTGTACTAATTTATTTCATATACCAATTCGATTTTAATCTTTTCCAAAACTGATCGATCAAATTTCGAGCCAGTCAGCCTCTTTCTTGTCCAATAATTTATCCACGATTTTCATTTTATTTATTCATTTTGGGAGACATTTTTCTAAGATCTGTTTTACGCGACATTGTATAGTTAGTTGTATGTTACCAAATAAACCAATTCCAGCTTTCGAAAGTCAATCATTAACAATGACTTACCGGAACGATCAACCTTGACTTGAAAGAATAACGAACGTGACAAACGCATTCATGTGTACGATTGATATTTTGTAATTATATACAGTTCAATTGAAATTAGACTGCAAGCACGCAAATCATCTGTCATACATACTTATTTTCTACTCATAATTTAAAGTATCACTAAGTTCGACATCTGTCCACTTGAATTCTTCGAATGCCTTTAACTATTCGACATGTCATATCCGTTTCGCTAATGTTTCTAGTGTATGTTGACGAACGAGAATTAAGTTAGATAAAAGTGCTTTTCTTTAGTGTGACGATGAATAATCTTTTTATTGTTACCCAAACATATAACGGAATAACAAAAACAAAAGGAAAACATTGTTGGTGCAACATGATTATTCAGTTGATTGTTTCTTCTTTTTTGAACCACCTTTGCCTCGATGTTGTTTCTTTCGGCGTTTCTTTACAGCCTAAATGAAAAGCATTTCGAACTATTCAGTAAACGCTTTCTTTCGCTTTACATCGTATTTCTTCAAAAGTTGATCGATTTCTTCAGGTTTCGTTTCACTTTTCTTCTTGTGACCTAGTTCACCCAAATCTTTTTGTAATTCTCGTAAAGTCTAAACAAATCCAGACGCAATACAAATAATCATTACGTTTCAAACACTTACATTCACATCGACTTCACAAGATAAGCGATTGGATTCAAATACTTCGGGTAAGCGTTCATCCGATAAAGGATAAATACCACGTGAAAGCGCTTCAAATCTATATGTAATGAAAAGTAGGAATGTCCGGTATTCACTGAAGAATCTTACTTTCGAGCTAATTCGTAAATTTGTTTACGATTTCTTTGTCTACAACTTTCGACTTTCGCTATTTTGATTAATTTTTCCGAAAGAAGTTTGTAATCAAACTACAATCAAAACGCAGTTCAATGAAGATTCTTTGCGAAGATGTTCAACATACTTGTAAAGCAGTATCTTCTTCTTGTTCACCTTCATCATTGATCTCCATTTCTTCTTCAATGGCCTGTCGACCAAACGGTTGAATCGTTTCCATTTCTTCTTCGGCATCAGGATCGATACCAACATCAGAATATTGAATGATCAACAAGAACAGATTCTTGTAAACATGTTTTATCAAGATTTCACTAGCAACATACCATCAGAATGAAGAAACTACCAAGGATGTCTGTCAAACCACTTACTTTTCTGATGTTTTGATAATATTGAAAAATGGTGATAATAAACGAAGCAATCGTTTGGGTTTCAAGGCAACTCCACCCACTTTAGCAAGTTCTTCAAGATAAATATCCGTTACGTGTAATTTCAACCCTAGAAAATCAAGTCAACGAATCAGTCACTTCGATTTCCATTACGAACCATCACATGAACGATTGCCATTTGGACTCAAGACGTTTTTCGTAAGCATTTTTGTGAATTTTAGGATATCACTTTTGAGCCATTTGAGATTTTTGAGAAAAACAAATGAATCACGGAGAAAATAACGAACGAACTATTCGAATAAACATATAGATAAGAGAAGAATTACGATATTCGTTTACCGTCATGAATTTACTCAGCCGCCATCGATCAATACCCCACCATTCCCGAGCAAATGTAGCAAAACCAGCATCGATATACAATCGTGCTTGATCATTATCACGAAATTCATGAATCCAAGATGATATTTGTGCTGCTAATTGATCCTTACATTTGAAAAAGAAAACGCACGAATACAGTTCGTTTACACGTCATAGAAAGCTTACTTGCAAAAGAGGTTTGTCAGCCATCCACATGTTATAATAAAGTCCTTTCCAGATTTTAATTAGATCGTCATACGAAAAGAAACTTGTTGGATTCAATGTCCGTGCATTAATCCATGCTTTCAATCGTTCAACTGCTTTCGTTCGTTGAGCTTTACTCGAATCAACTAACTTGTGAACAAGAATACGTTCGGGTTCAAGCTCGACTGTTTGCTGTTCATTATCATCGTTCGATTTTCGTGGCATTCTTTGGATTCAACTACACACGAGTACGTAAAGTAACAACAAAAATAAACAGCATGAAAATTTCACAAACTCAAATCTGATTGGTCGCTCGTTTCTACCAATGATGTCGCTGGTATTTTTGCGTTCTTTATTCTTGTTTACCATTTGATTGAACATGAACATAGTAGGACTATTATATAAACCTCTCGACAGTGATCATCAACATTTTTTGACACATTCCAATACATTTTCGTTTCAGATCATGCCATTAGTTTCACTATTCGATCGGAATTTATCAACAACATCTTCATTTAAACAATCACCTAATCGCACTGAACAGGTAAGTGACCTCGGAATTGAACATTGATCTATATTCGAGAACACTTCTCTTTCTGCGCGATAGTGAAATCCTATGTGCCGCTCGAAAATGCTCTCTTAAAGAATAACGACTAGTTCGCCGTAATCGGATCACTTGAGATATTGTATAGGATGTCCTTCTAACATAAGTCATCAGTAAGACAGACAGTAAGCGAACCCGTCTGTGTGTAAATTTCATAAATGTGCAAATGAGGCATGGAAAATGAAGGTTATATCCTCCATCTCTCAGATACATGTCATCAAAAATGAGAATTTTTCTATTTCGGATGCTAGTTCTGCCCTTCCAGACAAATGTCTACCTTGATAGAGAAAGGAGCATAGCCGAAGACATACATAAGTGTTGATTACTTTTCCTAGTGAAGTCTGTCTTTTATTTAACGAGATTCAATCGTATAAGTTATACAAATCATTTGTACTTCACGTAAACAGTCATCCTAATTATCCCACACGTTTTATCTCAAGAAGAAGAAGAAGAAGTTTGCTCATTCTTACTTCTGTCTGTATGTATAGACAGATCTTCAGTCATTTATCGAGGTCAAGGAAACTATCATTCTCATTATTATCAATGCTATTGTTACTTCTGCTGGCACCGCAAGAGACAATTTAAGGCGATATATACATTCTATCCATACACAAACACACACACACACGAAAGCTATTGAATAAACTATGAGCTACAAATGGCATATTAAATAAATATTCATTTGTGCATGTGCGGACACTAAACTTGTGACATAATCGACGATGATGATGCGTGTTTCGACTAACAATAATACCATCTTTGTAACATTGATGATTGAATGAGCAAAAAAAAGGATCGGATACAATGATGGCTTGTTTTGCAGATAACATGAAAGAGCGCAAACGAACATCGATGATTGTCTTTTTCTTTTCAATGTATTGCATTTCCCGATTGGATTTCTCTCTCGTTTTTCTTCTTTCTTTTTGTGTTCGAGATTAATACGTCGACTCCTCCGTTTCTTTTTGTTTCTATTATAGCCGACTATTCATTCCTACTCAAATGGCAACAGTTCTGCCAAGGAGAATGGCTGCGATTCGTCTTTTCTCAAGCATCAACAGCAATTTCACCAACATCATCATCAGCGTAAGTTACTTATCTCCGACAGCGCCTAATCATAACAATATCTCTCGAGTGAAATTAAACATGAGAAAGGAGGAAAGCCAAAAAAAATGCGAAACAAAGAAGCAGCTGCAGCTGTTCACATGTTTGATGTATCCCGCTGCGTTCGAATATGGATATTCTCATCATTACCATATGAACAGAACAAAAAATAGAAAAAATGCAAAGTTTTGTAGTAATAATACCGAGTTCTTCTCGCTTCTCTCTCTATCAAGGCCTTTTCTTTCAATCAGAACCTATCATTTGAGATAGGAAGAATGAATACTAGAAGAATATGATAGTATGTACATATTGGGTGGATCGACGCTCTCGGTGTTTGTGTGCGCATATTAAGACGATTGCACCCATTTGTATTGACAATCTATACGTATAAATGTATGTGCCATTAGACGATTGATGGTGTTTGTCGACTTGCCCTTTTGTTGCTTATGAGTATAATCATTTATTCTAATTTCACTATAGTTGTATAGAGTATATTGTAGAGTAGCGTACACGAA